CACCTGCATGCCGTGTTATCGGCTTCTCCAGCGGCGCCGCCTCCCCCGAGAGAAAAATCACGCCGCCGCACGTGTGGCTACCGGCCTGGACCAACCAGTCGGCGCACCAACGCCAGCCCTAACACTCAAAAGAAGGGGTCCGTCCCGCCTGCGCTGCATTGGATGGATGGTAGGGCTGAGAGCCAATTTCGCGCCATCTCTGCGCTGAGACCCCGAGGCCCGAGGCCCCGTGGTGGGTGTGGCGCGTGTCCAGTGGGAGGGTAGGAGGGATGTGGCGCACCCGCGTATAAGGTGACGCGGTACTCGGGGCTCCCCACCTCCCGAGGTCACTAGGACGGGACTGTCTCCAGCTGGGCTTGGCCAAGACACGACTCAGCGCAGAGACCCCCTGCGGAGCTGGCGTTGCTAACACGGCGCTTGGGTGGAATGGTGAGCGATAGGGCTTAGCTGGTGGGTTCAGTTAAGGAGGCGCCCAGCGGAGTTTGCCGTATGCCGTTGATCGTGATGTTGGCTTGGTCATCATCTCCTAATCCCGTGCTAAACAAAGAAACACTTGCACTCTGTAAGTCACGACTCGGCTTGACCTGGACATACGAGATTCCAAGCAAGAATCTGACAACTTATGCAGCATGGTCATTCTGATCCACATGTTTCGAACCCTCTTTACAATCCATCGAATGCGATTCGCCTGCGCGCGACTGACCCAAGTCTAGGGATAGCGTCATTTTCGAGTACAGACGAACCGGACCCAGCACTAGGAACACCAACGCGCGGGAACTGGTCCAGAACCCACAACTGGCATTCAGACAATTCGTCTGCCATGACGATGTCCTCCCTCGAGGAATCGGACCAGCGCCGCAGATTGAAGGACATGGCTCCATCCTCAACACCACCTCAGCTGAGTCGAAAGAGCCGCCATGCTGCAGCAGTGACAGACCGTTGGCCCAGCCTTGAAGGGCTACCATAACCGCCTGCCTCTTCGGGTCTCTGCTGCACCCGACGGACTGGTTTTGCCCTCGTAGTCATGACCAAGATCAGGAGGAACCAAGCCGAAGTCGGTTCATCTTTGAGTGTCACAAGTGTCGATGCGCTTTCCGCTCGTTAGCCCCGAGCCGGCCGGGTGCAGGGATCAGGCCATAACGACTAACACCAGGCGAGAAGGCCAGTGGGGGATGGATGGAGCGGTGGGAGATGTCCTCTTTGCCGTTCGGTGTTGGGTTGGTTCAAGCGGGAGAATGACGCTTGGGTTAGAATTGGTCCGACCGGACTCTAGGCAGCCGAATTTGCACTCTATCTCCGGCACCGAGCCGGTTAAATGGCCGGATTCTTGCATCCTACATCCGGCACAACCGGATATTGGATGGAGGCTCTTGGGAGGTCAACTCATCTCTCTAATAAAATCGGTGAGAGGAGTCAAGATATCTCGAAGGATCAAGGTGAACAGCCTAGTGTTCCTTGGCTAGAGAGGCAGGATTTCTGAACCCGCCCGTAAGCCTACCAACCAGAAGAAATAGAACCTTTTGGAATCCTCGCATCCTCTCTTGCAACCTCACCTCACTTTGACTTGTCGCATGTCGTCAGGCGATCCCTCATCAGAGATACGATCCAGGGGGTCCCGCCTTGTATCCCTGGAGATCCTGGTAGATCTCCCATCCATCCCCATCGGCACGCGGGGTTCCTTCATAACCCTACGGACGCGACACGACGCCTTCTGCATTCGAATGCGTGAATACGGTCCGAGTCTGTTTTGTGCGGTGGTGACAAATGCAAGAGACGCATAGTCAACTTGGCGTGGGATGATGCCCAGTGAAACCGAAACAGCGACATCCAATACTAGTCAAGCCTGCTCTGCCCTACTATGTACCTCTCTATTCTATGTTTGGCAGGTCGCAGGAGTTGTGGGGTGAAACCCAGGAACATCATCTCCAGAAGCGCCGAGTTTCGTAGTGTAGTGTAGGTCAGTCATGATGATGATGATGATGATGATGATGATGATGGGATGGCAATTGCCGTTGGACAAGGAATGGTGCGCGAAATGCTGGCCGCTGAGCCTCTTCTTTGCGTGTCTCTGACCAGGCGTCGAAGCAGGCTGAGTTGAGAAGCCAAAGCTTCTTGGCATGGCGAGAGGCGTTGGGAGCTGAATTCCATTCCATTCGCCAAGGGCAAGGCAAGGTTTCTTTTGTCAGCGCCGTTGCCTGTTGCCCGAGGTGCCCGATGAACCTGGAGGGTCAGAGGGTGAACTGGGTTCGGGCTCCAGAACTCCCCCATCCCTTTGATTTGACTTGTGGCGCCGTGGGTAAGGGAAGGGAGGAGGAGAGTCAGGCTACGGCCACGGCCACGGCTACGAGGGGCATGACGAAGGCGGCATTCAAAAAGTTGCCGACTTGGGCCAAGAATGGAAGCGGGTCGAAAGCAAGGCGAACTTGACAGTTCAGTTTCTGAAAGCCACGAGGCATCGGGCAGGCAAACATGGGTGGGTAGCGGTAGCGGGCATCACCAACTCCCGTGTTGCATACATGCACTGCACACTACAGCAATGGACCTAGGTACTATCATGGATGGGCCGTAGGGCTTCATCCAAGGCTCTTCCCCGGAGCCTTACAGGATCCGCCCTGCCGATGGAGTCAAGGTCAGTGGGCTGCTGGGCAAAACCAGGAATAGCAGCGGGAGGCGGACGGAACACGCATGAGGGCCAGTGAGGTTTGCAGGTGAAAAGAAGGAGGATGGAAGCGACCAAAAGCATCCATCCAGGATCAGGGAAGAAGCTTGTTGTCGGGCGTTGGTTGTATCGAGAGCAGCAAGATGCAGCATCTCTCATGCAACCCCTCGTACCCTCGGCCTTGTCACCAACATTAAGATCCAGGAAAATAGAAACAGACAGACAGACAGAAAAAGGCCAAAAAAATGTGGAAAAAATTACCCGCCCGCCCAACGCAATGGGGACTGACAGACATGAAGGTTGCGTTGCGCCAACGGCGATCCGAAAAGGGTGCTCGCTGCGCAGTGCCGATTCGGTCGGAGTAGAAGGTGAGCAAGGGCTGACAGAGGCTGACGAGGGCTTGCTCTCTGGTACTTGATCCAGAGCAGAGGACTTGTACCTCTGGAGAGACCACGCCCACAATTGTCGGCCCTACAGACTACCCACCCCTCCCCCGCGAAGCTATCCCGCACACACCCTCTCGCACTCCCCTCCCCCAAGTGCAGCCCTCCAGGGCACAGGGCTATAGGGCCCTGCCCCCCGGCTGGGAGATGCCCACCCAAGAGACAGGGCTCAAGAGCCCGTAAGGCGGGCAGTTCACAGGGCTCCTCAGGCTCAGGCAGCCTGGGGCGGGGGGTTGGTTCAGGTGGTGGGCCGCGGGCATGCTCAAAGGCGGAACGCAAGCCAGATTCAAAGGCACACCCCCTTGGGTAGGTAGATTCTGCATCTCAGCCTGGAGCTCCAGTGCTATGGATGGATGTGTATGTAGGTGCTCTAATGTAAGCAACGAGTGCGAGCGAGGTCAGGGGGGTTGAACAATGAATGGAGATCAAGTCATCAAGTCCGAGGATGACTGTGAACGAGAGCGAGCACATGGATCTCTCCCACATCACGATCTTTACAGACAAGCGGGCGTTGGCTACAGTACAGTACAGGACGGACCCATGATGGAACTCTGTCTGTAGCCAACTGCGGCGCACGCATATAGTGCTTGGGTGCTCCGTCGGCGGGCATTTCAGAGACATGGACGGGATAACGACAGACTGACAGGCCCAACTGACAGTTGTAACACATCCAATGCGCTGCCCTGCGCGGCACCTTACCCTTGGATGGGATCCTTTTGCCTGGATGGATGCCATGCCATGGACCATACACGCCCCCTAGATGCGCAGGTAGGCACGCACTGATGCTACAAGGCACGGATGTGCAAACTGCATCTAGAGGTGACCCTTGGGAGGATGGACAAGTAAAAGGGCACCTCGCAACTTTTCACTCTTTCTATTGTTGGGCTCACGCCCGTCCACACGCCCCCCATTGCACCTCTTCTTGGGGACATCTCCCACATCTTTTTTTCCTTTTCTTCTTGTGCTTGTTCTCATTCAGCTTTTTTTGTCCCTTCAGCTTCTTGTATTTCATTCTATTCCCGAGGAATTTGAATTGAAAAGAAAAACAGAGGGAAAAAGAAAAAAACAAAAAACTACATTGCCCAGTCCGCCAACTCTAGGCGTGTGCGTACATGCTTGCGTCCGCCTCCCCGCTGTTGTCGTCACGCCTAATTCCGCCACATTCTCCTCGTGGTGAGGCTACCTTACCTATACCCTCTCTGGAGCGGGCTAGTCGTGGACCTGTTTCCCTTTTGCTCTTGCCAGGCGTATCGCACACCTAGTACACCTACACCTAGGTACATGGGTGCCAGTCAAGAGAGCGCCTGCCAGCTCCAGGAACAGCAACGTCAACAATCTTAACCGCCGCCCGACCTTCTCCCACCTTTCCATTCTTCAACACCACATCCCGCTCTTCAAAACTCTTTTTTTCTTCTCTTATTCGTTTCATTCCCTTCCCTCCCCCTTCTATTTCATCTACCTTACTTTCTCGCCTCTCCTTTCGCCTCTCTCCCTCTCCATCCGCCATACTCATACTCCCCCTACTAGGCCAGGCAAGGCCACTTTCAGAGCAACACCCCCAGCGCCGCTCTGTCATTCGTCGCTTCTTTTACGGCACCCGCGGCCCCCCAGCTGGATCTCTTGTGGTGTCTTGGACCTAGCGGCTGCTCCGAGTCCATAACATCGCCACTGCAGAACCACTCCGTCTCACCCTGCGCAACGAGTCGCCGGGAAAGGCCAGGCGAGAAAAAAAGGAGGCCGCTGGCAAACACAATTCATAGGGTACCGAACAAAAGGGTCGTTCACGTTAGGGATCGGCCCTTCGTCATCCTAGCTCAAGCCTCCCCGAACTTCAGCTGCCATTGTCTTGCCTCGTGCTCCATCCTCAGCTCGACAGGTCAACCGCCAAGGTCAACACCATGGCCTTCCCACCACAATATAGAGACGCCGCGCCGCCTCTCCCGAGCATCATTGCCCCTCCCCCAGGCGACCGGTTCAGATCACACGCGAGTCATCACGAATTGCCTTTTGGTCGGAGTCCTGCCATGTCAATACCAGGAATCCAGACCCCAAGCGACGTTCCTCCTCCTTTGCCTCCTCCTCGATATTTCCCAGGAGCTGATCAACCTGCTCCTCCCGAAGAGATGGGTATCAAGCGCGAGTATACTACACATGGTTCCTTTGCCAGTGGTTACGGAAGCATGACCTCCTCATATCATGATGAACACCCCAACTACCAGCGAAGGGACCTCAGCGAACGAGACGAGGGTTATGCCAGTTACTCATCAACCGACAGGTATGGGATTTGCGATGCCACCAGCGGCTAGCCCTGCCAATGGGCTCCCAAGAATTCTGGTGTCGACTCATCAATTAGGCATGTCAACTAACACCGACGTAAACAGGTCTCGCGAGTCTATTCCTACAAGCTTCGGTCGCCTCCACGACCACTTTCAATTCCGATCCCCTGCCGATGTTTACGGTGACACCCTTAAGAAGAAGCTTGGCCCAGTCAGCCTCTCCGAACGGTCACCGCCTAGATCATTTCTCAGTGCCTCATCCGCCGAGCCCTTCTCCCGAAGGCCTTCAGCAGAGGGTCGATTCCCTCCAGCGCTCAGCCTGCCCGTCCAGCTCCCCATTCACACCCGCAACATCCTGGGCTCCCCAGCAAGGCTGACTGAGACGCCAATTCACACTGCCATCTCCCCACGAAGCACCCCCTTCCACTACGGAGATCGGTCACCTAACGATAGCTCTGATATCGATCGCTCCCCTCGAACACGAACCAAGAGGAACAACAGTGATGATGCTACGTCAACACAGTCGAGCTACGATTTCAATGGAGAAGATATGGAGATGGAAGATGGGCAATCGCTCAAGAGACTTCACATTGATGATGCCTACATGCCGGGTGGCCAGAAACGGAGGGCAGCCAGTCCGAACGACCCCAACGACCACCTCCTCGCCATGACGGCCGATTTCTCGCGTCGACGTGACCTGAGCTCTCGTGGCTCCCCTACACGCCTTGCTACTCTGGCTCGAGGAGCTACCATGCCCTCTGTGTCGACATCTCGATCCAACTCGTACATCTCGACAATGTCCATCCCCACAACGAGCATCACTACTGCCAATTCCTATGGTCGACGCTCACCCGTGGGATTGTCACCTGGTGGCATTTCCCCCACCTCGTGCAACTCGCCTTACACGGCGCCTGTTTCCCTCAACCCCAGCCCTCGGACTTCCATCTCGGGTCGCGGCTCGGTCCACTCTAGGACCGTCTCGGGAGCCAGCACGCGCAAGATCACTGAAGTACAAAAGCCTGGCGGATCCAAGATGCAAGGTTTCTTCATGTGCGAGTGCTGCCCCAAGAAGCCAAAGCGATTCGAGACGCTCGAGGAACTCAAGTAAGTCAGATTTAATTACGACATCAGCCATCTTACGTGAAGTTGTGTCAGATGATGGTTTTACACGATTGTATGTGGAACACGATGCTGACAAAAAAAACTAGCGCCCACGAAGCTGAGAAGCAATATGAGTGCAGCTTTTGCGGAAACCGCTTCAAGAACAAGAACGAGGCCGAGCGCCACCAAAACTCGCTCCATGTGCGTCGCCATTCATGGTCATGCTCTGCGCTGTCTGGATATGACCGGGCCTTCCACGACTCGACCAACCGGCCTGGAGAAGCTGACACCTGTGGCTACTGCGGCGATGAATTCCCGCGGTCTGGACGCGGGCCTGGCACAGGAGTGCTCAGTGGTGGTAATGCGCCTCGACACGCCACAGACCAGGATTGGGACGAGCGGATCAAGCACCTGCAAGAGGTGCACAAGTTTAGGGAGTGCAACTCGTCTAAGAAGTTTTACCGTGCGGACCACTTCAGACAGCATCTCAAGCACAGCCACGCAGGCACGAGCGGCAAGTGGACCAACATGCTTGAGAACGCCTGTATGATGGACGAGGACCCAACCCCCCGGTAAATATTGGATACAAAATGGAACGATCAACCACAACCCAGGTTCGGCCGCGCACACGACAAAGGGGCACTGGAGTTGAATGAGAGGTCGGCCGCCAGATGACGACGATTCTGGGGTGGTATGTTGGAAATTCAAGATGAGTGGAGGATGGGGCTGATGAAGGCGGGGTACAAAACGAGCCGTCGCCGCTAGGAGATGTCAGTGGGTCATAAAACAGCACAGCACAGGGAGCTTGGACAGCCAAACGAGACGAGACGGGCCAAAACGCGGCCGACGACTTAAAGACCGATGAAACGGATCGACAATCATTCAACCCAGACGGCGTCTTGAAAAGGTTTGGGACGACGACAAGTCAAGACAAGACGTGCGCACAGCACAGCACATCACAGTTGCACAACTCTCCCTTCATCCACGGGATGCGCGGCCACCCAAGCATCCCATGCTTAGCGAACGAGTTAAACGACAAATTGTGGAGAAGAAACTGTTTCGCCTTGACGGACTGTCGCAGGATGCAGATGCCGCAGACCCCAAGACGAATCAGCGAGCGGCTAGGCGACGGGCGCTGATCTCCCGAGTCGAATCGGGGTATTCCGCGCGCAACGAACGTGCACAGGGCGTGCTTGACCGTACCCAACTGCTGGGGTCAGTGGAGGGCTGAACCGACCGACCATTGTGGCAGTGCTTTCGAGAGGGAGGGACAAGAAATGATGCTGCCGTGGATCATGGACCGCCCTTTCGCACCGACAAGTAAAGCAATGCGGCATTTGGACGACTCCTCGACTCAACCTTGGCTTGATAGCTAGGCGTTCCTAGCGGAGACATCTGCATCACGACCACATGGCGTCTTTGGGCTGAGTCTCGAATGGCGAAAGGTTCGCCCGGTCTGACAGCCTCAGCTATGTCTGGCAAGATGAGTTTTGGCGATGGAACAGCACCACTGTGGATGGCAGATGGCGAGACGGTGGCCTCTGGCCATGCGTTGGTGGAGGCGCTACTTGCTGACTGGGCTGAAGATCCTTGCTGGCAGCCTGGGCACGGTTGAGCAACCTTGACGACTGCCGGAGCCAGCTACACGAAAGAAGGTTATGACGAAAGGAACCACCGGGCGTTATTGACATGATCTGGGTTTACACTACAGTTTATTATTTGGGGTTGTCGCTCATGTGCAACTTAACCCTCAAAGAGGAGGAAATGGGCTTTACTTCGTATACATATTAGCTGACACAGCTTGATGCTGATGTCGCATGCATCATCTCATGGGTAACGGCACAAAAAGGTTCTATCATGGCAACGGACACGGAAACGGAAACGGCATTGGGACGGATGGCACTTTGATTTCATGTTTGGGTTCCTGGGCAATCAATACACAGCAGCAGAGCAGAGCAGAAGAGAAGATTTAGCAAGGTAGTGAGTGTGAAGCGATCCATACAATGTAGCAGTCGATGAACAAGAATAAAAGATGTGAAAGCAAAGTCAAGCAAACCAAGCTCGCGTCCTCCCGCCCGTGTCCCGTCCCGTCCGTCCTGTCCTGTCCTGTCCCAAGTACCCGGTTACCCTTGCGATGCAACGATCCATGGTGAAACGCAGGGCTCCCAAGGCAGATGGGGGTTGTGCAGAGAGGCGTTGCAGGGTCTAATTGTTGAGGATGGCAATTTCCATCCATGATAAGGCCTCGTGGTTAATCTGCGATGCATGCACCCATGGTTTCAGCCTAGATGAGGTAGAAATTCAACGGTCGCTTGGCAAGGCTGTTTAAACAAGCAGTCAACTTCATGATGGGGTCCTGAGCGGAATTACGGATACATCCAAGCTGCGAGTTGAAGACACCAGCTGCCTCTTTGGGAAATTCGTGTCCCTTGGCAAAAAAGAGGGTGTGCAGTCGTCATTTCTCATGTTGAGTTTTTTCATTCTCTTCAGCTTGGGCAAAAAGAAGCTGAGCCTGAAGCTAATGCACTCTTGTTGCTCATGGATAATTGTCGCTTTTTCTCCCCTTTTACGAAGCTCTGTATTTAATTCGGTGAGAATACGGGAGGATCCAACAGTGATTCTTGGCGGAGACGGAGCAGGGTCCGGGTCACGTGGTCAGCAAGATGATGAAGATCGCCCTGTAAGGCTTGGGGGTCAGGGACAAGGGTCCTGGCAGTGAGGCTGGAGGCCTTTTTTTGAGTTTAAAAATCCAATAGCGTGGGAGAGGAGATGGACATGTTACGAAGTGCATTCCCTGTTTGGGCTAGCAGCGTGACGAGGGAAAACAAAACGTCGCAGGGTTCTTCGAGGTTTGCTAAGATTTGGCGTCGGGCGTGGCTTGGTGATTAACTGAGACATTGGATGAAAAAAGGGTCCTTTTGGGGTTTTTTTTGTGTGGCTAGTGAATGGGAATTTCAAACTGTGGCTAGGTAGATCGGATGGCGGGGTAAATGCGGCTGTGGCGCGTGAAGGAGGGGCAATGGTGGAAAAAGTTGTCACGGTTGTGAATCACACCGAGATCTACACATTGAACTTTGCTGATGACTGTTGATTTTGTTGATATATTGCTGGTTCTTTCTTCGAGCACGATATATTCCTGCGATAGACGATACCTTTCACGCATAGACTAACTTGCGACTACTCTACACGCCACGGCAACCCCGAATCACGACCCAATTCAACCTGCATCCTGGCGGACGAAACGACCAACCGAGGCGACCACTACGCAGTCAGCGACCTGGCAGCGCAGAAAGACGAAAAGGAAGACTCGCGTCTGCAGCAGTGGGAGGACCTCGGGCATCAGTTTGAAGCCGGAGAACTAGAGCTCCTCAAGCGGAGCATCGCACAGATGGCGTTGAGTCGCATCGACGGACAGGACGAGTTGTTTGTTGGTGGGTGAGTAAACTGATACCCTCTCGTCTCGAATAAGCCCCATGTGACGCTTCATGCGTGACTCGGTTATGCTCACGCTGCATAGTCTCTGGGCTCTGCGCCGTTCCGACTCGTTGACCGACCGTCGCATCACGCACGTCCTGTCGCTTGTCCCGTTCAACCCGTCGGCACTCAAGAACTTCAAAGACGAACCCTGGATCGACTACGGAAAGGACTTTCGTCACCTCGTCATCGACATTGACGATGTGGATGACGCTGACCTGCTGATAGAGCTCCCCAAGGCTGTCAGATTCATCGAGGAAGGGCTGAGGGCGAGCCGAAGCGAGGATGGAGTCAAGGGGGAGGATGCAGACCATGGGGGTGTCTCGTTAGAGAATGGAGTTGAGGATCTGAATATTGACGGCAAGAATGGCAAGAAGGAGAAGGGAGGCGTCTTTGTTCATTGCGCTGCAGGAAAGTCGAGGTCGGTCTCTGCGGTTATTGCTTACTTGCTCTGGCGCTATCCGAACCGATTCGACCCCAATATCACGCTCACGGCCATTTCGGACCCGACCCACGCCATCCAGTCTGATGCGAATCGGCCGCGAAAAGAGACGGCCCAGGAGGCGGTCCACGCCGCTCTCACCTTTGTTCGGCGTACCCGTCCCATGGCCGAACCCAACCCTGGATTCATGGATCAACTCGCCCTTTGGTGGGAGATGGGATGTCCCGATGACGTCGAGGCTCACCCAGTCTACCAGCGATGGGCTTACAAGCGTGAGGTGGAGGAGAACCTTGCCGTGGGTCAGGCACCTTCAAGGCTCCGTTTCGAGGACGAGGAAGCCCAGCCTCGTGACGAATCGGGGATCAGTCTACGATGTAAGAAGTGTCGTCGCACCCTGGTCACAGCCCCCTTCATCATCGATCACCGTCAGCCTGACAAGAGCTCGCCTGCGACTCCCTGCCAGCACTTCTTTGTCGAGCCGCTGAGCTGGATGCGAAGCGTGCTGGAGAAGGGTGAGCTCAACGGACGACTGCTATGCCCCAACGCCAAGTGCGGTGCAGGCGTGGGTCGGTACGACTGGAAGGGATTCCGGTGCTCTTGCGGGGGATGGGTGACACCGGCGTTCTCGCTGCAGAGGGCGAGGGTGGATGATGTGGTGAAGAGGCCGGTAGGGCTGGGCGCCAGCCAGAGCATGGGTATCCGGATGCCGCCCGGTGCAGCAGCTACGCGAAGCGGAAACTTGTGAGAAGCCAAGTGTGATTCTACTGCAGGTGGCAGCAAACTACCCCCGCGAGGTCGCCGACCCGAAGTCCCAAATGTCCGATACCAGGCTCCGTGGCCGAGAGGATGGCCGGGGACCCACCGGGCCCCGAGCTCGGCTGCGGAACCGGGGACAGACTGGATGTCTACACACACACGATAGCTTCTCCTCTGTCCAACAAGGAAGATTCCGCCCTCGATCCTTGCACCACCTTTTCAAAAGAAGGTATGAGTAGCGAGCCGGCCACTGAGAGAGTGGGCGAATGCGCAGTGGGGTATGTGCATTCTCACACAGGCGGGAGGCAGACAGTTAGGGCTTACAGGGCGTGTCGTGAAAAAACGTGCGTGTGTGCAAGGCAGGCCAGTCCATGCATGAGGTGTCATAGAGGAGGGGGACAGACAAGCAGAGCCGGGAGGTTCGGGGGGTATAGAAGGGTATGCATACTCGGAGGGATCATCAGAGGCAAAAAGACGGGAGGATCGGATGGTTCCTGGAGATGGGAAGAGAGGATACGCCAGACGGCATTGGGAAATAAGATTGCGAGGCAGAAGCAGCATCCGACAAGTTTCAATAATGGCCCGTCTTGGTCTTTTTGACATCAGCACTAGGGTCCCCCGGCCGATCATACCTGTCAGACATGGTGTCTGAGAATTGCGATCTCAACCAGGCAGAAAGAAGAAAGAAAGAGGACATGCTGGGACAACATGATGACCCGCCCAACGAGGCTGATGACGGGCTGCCAAGTGAAAGAGATATGGCCCCTCTCGGGCACACACGACATGACATGGGACGGACGTGTTCTCGAATGTCATGGTCCCTTGTCGGGCGATGCCAATTCTGTGGTCAGCGATATCCATCTCGGACAGGCATGATCCGAAAGAAGAGATCCCCGCTCACTCTGCCTGGGGCTGGCTATGGCCTGAGGCTGGCGCTATGGTATAGTTCGCCCAGGTTGGCTTTTTGCTTGTTTTCTTTTTGTTTACTAGTAGCAATAGCAGCCTTGGAAGGATCAGCACGATTTAGAATCACCGTCTTACTGTCTCGAGAGGGGAACCCCCTCGGACTCCGCCACCGTAAGGCTGAACGCCCTATCGGTTCCAGGACCAATGAGATGATTCACAACATTACAAAGACTGCCTACAAGTACAAGAAAGCAAATGCCCGGATATCGTGGGCTTTTGCCAAGACCCCGGTCAAAAAAGGTGGTGGTGTTGGTGGTTTTTTGCCTAGATGGGGCTGAAAGAGTGTCAGCAAGGCAGCCAGCCACGTTGGCGGGAACCCGAGGGAACACACTCGATTGGATGAATCTTTTCAGCTCTCGATCAATGATCTGAGTTGATTCTGTTATTGTCTTGTTTTTGCGATCTATGATTTGTATCAAGCTTCTGACAAGTGGCTGGCTAACCTAGCTAAAACAGTGCTTGCCTGCTTACGACTGTGGATATTTCTCTCTCTCTCCTGTGGAGTTTAGTTCCCCTCGCTTCTCGGCGGTTGCCTTATGGGGCATTTATTGGATTCTAATCGTCCTGCTTTGGGGCTGATTCCGCGCCTTCTGTGTGCGATAGGCTGCGGAAGTGTTAGTGGCCTCAGACCATCAACTCCACCCCCCGTGCCAAGGAGCTCGCAACCACGGAAGAGCTTCTCTTGTTGGAGAGAAGTCTTGTCAGGATGTGGCCATAGCTTCTTTGACAAAGAAGGTGATGACGTCTTGACGGACAAGTTCCCAAAACTGTCACTGACATGGTTGTAGGATACCCACCCTCCCTCGAGTCTTGATACCTTCTTTGGAGAACGCAGCCAAAACAACAGATGCGGGACACGGATCACGAGGCTCTCCGCGTTTTTTCTTGTGTTGCAGAACCAACCTGCTTTTTTTGCTTGTTTACCCATTCGATCTAGCGTTCCTTGAAGCACACCCATCTACCCGTTGCGTGCCTCATCGAACAAGGTAGCCCAGCCCTTTTTATCCATCTGACTGCATGGTCACTCTATGCCGAGTAGAGACTAAACCCGCGATAGTGCTATGCAAGCCAGGGCGGCATCGCCCACCCTTTCTCTGCGGCAGAGACGGGAATTGCAGATGCCGTCGGGACCAGGTAATTGTTTGCCTTCTAGCGCTCGGTATAGCCTCAATGGTCGTTGGTCTGTAAACCCCTGAAACTCCCGACGTGCCGGAGCGCCTTGTCAGCCCTACGTCTGCCTTTTGACGCCCTGGTGGAGAAGGATGGCTGATCGGGTTTCAATAAAGCACCGCGCGGCTTTCCTCCAGATCAAGAGGAGACTTGACTTCTGGACAAGGTTGTTCCAGCAAAGCCCTAGAAGGCGATGAGGGTGGGAGGGTATTCCTTCGAACCGTGGGTCCGGGCTGACAGGTCTCCCACGCCCCCTTTGAGAGAGGAGGTACTTGGTGTCTGACAGAGCTCATGTACCTCTTGTCTCTACACCCTTTTATGTCCTCAGCACGCCATCGGTGTGTGAGAGTGCCGTGGGTGCGGAAAGGTGCGGGTTGTATGATGCATTGTTGTAACCCCAACCCACCGACCGGGCTTACTGGGGAGAGAGAAACGCTACTCTACGGGCGGTGTGTGCTTTTTCTTTTCTTTTCTCGGTGAGATGTTGAGATTTGGTTTGTTCGGTGAATCATGGGCTTCTGCAAGACTGGGAAGCTTAGTCTACTCCCCCTTGCTATGGAGTCGCCGTGGCGTCTTGATGCTTCACCTTTCAGGGAGAAATGACGCGAGTGAGAGATATTCTCGGACTCGGAGACGATCACTGCAGTTTGACCTGCATCAGCATGAGAAGAAAAAAAAAAAGGTGGTGCTATGTGTTTATTGCAGACAGAGACTTGCAAAACATTGGCCTGCGTCAAGACTAGCCCGCTGACGCCCCGGGTTGCAGTCACATCACACATCCCCCATCCCCCATCCCCCGACCACCGTCGGCCGACATGGACAGAGCACACAAAGTCCGCCGGTACAAAGAGAGAGTAATATCGCTTGAGTAGAGTCACATGTTACTACTGTAGTCCTCATGTCAGCCCTATAATGGACTTACTGTGGAGATATTTTACAATCAAGGGGTTTGGAATCAAGAATCTCACGATGCTTGCTTTTTTGCTCGCCAAACGGCATCTTCCATCCTTGATCAGGCACTTTGGTCCAAGCGACCACCACCCGCTCACCGGCGGGGGTTTACTGTCTTTTTTGGTGATGCGTCCTGCGGTCATCAGGCGAGTGAAGAGGGGGGGGGGAGGTCAGACGTCAAGATCGCTTTTGTGTGTCATGGTTGTTGCGATTCGGATCCGAATATGTTGCTCATCGCCGATGGATGTGTCTACTTTTGGTCACACACAGAAAGAGTGAGGAAAAGGGTTTTGACTTGTTCTTTTCTTACGAGCACACCTAATCTTGTGGGGGGATGAGGGTTTAGACATGTATGTATGCTTGGCTTCTGTGTTGTTGGCTGCAATGGAACTCGAGCATATCTCGTCTCCCACATGCAGCAGCAACTTTTCTCAACTAGAGTGCAGTGATACAGACTCTCGCTCTCGCTATTCGCGCCAAGACCGAGCCGACAAGTCGTTGTTCGTTCTCTGACCCATCCCCCGGCGTGCCGCGGGTAAGCACTAAGCAGACCACCTCGCATGACTTCCCAGATCCGCGCGCACCCTGAGCGTCGCATTCTAGCCTCTGACCCCCTCATGCGAGATTTGGAAGAATCCCATGTTCTTGTCTTTTTGTTTCTGGTCCGTCGGATGTAGCATTTTGCGTCTTCTAAGCAGAAAAGGAAGGTCGAGAAACAGGGATGATGGGGGACAGAAACTACTGCAAGGATGGGATGGGATGTTTGCCTTGGCAGGGTTCGGGGTTATGGGCATCGCGTTTTACAAAGTCCGGTTTTTGAGCTCGGAGAGTTTATGGAGAGTTTTTGAGTAATCCAATCATTGTTGTCGTTGTTGGACAAGTATCGAGATGGATGCTGTTTGAACAACTACGCCTACTACGGTAAGGTTGTGTATTGTTCTCTGTATAGAACTACCTAGGTGGTTTAAGAGTAAACTTGTGTTGTCCTCGGTATGGAAAAAGGTAGAATTGGAGAAAATCCATCTTGTCCCTTTTATGGAAGAAAGGGGTACTAGAAGAGCCTCAGGTTGGAGACTCCTAATTGTGATCTGGGAATACATTTATACAATCCTCTATGCAGAAGCAGTTAGTATAAGAGTAAACTTGTATTATTCTCGACATGGAATAGAGGGTGAAAGAAGCGCTTTGAACTATGTACGCAAGGCAATGTGCCTAAGGCTGCGTACTATCGCTTGTATAGAAATAGCTAATACAACCGTAAACTTGAATCAACCCATCACAAGTCAAGGACAACCTCTACCTAGCCTCTGCCCAAATCTGTCCCTAATCACTGTGCTGGTGACTATAGAGGTGGTGCTTGCGTTGGAACAGCTGAGTGACCGTCACTGTCCACGGGAGGTGGAAGATGGGCCTGTGATACCCTCGGCGTGTCACGTAAAGGAGGCCCATCGATATGAAACCAGGGATATCCTTCAGGCCGCCTCAAATATGCCAGGCCGTCCTGTATCAGTAAGTTGATGTGCCTCACAGGAATGACTCTGGCCTCCATACCTTGAAATACAGCTTTACCCTTCTGCCGTCGTCAATGTGAACGAAACGCCGCGAATGTGACGGGCTTCCTCCGGTTTCACGATCAACACAACATATGCCACGGGGATCTATAGTAACCCTAAGTGGCCCTGGAAGAGGGCTTTGACGGGGAGCAAGCACCGGAACAGCGTCTCCGCGTTTCCAGGATACCACTTCAGGAAGATAGAACGAGACGCAATGGCGAGTGAAGGCGCGAAGCTCGAGAGAAGTAGCCATGACTCGCACCGCGTCCAAGAAAGGAGAGTCCTCGTAGAACTTAATGATCATGGAAATGATCTCGTTCGGTAGACTATCAATACGACCGAAGCCAAACTGCCTGGCGGTGTAGATAAACGCGTCAAAGGGGACTTGCCGTGGAAAACGGATCATGTAGTGACGGTTGAAAGGCGCATTGTCGAACCCGCGAAATGTCAGTGCCGTGGCAAGACGATCGCGTCTGTGGTGGAAGACCGCAAGCGGCGGATGACTCCGTACGAAGAACAGACAGAAGCAGGGAAAGTGAACGAGGGCGGCACCAGGGGGTAAGCTACTCCCGAAACCGAAACCGCAGAAGCAGAGGCCGTCGCCTTGCCAAAGCTTATGGCCTGGAGCAAGACTAAATCGTGCCGAGACGGATTTCCAGGGTCCTCTCGGGAAGTTCTTGGAGTATACTGTTGTGCTTGTCAGCCCAAGAGACACAGAGACATGCGATCAACTTACTGATCATGCAGTGGGATCCATCTATCAATTCTTTGTCACAGATGCCGCAGTTGAAACCGATATGAAAATGGTGTAGGCCAGCGCATTGCTGAATCCACGGGAAATTGGATGTGGCTCTTCGTATCCTAAGCTGCGTCGGCGTCGAGGGAGATCCGGGACGAGGCGATGGAAGCAAGGAGCGAGAACTCATTGTGAAAGACTGCTGGTGTTAGTTTGATGATGATGAGAGAGGGAAGTATTGGTGTTAACCTGAGTAGATGGGGGATCCGTTGGCATCACATGAACGAGGTTCCTTCCAACTATTAGATCGCAAGCCAGTCACTCCTGGCAATGAAGGGCAGGCGCTTCACCCAACTATAAGGGCATCAGCACATCATCCCCTCAATATATTTAGTAATTCGATCAATGAAACAGATCTAAAATATGACCGAGTTGAGATATCTTTTATAGATGTTGTCCTAAACCTTGAGAGCGCTCGCATCTCTGCCTCTTAGCCCAGCGCTACAGCACCATAAGTGTAAGTGTTGACAGGGAGAATACCTCAAGGTAATGTTAAAATGTGCGTGCTGTGTATCTGAGGGAGATGAACATAGCACAGAAAGGGTTCTGTTGAACAACTGAGTCTCAGGGTTGATGTCCAGCACAGGCGAACTAGGGGAGCACTGAACTTGGAGAGTGAGGCGACAAGGGCAAGGAGAGATAACCAAGATGAGAACAGTGAAACGAGGATAATTCTTTGCAATGCATGGCTCCTATCATCACCCCTATGCATGGGTCGAAACAAATGACTTTCAGGTTTATCTGAATAGGGGTCAACGTGATGCCACTGGGCTGAATGCAGCTTGTACGCCGTCACACAAACAACGCAGGTTGTCGCTCAAAATCTATGGGAGACGCAGTAGTAACTCATCCCCTACTGGGAGCATCCGTGGGGACGGATGGAAAGTAACCGGGCTTTGACATTCGTTCCCGTTGGACTTTTGCTGCCTCGGCCTGTCGCTTCTTCATCAACCGTTGTTGGTAAAATGAGCTGTAATTGTTAGAAAGGGTCAATCGTGAAGGGATAAGAAGACGGGTGATACCTCTTTAGCTCAAACACGCGGGGCTCTTCGGGTTCAGGCGTCGGCTTGTCCTCTTCCTTGTCCTGAAAAGCGTCAGTCTGGTGCAGATATCGCCAGAGTCAAAGGAACTCACCTTGGTCTCATCGTCCTTTTCCTTCTCATCCTTGTCCTTATCCTTATCTTTATCCTCATCTTTGCTCTTCTTCTTATCTTTGTCCTTCTTTTCCTTCTCTTCCTTCTCCTTCTTCTTACGCTGCTTCTCCTCGTACTCCTTCTTGACCTTTTCCTTTTCCTCCTCTAACTCCTTCTCACGCTTGGCCTTCTCGGCCTCCTCATCAACCTTGGGTGTGCAAAAGTAGCGGTCCTTGAGATGGACAGGGCACACAAAGAAAAAGTCCTACCGGGGCGACTGCATAAGCCTCATGTTCCATCATGCCGGTTCCCGCTACTCATTACCTTTTTGTCTGGCGTGATCAGCACCGACGTGCTGGACTTGTAGCAGATGTCGCAGGCCTTGGCTGCCGTGTCGGCGACCTTGCGATGTGTGTAGAGATTGGGGAATGGAGTCGTCATGATGATGTATCGCTTTGCATGGAATAACTCTTTGAACACCGACGATACACCCTTTTTGACCGACAGATGCTTCACCTTTGCCAGTGAATTAAATTGATGCCCGTCGCGGGGAGCCCCTGACGTCAGGCGCTGAAAGCCCCCTGAAATCACCTGCAAGCCACCAAAGTTATAGGGGGCCGCAGGTTAAGCGCCGGGGAACCTGACTAATAAGCGCCCGGCGTCATGAATGGACGTCGTTATCTTATCGCACTCTTTTGGACTGGAAATTGACCATGACGATGCGCCCGTCCTTTCACCACCAACAAACCTGCAACAATTCTTTTCACCTGCATCAACACCCAACTCACCAAAAAAGCTGTGTTATTGTTCACAGCATAGGCGATTGGAGCAGTCATGGGTGTATTGCTTGATACAGAGAAGCTGGGCTCCCTCTTTCAGGCCCGGCCAGACATTCTGCAAGGCATCCAGAGGGCAGCAGGTAAACAATACCCCTGAGCAGGCTGTGACAACTTTGTTACTGACTTTTGTCGCCAGATTCTCCAGGACGAATCGCCCTGTTCAACGAAATCGCGAATCATGTCTACGACCAACTTCAGGGAAGTTGCGAACCCGCACACAAGAAGAGAAGAGTCGATGTTCAGCAGACCAACGGGACCGCGAATGGAACAAAGGCCAGCGTGAAGCCAGAGACCAACGCCGCTGATGAGCCCGTGCTCTTGGAGATCAAGGAGATTTCGGTTTCGGTGCCCCAGAGAAAAAAGTTTGAGCTGTGCTTTACGGCGAATCACTTCTATGCTCGCGCTCCTGGAACGACGGCTCCAATTCCAGCGATAACACATGCCTGGTCCGACATTGGTGCGTGATTGATGGCTTCTTGACCTGGTTTTTTTGCTAACACGAGGTAGAGTACGCCTTTTACCTTCCAGTGCCCGAGAAGGCTCAAGTTCAGCACAACTACGTCCTATTCCCCAGAGGAACATGCCTCCCTTCCAAGACGAACCCTCCCACGATAGAGCCGCTCGTCTTCACAGTACCCGCGACCGCCCCGAAGCAAGGCACCATCGGAGGCCCCGAGGCTGGATCCGCAGCTGCTGTGTCAGACAACTACAAGTCCCTCTTTGACTGGGCATTTGGACGATACCTCAAGCCCGCAGGCAACAATGTCGACATCACCTCCGCCAACCCAAACAAGTTCCAGAGCATGGTCCGACAGCCTCATCGACCAAACGAAAAAGCCGTGCATGTGAAAGCCTTTAGAGGCTCCAAGGATGGATACCTCTTTTTCCTCGAGAACGGCATTTTCTGGGGCTTCAAGAAGCCTCTCATGTTCATTCCACTGAACCGCATCGCTGCGACCAGCTACACGAACATTCTGCAGAGGACGTTTAACATCGTCACAGAAGTCTTTGCGGGCGAAGGCGACGCGACCGAGGAGCTCGAGTTCTCCATGCTGGATCAGGAGGATTACGGCGGTATCGACGAGTACATCAAGCGCAACCGTCTACAGGATCGCAGCATGGCTGAGCAGAGAAAGGCGAAGCTGGAGTTGGCTGAGAACCGAGGACCTAAGAAGAATGCCGAGGAGAATGGTGCAGCTGCAGAGGGAGAAGCTGGTCAGGAGGGCATGTCTGAGCTCCAAAAGGCGCAGCTCGAGGTTGAGCAGGAGCTGCAGGATGAAGAGGATGAGGACGAAGAGGATTATGATCCTGGTAGTGATGCTGACAGTGACGGGTCGGGGGATTCGAGCGACGACGACGATGATGACGATGACGAAGATGATGAGGAAGAAGAGGCTGAAGGAGGAGAAGGAGAGGGAGAAGAGGAGGCAGCTGAAGAAGAGGAGGAGCCAGAGCCTGAGGTCGCTGCACCACCACCTGCTAAGAAGCCTGTTAAGAAGCCTGCTAGAAAGGCTGCTGAGAAGCCTGCAGCACAGGTTCCTGTGAAAACAGGCTGGGCAGCCCTCAGAAGCGTTCCTCGAGCTACCGAGAGCATGGACCTAGACGAGGAGAAGTTTGACATTGTCTAGAGGAGGAGTAGGGTTGTACAGTACGGTATCACTGGCATGATAGATACGGTCGGGTCAGGCACGATGTATGACATACATTAGGAAGAGGCGCCGTCCTCCATGAACATGTTACACTTTTGGCGTTGCGATCGAGGTTGACATGATGTAACGTGTGTTTGAGTGTCTGCAGGCCTGTTCTAAAGACATAGGAAATACGAGAAAGACAGGGATTTGTGCCTGGCAAAGGCAGTTGATGGTATCATAACGGAACAAGACAAGACAAGACAATTAACAATAACCTCCCAAACGGTTTAGCTCTCCTTCAACCTGGCATTGCTGTAATGCCTTTACTTCTGCCAGCAGCGCACCTCTGTACGACCGCTACGGTGGTAATCTGCAAGCGGAACGCCGCACTTGTAACGTCAGCGTTGTGTTCAGATGGAGGACATATCCGACTTACATTGGCACAGCGATGGTGTACGTCTTTGAGTGACGAGATGCAATACGGGATGCATCCCAGGCAACTCACGAAACATACCAACGCCGCAGCGGCACTAACATGGTCAATATCCATCTTTCGACGTTTCTCAAAGAAACTCACTGTGTAAAGCCTCCTGCTTCAGCCGTGGTGACTGTAAAGTCCCTCACGCCGCAACTCGGACAAACGACTGGCGCGCTCTGGCTCTGCAGGCTCTGGAGCGGTACGCTGTTGACGTTCTGCTGCGGCGGCTGGCCATGAGATTGTGGCGGCTGGCCTTGGGACTGTGGTGGGAAGTCATTCGGGTTGTGGATATGGGCTGGAGGGGGAGAGCCCGGGTTCGTGAGAGGCGGCTGGGCGAGGGGAGAAGAAAAGTCCCGGTTATTGTAAGTCGGCGGTTGGTCTTGGTTCACCGCGGTGTTGGCGGTGAAGGCGGGATGTTGTTCGTTCTGAGGGGGAGCTTGAAGAGTTAGTGATGATGCTATGTAGTTTGATGAAGGACATACTTGGCTTCTCCATTGTAGGCAATTGTAGATGAACTAGATGATGTTTGATGCTTGAGACTTCCAGGTTTGGTGTTTTGGAGCGCTAGAGGTCTTAAAAGAAACACGGCCAAGAGTATATATGAAGTCACAGCAATGGGGGCGAAGCGATGATCAATGATGAAACGGTCCAGCTTGGCAGCTACCAAGTCTGCCTCGACACCATGGTCGGGCAGATATTCACTTGTTTAGGTGTCATCCTGGGTCATACAGGGGCTGTTTTTAGAAGTTGCCTGACCACCAAAAGTCATTGGGACAAGAGTCTATTGGGTAGTGGCGAGGAGGGGTGGTGAGAAGGAGCCGGCGGTGTCAAATATCAGAGTCTACGTCTTACAACAGCCGGCGTCTTCCACTTTGAGAGACTGCGCCTCGGAGGATCAACCGTCATTGACAGGGCTATAGAATCCTGCGTCATGTCAGGCAACAGGTTCTACCAGTTACAGTGAAAACTTGGAAGTGTCGCATGAAGAAGATCAACATGGATTGAGGTTGGAAGTTGGATGTGAGTGGTTGACTGAGCGTCATGGGCTTGGTGTGTTGGCGGCGTTGAGATGTGGCTGTGGGGGTGGCTGTGGCTGGTGATCTACAGTGTGGCGAGAGCTAGATGAGGAGGTTCTGAGTGAATCAGTGAGAGTTTCCCCACGATGGATGTATTGTTCTCTTGCTCGGGATGTTGTTACTGATAGTTTGGAAAAGGCCTCGCCAACCAAGAACTGAGTGGCTGTGTACACTGGGCCACAGCCAACAGCTCCCTATCTCCATGGCATGGCATGACTTCACCATCTTATCGTGATCTTATCATCAAACTCTTATCTTATCACCCCATCACCGGATATTTCCCGCTCACCGCCCACACGTGACCCTCAACTCCAAAGGTTTCAATCCACCATCGCAGCGAGCTCATCACGACGAGCGGCATCTGAACCTCCGAGTCCCGACCTCCAACACCCTCAATTGGATCTTTATAGGATACCTACTGAGCAATCATGTCGGGCCGTCACAAGGCTATTCGCCTTCCTCCCCTTAAGACCCTGCGCGTCCACGATCCTAAGCGCAAGGTCGAGAACCCGTGTATCGCCATCATGTCGAGTGTCCTCGGTACGTTTTCCCTCCCTCTACTTCGCCGTCTCGGTATACTGACCGATTGTAGCATGCTGGGCTTCTGCCGGATACAATGCCACAGGCTGCGCCGCCGTCGAGACACAGCTCCGCAAATGCATGGACGGTCCCGCGCCTCCTCCCGCTCCCACGAATACGATCAACTACCACCTCTCACGAATGCAAAAGCACATGACGGGGCCTAGGAAGCAGAGATGAGGGGTTTGGTAGAAGGGTATGCATTTTGGGCGTTGGTAGAAAGAAAGCGTCTGCTTGGGATGGATTGTACAACATTTTACCCCCCGTTCATGATGGGCAACGAAAAACAAGAGGTGGATGATGTACATTTAGCTACTGTACAATACAAACATGTTTAACATGTCGACGATGGATGTCAAGCAACATCTACTCTCGTGATGCTGCCGAATCTCGGTTGCTCAAACATAATCAAGTCTTGGTGGCTTCACGGTTACAACAATCACCATATCACAAGTCACAGGTCACAAGTCACATGCACATATTCGTTCAAAGCGCTTGCATTTCACTACTCCTCACTCTGCAAGACACCCACGCGCCCATCCACTGCTCTATCCCATCCCATCCCATCATCAGCGCACACCCAAACCCGAATCTTCCCCGTCATCTACACCTCTCTCCTCGAGGCGCACAGAGGGTGTGTGTCCGCATCAAAGACTAAAAAAAAAGAAAAGGAACGAACCCAGAAGAGACAAAGTAAAAGAAAAGGGTGAAATAAATGTCAAAGAACGAAAAGAAAAAAGACAAAACGCCCCCGTTCTTAGCAACAGCGCCGGACCCCATGAAGTGACTGATAAGGTTGATGATGTGTAATCCCAAGGACAAAAGAACAAATGCTCCGTGGGGAAGTGTCAAGACGGCTTTCCCTAGGAACAGGGAAGACGAGATCTTGAAGCGTGAGACAAAGTCGAAGCCTTGCTTCACGCAACCGTTTCGCATGTCTATGCAAAAGAGCCGTCAGAACTCAAAGGCATTCAGCCCAGACTCAAGAAAACGTGCGACCATGTACGTCGCTAAAGAGCGGCTCCGGTAGGCGGTGCGGTGTCGCACTACAACATGTGTGACCGTGATAAGAGATGCTCCGTGTCGAGTGGCGTGCCGTGTCTATATGGTTGATGCCTTGTCCTCCATGTCAGACGCCCCTGGTCGTTGGTCGTCATCCATGCCTTAACATCATGATCCGAACAAAATAAATACGAGGTTTTCCGTGCGCCGAAAATGCGGTAACGATCCGTGGGTATCCCAAGCACAATGCACCATGTCTACCTCCTCTCTGGGTGGGTGTCGATCTGGTTTGGGTGTGCGCGCTGAGCAGGTATGGTGTCTAGGAAGTGTCGCCGACGCAGAAGAGCTCTATCTCTCCAACGCCTCCAGCGTACATGTTCCTGACTCCCTCGCGCCACTCCATAAAGGCAATCTGGATATCGTCGTCTCCTTCGATAGCCACGAAATCGCCATCCTCGTCGCGATACCGCAGCTTGAGTAGACCCTTGCTGATGCTGCTGCTGGTGAACCGCGCCAGCTTGGCGTCGATTCGGTCAACCAGAGACTGGTATGTGATATTAAAGGCCACAACAAGCGTCACGTAGTTTCCAGACTCAGTGTTGACCCGAACCTTGAGCTGTGTCGGCAGAGGCATCTCGGGGCTGGCTAGAGGGTTTGTCGATGGAGGAAGAGTAGCTGTACCAAGGGCTGGAGAGACAGTTCGTGAGTTTGCAGCCGCGGCATCAACACGCAGCGGGTTGCCAGCAGCAGGAGTCCCTTGTCGTGAGTACACTGGCTGCGTAGGGAACTGAGCCATGCTGCCGCCAAGACTTCCCGTGTGCTGGTGCATCCGCTCCCGTTGAACTCCGGGGCTGTTCGTTTGAGCTCGGATGGGCATCTCATTTCTGGGCGAGCCAGCCTGATTTCTGGAAATATTAGGATCATGACCCGGGTGCAAGTGCTGCGGGATTCCAGGGACAGCCGGGATGTTGCCTTGGCTGGGTTGCCGGGTCCTGGGCATTCCGGGCCCGTTGATGTCGGGAGTGCTGTAAGAGCGGTTCCTCTGTTGCGCAGCAGCCTGGCTGTTGGAGGCCATTGCAGGAAGCGAAGGACCACGAGGATTGCGGCCATGAGGATTTGGCGAAGGACCGTCGCGAGAGGGAGCACGCGGCATAGCAGGAGCGGTATATCGGTTGCTATCCTCCCACGGGGGCTGAGGCGTTCCAGTCTTGGGGAAGCCATAGTGAGGCGTGGTAAACATGCCGCTCGCTGTGCTTGTGCGCGACGATGCTGGCGACTCGGCCACAGGTGAGAAATAGCTGTCGCCGCCCCAGGCACCAGGCGAAGGTGCACCGCTTCCTTGGGTTTGAAGGCTGAGCGGAGCAGGTGGTACAGGAAGAGGAAATCGAGGCGGAGGCGCTCTCACCATACCCGCAAGGGACCCGGAGCTCTCTCCTGTGCCTGCGCGAGCACGCAAGTTGCTGCTCGAGGCAGTTCGAGGCATCATACCCATGGGATGCGGTGGCATCGGGAGACCGGCTGGCGCTGTGGCTGGACCGTAGTCATCATCCTCGTCATCATCCTGTTGTAGATATGGGTTCTCAAGGCCACCGGCCTGGTCTCTGGTCCAGGCAAAGTCGGCAGTAGCGGAGTCGGAGTTCGTCGAGGCACGGGGAGCATTATTCTTCCTCTGGCTTTCGAGAGCAACCACCCACTTCTTAAGTGTCTCCTCATTCAGGAACTTGATGGTGAAATTCTCAACACCAGGGTCTCCCTTCCACCAGATCTGCACACTGTGATTGCCTGATTCGAGTTAGTATGCGCGAAGGCGAAGCAAGGGAAGCACAACTCACCAGGCTTGGAGAAGGACACGACATCAGTCACGTTAGTCATGAAAATTCTGCCCTTGAGCTGAAGCTTGGCGTTCTTGTTCCGAACCTTGGGTCCTGATGACCTCGACTTGTCCTTCTTGTCTTTGCTCTTGTTTGGTGAGATTTCCTTGCAGCACAGGAGAATGCACTCGAAGAGATAAATCTCGTACTAGTAGCAGTTAGTAGTGGCCAAGTAAAGCTGTATGAAATACGTACGTCCTTCTCCTGGTCGGTCTTGCCAGTAATGACACCGTATACGCCGTGTAGGAGAAGATTGCCAAACTGTTCCACCTTATGACTCTTCCAATCTTCCACTCGGTTGGTCAGATCCTCCAGAGCCTCATCCAAGAGGTCCCGGTTGACGGCGTCGTTGGCCTTGTGCAGGACTCGTTCGGCCGCCTCACAACCATTAACCAGGTCGGCCTTGGTTTCTTCGTCCTCAGTCTTCTTGTTCAAGTCCTAAGTTCTGTCAGTCAAGTTGTTGGAGCCAACCAATTTGTGGAACCCACCTTGAGCAACAGAGGATATTTCACCAATCGTTGCATGGGCTTTAGCAAGAAACCGTCAAGTGTGTTGAAGTCGGTCGCCACGGGATGTTCGGATTGTTGAATCTTGTCAAAGACCTGGTTCGCGATCTGGGCAGCCTTACGCTGATTCGCGATGAAGGGTTGGTAGATATCAAAGGCATCCTCGTGCAGGACAAAGGGTGATCCCCATCGCTGATTGGCAGAAGACATCGAATTTGTGGTTTCCACACGGATAAGGAAGCGGCGCTGGAAATCGAGAATGGCGTTGATGTTGAGGAAGATCTGGTGAAGAATGTCTCCGGGAATCGCACCCTGCTGTTCCAGCGTCTTTTTCAGATCGTGCAGGTTCTCGAGATCTTGAACGTATTTTCGCTCCGTATCGACTAGCTCTCGGACAATGTGATCTCGGTAGGTCATCTGCGATCCGGTGGCAGGACCACTTGTAACTTCATCTTCGGGGTAGGGCTGAACTTGGAGGAGGGTGCCGCGCTTTTCGGCACAATCGAGAACATAATTAACGACTTGGGTCACCTAGACAGAGTTAACAAAGCCCCAGGCGCAGAGACTGAGCCGAGTCAAGCCCAGCTGTCGGTCACCCACCTTGACAAAACCACTAGTATCATTACCCATCAAGTCAGTAATCACAAAGCTATGGGATGAAGGAATCTGCAGCTCCTTCATGCAAGCCTGGACGAATTTGAAGATGGCGATCTTGGATTTCTTAGCCTCGTTAGCGCTAGAGTCCTCGACCTTGAGCTCTTCCTCAGGCTGCAAGGCATTGTAGATGAGGAGGAGAGGGTATCCTGTTCGGAAGAGGTTCCATAGCGGATCGACGGGATCGTTGGGGTCGAGGGTCTCGAGATAGGGGTCGAAGCCAGGAACTTGGGCTAGGCGCTGCTTGAGCGAGATGCAGATCTGGTAGAGGGATCGGGAGGCATCGGCCTTTTGGTTGATGATGTTGGCGGTTGCGAGAACCGGGCCGCCGTTCTGGGGAGTGATGGTAGCGGCGCTCGCGAGGGAGCTTAGAGAAGCCGTGGAGCCGGCAAAGGCTGTCGAGCCAGAGAGTTGGCTGGCGCGCGGCGCATGGTTCATGCTGTTCTGTGGTAGACCACCGAATCCGTTCGAGTTGGGGAAGACCGGAGTGGTGTTTGTTCGGAGCAGCGGGGCATGGGCCATAGCCTTCTACTCCATCCGTCGAGCGTGTGAGGCGACGATGATGCGGGCAGAGGGCGACAACGGGAAGGGAGGATGAAGCGGACGAGGTTGTCGAGGGAGCCGAGGGGAGCGCGAACGAGGGGTTGCGAATGGCTTGACGAGAATGTCTGGAGATCTCCCTTGGCGTCGACTCAGGAACGTTTCAAAGAGGCGTCCGACGTCATTCGGCGGTGAATCGAAGCGGGAGATGTGTAGTCTGGCAGCGAGTCACGAGCGGGGTGAAGGTTCTGCTGCTTGTCGATGCGTCAGGAAGGTTGGGCACGAGCGATGACGGATGTTGGAGTCTATCGCCGTCTCTGTCTGTCCTTGTCCTGGGTTCTGCTGCTGACGGCGGCTTCGGCGATGGCTGGTCGGGAGGAGGAGGTCTCGGGTCAGGCGGTGGAGCGATCGAAGGGGGTGAGAAGGCGGATGATCGACGATGCGGTTACGGTGCGAGGAAGGTCGAGAAGAATCTGGCAGACGGACCAGGGAGTCGGAAGTGTAATGTGTTTGACTGTGGAAAGAATCGTCCAGGTCTAGCCGCGTTGCTCCAAGTTGACAAGGCTGGGCGCAGGCGTCGAGGTTGTTGGGCGACAGTCGTTTAAGGAGGAGCAGAGCAAGGCAAGGTAGGGGATTGAGGGAGGCGGAGGCGGAGGCGGGCGCGGGCGGGCGGTTGGCGGTTGCAATTTAGCGGTTGGCGGCGGGGGGGATCCTGAGAGGCTGGCGCAGGAGCCAGTGGAGGGCCTCTGTCTAGGTGATACTGGGCCTCTGGGGCTTCTTTATTAGGCGCTGGCGATGGTAGATGTGCTCTGGTTGGTGTAGAGAGGATGATGCTAAATCCGTCTCTGCGTGAGAAGAAAGAATGCAGAAGATGACACTTTGGTTGGCGACAGTTGATACAAAGAGAGCATACAGACAAAAGATTCACTCACACCTCTTCCGTACCGTACCGTACCGTCGATGGCTGGTGGATGGATGGATTTGGAGGGGAAAAGGGGATCAGACTCCGTACTGTGCGACACGGCGCTGAGTCGACACGGTATCACAAGGCGTAACCTTGGTGTATGTGGTCCGTGCGACGAGTCCGAGGGACGTGCTTTTCCTCCTCTTTTCCTTTTGGGGTCCTTTGGGCATTGAGCCCGGCCGGGCATGGCACTCCCGCGCCGCGGTACGTACCTCTCTACCTCTCTCTTTCTCTTTGAGTCTCTCTGTTTCAAATTAGCCCGAGCCTTCGCCATCCCCAAAAGGACTAACGTTAACATTGGATCCTGGAATCACTCCCCGTCGTTCCCGGTGGATCCCCGTTGAATGGGACATTGTAATGGATGGATGTACTTGGGTATGTACCTGTTGTCGTTATGACTTGTTCATGACGAAGAGCTTCTTATCATAAACTCAGAGGCTATAACACTTGAATCATGAAAGATTCATACCAACGAGTCTTTTCGAAACTCTCTTTTACAATTATACCGGTGCAAGCCCATGATTCAACGCAGGAAAGGACTCTCCCATCCATGCTCGTCGCGATTCAGGGATCTACAGGGGTGCCCAAGGCCAAAGCCGACGACACAAGAGACGGTCGTCGCTCGTGCTTTAATGGCTTGCATCAAGGCAGGAGGGGATGGTTTCAACATCAACGGGCGGCCGGATGAAAAGGGTACATTTTGTTTCCTTTTTCCTCTTCTGATGTTCGTTCCCACTCGTTTGAGACGACTGATACGTCACCTGAACTCTGTCTGTTCTTCAATGCTTGGCTCCCAAATAGTCGTTCAATAACCACTGAGCCGTCCCTCACGGGGAACAACAAAACAACAGCCGGTCGATACAGCTGGCGGGTCTCCCAAGCTTGAGCCCGTCCGGCGAGGCGCTTGCACACCGTCCTCTATCCGCTGCCACAACGGAGCACCATCACAAGGATACAGAGGGGTTCTTGAAGAGCACCGACAAAGTTGACGCCCAAGGAGGGGGGGGGGGGGAAAAGACGAGGGGGGGGGACCCTTGACACGGATAGCCCCTGAATCCGTCGGAGCGGGTGGTGTGGTTCTTGTTTCGATGACCGTCGATTCGTTCCTTTTGGGTCCCCCCATCCACCCAGGACGAGACGTTCCAGAAGGGCGCATGAATGTGCAGCGCAAGACGGGCATGGGAGAGCAAGCATCTGGCGGGGATGGAGAGAGATTTAATGGGCAAAGAGGCAGGCTGCATGAGAGGCTGCATGAAGATAATGGCTTGACAGGCCGCGAGACTGGGCTTTGACAGGCTCCCAGCAAGAGGCTCGGTGCAGCTGCTGTTTCTTCAAGACGACAAGCATGCGAGGGCCTCTCGTCTGAGCTCAATATCCCGTCCAACCCTGCGCTCATCGCGTCGTCGTGGCGGCTAACGCCCCTCCACGCTGCGAACGGAGCGCCCAATCATCAACGCTTAGGCCATATCAGATGGGTTGATGGAAGATGTGGCTTTTTTCCTCAGCCCAGGATTCACCTCAGATCATCACTTGAGTAAAAGCACCTGCCCAGTATGTACAATTCTCTTATCGCCATCCTCTGTGCGACCGCGGAAATGGAGACAAGACCCCTTTGATGGGTTGCCAGCACGTTGAAGGCCGCTACGACACGAATAGCCTAGTCTTCAATCAAGCCTCTTCTCCAAAGCATCCCGGCGATCCAATCTCCTGCTAGCTCTCCCCCTCCCCTGACATCATCTCTCGAAGAGCTCAATCTCCAAAGGCTCAGGGGGTAGGGGAGGCGCTCGCTAGCCCCCAGAGAAGGTTTCATGGAACCTTCGATTGCAGCGACCGGCTCTTTTCTCTCTGTTGGGTCTGCCGTCTCTCTCTCTCTCTGTGATGGAAATTGCCCATCCGTTCCTTCGGGGCTAGATACCGCAGAGGTTGCAACGGGAGGAGAGCATCCTTGTGTGTAAATGCGTTCTGAAACACCCGGTTCAATGCACAGGCCGCATCAAATCGCACAAGGTTTGTGAATCGCGTCTTCAAGACATGGTCTTTTTCATGAAAGCTGAACAAAGAAGACGCATTACCATTACCGTCATGCTGGTAAGAAAGAGAGGTCCGTCCCGGGTGCCGAGTGATCGACCTCTTTCAACCCCCTTTGAGAAGGCTCTCAAGCTGAAACACGCATACAAAGGAAAAAACGCAACTCTGGACGAAAAAGAAATGCCGCGTTCCTTGCTTTGGATGAATGCCTCAGCCGCAGCACAGGCTTGCCTTCACACGCATCGATGATCTTCAATCCCAGTTCTCCGCTTCCCATCCATCGCTTCGGGGAATTACCCGCAGTACTAGGCCAGACGTCGTAAAGGATCCGCAGCGTCTCCTCAATGCTTGTCAATGCCCGGGAAGCGAAGTGCTGGACCTGACCTTGAGCAGGGGACCTGCAAATCTCCTGCGTCGTATCGGCCATCGCCCGTCATGCTGTGCAACTCTTGAACTCTTGAGCTCGATAAGCAGCCTGCCTACAGCTCGTATTCTTGCCGCTGCAGCTCTGACGACGTGATTGCTTGGTCTTGAGGTCAAAGTTGAGGAGCATCTCAGTGTCATGGTTTTGACTCAACGGGGCGTCGATCGTGAGACAAGGTGCCATCCCAACTCCGGCAGACGCGACCCAGAGACGCGGCATGGGCGCAAAGCAGACCTTGATTGGGAAATGCTTCCGTTCGGCAAACTAATTAAACTCTTGGATGGAGGATGCTGGCTTTCCTTGGTGTCGGAGATGCGCATCCACACTTTGGTGGTCCATCGCATCGCGTCCCAGCCTTATGGGTTTCATGTTACGTACTTGCGGGCGCATTTCCAGTTAAGCTGGAGGCTAGGAGTCATTGCCGAGGGAATGTTGGTTCATGGATGTGTCAATGTATTGTTTTTAGGTGGTTCTTGATGGTCAATGGGGGGGATCGTCTGGAGATCAAGTCCGCGTTGTTGACTCAGGACCCGGACCAGAACGGTCTCAACTGCTCGAACAAAGCGTGAGTCAAAACTCACGGGCGACAACTCGGCCGAGTGCCGCCATGACTGGTGACTGGTGACTGGTACCTTACATATCCAAGTGCCGTGACCATTAAGGAGTCCTGTTTTCGCCTGACACCTTGACCACAAGCCAACGATAAGAGTGGCCAGTTAGGCATAATTGAGAAAGATCGGTGAGCCCCAATCGTTACATCCCAGCTCATATGTCCTGCCATTTCATAGATACTCTCGTCACATGGTCATCGGCAATTCTTCATGGCGTATACTCGGCATAATGCGACTGGCATCCTGCCAGCCGACCCATGAAGACAAGACATCCCATCAACGAGTATGTCACGGCCCTCTGAACCGTTCCTTGAACACGTTTTCCCAGAAAGCCGGGTCCCTTCCAAAACACAGGATAGTTATCATGTGACCAAGCAACGACCATGATGGAAAACAGCATTCCCAATGTCCCCGTTACAGTATCCTTCTTGTCCTTGAGCAGACTCAGTATGTTGCGAAAGAAGATCTCCTTGTCGCCATCTGCTGGCTCTGTCCATTCTCGAACAACAAGGTCCGTGTCCTTCCCTGCCTTGCCTTGTTCCGTGTTGTCTGCGCGCATGTACTGGTGAACTGTATACCGGGGTATGGTGATGATACCATCGTCCTTGGTGAATACGGCTGTGCGATCACCGAGTGTCACAAGCGCATAGCCTTCCACGACTTGCAGATATTCGGTGTGTGTCTCATGCCAATGCAGACCCGTGCCGGGGATGCCATCACCCGTCCGGAAGACGATGGTGACGACGGCGGATGTGGATGATTTGGGGCCAAAGTCGATGCCTCCGAAAGGGATGAAGATGCTATCCCAATCACGTGTGGTCGTGCGAACCATGTTGAGTGGGTGGGTATGTGCGAAAACGTTGAAGGCTCAGGTTTATGATCGAGATTAGCTCGCTTTTCTTTTAAATTCGAGAATATTCTCCGATAAACAATCAAGGTCAAGAATGCGACTTTATAGATACATATACTCAAGCTAAGCGTCTTATTCCTTCAGCTTTGGCTGCTTCTCGGCGACTTTTATCGTGACGCGGGGTCCATTGTCCCGATTTCCGTGTCCGTGTCTTACCAGGACAGCAAAAACCCGAGTGCGAACGGAAACGAAGACGCCATGTAGAAGACTAATTCTCTGTTATTTTAAGCAATACTTACTGATGGTCAGACAATATTTTTTACTACTGACACTAGAGGGTGTGAGCCACCTTTCATCAACCCATTAGATGGCGGTTTCGTTCTTATACATGATCTTCAGCAGCATTCTCCCAAGAGAAGGAGATATCACATGCGCCGAGATTGAAGCTCATGAGATCTAACCTTGAGCCCTACATTCTCGCCCTTGATAGATTGCAGTGATTGAGGTTCACGCCCACGGCCAAAGCCTCGACATGGTGTGAGCAAGGTCTAGGGTATGTTACTTCGAATAAGCAATACAATACCCAAACGTCCGAAACTTCGAAACTCCTAAATAAGTAAAGATATTTAATAGTGATTATCCCTTATTTATATCTTTAAGTCATGCTGAAGTCCTGTTCTTTCCAATTAGAGAAGCGGCGTGTTGTTTTTATTCCTCCTCGTGGCATCACCTCAAGGGACGACGGTTGGACTGAGACATGGTTATGCCCATCTGATGGATTGGATATCAAGGCAAAGAGATCGTTGCTACATTAACATTGCTAAGACCTTAAATCTTCTGTAAAAAGTAGTGGAGAGGCGCGGTTGCATTGCTTTTATTTTGCTCAGAACTATACAGAAACTTGCTTTGGCGGCTCACCTGCAAATCATAAACACGGGGTTCGTCTGGACTATTGACTTATTTAACCCCCTACAAGGGCTAGGGAACAAATGGAGCACCCGAATAGCATATCCTCTTTCCTCTATGTAAATACTATCATTGTTAATAACAAGGCAATGTGTTTGGAATGTATAGGTAGTTGGTTACTCTCGAGAGGTTCGGTATCTGGAGAATCTTTGTATATTACCAGCCTGGGGGGTTTCTTGTATCCCCATCACGAACCTTATCCATTGCTGGGTAAATATCTAAGTGTCTACCGTGTTTTATCCCCCCCCCCCCCCCTGACCTTGAACGGGACAATAGTGGCTGGGGCGAGGTACTTAGCTCTGAACATACGAGGCGGCGATGGGAACATGACCTCTGATGAGGAGCTTGATGGTGGAATAGTATTGTCCTTGCATATCTATGGATATAAAGAACATCTGAAAAAGGGACCCCTGGGCTGGAAATAAAGCAGACTCTTTGTTTAACTTGGGCAGCCTGTCTTGAATTGTACCTTCTGGCAATAAAGCAACAGAGAAATCGTACTGCTGCCATCAAGAGGAACACTTTAACAGTAGAGAGAACTGGCTCGATAAATCAGCCTGACCGTGGATGATTATACTTCTTACGATGTAAATGTCTTCCATGATGCCTCCCACGGCGATGTGTCCCTGACTACGCCAATTGTTGTGATCAGGATGGCAACTCAGCAGTAATTTTAGTTAATGAAGTCTATGTTTGCAATTTTACACTTGCGGCTCGTTTTAAGGCCCTTAAAACTCTGAACCCCTTTGTCTCGCATGTTGAAAGGGCTTTCCTCTGTGTTGCCATCTAGTGTGTTCTCTGTGCATGTGGCCGAAGCTACGTGGTATTGAGTTTCGACGGCGTCATGGAATGATAATCGTGGCTTCTATTTGGGGACGTCATTGATGATAAGAAGAGTATGGGCGCTAGGACTTGCTGGAGATGAGACGGCTTGGGGCTCAAAAGACAGGTTATCCATGTGAGGCAAGGCTTATCAAACCCAGACCCATCTCCTGCAGTTCTGAACCTTTCCTATCATCTCTGTTGCTCCCATCTTCTCTCTCATTGTCCCTGCTGACGTTGTTGACATCCTCCTAATCCTTGTTCCATTCACGCAGTTCCTCATAATACTCGTCCAGCGCTCTCACGGCCACGTCAGAGTTGACTGAACGCACAGGTCCTTGAGTAATTACGAACGATTCAATGCGTGCAATAGTATAACAAGAGAAACATACCAAGTTCCATAGGCGTCCCTTTTAGGAATGCCTTCCAATCTTGGCCGGATTTCAGCTCTCGCTCAGCCAATACCTCACGCGCAGACTCTGGATCAGCGGTTGGTAAAAGCGGATTGGTGTTCTTGGTACTATATTGGCGGTTAGTAAGGGAGCCATTGATAGGAATATTTGCGCGTCGCTTCGCATCAGTCTCGTGGAAGTAATGAAGCGCTTACGCTTGATCGCGGGGGGGATGCTCTCTTCATCTTTTTAATTTTTAAGCCGGTACTGTGAGTAACAGTGATTGCAGGGCAAAGAGCTTTCGGTTCGGTGTGATATTCTAGGGAATCACAATGTGATGAGGATAAACTCGAGAGATATGTCGAGAAAAGTATCATCTCGGATGCCACGCGATAGCCAAGTGTTACCAACGGGTTCTCTATTATAGTTGTAGCCCAGCCCTTGATGGGTTAACTGAGCCAGAAGATCGCCAAGTGTTACATTCTATCTGAAAACGTCCTGGGTTTGTTTGCTGGCTGCGCCGACATAATTTCTGAGGGAGCTGAGCCCGCGATTGATGGACAGGTTAGGCAGGCAGTTGACGGATGGGTTTCCAGTTTGGGGTGATAGAATTCAAGTGCGGAGGAGTTGGCGAGATGTATGGGGGTTTCGAGGGGATGACAAAACGAGGTTCAACCCTGAACGAAAGTCAACATGAGAGAGCGACTGATTGTACTGTCTCTTCGGCAAAAGCTCGACGGCCGTTTTGAAGCTGATGGCGGAAAAGCTTGTATTTCTGAATATTAGAAGCGAGATTGGTTCAGTTGGAGGGGCAAGCAGAACGAGTTTGCGAAGGAAAACCTGCAATGAAACAGTTCGCTACTCAGCCTAGCTTGGGTTTATAAGAGGAGCTCGGGTGTTTAAATAATTAAGGGTGATTAGAAAAGCTAGTAGCCGGGAATGTATAGCTGTGCTGATACAGGCGTAATTCCTCACGGAGTCACCGTAAAGAGTCATCCAGAAAGGGGTGCAATATGCATGGCTTATACGGATGCTGCCTTTGTCTCTATATACTTCATGACTTGAATTAAAACACTAAGAGGGCCTCTATAGGACTCGTTTGGCTATTGGATATGGCCATTATAATATGTTAGATCAGTTATGTTCTATGTTTGGTTCTCGTGAGGCTGGCAAGGGATCTCAGAAAAGCTGGTAAAGTTGAAATTGTTAGAGAACTGGATGTTCCATGGTGGGTGAAGAAGTATATGGGCCAATAATGAACGAGATCTTAGCAGAAAGAAATCCGCTCAAGCTCCTGTGAGGGTAGTAATGAATGACAGGACTTGTCATTATAGGAACCATAGCTATCCTTGCTGTTTATGAGCCCCATGTTTGCAGTAATCACACCACTCCCTCATTGTTGACTCTCTAGTCTTTCCATATCAACCGTCTCGCCTCGAGTCAACATCTTTGCTTTTCTCCTGCGAGCGCAGCACCTCATGGTGCCTAGTATAGTGGTCGCGAACCAGAGGAGCATACTGATCAAGTTTATCCAAACCGCAGCCTTCATCCTGCTTTCTGATGGAACAAATTTGGCATTATCCAATGGCTTGCCGTCGCCTAGGAACTGAGACGCAAAGACACTGAATTGCGCCATCCAGAGGATCGACAACATCCCGTCCAGTACTGTCCAGCCGCAGCTTGTGGCCGTGAAGATGAGGTGTATGATGCAGACGATCATGGAGACGCCGGCGACGAATTCCGCAAAGACCCATTTGGAATCTGCTTTTGTGTGGTTCGAGGTTGCTTTCTGTAGGTCGAGTCCGTAAAGTATTGCGACGACGAGGGCGAAGAGACATTGGAGGGTTCGGAAGAGGGCGCGGGAGATGACGCCTGTCAAGCCCACATTCTCCCAGTAGCCGGTGATTTTTGGGGACGGCATCGATATTGAAAGAGCGTTTTCTGGAGATTGTACAGGGGAGGAAGACTGGCCGTTAGAAAGAAGAAGGAAACAAGTGGATGTGAGTTGAGAAGAAGGGTTTGCTGTCTGGCTTTGCTCCTCTGTCTACTCCCCGCTCCTTTTAATTCTAGCTCTCCACACCATTACGTCGACTGAAAGCCTTCTTTGGTCTCAAATGACAAGTTCCGCCAAGTCCAATCGGCACAGCCGGGCTCGTGAAGCCATTCTGTTCGTGGCAGGACCCGCAAGGCTATAACCAGCGGTGTCTGGTATGTTGCTTCGGGAACAGGGGTAACGACTCGGAATACGAAAACTCATTGAGATTTCATTGGAAGACACTACTCGTACGCACCCTAGTTCATTACGCGGCTCACGTCTCAGCCATGATTATTTCTATTGTTGGCTGGGAACTCAACACCATGAAAAGTGGACTTGTGGATAGAAGGGATGGTGTCTGACCAATGCTGGAATTTTCGCTTTCTTTCCGAGGCATCCATGCTTAGAGTCGAGCTAATTCGATCTAACAGGGGACCATGATTCAGGATCGTGCAATCGCTTCGGCCATTTCGGCGGTAGTGCCTATCCTGGTCGCACCCCTTGAGACCCTGCAATGTTTTTATATGACTGGAATGACGTCGGGTGGGAGAAGTTTATACCGAGGAAGCCAATCTGATCTGCTTTTCTGATTTCATCTTTGTACTCCGGACGCTTCACAGAGGGAGAAATGGCATCCACGAACGAGCCCAGCGAGACGAGAACAGCTGCAATTGATGCATCTACAAGAGGTAACAGAAAAGGAATGGAGTTTCGTGGTGCCCAGTACTTACTAGAGAATCACAGATGACGGCCGGATCGATATCGAGATACCCACGACGCTGAGCCGACGACTGTCCAAACTTCCCAATTTCGAGGAACTCGACACGACTCCCGGATTGGCTTCGCCCGCATACCAACAATATGAGAACCGAGATAATTCCGTCATCCCTCTCAACATTGTCATCCAAGTCATTGGAAGCCGTGGCGATGTCCAACCCTTTATTGCGCTGGCGCACGAGTTACAGAAACACGGTCATAGAATTCGACTGGCCACCCACGACGTATTCGAGACCTTTGTTCAGTCGTCCAATATCGAGTTCTACCCTGTCGGAGGCGATCCATCTCAGCTTATGGCATATATGGTCAAGAACCCAGGGCTCATCCCGAGCATCGACAGTCTTCGAGCCGGAGACATCAATACCAAGAGGAGGATGATTGCCCAGATGCTCGATGGGTTCTGGGACTCGTGCATAATGCCTGATCCCAAGACAGGCGACCCATTTGTGGCAGATGCTATTATTGCGAATCCACCTAGCTTTGCACATGTTCATTGCGCCGAGGCATTGGGTGTTCCTCTACACATGATGTTCACTATGCCTTGGACTAGTACAGCAGCTTTTCCTCACCCTTTGGCGAATATCAATGACCCGAGTACTGGCAAGGAACGTGAAGTTGCCAATTACTTGTCTTATAGTGTGGTGGAGTTTCTGACCTGGCAAGGGTAACTTACTCATCAACATTGCCCGGTTGGACTCAAGGACTGACAAGAGTCTAGGCTCGGGGACCTGGTCAATCACTGGCGAGAAGCCAAACTCGGCCTCGAGCATGTTCCCATGAACGAAGGTCCAAGACTTCTCAAGTCTCTGGAAGTGCCATTCACATACTGCTGGTCTCCAGCTCTGATTCCAAAACCGAGAGAATGGGGCCACAACATAAGTAGGTGCCATACAACTGGATGTACGATATAGGACTGCTCTTACAAACGATTCAGGTATCTCTGGATTCTTTTTCCGACAACCCCCTTCCTACGAACCCCCTGAAGATCTCGCAACTTTCCTCAAAGGCGGACCCAAGCCTATCTACGTCGGATTCGGAAGCATTGTTGTCGATGACCCAGCTCGCCTGATGATCATGGTCCTGAAAGCGATCAAAACAGCCGGAGTTCGAGCTATCATATCCCAGGGATGGAGTAAACTTGAGGGCGAGGATGACCCTAATATCTTTTACGTCGGTGATTGTCCCCACGAATACCTGTTTCAGCAGGTCTCTGCTGTTGTTCACCACGGCGGCGCTGGAACGGCGGCTTGCGGGTTATTTTATGGTATACCGACGGTGATCGTCCCGTTTTTTGGAGAGTAAGAAGCCATGTCTTTTTGACCCATAATCAATAACTGACATGACAACTATTGATAGTCAACCTTTCTGGGGTCAGATGGTAGCCAACGCCGGCGCTGGCCCACAACCAATCCCTTACTCATCCCTGACATCGAGGAATCTCACCGATGCTATAGTACATGCATTGACGCCAGAAGTTGCGATCGCGGCGCAGAAAATGTCTGAGAGTATGAAAGCAGAATCAGGAGTCCAGGCCGCGGTCCAGCATTTTCATGCTAATTTGCCTATTGAGCCACAGCGCTGTGATCTGTTCCCAGAGCTTCCGGCGTCTTGGTCTTACAAAGGAAAAAGACACCAAGTCGTGCTGTCGAAAAAGGCAGAGCGAATCTTGACTGGAGCAAACAAACTTGAGAGGAGCAAGTTGAAGTTGTAAGTAGGTCTTGCCTCCTATGTTAATGTTGCTGACACCTTGTTGAATAGTCACAAACCAAAGCCCATATTTATCGAAAGCAGACGTTGGGACCCGTTCACGGCCGTTGGATCAGCATCTATGGAGGTTGCTGCTTCGATGGCAGATGCGACAGCAGGAGTTTTCGTGAAACCCTATGAGACTATCAAGGAGCATCAAACGCGAACAAAAACATCACTAGAGAGCGGATCAAGTCAGGCGCGATCGCAAAGCGATTCCACAAGCGTCAGCGAATCCGGAGTGGCGAGGAGAGCGGTTGGAACTTCGACCAAGAGTCTGGGGAAACTAGCCGTTACATCGGCAAAAGGCATATTTGTCGACATTCCTATCGCGGTCACGGATGGACTGCGCGCTGTGCCGAATCTCTACGGGGAGGATGTGAGGGCCCGAGATCATATCACTGGCTTCAGGAGTGGTGCGATGGTTGCTGGTAAGAACTTTTATCACGGCATCTTTGAGGCCTTGACAGACATTGCCGTGTACACGTACCACGGGAAGCGTGAAGAAAATGCATTGGGGGCTGCAAAGGGCTTGGGAAAGGGCGCATTGAGCTTGGTCACCAAGACGACTGCTGCCACCATCGGGCTGGTTGCGTATCCAGCTCAGGGGATTCACCGAAGCATCAGAGCTGCTGTTGTGACGTCAACGCCCAAGGCTATCGAGGCGGCTATGCGCATCGAGGGAGATTGGCTACTCAAGAAGAAGCCAGTGTCTGAGGAGGAAACTCGTTGTGCAGTTGCGGACTTTGAGACGTTGCGGAACTCGAAACCCACCAAGGTTGTGTCAGGGTAAACAGGCACCTGTAGACTTTTCTTGTATAACATCTTTGTATTCGATAGATTTGTAATCTGTTTTATAGACCTTATATATACTTTAACTACATGCGAGCATGAATTTTCGATACCTTTCCCACTACGTTTGTCGGCCATTCTATAAAAGTAGACAACTCGTCACTGAGCATTGTCCTAATGGAGTCGACGAGATGCTCTGACCAGCCCTCTAGAAACCATGCCTCCTCAAGTATTGCTATTAGAGGGGCGTAATAGGCAAAGATGAGCAAGGCTGGTGGCTCCTGTCGTTTCAAAGCTGCGATGAATGTCTCCTGTAGACGATAGAGCCAGCCAAATATGAGCTGATTACTCGAAGGAACTTTGCACGCGCCCTTTTCGCTGCCGTAGTTGGCCTCGTATATCGAAGACAGAGATGAGAGAGCGTGATCGTAGATGGTCATGTTGATGCTCGGGTTGGTGGTCAACCACTGTCGTAATTTGGTAAAGGGTTCGCTCCAGTCAATGTGCGGATGCGCAGAGCTCTCGACCTCTTCTTCTGGCCCAGTGTCTGCAAGGGGTTCCAAGAGTCCTGTGAAGAGCGTGGCAGGATCTACAGTCTGTCTGATCAATCGAACGCCGTGTATCAATGGCAGTTGCTGAAGTGTGGCTTCGTCTCCAACCTTACAGACGAGCAGATCCTTGGGCGATGTCGGACCGGCAGCAAAGGCGCAGTAAGACACGACCGTTGCGGCGACGTACAGGGCACCGCAATTTTCCTCCGTGATGTTTGAAAGCGTCTCGTTGAGCTTCTTGAGGCCTACTTCCGAGTGTTGGGTGGCTATCGAGCGATGCCGAGCTCGACTATCGGACCCGGCGGGTTCTAAGTAGGCGAGGTGGAAACCAGCCAGGGCGTAGATGAGATGCAGCACGAAGTGATGAGAAAAGCCTATCCTGGGGACGTTGTTCCGCCAGAAGTGGCCTATACGGTCATTTGGTTTGGAGAGTGTCCCAGCGGTGTGATGGATAAAGTGAAGCATCAAATCAGCATCGACAACGTTTAGTGAGCAGGCTTCCGAGTCGGCCGGAGGGGAAGCCGAAGAAGTGGTTGAGGCGTTTGAAGTTGGCGATCCCGGGGCTGTTGCCTCTCTGAGAGCATTGCCGAGGGCAGCCCAGTCTTTGCGCGGACGACCCGGACCCCGATGAGGCAAACTCTTCTGGTTTGCCTCCAGCTCGTCGGAAAGGGCCTTTGGTATTGGGCCATAGGTGGGAGGAGAGTGAGGGTCGAAGCTACAGGGGACGTTGAAGCGCATGCAGTTGAAGCACATGGGCTTTGTCTCGTCGCACTGCATTGTTTAGTGACGGGGATAGGAACGATGAGATGTAAAGATTACCTTGACTTTGCGCTTCTTACAGTTGAGACAGCCATTTCGGGACTTGCGATGAGGTCGCCGGTGCTGACGGCTGAGTGCCGAGTTGGAGGTGGGCTGCATTGTCGCTTGCTTAGCGGCTGATGAACAAGGGCTATTGTGAGCAATGTCTTGGAGTAAGTTTGATGCATTCGAGATGTTAAGATGAAAGTAGATGAAAGAGCCATCGTTGATGAGCGTCGAGATGCTGTCAAATAGATAATGAGCCACAGTGACACGCACGCAATCGAGCATTGCATCTTGGCGACCGGAACTTGCGGAACAGGAAGCATCGGATCCATCTGACATGAGAAATTTCGTATTCCGGTAATACGAGAATTATGCAACCGCTCCCGAGGGCGCCGCCGTCGAATCGGAAGCCCTTGTTGACCTGAAGGATTCCCATCATTTAGCTTAAAATGCTTGTCTTGTCCTTATCGAGTGATTCTGTCCATATCCCGGGGCTTTTATCATCCGACGTGACAGGCCTGCGTGTTCGGCTCTGGGGTGTCATGGTTATCCGAGCGAAAATTATTTCATTGGTGTGCGATACGCGGGAGTACGGTCGGATATAGCTTAGCAAGCGATAAACGCCAAGACAATACGGTTGGGTCTTGGTGTCTCGTATTACAGATAACGTGGCAACAGGTATACGCGTTCTTCGGTTGTCAATGCAAGTCTCTTTTAGTAGATGTAACTATCAAAGGTGGCTCGCAGCAAGTAGCTTTATAAGCTTTTCTGAATATTTACAAGGCAGTATATTGAATAAGCAATCTGGGGAAGAAGAATCAATCATAGCTCATCTCCATCAAGATATAAAGAAAGAGAGAAAAGAGGTGCATGGTCAAGAGAAGCACAAGTAAGACAAAGAAAAGGACCTGAATAGGAACAAAAATAGGTTGGTCTCTGGGAGACGGCGAACCCACTAAAGAGCCTTCCCCCAAACATCCTCTCAATGCCCACGGCGCTTCTCCTTGCGCTTGGGCTCACATGACCCCTTGCATTGAGGGCATTCAAACTCGTCCTTGGAGGTATAGACGCGGACGAGGCATCGCGGGCATCGCCACCACTTGTCGGAATAGTATCGATCCTCGAGCCATTCTTTATTGACGACGATGCCACGCTTCTGGATATCCTCGCGATGGTATTCGCGCAGATGGTCGCGGAAGTGATCGCGGCGGGAGAAGGGCTCGTTGGAGCGTGTGCACCGTGGGTAGTCGCAATGGTATGCCTCCTTGGTTGAATCGGGATTATGGGCGTTTCTGTAGTGGCGCTGGAGATCGGCGGACCGCTTGAAGGGTTTGACATTACACCCGGGATAAAGGCAGTGATTACTGGTGCATGTTAGATTATAAAGTGAGAGGAATTGACGGGGCCTGCTGTACACTGAAGTGTATAGATTCGCGGGTTGACTCGACTCTGCCAAGATCTGGGATGAAGAATCCGGGTACGAATACGTGCTCGGCACTTCTGCAGATCGAGGTGTTTCTTCAGAGGGGTCCTTGTAGGTAGATGAGCTTGGCCACTGCGGTGTTTCCAAGGCAGAGGAAGAAGAATACTGGTACGAATAAGTGATTGTCTCCTCTGTGGGCCGAGTTGGTTCTACTTCTTCAATGACGACTTCATCATACACAGGCAACATATGTTGCTGGTAGGCAGAGGAATGCAGGTAGGGATCCATGTTGACTTAATGGCCAGGGGGTTGAATATTTTGCGATGTCTTCAGGAGGTAAAATGAAAGAATGGAGGATAAGCATGAGCAGAACTGGAGAGAAATGTGACGGGGATGCATCTTATGTGCAAACCATCCATTGTCTTATCTTTGTGCCCTTGGCATTACGGTTGTCACACAGCATCGACCACAAGACCTTTCACTTGAATCGGGTTGTCGTTGATTGGAGGTGGCTGCTTGCACATTGATATGACTGGCAAAGAGTCTTGACACTAAACCCGAAGGGTAACGACCAACAGTGTTGCCTGGCCACTGGGAGACGGACACGTCGTTTTGTACATTCAACGATATGTATTTCCTATTGGGCTGAGCTTGGAGGTGCGTGTGCTTATGCTCTCTGAGCATTGCTGGTGATGACTGGCCAGCCAGAGTTGGTGTTGATCCTTGGGGTGGTACGGATAACATACCCAGCGTGGATGCGTAAGGTACATTAGCGCTAGTGCCGCTATGATTTTCTATTTGGGCTTTGCTGTTATCATGTCTTTATACATCTATTCTTTGATGTTGTGACGGATATACCGCTTGAGAACCGTGATGAAACTCAACAACAACGCGTGGACAACGGGCTCGCAGAAACAAGTCGTATGGAGAACCCAATTTATATATGCCATAATTAATAATTGATTGTATAATACTGACAACAAATACTAATACAACATCTAATAACCTGCTCAGGTATGATAGATGGCCCAGTGAACAGGCTGTTGCTTCACATTGCCGCTGCAGTGCAAATCACCCGTAGCACCGATCTTGCCATCCTTGCTATACTTCTCAACGGACGTGTTGATGATGTCGATGAGGTCCTGTCCGCCAAACGCAAAATTCACGTTTCCATCAACCTTGGTAGCTTCGACTCCAAACGTACAGGTGCCGGCAGCCGCAATCTTGCGCTGGTTCTTGCCCACGACTTGCGTCGTCCACTTGGTGCCGCCGTCTCCTTCAATGTTCTTGATGATGGACTCGCAATCCTTCACCAATGGAGACTTGTCGCTCGTCTCGTTCACAAAGGTTGAATCTCCGCACTCGTTCTTGCCAGGGGGCATGTCGCACGGGTAGGAGGGGCTGGAGCCCTTGGAGGTCGTATCCCATGATTGAAATGCGCGCTCAGGGCTACATACAGGGAGACGCACGAGGCCTGGGGTCGTGATGTCGACATCAATAAGGTCCCGGAAGGTACTGTCATCGCTGCTAGGGTCCCAGTCGGTCTCGACGTTCTTTTTCCCATTCTTGTTGTAAGTGCGGACGGATCTAGGTAAACCATTCAGTTAGCCACTGCATTGCGGCAGGGGTAGAAATGGAAAGGAAAGAAAACCCTCGAGTTGCAAAATGACTCAGCTGTTGGAGAGCCTGCAAAACTGGCTTGCGAATGACTCACCCTTTGATCAGGTCCTCTTTTGTGATGCCTCCAAACAAAGTGCCGTCCAACGAGCCCAGGCCGGGCGGCGCACTGAACTTGTTGTTCTTACAAGTCCTCTCACAGTGGGTATGGATGTAGGAACAAGAGCATTCTTCAGAGTCACCCTTGGGATAGACCAAATAGTAACGTCTCCCTTCGTAGCACACGCTGGTGGCGTCCATGGTGTCCTCGTCGAGATAGTCTTTGACAGGGTATTCCTCGTTGCAGTTGTAACCTGAGTCGAGAACAAAAGCATACGTCTTGGAAAGTCGCCAGAGGGTAGGGATGTTGAGCCCGTAGAAGGACTTCTCAATGTTGGCTTGGAGATCCTCTTCCTGCTCTTGGAAGCTTTCCCCACTACCCAAGGTGGTCCCGAGCAGCTTCCCGTCAGAGATGAGGTTCCATAGTGCATCAATTGCCTTATCTGAACCGTCGAAAAGCCAGCGTAGTGACTTAACGTTGGCCTCGGACCAATATTTGATTGTCTGGCCCATATAACTGTTAAATGAGGCCTGCTTCTCCGGTGTCCATTTAGGACTGATGATTGCGTGAAAGGTTAGCATGTAACATGATTATGTCAGAATATGGGACAACTCACTCTTTAGATGACAGCAAATCCTTGACCAGAGTTGTACTCTGGCCAATCAGCGTCATGGTTGTATCCTTGATATTGTCGTGCGGCGTTGGCGGCAAAGTATGGGAGCCTCTTGAGGAACGAGTTGAAAAAGGGCCCAGCAGCGGTGGCGGTTCCGATAGTGACAAGATCGATTAGAACCAGAAGCCATGTGTTGTCCTCCTCCTCAGGGATTGGAGCAAACTTGTTCCCAAAGTCGTCGAGGGAGAAGCTGATGATAGTCGCTGCCTGAAACAGCGTACGATCAAAGGCCACAAACAACTCATGGAGATAGACAAACGAATCCCAGATCATCTCTGCAGCAGGTCCGGAATCTTCCGCGTCCATTCCATTTAAGCAGGTGCTTGGGTTGCTGCAGCCCCGCCCCGATTTCGATCCGCAGTCCACACCATTTCCAGTATTGAGAGTCTGGGCAACCGAATCTGAGAATTTGAGGCCACCGTCTTTGTCCGTGTCCCTGTAGATTCTGATGACATCTTTCCATGCATCATCAGCTTGCAGCCCTCTCCACCGCTCGAGTATGGTGTACTCCTTTGAGCGACTGACGAAAGGGTCTGTGCAGTAATAGTCTGTCCAGTTGCCGGTTTGAGTGAAATCTTCCTTGGGATTCTTCCCTTGGCTGACAGTTTCCTTGAACAGGGCCCAGCTCTTCGCGGGCTTGGGAACGTCGTGATATGTCTGCAAATCAACAGCCCAATCAGTAGTTCCGCCCATGCCCCATGACTTGTAGAGATTCTCTCGAACCTTCTTGGTGCTGCTGCTCATGTAGGAGACCCGTTCGGTGTCGTCGTAGACGAGAATGTCGCTGTTGCTGGTCGAGTCGACAAAATGCTTGACAACACGGCTTGTATCCTTGAGAATATCACCAATCTCAGCATCAGCATCGCCAACGAGTATTGAGTCTTAGTGAGGTATACCTGGGTGGTCAGGGCATGCTGTGGGTATAGAGATGCTTGGCATGGCATGTTGACTCCACCTTACGAGGCTGTTGGTGATGGATCATTTGACATGGTCATGGCTCAAGTTCATGCGGATTCGCTGGCGAAGAGGCCGAGGCTCATCTCGGTAATTATCAGATCAAGAAAAGTCCGGAGCAATTCGTGCCAGACAAGATGGTCAGAACATTGAGACGAAGCGAGCTTTGGAAAGCCCCCAGTTAAGGCGCTTGATTATATGACGAGTGTAGAAATGAAAAGTCAAATGGTTAAATAACTGTTGAGGCTATGAACTAGAGGGAGGAGGGCTGCATAAGATTACAGAATGAAGCCGAGAGCTCCCAACATGAATGCCAAACAAGTTGCCCCCCCTGGAACGATTCGCAGCGCTGCACTCTTTTTTTTAAAAGACAAACAATCAACCCTATCAGGAATGTTGGTAGCCCAACCCCCGCATACATCAGAAGTCATGGAGTCGGCAATGCTTGAGGCAGCTGCAGCACCTATCGTGACGGCGCAGCTATCTGCCTCGGTTGGCGAAGATGTAACCCACGGGCAGCGATCTTTTTCATACTCGCCGGTCGAGTCAAACGTGTTGTCTGTGCTTGCGATGTCGATGGCGATTCCAGCAGGGGCTGCGCAAGTCTTATTGCTGGTTGCAGCAACAAGGTCGATCTGCTTCGAGGGACCCTTTGTGGTGAAAATGATGGCAACATTGGTCACGTTGGTCCGATGGATGGTGTAAGGGTTGAAACCAAGGGACCCTTCGCCATCCTTAACACAATTTGTCCAGTAGACATAAAATCTCAGGCCCCATGTGCCCTCTAGGTTCAAGGGATACATCAGACTATGTTGAAAATAAGGGTCGCTGCTGGAGTGATTGATCAAAGGAGCTTCGCGCGGGCTGTCATAGATGGGACCGCTGGAATTGTTGTAATCCCAGATCTCAAAGGTGATCATAGGCCTGAGGAGTGGCACGAGCTCAATGTTTCGGTAGGAGAAAACGATGGGCATCAATGGTGACGGATTGTATGTCTCATTGCGCGGGAAGACCAAGTCGATTTCCACAAGACCAGTGGAATTATTTTGCGCCTCGGCAGCTCCGCTAGAGAACAGCAGGAACCAACACGCCAAGGAGGCGAGGTGGGGTAGGAGGAAAAGCATGTTGGGAATGAGGGTATTGAGAGAGTGCGCAGAAGCAGATTGCGGTCGAAGCTCTTGCAAGGACCTGAGCGGGTTCTTGTAGTGGAATTCATTTGAGTACCTGCATGCGCCGTGTTGCCGGCTTGGTAGCTGTTGGTTGACAGATGCTGGTCCTGTCCGTCACAGTAGCAGCGGGTCCTAGTAGGGATGCGATGTACCCCTGAAGCGAATGTCGCCACACGGATGTCCTGTAAAGGGACGGGAACCAGCTCTGCTCCGCTGCCAAGACCATTGTCACCGTCAACTCTACCGACCCTGATTCGTCCCGCAGTACGCGACGGAACATTAGCCTTAATTATGCCGGTCGGATCGATCCGGATGACAGTCTAACCCCCGCCAACAAGGATATATCGAGATACCCCAAGAGGAAGGTCTCACGATACTCCAGGCACACATTTCGAACAACCAACATCGTATGCTAAGTATGCTCGACAATCAAAGGTTTAGTTCACGCTCGCTACAAACCATAAGATGAAGGAAAAGTATAAGACTGAGCTGGCCAGACTGTTGAATCTATCTACTCCAACCCATCAAGCCATCGTCGGCATCCATTTCTCTTCCTTGATCTTTGCCATCTATCCTTCAAGCTAGCGAAATGCATCTTTCATGTCTTTTGGCCGTGGGGCTTCTTCCACAGTTGCCCTCCGCTCTCCATATCCCTTCACGTCGAGCTGTGGATTGCGGATTCGCAACCTCTGCCGACAGTGGTGCGACGTGCTCGAGTTTCGCCGACGAGTGGGGTCTGACTGTGGATGAGCTCAAGTCGTTGAACCCCGGTATCAGCTGCCCTGATATCGACACAGACGGGCTGTACTGCGTAGTCGGCACTGTCAACGATGATGAGCCTACAACCATCGTCCCTTCGAGCACGACGCGTGTATCTACACGGGTGTCTTCGTCCGGCACGACTACCCCGTCCATGCCCACTGCCACTGTGAAGCCCTCTCCTACTCAGGGTCCCGGGAATGGCATCGAAACCCCGAGCCCCATCTAGGAGGGCATGGTCTCTAACTGCAACAAGTTCCACCTGATCAGCCCTACAACCACCTGTGAAGGCGTCTTGAGCTACCACAAAATCTCCCTTGCAGACTTTTTCAAGTGGAATCCCGCCGTCGGCAAGGACTGCAGTGGACTGTGGAAGGGCACCAACGCTTGTGTCGGTGTCATTGGCTTCATCCCGACTCTGACGACCACCACCAAGCCCAAGCCTCCAGCAACCACTACTACCAAGGGCAACGGAATCTCGACGCCGACCCTTATCCAAGAGGGCATGGTGACCAACTGCAACAAGTTCCATCTGATCAGCCCCACAACCACTTGTCAGGGCGTCTTGAACTATCACAAGATCTCTCTAGCTGGTTTTGTCAAGTGGAATCCTGCGGTTGGCAAGGACTGCGGTGGACTGTGGGCGGGCACCAATGCCTGCGTTGGCGTGGTGGGAGACAAGCCTACGCCTACCACGACCGCTGGCAACGGCGTGACAACGCCTACACCAATTCAGGCAGGGATGGTCAAGAACTGCATCAAGTTTCATTACATCAGTCCCACGACCACATGCCAAGGTGTTTTGAATTACAATAAGATCACAATGGAGCAGTTTGCAAAGTGGAATCCCGCCGTAGGTAAAGATTGCAGTGGGCTTTGGAAGGAGACGCATGCTTGTGTTGCTGTTTCTTAAGCTTGAGCTTGTTGAGCTTGGTGATATCATGTAGATCTAACTTTAATCTATGAGAAGGCATTTGCCTAGCCGGACCTTTATTTCGCCTATCTTGGTATATGTCACGATGCGAGGTTTTGTGAATAATTTTCTGCTTCTCTGTTGAGGTGATAAGCATAATCTTGCAAGAGGGGACCCTCTATAATTTCTCGACGCTTTCAACTGATGGCGCTGTAAAGGCGAATTTTCGACTTGAACGGGCCATAAGCACTACATTAGCACGTTAACATTGGGATATGGCGATATGATGTGTTGGTAATGTCTTCTTTATCACAGTTGAAGCCTAGCCCTTGATGGGTTAACTGAGCCCGAAGATCGTGAAGAAACAGTGTTCGCTGAGGCAGCGCGTTGAGTGCGGAAGTATACGTAGAGCTTATTTGATATCGACTCTTGCGTTGAAACTCATTGGGATTGATGGCTTAGATATGTGTAAAATGTATTTATCTGACGGGCTTGCCTTAACCTACCTTGGGGTCTGCTGTGAGGTTAAATCATTTCTCAATGTTATTATTTAGATATATTATTCCAAGATAGGTATTTGGCTTATACTTTTGTTATAGTTAAAGCCTGTGCCTTAATTGGACCACCGAGCTAGAAGACCGAATAGGTGACAGGATTCTTGCTCAAGCCTTTACTAGCAAGACCATTTGCCTTGTACAGTATAGTATTACAAAGGCAGCTATTGATGTTTCTTGGAGATCTCCTAAGTGGGAGAGACTAATGCTGGACAAGGCTGACAGAGCTTCCCAATATTCACAATCTCTATATCATAAAGCTTCGCATGAAACTAGCCAAGTCGAAGGGCTCTTTTAGGGAGGATGAAGATTACACTCAGCTATGAGAAACTTGACCGGGGTGGTGTTTTCGACAGAAGTGACGCCAAATTCTAACAAATTGGCTCGAAAGACGTAGAATGGCAGACGATTCTGAACGTATAATAGATCAGAAAGAGTTCGAAGAGTAAGAGGAGCAACAAGTGTTCAGAATTGAGCATACGAATGTGGCGATCGCAAGGTCTTCGGCCAGGAAAACGGCTCCAGAAGGCTCTCTTGCCCCGCAAACGGGCAGCATCAAGTCCCCGACCCGAGACGATCAAGTTACAGGCAGCGGGTACTTGCATATGCACGGCGGGAAGCCGGCATATAACTGAAACTATATCAAGGTTTATAGACAGGGAGGGACGAGGTAAACCATGGACTTGATTCGTATTGACGCGGCTGGTTGCGGGTACGGGACATCTGCCGAATGCATGCTTCCTATTCTATACACGACAAGATCAAGAAGATGCAGAAATGATTCGATATATAAACATGTGAAACAAAATAGCTATCGGAGTCTCGGGGCGTAAGTGTCGGTAATGCGAATCAAAATGGGGTAGATGACGGGTTGATTGCCGAAAGATCTGGCTTCCGAGACGGGCAGTGCAGATCCGAGGAATATATAAATGCCTTTTTATCGTTGTTTTGTTGCTTTTTATATCCTCGCTCATGCTCATATCCCTCCTACTATCACGATTCACTACACCAGAATGCCTGCCCTTTCTCACTACTTTGAACGAATGGACAATGTTCCGCCCCTAGGAATAGCAATTTTGGCTGCTTCTCTGGCCGTATGGTACTTTCACATTGGGACTAAACGCAATACTGACACATCTACCTAGGTTTTGTATTTCTTTGCAAGTGGAATCTACTACGCCTTCTTCCACCCTCTTGCAAAAGTACCAGGCCCGCGGCTTTACTCCTTTACTCAGTTGCCTTTTTTCTACTACTGGATTCAGGGCAACTGGGAGAGAAGACTGAAAGAACTTCATGACAAATACGGACCCGTCGTGCGATTCACCCACAAGGATGTGTCCTTCATCACGGCAGATGCCATGAAGAAGATCTACGGTCACAAAACCAGCATGGCGCAGACGTTTGAGAAAGATGCACTCTTCTACAAGCCTGTTCGCGACCAGACGGACATTATAAATGCCAACACTGAAGATCATCGTCGGTTCCGCCGACTTCTCGCCCATGCTTTCTCTGATCGGGCTTTGCGCGGACAAGAAGAGATCATGCAACACTATGTTGACAAGTTCATCTTGCGCCTCACCGAGCTTGCACACCAAGATACAGGCATTGACGTTGTTCGATGGTTCAACTTTACCACCTTTGACATCATTGGTGATCTGGCGTTTGGTCAGTCCTTCGGTTGTCTCGACAGCGGCGGATACCACCCATGGGTAGCCATGATCTTTTCGTCTGTCAAGACAGGGCCGCTACGAGCCGCCATGCAACGTCTTGGACTCGGCAAGTTTGTTTCACTCTTGATGCCGGCTCACCTGAAGCGCAGCCTGGAAGAACACTTTCAACTGTCCAAGTCAACTGCGATGAAGCGGATTGAGAGCCGTGATACGGAGCGTGAGGATTTCATGTCGTATATTCTCCGTCATAACGATGAAAAGGGCATGACTCGGTCTGAAATTGCCGAGAATGCCAAGATCCTCATCATTGCGGGGAGCGAGACGACTGCGACGCTGCTCAGTGGGGTGACCTTTCAGCTCTTGACCAACCGGGACAAGTATGAGAAATTGGTTAAAGAGATTCGCACTTCATTTACGAACGAGCAAGAGATCACCATCGCTAGGGTCAATCAACTTCATTACTTGATCGCGGCTTTTAGTGAAGGGTCACGCATGTGTAAGTTGACCAACTGTCTTAAAAAGACCTTGCTGATGAGGAAACAGATCCACCCGTGCCTATTGGCCTCCCCAGGGAGACACCCAAAGGTGGAGAGGAAATCGAGGGCTATCAGATCCCTGAAGATGTGAGTGGATACGCAAGTACTTTTTAACCATCCCTGACTCGAGTGATAGGTCACAGTGTCAGTCTCGCATTGGTCAGCCTACCAGAGCGAGATCAATTTCCGTGACCCCAAGATGTTTATTCCTGAACGCTGGCTCGGCGACCCTCGATATGACGGTGATGCAAAGGAAGTGTTGCAGCCCTTTTCTATTGGCCCGCGCAATTGTCTTGGGAAAAAGCGAGTATTCATGTCTCCGAAACCGCGCATTGAGAACCAGTCACTAACATTGGTCCGTCTTCAGTCTCGCTTATGCTGAAATGAGGCTTATCCTTGCACACCTGTTGTGGAAGTTTGACCTCGAATTGGTTTCGGAGAGTAAGAACTGGAATGATCAAAAGGTTTTTAATCTTTGGGAAAAGGGTGACCTGAAGGTGAAGTTGACCCCAGTGGGGGAAATAGGACGGGATTAGTGGTGTGATTGCTTGGGCCCTGCTCAGAGAGATTGAAGCCCTGTTGCCGATATACATTCTAGCAGTCCGGTAAAGGCCGGAACCCATGTATCATTAGTCCAGTCGACTCGTCTAAAAAGCATCCTACGAGGCCGCAGTCTTTAGAGGGCATCTTGAGAGAGGTGAAAGGAAGCGAGAAGGAGGTGGCAGCGGAGGACGAGTCTTCAGAAGTGGCCACACAGCCTCCCTCGACATTGTGTAGCTCTACTAAGGAAAGGGTTCAACTAGAAAGGGCAACAACGGGCAAATGGTTCCAATATATATATACGAGAGCACATCAGGCCCTGGTTCGCGTCGTACTCACTGGTGAATCAATCCTTAATTCTGATTTTGGCATCATCAACCCGGGAGGGTTACTCCTCACAGACTTAAGTAGACTCTAGCTAGCTAATTACAAACCTGAGATGAAGAATAATTGCTGTCGCAAAAAAGGGAAATCCACCAAGGCTGTTTTAGCTTCTCCCACCCCTTGTTGATCGATGCTCGGATATGGGCTCGATGGTCTGCTCGTCATGTGATCTTTTGGAACATCCTGGACGCTGGTTTTTTCTCCGCGGTGAGAAATCCAACCCGAGAATGTGGTAGTAAGGATTCTGCGAACCTCGGGGTTGGCTTACTGTGGTAGCGTCCCCGACAAAGTGGACAGGGAAACGGCGCACACCGGCTTGGCTGACTGCTGGGCACTCGGCTTCCGCGGCATCCATAAGTTAGGAGTTTCACCCATTGTCTCCGCTGTAGCCTCGACTGTAGAAGATTTTAGAGTCTTCAAAGTACTCCAGCAGATTAATTCCTATCAACAATCATCATGTAAGTGGAGTTCCACTGTGCTTCGTTGTTCATGACTAACGAGCTCGACCGCGAATTCCTCACAAAGCTAACATCCCATGAAAAACTTGCGGCTCGAAGGAAGCACGTCTGACATTCCAGTTTTTCAACCCCCACAGTACTAGGTTAAGGTGTTACCCCATATGGCAGGTGGTATTCTGATGACTCGGGCCCAGGCTTCTATATCCACTCGAAACGAGATTTACTGTACACTTTTGCAAATGACACCACTGATAAAGAATGTCAATAGGTCTGAAACTCGAATCATGTTATCATGTCAAAAAGTCTAGACAAATTTCGTCATTTTTCCTTGCGAGAACGATTCGGCTTTGCCTTGCGCGTCTACATCTCCCGAACTCCTATCCATGATGAGATGAAAATGTCAGCGAGTGCCAAGACACTATGCTGGATCCTGCGATTGCGCCATCGCAGGTCTGCGGTGAGCAATTCGTCTTACTAGGTACCACAGGCGATCTTTTATATCTTCTTCCTTCCTTTCCTTCTGGAACACAATTTAAGCTTATTATGCTACATGCATGAGCCCAGATTCGTGCAGACTTCCTCCATTGGGTTACCTTTCCTCTTCTTATTTTCCTCAAGAACACATCGTATTCTTAGCCATCGAGAGTAACCATGTCGTTCCGAAGGAGTGTTTTGGCCCAGATGATCATCTGCGGTATCATTGCGCTGCTGGGTCCTGGATTATGGGTAAACAAGCTGCTTTTTCTGTTGTTGGGTACATTTCGCTAACATTCTCCAGAACGCAAACAACTCGCTGGGCGCAGGCGGTGCGCTTGAGCCATACCTAGTATGTGTATAATATTGTTTTATGTGATAATAACTGACATTTCGTGGGTCAATGCTGGAAACTCGCTGGTCTTTGGACTGATGGGCTTGTTCTGTATTCTCTCACCTATTTTCGTCAACTGGATTGGGGTCAAGAATACTTTGATTGCTGGTACTCTGGGCTGGTCCGTCTACAGCGCGGCTCTTTATCAGAACAATCGCTTTGGCACTGAGTACGTTCCCTCCTGCACCATTCATCCATACTCGCATAGCTAACTTATTTATCAAGGTGGTTCGTTATTTTCGGTGCCGCCATTTGTGGTGTCAGCGCAGGCCTGTACTGGGCTGCGGAGGGCGCCATCATCCTCTCATATCCTGAGCATGCAAAGCGAGGACGCTATCTCGCTCTTTGGCTTGGCTTCAAGAACAGTGGACAGCTTATTGGTGGCGCGATCAATCTCGGCCTCAATGCCAATCGCTCAACAGGCGGCAAAGTGTCCTATGTGACTATCCTTGTCTTTGTCTGCCTGCAAGTCCTCTCTTTCCCCGTGGCATTTTTGCTTGCTCCCCCGGATAAGACGCAGCGACCGGATGGCACGCATATTATTGTCGAGGCCAAGACCCCAGCCAGGGAGCAGCTGCGAATGCTGTGGAAGACAGTCACGACACGAAAAATTGGCCTCTTGCTGCCGATTTTCTTTTCCAGTTGGTTCTACTGGGTAGGAATTCGTCCATAAATAACCAATAGTGTTGATGGTGCTGATGACTTGTAGGGCTATGCGTCAACATACCTGACCTTGTACTTTACTGTCCGAGCTCGAGCTCTGGCCTCGTTCTTGTCTGCCATCACTGGTACCCTTGCATGCATCCTCTTCGGCATTTTTCTTGACTCTAGCAAGATTACGGTCAAGGTAGATCAAAACTTTACCCTTCTTTACTATTACGACATCTAACCTTCTCAGTCCCGTATCCGCTACGGTTTCATCTTCTCCGCTGGCCTTTTCACTTCTCTTTGGATCTGGGTGCTCATCGTCCAGCACGGCTTTGAACAAAAGCGCCCTGACTACCTCGACTGGACCTCGCCAGGATTCGGTCGGGCATTTGGAATCTACATTATGCTGCAGACGAGCGGAAACATGGTGCAGAACTACCTGTACTTCCTTATTGGTACGATCGGTGATGGCACACTGGAGCTGAGCCGGTCGACGGGCTTGTTGCGCGGTGTCGAGAGTTGGGGACAGTGCGCAGCATTTGGTATTAACAGCAGGTAAGTCAATCTACTGAAGGAAATCTGAGCGTTACTAACTTAGGTAGCAAATTCTCGCCTTTTTACACAACAGTTATCAACGTTGTCTTCTGGACGGCCAGCTTGTTTCCGGCTGTTTTAACCATCTGGAAGGTTGAGGACCGTGTCAGTTACGAGAGCGAGGCCGACGGCTTACCAGAGCATGGAGCTGAGAAAGGCGATGCTACAGAGGAATCTGCGAATAAGGCAACCGTTTGATACATGTCGCTGAGAAAAGTGTTGGTCAATTTATAGTAAGATGTGCCAACGAGTAGCTATAGCCTAGTTTAACTGAGTTCGGAACCTGCTTGGGAATAAGGAATCTAAGCTGGAAATACAATGTGTTTCCTCTTTCTCATCAATTTCTACTTAATGTCTGTACCTTCTATAATCCCTTTAGCACCACACCGGGCTCTTCCTGTTGGTCGTGCATTTTAAGTTAAGGTTAGCCTGTACTGTAATATATTAGCTGCGGAAGTTAGAGTGACAAGGGGCATGTGCCTAGTCGATGATCGCAAGGCAACCCGGGCCACTATTAATCCGATATTACGTTTCAGCTCCAGGCTACAACCAACAACCAACCTCGTCTTACTTTTCATGGTCATTCCACATCACACCTCATTTCCGGGATGTTTCCAGCAAGCCTTTGATCGGGATAATGTCGAGTCTTTTGGTGAATTTGACCTCTTTGTTACAGAATGCGGGGCATCATGTCGTTGCCCTTCTCTCTCGCCTCTACGAGCTCCTACCGTCTTGGATCAGCCGAGGTTCCTATAACGAACAACAGTTGTCAATCATAGCGACCACAACTATTCAACTCCTTCAAGATGGACGCTGGGGCTACTTGCGTAACCAGTTTGCTCTGCCTTTGAGGTTTTTCCTCACTGAGACTTTACTGGAAAAGGGCTGGCAGATGATTACCGCAACCACGGGGCCGATTCAACGGATTGGGCAGCCGGTTATCTCTGGTGGCTGGTTTCTCTCCGCCAAGGTACCAGTTCATTTCTCCAGAGCAAATCTGGCCTTGATTATCCAGATGCGATCCTCGGGGAAACTTATAGGCCTTCGCGTGAGCCCGCTTTTTGCTGCTGGGCTGGGTCAAGACTGGAAGCCTCCTCCCTACGCTGAGCTTGGTGCTGAGCGGGAGGTAGAACTTAAGCTTGGATTAAAACTGGAAGTGCCAGGGATGCTTTGTCTTCCAAAGGAACCGGGCGTTTTCCCTTGCGTCATCTTTCTGTCTGGTTCTGGGCCTTGCGACATGGACTCGACCGTTGGCTCGGTGAAGCCTCTCAAAGATCTTGCTCTTGGCCTTGCACAACATGGCATTGCTTCTATCCGCTTTGATAAAGTGACCCTCAAGCATGCGCAAAAGTTCAAAAATAGTACAACCATCACAGTCGGCGATGAGTACCTTGATCAGGCCAACAATGCCATCGCACATGCAAAGCAGCACTCCGAGATTGACCCTGACCGGATCTTCATTATCGGACATAGCCTCGGTGCGACTGTTGCCCCTTACCTGGCTCAAACCGACGAACGGGTACGCGGAGTTGTCTTACTTGCTGCACCGAGTCAGCCTTTGCACAGGGCTTACGTTCGGCAACTCCGTTACTTTGCCTCGTTGGATAGTGAGCCAGTGGAAGCCATGCAGGAGCTCATTGCGGAGGCAGAACAAAAAGCCGATGCAGCAGATTCCGGTGCTACTGTAGCGAAAGACCTTCCATTCAACCTCCCCGCTTCTTACTGGAACAGCGTCCGTGAACTCGATCCTGTGGGTACCGCGCAGAGGTTGGAGAAGCCGATGCTATTGCTTCAAGGTTCGCGCGATTATCAAGTCACGGTAGAGGATGATTGGGTTGAATGGGAGCGTGCACTTGGCAACAAGAACAATGCTCGTTTGCGGGCTTATGAGGGACTTGATCATTGTTTCATCAAAGGAGAAGAAAAATCTACGCCAGCTGATTATGATGTACCGGGAAATGTGGAACTAGAAGTTGTTCGTGACATCAGTCGTTGGATTTTGGACACGGAGACAGGTGGAAGTTCTAGTGGTAAGTAAGAACGAGTGTTGATTTTACTAGGTATATAGCAATACTGTCACGATCCAAGTATCTCAACCTAGCCTCCATTCTTCTCTTTAACGACCAAAAAAGGCGAAACCCGAAGATATCGCCCAACTCTTAAACGACAACGTCAGGGTTTGCGACGGCTTCATCATACAACTCGGCCGGAGTCCTGAACTTCATGCCCTTGAAAAACTTCTCCCGGTGTCGCTCTACCTTGCCGTCTGGAAAAGCCAAAGCGTCGCTATGCCCCATCACCTCGTACATGGACGCGGCCACCTCGGCCTTGCTCTTTTTGGCGATGAACTGCTTGATACTCTGGGCCAGAGATTTCTTCTGAAGCGTGTATTCGGGCTCTCGAGCTTTGACAAACTCCCAGAGCTCTCGCCAGGTCATTTGTTGGCCCGAGACACAGGTGAACTCCTCCCAGCTGCTGGGATCATGGTTTAGAAGCACACCAACAGCATGGGTTGTGTCCCTGGCCGATGTAAAATCGACCTTCTGGGCGCCATTTCCGTAGAGGGTGAAGACCTTGGTTTCGTAGTTTTGAACCCATCGTTCGCCAAAATCGGCGAGGTGTCGTTGGTTGGAAGGGAGAATATAATCGACCATCCATCCCTGGCAAAAGAAAGTCCAGTAGACATCCTTCTGCGCCCGGAGGGCTTCGAGGATGGGTAGTAGATCTTCACCCGCATAAAGCGGCTGGTCATTGACCTCCTCATAGTTTCCGGCCCAAGCAGAGGGGAGGAACCGCTTGCACTTTGGAGATTCCTTACAAGCCTGCAGAATCGCCAGGTGGATGGAGGCAAACTCGGGGGCGTGAATAGTGATTGCGGAAACGACAGCGTCGCAATCAGCAAGATGCTTCTTGAGGTCAGAAACGGAGTAATCAGTCACTCGCTGCTCGACCGTCGTGATGTGCGGCTTGAGGCTGCGAGTGAGGGCGACAACGTCGTGTCCTTCCTTGGGGAGCTCTTCCAGGAGATACTTGGAGACGTCTCCGAGTCCAGCGATTGCGACCTTCATGGCGAGAACTTGAAAGAGACGAGGAAAAAAGGAGTAGTTGGATGGGATTGAGAGTTGGCGGTGATGATGCAAAACTTGGTGTTGGCTTGGGTGATGATGGTAGATATCGAGGTTGACGTGGGAGAGAAGGTAGATTTTATAGGAATTTTGAGAAGAGAAAAGAACCACAAAAAAGGGGCAAAGAAATGCATCAGATCACGATTAGAAATCAAAAAGCGCAAAACTCTGAATCGATTGATGTCGGCAGCATTGTTGAGCCGACTTTTTGTTGGTGCGATCGGGGAGCCTTCGATCTCAGGCTCCCCTATGTAAACCAGCAACTGCCGGGACGGAGTTGGTAATATGGGGTCAGTATTTTCAGTAAAATGGAGTGTATGATAGGTAACTATGTGTCTTTTTTGGCCCATATTTTGCGAAAATAATCAAAAATTTCCCTTTCTTCCTAAAAGCCAACTTGTGTCGCTGTCTATCGAGATTTCTCAACTGTTCTTTCGTGGTGTTGAGAGGTTGTCGGACCCATGATTCTGTGAAACCTCCGTCCCCACTTCAGAAGCTTTATCCTGATGGTGTATCGGCTATGCTCCTCAGGGTCCCTTGTCGGCAGATTGTCTCAAATCGGTCATGGATAGTGAGTCATTTGCTTCTTCTGGATTAGCGAGTCGGGTCACCAACCTCTCGAAATACACCTTGGTCCCCTTCTCTCGTGGTTTGCTGGACGCTACTGGTTCAGAATGGAGGCTGTCGTGGCTCTCGGGATCACATTGCTGTTTGACAAAAGCAGCTCCTACAGCGAATACGTATATCACATTTATCTCTCTTCAGCTGCTACGGTTGAAATAAAAGCAATCTCAATTACATTCGAAATGATGCCTTCCAGCTCTGTGTTGTTTTTATTTACAGTCAAACCGACTTGGTAGAGACTGCCATCAGCTTCGTGGTCCACAAAGACGATTGAGCAGGCTTCTGTTTGCCCCCCTATCAGACGGCAGTAGGCATTGACCTAGTGACAGGCTCTAGGATGGTTTTTGTGGCGTCAGAAACAGCTCGGAATGTAGTAGAGGGATATGTGCGGCATTCGGTCACGGACTTGCTCGGACTTCCGGTTGTGCGAGAATGCCGAGACTGACGATCTTGAAGCATATCAACGAATCGTGTAAATCAATCTCTCTGGGAAGACCCTGAAGCGATCGGAACAGCTTGTCTGGTTTGGGCTGTCGCATTTCCGAGTTTGACGAGACTCGTGATATAAAAAGAACCAACTTCTTCATGCCTAAGCCGAGTACAACCAAAAGCCCTTCAATTCAAGCCTTGGTACTCGGAATGATCAACATGGCCGCAAAATTCAGTCTTTCAAACCCAACCAGGCCCATCCGTGTTGGAGTCGTCTTGATGAATGGGTTAGTACTTCTCCTTTGTCATTAAATGTTCACTTTGAGTCAAAGTCTGCTTACTTACTGACGAACCTTTAGAGTGACTGAGCTTCTTGACATTGCACCTGTTGGCATGCTCCATGGATTAAGCAAAGAATTTGTGGAAAGCTTCCCAGATGAGTTGCTGGCTCCAAGCCTTAAGGCTCAAGCAGTCGATTTCAAATTTCATTGGGTCTCAGAATTCGGCGAGGCAGCTCATAGTCGCCTCTCAGGCGGCATGTCAATCTTGCCGATGGTAAGTTCATACGAAATCACAAAAGCCAATGGTGCCCACTGATGACATGATGTAGGACTCGTTTCAGTCATGTCCACCTTTGGATATTATCCTTATTGGCGCCCACAACTTTGGGTACACACCCAACACTGCGGAGCTCGCCTTCATTCGCAAATGCTGGGACGAGTGTTCTGCCTTCCTGACCGTCTGTGGAGGTGTCCAGGTACCCTTGCTTGCCGGGCTACTCGAGGGCAAAACAGCGACGGGTCCACGCTCCATGCTGGGCATGTTGCGCCGGGAGGCCCCTGGAACCAATTGGGTCGAGAGGCGTTGGGCAAGGGATGGCAGGCTCTGGACAAGCGGGGCACTGTTGAATGGGACCGATCTTTTGAATGCGTTTGCACATGAGTATTGGGGAAGGGGTGATGTTGGCTCTCTGGTTGGTGTTTTGTCAAGGATGGGCGCATGGCCGAGCAGGGAGGTTGAATACCAGGATGTGATGTGGAAGGTATGAAATTCTTGCCTGTCAGATGAGGCAACCTGCGACCGACTTCTGGTGAGTAGCCTGTCACTTGTCTGAATATCACTGGGATATTTCTGTGTATTAAAACCAACCTCAAGGCTTTTGGATTGTTCGTACTTTGTACTGAATTCTCCTTCATAGCCCCCTAACTATCACTGAACAGCCTCTACTCAAAGAAAATTACAAGATGGACACTTGTCATTGGCAAAACTAACTAAACCTTGTTGATGAAAAACAACCCATAAGAGGTTAGAACCCATTTGTGATGAGTTCCGCATCGTAATACGTGCAAATCTCATTAACGGCCTTGGACTCAACACTTTGCCCGAAGATAGCCTCCCCTGCATCAAAAAGCCTCAGATCATTCGTTCCCGTGCCGACTGCAGCCCACCCCGGACCCAATTCTGGAGACTTGGCAAAATCTCCCCAAGCTTGCTGCATCGTTCTACTGAGCCGCCTTTGTTCTGCAGTGGTCCGATTATCTTCTTTGTACGTTCCAAAAACAAGAGGAATCTCGGATGTGTGCCATACTCCTGCCCCGGGAAAGGGCTGGTTGTTGGGAAAGCTGGCATTGAAGTAGTATCGCCAGACCTGTTGCCTAGCACTGGCTGCAGTACGTGCAATCATAGACGTAGTGCATGTGTATGTGTAGTCGGTGGTGATAAGGGACTTCAGCTCATAGTCGGTGGCGTCAGATGGGTATGCTGAACGAGCCAGACGTTTGGAAGCCGTGTCGTTTCCGAATATGCCATCGAGCAGCAGTTCCGGAGGGGGCATGACAGATGCCAGGACGGATCCTTCATCAGCGTTGGTTCCAATCAGAATGGGAACCTGGGCAGTTAAGTTTTGGTTGATAGCATCAAGAAAAACTGGGCCGTTTGTGGAGTTGTCGAAGATTGGGCTGAACGCAAGCCCACGATTCTTCAGCACTTTTCGGATGGAATCGACTTCAGCATTCGTGACACATTCGAGGTCTGAGGAAGTCGTGCTGGATTTGTTGCAGTTCAACTCTTCTAACAATATGTCCCACGACTTTTCGTTATCGGCTTGGGGTCCAAAGGCCTGACTCTGCAGAATGGCGGCACGGAACTGAGGAGGAGATGGGGGGTTGATGAGCAACTGCTTGACTGACCAACCACCAGCCGACTCGCCAAATATGGTGACTTTTGATGGGTCACCACCGAAAGCTCGAATGTTCTTGTTGACCCAGGAAAGTGCTTTTCGCTGATCCATGAGCCCAATGTTTCGCTGCTCTAGTGGAATTGCGGAAGATCCCGGGAAGCCAAAGACTAGAAAACACTATCAGCCTGACCTTCTCCCTTGATACATGGAGAATCACTCACCGTTCATTCTGTAATTAATGGTAACAACCACGACACCTTGGTTAGCGGCAAATGAGGAACCGTCAAAATCTGGGACGCGGGCCGACCCGAGCGAGAAGCTGCCCCCGTGAATCCAAAAGAGCACTGGCAAGCCCTCAGAAGGAACGTTTGAAGGAGTAAAGACGTTGAGATACAGGCAATCTTCGCTTTCTGGAAGTGGAGGGGTGTTGAATATGGCCCGAAACTCATCACCTATCAACATGTCAACACTTCATGTTCCAAAGGTGATATGTCACCTGTGAGAAACAATAATCACCTGGGAAATGCTGGATACACGAGGGGCGGAAATAGCTTGCATCCCAGGAAGAGCTCCAGGGGGCAGGATCCTCTGGGGGTGAGAAGCGCTTGGGTGGAGACTCGGCAAAAGGAACGCCTAGGTACTGGTGAACCGTAAGATGGGGAGCCGATGGGACTTGGCTGGCTTTCCCCATCACTATGCCATCGCTGAGGGTGACGATGGGGCGTTGGCGGTCCTGAGTTCCGCATGGATAGGCATAGCTAAGTGGCAGGCCCAGACAGAGGGCTGAAAGGAGGGATAGAAACATTGCTTCGGAGAAAGAGAGATGCTTGATCTGGGACTTTGAAATGGGGGAGAAGAGTTAGCTAGCTTCTTAAATAAATCATGCTCTTGCATTCCCCCAAGAGACTCCCTTGCACTGCCGGACCCCGAAGAATTCACAATCCGAAAACTTTAATTTCCGATCTCCCCTTTGCTCGAAGGCGAAAAACATGTGCCGAGATACTTCTGAGAGACATGTAGAAAGGGATGAGCGTGAAGTCGGGCCTACGGGGAATTTGCTCATTTTCGAGAGCAGGTATTAGGGGCTGGGCTTTCTCGTAAATGAACCTTGGAGACCCACAAGGTGCTTTTGATGCAAATATTTGCACTGGAGTGATTGACCAATGATGGCTCAGCTATCAAAAAGATCTGCCCAGTGCCGAGGGCACGGCTCGTCGTGATGGTGTATGCGATATCAAACTTACCAGCCTAAGAGCCTCACCGACTCGATGACTGAGAATGACTCATGGCTGTGGTGTTTCAAAAATCGTCAGATCGGACATTTATACGGAGTCCGATGGTAGCAGAGTTGACCGAAGACGATTGTTAAAAGGGGCCCCGAGAAGCTATTTAGGCCAACCTCTAACTACACTATCTAGCTAAACTTGATTCTACATCACGCACATAGCTCCTACTAGCAATACATAAGCACCAAACGAAAAAGGTTCAAAGCTTCTGTCAATCGGTTCTGGTTCCGGTCTTTACTAACTTGTTTGCAGCACCATTCTCTATCATCAACAATGCTCGTTCTCATTGCTGGCATCACTGGCAACGTCGGCCAGAAACTTGCTCAATCGCTGAGCAAGCGCGGCCACCAAGTGCGCGGCCTTGCGCGCAGTCCCCAAAAGCTATCCCCTGAGACTCTGGCCGCACTGGAGCGATTCGAAGTTTGCTCTGGCTACGACGATATCCCCGCGTTGGATCGCGCCTGCGCTGGTGTTGACGCGGTTGTCTGTGCATATGGCATGGATCCTCGCTTGCAGCTTGATGGACAGTTGCTTCTTCTCCGGGCCGCCGAGAGGGCTGGGGTTGAGATCTACGTTGCCGCCAGCTGGAACGGCGACTGGAGCAAGCTGGAGCTTGGCAAGCATGAGGCCTACGACGCGTACGTGTCTTTTAGACATCACGTCGAGATGACTTCTCCCATCAAGCCTATTTACATGTTCATCGGCATCTTTGCCGAGACCATGTTCTCCATGTTTGGCCATGGACACGTCGGTCCAAACATGCCCCTCATCTGGGATGCGGAAACCAAGACCATGAACATCTGGGGAACTGGCCATACGACTTGGTTTTGGACTACAGAGACGGATACGGCCGAGTTCACCGCCGAGGTCATTCAACGGGATGACGCTGCTCAGGGCGGATTTTGGAACGTGTGCTCTGGTGCCCATTCGCTTCGGCAAATCGCAGAGATTTACGAGCGTGAGCGGGGTGTCAAAGTCACGCTCAACATCCAAGGCTCCATCGGTGAGCTTGAGGCCAAGGCACTGGATGCGAGGAGCAAGGGGGATAAGAGGAAGTATTACCTCTATACTGGACTGTTCTACCAGCTCTATGCGAGCAATGGTGCCCTCAATTTTCGAAAGTTGGACAACGACCGACTCCCAGTGTCGGGAATGACTATTGAGGAGTTCTTGAGACAGAACCCTCAGATTTAGGAGTAGCATTTAGTTTTTCTGCGCAGAGTGTAGCATTCAGATGAGACGAGTCACCTTCATATGCCTCATGTCAGGAGTGTATGGTACCATACTCTCGATCACACAGTCTTGTCTACTTACAACAACCCGGTTTCTCATCTTTTTGCAAATTCTCAGTGGAATGATCAGTATCAAGTCGCACCACCGAATGCAAACATTGACGCGCCATAGCACCAGGCGGCAGCAAATACTGGACGAATTGATGGATGTTTGGGTGGCGATGGTAGCTGATGCAATAGAATTCTATAAGAGAGACAACTATGAATCAAGTGGAGATTTCCTTCACAAGCGGACTACTAGCAAGAGAACCTGAAGTAGGCTAGGTCCGTTGCCGTACTCCAGCTCGTCATTCAACCTTGGGGAGAAACGCTTCCACCTCAATCTCCAAGTGCAAGTCGGGACGCAGAAGCTTATAAACATCAACACCAGTAAAGAGAGGCCGGTTTGCACCAACGTATTCCATCAGAATGCGATGCAGCGTGAGGCCAAATTTGTCATCGGTGTTGGCGTGATATGTATTGACCTGTTGCAATGGCGATGTGGTTAGCAAAGAGAAGAACACCTTTGAAGAGGCACCGGTTACTTTGTAGACGCATGCCCAAACTTCCTGTCTGGTTCCAGTGAGGCCCGCCGCGCGTAGAGAGAGCTCTATATGGCTAAAGGCCGCGTGAATCTCCTCCTCCAGGTCGGACGGGACTGTTCCCTCTGGAGTAATGCCAGCCTGTCCACCGACGTGGATGATAGTTGCGCCAGGAGGGATGATGCAAGCATGGGTGAATCCAAGGGTCTCGGAAATCTCCTCTCCAGCACCGGGCCAGTTGAAGAATCTCACGCCATTAGCGGGAGCTGTAGTGGAGGGGATGAACTCAGGCATGTTGATAGTAGGAAGAAAGTATGTAAGTGTCTTACTGTATGGTTGTCGACAGAAGGGGGCTGGCGTCTGATGATAGTTTTATGATTAAGCTACTGGTACTTATTTACTGCTCAGCCGGCCTCCGGAACCTAATAGAGTCCGGGTCTGAAGAGTCTAGATCCTCTAGAGATTCATAAGCATGCCTTGATTATTGTATTTGTCATAAAAGTCAAACCAAGCATGGATGCGGGTGCAGGTCCAAGGCCAGTGTTAAGTCGGTCTGGTCTAGTGCCGAGACATGAGGGGTGCTAGGATATAGACTAGGTGGCCGGCGTTACTATTCACTTTGATCCACACATGACATGACACGCAGGGCGCACTAACTAACGGATAATTCCAAAAACCGAGTCACCACCAAAAGATCCCATCATCCCGCAATGGCTCACTAACGAGTCACTGGCTGGTCAACTCCTCTCACCCCCAAGCCCCCAACCATGTCAGAGTTTCGGCCTCGTCGCACCCACAAAAAGTCCCGTGGCGAGTGCCGGCAATGCAAGAGTCGACACGTCAAGTGCGACGAGGTACGACCAGCATGCACGCACTGCTTGACAAATGAACGACAATGTTCTTATGCGAGCGACCAGCTCGACCCCGGCTCCAGAGCGAACACCGTGGCCAGCTCTCCAGCTCTGCTCCACGCACGAGACCGCCACATGTTCAGCCTGGAGCATATGTCGCTTCTCTTCAACATTACAAGTAACCCAGCGGGATTCATCAAGTGCGATGAGCCCTCTGGGGCCGTCATATCCGACATCATAGAATGTGCACTGAAGAACCAATACGTTATGGATCAACTCTTGGCACTATCAGCACTCCAGAGCAGCCTCCAGCACCCAGAAAACTCTGCCAATCTTCGCTTACTCAGCATCCAACTCCAAGGAAGGGCATTATCACTGCACAACGCATCGGCAGCTGGGCTCTCCGCAAGCGGAATGCTGCCACGATTCATGTTTTCAATGCTGCTAGCATATTCTCTACTTCATGACAGTCTCTCGAGCTCACAGTTGGGAATGTCCACGTTCATTGAGAAACTAGGAGATTTCCTTCAGCTGATCCAGCTCGGCAAGGTCATGGCAACAGATTATTGGAGCATTCTCCAAGCGTCCGAGATACGGCATATCTATGTCGCCTCAGGGCTTGATCCTAAACACTCTCAATCCGTCTCCCCAGAGGCTGAAGATGATCTCAAAGCCGTCGAGTCAATGTTGACTCAAGCAAGTGCTGAGCAGGCGTCGCTCAGTTCGTGTCGAAACGCCGTGACAGCTCTCAAGATAGCCCACAGTTTGTACCAGAAGCATCGACAACACAAAGGCTTGCGTACTCAGGCCCATGCGGCCTTTCTTGTATACACGCCGTTGGGTTTCGTAGACGCGTTGAGAGAAAAGCAGCCTGAAGCTCTTGTCATTCTGGCTCATTATGGAATTCTTCTGTCTAAATGTTGTGACTTTTGGGTGGTGGGGGATGCTGGGAGGCGGCTCATACGGCTCGTTGAGTCCACCCTGGGCCCTGAGTGGGACCGGTACATGGAGCTACCAAAGCAAATCGCGTTGGAGCAGCCGAATTCGTCTTGACTGGATGATTCGATACGATCACTATTACTAGCATTGCGATTTAGGGGAGGTGGTATTTGTAGATATAGGATAGCCATTGGTTGGTTATATGAGGCTTTGCTTACCCTATGCCGAAGTGTCGACGGTATGTGGTCTCGGCTCTGTCGGACCTTAAACTTCGGCTTTAGATCGAGACCATGCAATTCATGCTGTGGAGAAGCGGCATTTGACCTAGGGTCCTGATAGGCTAACTTCCCAGGACCCCTGTATACGACGTATTCGCTAGTTAAGCTTTGCCGGTGGGTCGCGCATCTATGTTAGTGCCGATCCTCGACCTCGACCCCTGGCCCATGATGGTAATGGCGTGATGCTAGCATCTCACAAACAACACCATACTGCTCTGGAAAGCTCCCAAATCTTGCTTCAACCCCCCTCTCAGGTTTATTATCGAGTGGGACTGGAATATCTCAACTAAGGTCCGCTTGGACACGCGAGGAATGTAACAAGGATACGAGTCTTCAGAAACGTTGCTCGGACAATCCGTAACATCTCTGGCCTGGCGAGAGCCATCTACGGGTGTCTTGGTCAGCCGGATGGCAGAATAGCCCGGTTATTACAAATCCAGTCCATTATTTGACGTCGGCAGTGAATCACCTTAGAATCTAAAGCATAGATTGCAAAGGGTAGCTGAGTGTCGATTAGCAATCACATCAGAAATCGTAATTCTCTATCCGTATGACATTCAAGCCAAATTCCGCCTGGCTTATAAATCTGTGAGATCTCGGGCGTAAAGCTTGGGAAATTGATTCCGGCGCTAAGTCAAGAGTGAGAGGCGTTTCGGCCTCGCGGACGCAAAGTACCCCGACTGTGCGATTACGTGGTTGCGGAAGTGGCTGGTCTCACCGTGATACGATCCATCAACAAGGCGATGGGGAGGTTTCTCTGGATTTTGTCTCACACCGCCAAAAAAAAAGGCAGAGTCGTGTAAATTATGAATTGGAATCTATAAATACGCACTACTTGTTCACTCACGGCCGTTGATATTGTATCTTTATTCCCACATCGCCCATCTAGGTTGAATCTTGCCTTCCATCTCACTCATCTATCCATTTCACAGGACTCCTATCGTTGGATTGTCCATCATGTCTGCCCTCAAGAAAATTGCTATTGCTGGAGTCAGTCACCCACTACCCCCCCCCTCCTTTGACAGCAGACAACGCTATCAGTAACACAGAATCCTCCAACTGACGCTGGTTAAACAGGCTTCTGGCAACCTTGGCCCCGCCATTCTTACCGCTCTCCGAGAGTCAAAGCTCTTTGAAGTGACAGTCTTGACTCGCCAGGAATCCAACCACAAGTTTCCTCAAGACGTCAAGGTCAAGCCCGTTGATTATGCTTCCAAGCAGTCATTGGCGACCGCCCTTCAAGGTCAAGATGGCCTCGTGTCAACACTCTCTATTTTTGGAATCGAGTCCCAAAAGACTCTTGTCGATGCTGCTATCGAGGCAGGCGTACGGAGATTCATCCCGTCTGAATTCGGCAGCGACACTCTGAACCCGAAGGCGGCTGGTATCCCTATTTTCGGACCCAAGCTTCAGGTGCAGGAATACCTCAAGGAAAAGGCAGTTGAGAAGCCTAGCTTCTCGTATTCCCTTGTTTTCCCTGGCACGTTCTTGGACTGGGGCCTCGCTGCCGGCCTGCTTGTGGATTTGAAAGGCAAGTCTGCCACCCTCAGGGACGGTGGCGATGTTCCTTTCAGCGCATCCAGACTGTCAACCATTGGCCAGGCCGTCGTCGGAGTGTTCTCGCACCCGCAGGAAACGGCCAACCGGGCGGTCCGCGTCAAGGATCTCGATGTGACTCAGAATCAGCTCATTTCCATTGCCAGAGAAATTGATGCCAGTGGGGAGTGGAAGATTGAGCATACCAACACCGCGTCGGACGAGAAGGAGGCTCTCGCGAGCCTGGCTGGAGGTCAGACTGATGAAGGAGTTATCTTGAAGCTGCTTTTCCGGGCTGTATATGGAGAGGGATATGGGGGTAGGATTGAGAATGATGATAACGAATTGCTCGGGGTCGAGGGTTTGGACGCCAAGGGATTGAAGGCAGTTGTAAAGGCGGCCCTGTGAAGGCGTGTCTATCATGATCCGAGAGGTAGCCTGGACTCCGGGCTCCTCAGCCAGACCCTAGCACCTAACCAGATCGGAGCGACATGAGCCCAGTTCTAGCATTGAAAATGCATTTTTGGTGTGCTTGAGTTTCGTCTCCGACTTATTCGGGATAAGGATGACACACGACCTCGCTTAGTTCACAAGGCCACGAGATATACCTATTATCTTCAGGTAAGTTGCTAAGTATGCATTGTGCTGCACTGATACAAATGAATGATTACTGGGTTAAGTCTAGCCTTAGTCACAATGATGTGCTAATACCTGTGACTGATCATGAGGAGAAGTTCTTATTTGAGCAGTGTTCTGACAACTTGTTTGAAATAGCGTCGTGATACTAACATGATCCTAGGGAAGTCGTGGAAAGATGGTGAATCCCCTCAAATATCTATCTAGAGTTCTTGGGGAGTTGAACCCTGCTGCATTTCGGAGTAGGTAACATCTCTGTCAGTCGCCGAGAAAAATTGGCGCAAAGAATTTGCGGCAAAAGTGAAAGATACTTTTCAACAAGTACCACCGCCATCATCTGTTTTGCCAAAGGTATGCACCTAGAATGACCATCATTGCCATACTGATCACGTGTACGAGCCAGGCCGATGGAAGGTATTCGTGCCAGGCTGGTGGATGGTATACGTGCCAGGGCGGTAGATCAGCCATTGTGGGCCAGGCTGAATATAACTGGGCAACAGTACTCAGTATCGCGAACACAAAAGCCTGGAGGTCTTAGCGTCGGTCTTCTCATTTGGGGGATGTCTAGCATACCGCAACTGCTACACGGTACACTTGACGAGTGATAACATGCTGTTCTCCCTCTATCTTCCATTTTTGGAGCCTCCTCACCTGTACCATAAAATTAGCTCAAGGCCATGGCCTTTTGGCGGCTAAGCTGGAGTCAACGGCGTCTTACCTCATTGGCTTTGGGGATGAGTTGCTTGAGTTCGTTCTGGACATCCCTCAACTCGTTGCGATGCTGCTTGATTCTCAGCAGAGACATGAGGGCCTCTCGGTCGTTTCGCAAGCTACGCCATAGTGCACCGTGAGGTAGTGCATCACTGCCGAATATTACATCCTCGGATAAGAAATGGTCCAGTTTGGCGAGCAGGTAGGAATTGCTGTGGGTTATTCGGTCTAGAATACGTGGGAAATTTTCTATCCATTCTCGGAGTTTTTCGGTGGAAATATCGTTGGAATACTTCTGCTCCATCTCCGCAATCTATCAACGTGGATTAGTTGGGTGATACTAAGGACGGCCGGGTTGGGCATCTTGAAGCTAAACAATGACAATAGTGGAACTTCCTTTTTTGCCCTGTAGAATGGAGACTTACGAGAAGGGTTAAGCTGGCTTTGAAAAGGTCTTGGATGTTTTGATGATGCTCAACGACCACGTCGAGAGACACTGCTAAAGCAGCAAGCGCATATGCCCTTGGTGAAGCAGTTGTATCACTGCAATTCGTCTCGGCTTTGAGAACGATGGGGTCTAATTCCTCCTCCTGACTTAGTCTCGGCTCCTTACTACAGGAATCTCCGTCGAGGAAGGCAGCGGTCCAATATCGATCGCTCTTGCCCGTCACCATAAACGAGCACACAGCTTCGTGTAAGAAGAGTGGATGTGGAAGGTTGAAGACCTCATTGCTGGAGAGTTTTGATCTCTGGCTATTCAGGTTCAAAAACGAGAGGCTGTGACAAGCTCGAAGTGGCCTCTTGGTCTTGTCATGGGAGGTAGTTCGGATGTTTCTCTGATGCTCACTTCCGATCTCAAAGAACGGAATGTTAAATGATATGATGAAGCAGCCCCCCGACCAGTCCTATCGAGGGATTTAGATTGAGTAAATATCGAAAAAGATCAAGCAAAATTCTTATGACTTACAGACGCTCTCAAACTGAACTTTGGTTCTGGGGTTGGCGTGATGTAGTTAGCAAAGAGGTCACAAAAACCTTCGGTTTGTGAGGCTGGTGTGGTTTTGGTCAGGGCCACAACACTTGATCCATCGGGGTCCTCGATGTAGCTACCCATTGGATTAGAACCAAACTTCATAGAAATGCATTGGCGAGCAGAGGAAACTTACATGCGTCGAGGATGACCAGTCGTGTCATCGCAGGCATTGTTTTGCAAGCGCTAGGAAAGAGAGATGTGTTAGCTTCTTATCTTCTCCACCAGGAATGCTCTGCTCCATTATTCTGCTATTTTGGTGGAATACCTTTCGTTGGAGAGCGTGATAAAGTCCCCGATAGCCCAGTACCCTTGGGTAGTTCGGCTTAGGGTATGAAGAACCTTCGGTCACACAGTTTCGGTCAGAGACCCAGGCTCTAGGTCCCTGATCATCTTCGAATGTGGGATTTTCGGCATCCCTAGGGCCGGACCCGTCGAGGGCAAAAGACGCCCCTTCACAAAATCGTTCAATCTGGGAGATACGGCGCTCCCAACGCGCCGAGGGAATCTTGGGTTGGAAGAAGGTCCACAACTCCGGTGATACCTCGATGCCCATCTCCCTGATTACGTCGATATATGGCCTGTTCTCCACTGACCCTATAAGCTTCGTTGTTTGGCCAAATCGCGTTTTCCATTCATCAGCAGGCTCGCTGACCCATTCTAGAGTAGCTATGGTTGGGGAGATCCAACTTTGTAACGTCTTGAATTTTGGAGGGTTTCGTGGACTCTTCTTTGTTTTCAGATCTTCTTCAACATGACCGGTTGGCTTCGGGAAGATGACGGGTACATGCTCAAGCAGCTTGCCCAAGAAGGGTCGGTTATTACGCCTGACAGCCTCTTGTCGAGGCAACACTGAGGACAAGGGAACGGATCGGTTGAAACCACCGGCACAGAAACTGAACCTCGTCAAAGCGCTTTTCTCTAGATCTACTTTGGCAATAGCAGACATGTTGAGTTGTACCTGGCACCGAACAATACTGCTGGAAAACATGTTGAGTTCGGCCAACACATCGCACATAGGCACCATGTAGCAAGTATGCTTTCCAGGGCATCCGAGAACAAGATACCCGGCAAGCAGCCCTGTCTGAGAGTCGAAAACCGCCGAACCCGATGTTCCTTTGGGCATGGGAAAAGATGACTCGATGCAAAAGAGCGTCTGGAAATTGCGTGACCCTGGCTTCTGTAACAGCATTGACGCTGGGAAAACAATGCCCTGGACATACCCCAGAGATGCTGTTGTGATTATGATTGGCCGAGCCTTGGTCTGACCATGTACATCAAAGACATCAGATAGTTGCACCATCTCTGCGCCTCCAGCTGTGCAGGCCTCTGGACCAGGATTGACATGTATAGGAAAGAGAAGGTAGTCCATTTTTGCGCTGGTATAGCAACGAGGAGGAGAACTGATGGGTTCGGTTTGCGGCGAGGAGGAGGAATCATTGACGATAATGTTGCTGACGGTTCTAGGCTCTGAGGAGCTCTGAGGAAGTGGACTCGAGGCGGGCACCATGGGGGACCATGAGGTGTTGCCCTCAGTCTCCTGTGCCGAGCTGCTCGATGAAGAGCCGGAGAGGTCGATTTCTACTTCCTCCGAGGAAACGCTTCCTTCGCTCATGGTACGGACGGTGCCGAAATCCGAGGGGACTATGTCTTCAACATCTCCACGGCCCCTAGCATCATCGTCGGCGTGGTCTTCGTCGTCGTCGTCCCAATCGTCATTGGTGTGTTCCCAAGTTGGCTCACTCTTGTGGCGACTGAAGTTAACAACATGCTCAACAGTGAGCTGGTAGCTGGTTCCGTCCAAAAAAAGTAAAGGGCCTGCTGTGGCGGATTGCCTTTGTAGACCCCGACGCGCCTGGATTGGGCGACATAAGTAACTGTCTCCCGTGTGGGATCCGAAAAGCTGAAGGACGACGGGGTGCTTGATATTTTCCCGAATATCGCCCCCTGGACCTTGGTTGGTAAGCTCCTCGGATTGACGTGCAGATGATGAAATGGTGGACGCAAGTCTATGTGCTTGGGCATTGCCTGCCATGGTAAGTTGAGGCTCACAGGGAAGCTCTGGCGGAGTGGCTTTCCCGAGCACGGCGAAGTGAGCGAAAGCCCCTCCTGGCCGTAACAGGGAACAGTTCTTGATGGATCCCTTTGCTTGCTTGCGAACCTTTGAGTCCAAGCACGACACAACTATGGCAGGACGCGACTCGTCTTGGTTCGCGCCAATTCGATATATGCCAATCCACAGCTTATGGTCGGACTCTGGGATACCGGAGTGCTCGAGGAGGTTTTGTATGATGGATTTGTTTGCGTTGTATATGGCTAGATCCCCGCCTTCGGCCATCCAGACTTGTTCTTTTCGTAATGATGCGATTGGTCTCAATAGTATCCCTTTATAGTCCATGATGAACCAGTTGACATAGGAAGGATAGGTATGGAGACGAGGCAGGGCTCGATGTCTGATCGGACTTCAAGAGGCAAGTCGACAGTGTGTAGCTTTCGATACCAATCGCACTATGCAGACAAAATGTTAAAAATTGCTGCCTTTCTCGGATCATGATTGCTTCTTTCTTTCAAGGAGACACTCACTGTCTTCTTTCTGTCACAGCTGGACACGGTGAGCGAGATGAAGCATGGATGGAATCTACTCAGATCGACGGGGTCTACTACGTCAAGATCAGAAAGCAATAAGAGGGAAGAGAAAACCTCAGATGCCCAAACGTACGTTTCAGGGCATACCAGGCTAACTGCTGAGACACCCTGGCCCCAGGGACATGGTGAGATACGCCCGACTTAGCTGGACACGCCAGGATGGCGTCGGAGAGCCTAAGCCAAGCCAATCACCAATCACCAATCACCTCCCTGCATGTGACTGAAGCGCAGCGGGGTTCTTGGCCACATACGCGATGTACAACAGCAGCTCTGACTGGTGGGCTTGGGCCGGTGATCGGTGAAAAGTCGCTCGGGGGCGCGTCCTAGATGGTGTTGGAGCCCAACGCTGCAGATAGCCTAGAGCGACACGTAGCGGTCCTGGTGCATGACTGGGCTATGCATGCATATACAGCAAAGTCTCCCGCATGAGGCCCTTGACCGAAGCTCTCTGCACGGCCTGACTAGCTGTTGTTGGTGGGGAATCTGTCATTATTAGATGAGCTTGATGCGTGCCGTGAAATGGTTGTTTAGATTGCCCGACCTTTCGTGTTTGCTGTCACATTCTACTTCAGTTGCACGGGCTCTCAGATGTCTCTCGTGCACACCTTCCTCGGCCAGTCGCCAGATCAGCTTCATCTTGTGAATGGAGATCAAGTATCGCTCCTCGACTTTAGAGCCTACGATGAATATGTCCGAAGGCAGCAGAAGATTTTCAATGATATGAGCGCTTCAGCTGTGTCCCCTTCCGATGTAGGATCCCTTGGCAAGGTAGCAGATGAGATCAGGCAACATAAGCAACGAGACCGGGCTATTTCCTGCATAGCTACACTATCGGGCAATAACAATAACATTGCTTGTCAGGCCACACTTAGTCTCGTCGTCCGTCTGATGCTGATGGTTGAAATCGGTTCCTTGGAGAAATCATTCGGATTCATGCATCATACCGGCCGGTGTCCGCTACCACAATGGATGGAGAGCGACTTGGCATCTCTAGCAGCACGGCTTTTTTGTGCCTCCCTGCCGACCAACTGCAGTATAATGTCAATTCCCACCACTTTCGATGCCTGGAGTCTTGAAAACGTTGCCGGCATCAAGATCGAGTTCACTGACAATCTGGCGGACCACCTGCGGCTGGCAAATAATGACACGCAGCTCTATGTATTCCACCACGTCGCATATCTCGAATACCAAAGACACATGTTAGTATTTCTCCAAAACCCCCTCTTGCTACTTTCTCAGGGCCTCTGACTCAATGAAGCTCGAACTCTCAGAACGCTGTTCTCCCAGAGGGACTGGCAGAGGAGACCCTCAAAACACTCGCGATCCTCTTTCCTCAGTCTGATCACTGGAGCCCATTGCGATCGACACGGAAGAAGAGAGCATGGCTGGAACGACTACGCGTAAACTCCAACCGCAGGATAGACAGCCGTCTCACTTGTTGTGGAACACCTAACATGGACGACAGACAACTCAGCAACTTCCGTTTCTGGAGGGATCGCCTAGCCATCATCAAAGAAGTCTACGATGAGTCAACGCCAGACTCGTTCTCTCAGTGGTGGCATGACCGGAGGAACGGAGTTCAGTGGCACAACTTTTGGGTAGCCATGGTAGTTCTGGGACTGACGGCCTTCTTCGGGTTCATACAGTGCATTCTTGCGGCAGTCCAGGTTTACAAGGCATACCATCCATCTTAATGTACGTACAAGAAGCGAGAAAAATGGAGGTAGATGTTGCATGTTCCTGGTGGTACGGTAAAGAAGGGCTGGGCTAATAATGGCAACCGCTTTGGGACTATACGCTCTGATCTGTTCCCTAGCCACTCCCAAGTTTTCTACAGAGGGAGTATCTCGATGAATGTTTCGGACTACTCGAAGGGATTGATAGCACGCCCGTCCTTAATCTTGGTATTTTTGCTTGCAGTTGGATTTTCGTATTAGAATGGGTCTTCTGGGCAAGGTCGTCGAGTTAAGGTTCCATCCTCTTACCCCTTCCCTGTTCATGCGTCAGGGGCTATAAGCCAGATTCCACAAGGAGACTAGCGGAAAAGACATGGGCTTTATTCCTAATCTTATCCCAAGAGGTAGTCAAATGGAGACCTTGTGTGATGGTGTATGGGCAATTTAACCAACCCCATGGCCTGAGCGTAGAGGTACCTCAATCACAAAGCGGTGAGCGCATGGTGCCCCTTGCTTTTTCGGATTCTTCGTCATTGCCGAAAGCTAAGATTCTCGGGGGCACGGGTTATTAGGGCAAGCCGACACGGAGTAACTGACAATCCTACATCAGGGCGTCTATCCGAAGCGTGTCGGAACTTAAGGCCAAGATGGCCCGAATACCGGTAGAGTGTGAAATGAAACTTTACAGGGGAGAGGGTATGAGGTTCCTAGCAAGTCAAGGGTGTGTCATGCGATTGGATTGCAAGTGGTGAGGCGAGTTCAGTTCGTCAGGAGGCCGATGAGGAGTCATTGGACCTGGAGATGCCTTGCAAATCTTTCTTAAACATAAGTGTTTTACTCTTTGCCTCGACGTATCTGGAGGAATTCTAGGATAAATTGTTGGTATTTTGACGTGGTTTGGTAGGCATCACCCTGCCTTTTGGTCTAGCAGCGTCGTGGCACACCAGTTAGTGATCTAGGGTGCCGTGTGAAATAGCGAAGCGAGTGATAGATTGACTACTGTAACACGGCTCCTTTTTAGTACAGAGAGGGTAAGGAACTTGCAGTCTCTCATCTAACGACAGGAGTTTTCGGTATGGTTCCACATTAAAACAATGCGGGGTTGCCTGTTAGTACCTCTCTATAGTATCAAGAGGCAGAAGATCTCTAGAAACTTCCTTAGTGTCTTAAATTATTCTGCCCACCTCTGTCAAAACTTCCTGGGAAGTAGTAGGTCAACACGTTGAGACCCGCAAGACCCATTCTCAAAGTTCCTTGAGCCAGCACTAGACAGCATGAATTTCCCCTAGGTACTACCTCCCGGCATGTCCGTATTCTCGGAAGTCGGATTTCTAAGTTGTCCGGACTAATTCTTGGCTTACGACAATCAAACTGGGTTTGACTTATCCGTTGCATTCGGCAGATCAAACTGACCGAGACTGGAGAGAAAAGGGGCATCTGCGCTCTATTATATAAGGAAAGAAAATACCGTTTGATACTACATAGCACCTACCTCTCCATGTGTCTTGTCATTAACTAAAGTAATAGAATCCTTATTTCGTCAAGTTAAGCCCTTATCATCATGGTAGACAACTCGTCAACACCCGTGCCTCATCAGGTTCTGGCGTCGGTGAATCTCAGGCCTTTCACTGTTTCTGTTCCTCAGTCTCGCATCGACAATCTGAAGACACTCCTTAGCGTATCCCCAGTTCCACCTCCAAATTTCGAAAACTCGCGTTCGGATGGCTCGTATGGAGTCACAAGAGATTGGATGGGCGCCGCGTTGGAGTATTGGAAGAAGACTTATGACTGGTACTGACTGCTCTTTACTATACCCTTTCCGTTCAGTATTTATCACACCTGATTTCAACATCGCTCTTTCTTCGTTTCTTACAGACAAACATATGTGGCAGTGCTGATCGACCCATAGGCAACAATGGGAAGGAGTCCTCAACAAGATCCCGCAGTTCCAGGTGGAAATAGAAGACGATGACAGGTCTCGATATGATGTGCATTTCATGGCCATATTCTCGGCGAGCCCAAGAGCTATTCCTGTACTTTTCTTACATGGATGGCCTGGCTCCGTTGTCGAGTTTCTGCCATTGATGCTTCATCTGAAGTCACAATTCGATGCGAACCCAGCGGCGTTTGGCTACCATATCATTGTCCCATCTCTGATAGGTTTTGGGTGGTCTAGCCCTCCGCCAAGCACCAAAGACTTTCGCTTCGAGGATAACGCCCGTCTACTATCCAAACTGATGACGAATCTGGGGTTTAGCAAAACCGGCTATGTGGTCCAAGGTGGGGATATTGGCTCGCCTATTGCATGCAGTCTTGCTTCACAAGACCCAGCTTGCAAGCTTGTTCATGTCAACTTGTTTGTCATGTCGCCCCCGGAAGGGTTTGACGAAAGTCACATGCATGAGTATCAGTTCTCCGACGAGGAATTGACGGGCCTGCAACGCGGCAAGACCTTTTGGACCCACGGAACAGCGTATGCTCTGATTTAGGCAACACGGCCTTCAATAGTAGGCATCGCAATAGGGTCTAGCCCGGTAGCATTGCTGGCTTGGATTGGGGAGAAAATGGTCGAGTGGTCTGATCAGACCCCGACTCTCGACCTCATCCTCACGAATGTGTGCCTCTACTGGTTCAGCGGATGTCTACCGACGTCTTTGTGGAGCTACCGGCAGATGATGAGTGGTGGAAATCCATCAACTGGATGGGAACACGTCAACGCGCCAATGGGGTTCTCGGCCTTCAAGTATGAATCTGGCAACCCTCCGAAGGCATGGATAGACACCACTGGCAAGGTCAAGTGGTACAGGTGGCATGCCGAGGTACGTAAACTTTAAAATGATGCTGATCGGATATTGCTAACCTTGCAGGGTGGTCACTTTGCGGCTTTGGAACAACCGATGGTACTTTGGGGTGATGTGGTTGAGTTTATAGAGTCCACGAATATGTTTTCTCAGTGATAGACTCAATTTGATACCACAACACGGGTATGCAGCTTGATCACAATGCATACAATATTGCCGTGATTGAAGTTTTGGACTTGTGATCCGATCATCTCACAATGCCATGATTCTTGGCGAGTTCGCAGGTTAGTACGAAATTGTCGACGGCAGGACTGATCCCGTTGCCTTAGACGTGCGGGCATGCTCTTTAGGCTGCTTAATAGAGAAATGAGGTCATTTGATCACTAGAGTTTTGTGTATATAGCCTTTTCTATAGTTTGCAGGGGCATATTGAACCGCTTCCCCTCGGAGCCGGCGGGCCGGGCCGTGTTGGCGGGGAACCGCCAATTCCGTTCCGAATCTGGACGCTCCGGAGTGTCCAACTCCGGCATCGCCAGATGGATTAACTTTCTCGCCTCATAGGCATGTGTAAGTGAGGGGAATTTGAATTATAGAAAAGAGAAGCTGGCATTAAAATGGTTATAAAAGGTCTGATATAACAGTCCTGGAGTATATGTCCCGAGTCTCAGCAGGACTTGGATAGCCTTGAACTCAACCTCAACTCTCTGACCTGACGATATTTATCATGAAGTGCACTTCCATCGCTGCTCTTGGAGCTGCACTCGCAGGCACTCTTGTGTCCGCGGTGCCTGCTGGTTTCGTTACCACTAATGGCGAAAAGTTCTCTCTCGACGGCGAGGACTTCTTCTTTGCCGGTAGCAACGCCTACTACTTCCCCTTCAACGTTGTATGTCTTATAGTCACCAGCTTTCAAAATCCCTTCTAACCCTCGCAGTGGGGAACGGATCACTACCAGGACGTCAAGGTTGGCTTGGTCGCCGCCAAAGATGCTGGTCTGAAGGTCATCCGAACTTGGGCGTTCCATGAGAACAACAGAACATATGTGTCAGGTGGACTGCCCAAGTACAACACGGGCGGAGAAGAGACCGTTATGCAGTTTTTCAACTCGGACGGAACTGTCGATATCGACCTGGGCGTTCTCGACGTTGTTATCGAGGCTGCTGAAGCCACCGGCATGAAACTCATCTTGGCATTGACCAACAACTGGGCTGATTACGGAGGTATGGATGTGTACACGGTCAACCTCGGTGGAAAGTATCACGATGATGTAAGTGGAAAGGCCTGTCCTGGTTTCAAATATCTAACAGGGATCAATGCAGTTCTACCGCTTGCCAGCCATCAAGAAGGCGTACAAGAACTACGTCTCAGCTGTTGTGAACAGATACAAAGACTCCCCAGCAGTTTTCGCATGGGAGCTTGCCAATGAGCCCCGCTGCGGCGCCGACGGCAGTCGCAACCTCCCACGTGGTCCCGACTGCGGCCCTGAACTGCTGACGTCGTGGATGGACGAGATGAGCACCTTTATCAAGTCGCTCGATGCGGATCACCTGGTCACTACTGGAAGTGAGGGTGGTTTTAACCGGGTGTCCAGCGACTGGGCATACAACGGCGCAGATGGTGCTGACTTTGACGCCGAGCTCAAGCTGCCTAACATCGACTTTAACACATTCCATTCCTATCCTCAGGCATGGAGCAAGACGACACAGTGGGTTGAGCAGTGGATTGTTGACCACGCCGAGGCAGCCAACGGAAAGCCCGTCGTCCATGAAGAATACGGCTGGACTGACAAGTCGACTCGCGTCAGTGTCTTGAGCAAGTGGCAAGAGGTTTCGCTGCAGCACGAGGTGAGCGACATGTACTGGCAGTTTGGGTACTCGGGATACTCGTACGGCAAGAACCACGACGACGGAAACACCATCTACCTTGAGGACGATGAGGCCCAGCCCTTGGTTTATCAGCACGCCGCTGCCGTCAACGGCGGCGAAGTGCCACCCCCAAGCTCGACCACCATTGGTACCACTCCCGGACCAACCCAGACAAATGGCCCACGACAGGTTAAATATGGACAGTGCGGTGGTTCTGGATGGACTGGACCAACTCTGTGCGAGTCTGGGTCGACTTGCCAGGTACAGAACCAGTGGTACTCTCAGTGTTTGTAGAGTGCCCGTTGTCAGGTCCAGAGATTGGACAGGAGAGCTGATAGTTGAGAACGAGTACACTCCTTCTTAGCTGGGAAAGTGCTAGTGAATGAAAAGGAACGCGTCCAGTTCATCAACATCCCTTTGCCAGTATTGTCTTAGGTGTTGCGTATCCATGTCGTAATTGGAAGAAGGAATCAGATCTATAGCATGATCATACGTCAATTAAGCGGCCAGGTGGTTTAGACATTTCAATGGCTTCTGGGTGTCGATAGAAAGCCTATGGCCTTCACAGCAAAATCGTTCTGGCAACGATCTTCTGGCTCGGTTAATCCATCAAGGACCGGGCTTCAACTATAACAAAGAACAGATTGTCCACTCGTTCTGTCAGCGAGAGCACTACAAGGGAGTGTTGACTATCATATATCGGTTAGATCGTTCCCTACACAGTATTGCGACTCAGTAGTGGACAGTGTCCCTGTGGCACCCCGTATACCTTATCCACCGCTGGTTTCAAATCATTGTCACGCCGATCTAGGCGAGTTTTGAACCTCATCTGCAACTCCCCTCCCAGAACCTCCTTGTCCTCTAACGCAGTCGTCTCCCCAGCTTCCGGCGCCTCTACCCAGGCAATCAACTTGACTGTTTTTAGAGACCGCACACCAGCAGATGTGTTGGAAAGCAAAGTCTCCCCAGGTGGTGTAGATCTTTGCGTCAAGGCAATCAGTTCCAAAATCGAATCCCACGCTCCGCCTGTTTTGCCCATGATGACAACGAGGATGGTGTGTATAAGAGCGATCACAGCGTGTAGGATAAGACCAGCCATAGAAAGCTTGTCGAACCAGTTTTGTGCAGTCATGACATAGCCACTGAATATGGCCTTCATCTCCATGCGTGTCATGTTCCCAGACTTGAGGATAGTGGGCTCGGGAAAGATCTCTACTGGGTCACCCTGGCGCAGCAACTTCCGAGCCAACTTCGTGCTGTTGACAGTGAAGTTGCCATACGGCCATGCCTCGAGGAAGCGGGCTGCATCGTAGTTTGGTATGAGGCCGCTGCGAGACAGGCCATCCACGAATACAGTAGCGATGAGGTTCTCAAGCTCAGTCTGCCTGAAATTCTCACTGTAGATGCTGATGAGCAACGTCTCAAGAGTAGTCCGCTTCAATCCTTGGATCGGCAACCATGGCAGGTTATCAGGTGATGTGTCGGGCAGCGTGGGCGACAACATGTTGTACCAGTCCGTACTCAACCTGATGTCCTCCATTATCGGCTTGGGTGGAGGATTCAAGCGGACAAAGCCCATGCGAGCATCGAATGCGAGTTCCGTCTGGATCAAGTTGAGAACCCTACCCTCGTAATACTCATGGGCCATAGGCATGTCCACTGTCGTCTCCATGACCGTTTTGGCTTTGGTCCAACGAGTGTCAATGGAGCAGGCGACGACGTTTGATGGTGGAGATATGTCCGGGGTGACATCAGTGCGGTTGAACAAGTCTTTGAACAGAATGACAAGGCCCAGAGAGTTCTTTGTGGCGTCCCAAATATCTGTAGCGACGATGAGTACGTCGCGTCGGTCGTCAAAGATGGAGGTGTTCAGAGTCGACTTTTCATCTTGCAGAATTCCCCGAGCGACCAAGGCTCGTTGCGCGTCGCCCAGAACATCAACGCTATCCAGTACCATGGCACCATGCACTTCGTTTACTTCGGGCTTACCCTTACCTTTCCAATACTCGTCAATGCCTTTCAAGTTGGGGAACTTGACTGTCAGGTTTCTGCCACCAAGATCCATGATGCCCTGGAGCTCACAAAAGACCCTCGCAGCTGGCACCTTTGTCTCAGCCTGGTAACGCTTCGGCTTCGCCCAATCTAGACACTTAGGGAAAGGTTGCAGGTACGGATGCTTCGTGGCCAGATATTTCAAAGCGCTCCTGTGATGGCCCCTCATCGCGTCCTGCAGAACCGCAGTCGCGGCATGCGCAGAGTAGACCCAGGTGTTGGCATCAGAGATCAATGCAGGCCTCGCGTAGACTGCCTTTCGCTGGAACCCATCGTTCAGCTCAAAGATGTGTCCCGCGCTGTAACCATTCCACCACGAGATGAAGTGCTGATACATGGAAAGAAAGCCACAAGAAGGGCACCTATTGTCGGTGAATTGGCCGGCGTCGAGCGTGCAGTTGATTTCGGAATAATAGTCTGCGTTGAGGAACTTGGGCCATAGTTGGTCATCGCTTCCTAGAGCACCAGATCAGTCATGAGACATTGCAAGCGAACTTGTCAGTTACTTACCATTGAGCCAATAGACGCCACCACCGACTGGCCAGTCCATTTTCCTGGGCATCATAAGCACTGCCGTCGCGGGACCAGCCATGAGAGCTAGAGCGCCGCCGATGAATACGAGGAGAATAAAGCCGCGACGTTTCCATCGCTGTTCGTGGGACACATTTTCACCATGACCCCAGCCCCAACCGAGACTCCCTAGAAACTCGGGAGACCAGAAGTAGCTGCAACGGACCCTGTCAGCTGATGCCAATGGTCTGTCTGGCTAGTCTGGACTTCTTACCTAAGTTGAGCAAAGGAGAAGCCCGAAACGAGCAACCCAAGGGTTACACCGTCACCGAAGACAAGTTCGTGGCGAAGAAGGTGGAAGATGACAGAGCCCACGCTCGCGACTATGAGAAGTTCCTGAACTTTGGCCCCGACCTGGAGCGCACCGAGTTTAAGCTCATCCAGGTCCTGGAGGCCCTGCAGTTCATTGCCGATGAAAAACCCCACACAGTTGAGCGTGATTAGGCCGATGGACAGGAATGCGGGAATGAGATGGACCGCACAGCGGGCGATTGCGAGCCGTCTTGAGGAGTCAATCAAGACCTTCGGAGGTTCATCATCATTGCCGCCAAGGAAGGTGACTACCTTGAGCCCAAGCGTTCGAAGAAGAGTCATGAACTTCTGGACCAACCTTGAGGAGCGTAAATACGAGTGAAAACGACTCATTAAAGTCGCCTCAGAGGTTGATGTGGATAGTTGGCCCGCTGATACCTCCACAAAACCATTGTCCGTAGAGTATTTGCGAGTGGGGGACATGGTGAAAGGTCCCGAAGAGAGCGAATTGAGCAGAAGTAGAATAGCTATGAAATGGTAATTCTAGAGGTTTTTGGGAAAGGCTGCGCAGGTATTTGTAGTCAACTGACCAGGCCTGTTGCTAAATATAACAGGATGGTTAGAGGGTCGCGGCTATGCAACTTGTGCAGCCAAAGAGAAGCCATCAACCCCCAAGCACCAGTTATTGTCTTGCATCCCCATTGACCAATTGCGCCGACTTTGGCTCAAACATGCCAAGGAAGCCACCACAGCCTGATCCTGTTGTGAGCAGGCCATAGGTCCCTTCAGCTGTGGCTGAAATTTGTAAATTGAGTAAAATGTCTCTTCACAGAGCCTGCTGTCGATACGGTACTGGATGCAATGTATCGCTTCGTCCAACTTGGGCAGCTGGCGTTACTGGATTCTACCAAATTGAACCTTCTCCTGAAAACCTTTCAACAGGAGACGTCGAGAATCCCGCTACGGAAGGAAGATTTTTTATAGTCGCTCTTCCAATTAGTAGGATCCGGGAGCTGTCAGTGCCTGGGACGGCTCACCCATGAAAAACGTCCCTCTACAGCCTGATTTTGTAATACCCAATGGTGAGAGAGATGATGCAGGTCGTATTGGGCCAAGCTCTCAGCCGCTGCCTAACATGCAGGTCGAACCGCCCAGCTCTGTGTCAGCTGCAGCCTCTGCGATCTGTCGGCAGCCCGAAGTTATTTTAGGCCTCCTAATGGTTTTCCCCTTTATTCCGCTTTCTTTTCCCATTCCCACCCTTTGTCTGCTGTCTTTAGACTAACAGTCCCCTATCATCAGAGAAAAGCAAAATGCGTTAGCTGCGCTACGAAAATGGTGTAACAGGGCAACGGGGTCTCGTGTCTACTTTTTTATGATCAGTCTCAATTAATATCTTCCTCTTATTCGATCTTCTAGACTATGCTATCCGCCCTTAGTCGTCCAATGGTGTCGACCAGCCGTTGGAATCATCATATTCATCCAACGTCGTCGTTCCATGAAGGACCTTATACTTCTTCATCTGCTGCGACTTTTCGGTGTCGTTTCCACTAATAATTCTGGCAATTCTCTCTCCTACCTCCTGGCCCTCGAACCACGCTCCATGCATATATCCAAAGAACTCTGCAGAATTGGCCTCTCCTGCGAACCAAAGTCTGTCGACGTTGGCACGGAGGTTCTGATGCTTCTCAAGGGTCATGCCAACTGGCCAGTTGCTGTATGAGCCATAAGCCCACCTAAAGAATCTGGTTAGTCATTGCGACACATGCACAATAGAAAGGACACTTACTCTGTCTGCGTCCATCGGGGGTACATAAAGTCTGTTGGTTCGGGGACATGCTTGTCGGGAAACATAGATCGGAGAACCTCGAGAATTTGGTCCTTGGTCTCTTCGTCAGACTGCGACTCAACCTTGTAGGCCTGCGAAGCCACCACGGTAGCGAAAAGAATGTTGGAGCCCTCGAGGAATCCCTTCGCGCTGAGCGACTGGAAGAGCGGGTAATAACCTCGCTCGGGATCGGCATAGAGCAAGTATTGAGCCTCGTCTGACCAGAACGACTCATTGAACTGCAAGAAGATCTTTGTGTACGTTCCCATCTGGAATTGCTCAACAGCTTCCCTCTTCCAGCGGGGCAGGACGGGGTCAAAAGTGACGGCGTCGTTTTGCAACACGCCAACAGAGAATGTGCAGATCGCAAATTCGGCCTCGATACAAGTGTCATCCTCGTTTCGGATTATAACGCCTTCCTTGCCATAGTGAATCTTCTTGACGGTCGTGTTAAGAAGCAGTCGAGGGTCATTTTCCGACAGGAACTCCATAGCCTCTCCGATGATCCAGGCGTTATGGCCGCGTTGGTCGATAACAAGGTTGGTCTCATCGCTGAAATGCTTGAAGGTGGCATTGTTTCCAGCAATTCCAAATTGGAAACCGGACTGCTCTGGGGGGTAGGCAGTTTCAAAGTCCCATCCCCACCAGTCGGCCACTTGCTTGTACTGATCCTGCCTAGGCTTCCATCCCGCAAGACTGAGGCCTGCACGCACCGAAGTATCTTGGAGGTTCTCAGTCTGGATGTATCCGGCGTCTTTCGACGCTTTGTCGAACTTCTCGTCAAACTCGTCCATGGCATCTGCGTAGTCGGCTGGTCCGTCTTGGTCGTAGGTGAGGATGGAGTCATAGTCGGAGTAGACGTTCTTGATCTTATGCTTTTGAGCCAGGCGCCAGACGGGGTTCGACCCAAGTCCTTCAACCCAGTTGGCGCCGAGTTCCACAGTCAAGGGTTTGCCGTCAGCCGACTTTCCAAAAGAAGTGTGCTGGACGCGACCGCCAATGTAGTCATTGTGTTCAACAATGAGGAAGTCGTGAATTGAGGCATTGTGAAGGGTCTGAGCAGCCGTTATTCCAGCAATACCGGCACCGAGGACAGCGACCTTGGTCTTCTTGCAGGTCTTGCCCGGCTCGCGAGGTATCACTGCTGCTTCTGCTGTGCCTAAGAGAATGCCATAGGACAACGCAAGGAGTTGTGAAGACACAGGCCGCATATTGAACAAAGACCAAAAGAAAGTTTGGCTCAAAGAGGCTTACAAGTAAGCTTGAATGGACGAGGCGTGAGAGGGTGAGGCGATTCGTCATGATTTGGAGGAACATGGCGATGGTTTAAATAGACGCATCGTGAACATAGTAGACTTGCCGCTGTCCTGTGCGTATCCCTTGTCTTATCTGGTATAAATTGTAGTTTAACAACAAGCCCCGCGATTATCAGGATGAACGGATGCTTCTTGCCGTTTGCCCACCGCATTTGAAATTAAACTAGATAGCTACCTATCTCGATTACGCTCAGTGCTGGCCCATTTTGTTGCCTATTTGGGCAGTTGACTAGCAATTTTTTTTCGGGAACCTTTGGGATGAGCTACCCCAGCTTTCAAAGGAAGGTCGGCATGACGCGTCGCCACATGGGTTCCTGGGGTAGTTTTGACGTGAAGGTGCCAAGACCGAGTAACATGATGGCACTGAGTCGTTTTCAACTCATTCATTCTTCGGAGAGACATAGACCTGTGCCAGAATTTGGGGCATCTGAGTCCCAAAGATACATAAAATTTGACTTTGACCTTATTGTAGCCCCTGTCACCGAAGCCACTCGGATCAATCACCCAATCTATCTCTAACATCCGTGCTGTGGGACGCCGGACTATCACGAGATACGCTTACCGCGTTGGGACAATAGATTGCAATGTATCAAAAAGGATCAGATTTGCGTATAGAGCGCGCATATCTCTCCGTCTTGACAAGGTTTCCCCGCGTCTTCAAGATAAGGGTGGATGATGACCGATCTATCCCCTGCTTGGCGGCCCCCTAGTTCGGAGATGTAAATGACCTTGCTCGCATGACAGCGGAAGTTGTGCTACGAACTAGCGAATCAGCCAGTGAGCTTGCTTCCCCGCGATTCGGTCAGGCTATATCGGCATCCGTCTCCCTTTATTGCACCTTTTGGGAAGGAGGGTAGCAAGGGTAGCTAACGAGACCATCAATTGTTCGAGATAAGACTTATCGAGCAGAGGGCATCTGTGTACATAGAAATGTAGCCTCCTTGCCCGAGCAAGCCGGTAATCTCTTTCAGCACAACTTACTCTCTTTCCAATGCACGATGAGTATCAAACAAACCACCAACATCGATGATTTCCAGCTGGCTCAGCTGGGTCATTCCCAGTCGTTCCAACGCAACTTCAGTCGCTGGACCATGCTAGGGTTAGCTTTTGCTATCCTGAACTCATGGACAGCCCTGGCCGCATCTCTTTCCCTTGCACTACCCTCAGGTGGCCCAATTGCCGTCATCTGGGGACTCGTCACCGCTGGCATCTGCAATTTATCTCTTGCTGCCAGTCTCGCCGAGTTTCTCTCAGCTCTACCCACAGCTGGAGGTCAGTATCATCAACCTCACAATGTGGTCTCTCCGTCACTAACAACTAGCACAGGTCAATACCACTGGGTTGCAACAATTGCTCCCCCATCACTCAAGATCCCACTCTCATGGGTGACTGGATGGATCAACATGAGCGGCTGGGTCAGCTTGGTTGCCACGAACTGTTCTCTTTCGAGCACTCTGATCATTAATATCATCTCGCTTCAAAAGCCCGACTACGAGTTTCAGAGGTGGCACCAGTTCCTGATCTACATGGGCATCGCTGCTATCGCTTTCGCCACCAATGCCTTTCTTCACTCCGTCCTCCCTCGAATCAACGGCGTTGCATTTACATGGAGCATCGCTGGGTTCTTCATCATCTCCATCACTCTTCTCGCCTGCGCAGCGCCTGACTACGCTACGGCAGACTATGTGTTTGCAACCTTTATCAACACCACAGGTTGGCCAGATGGAATTGCCTGGCTGCTCGGCCTCTTGCAGGGTGGCCTAGGTCTGACCGGATTTGACGCCGTGGCACACATGATTGAGGAGATCCCCAACGCTGCCATTGAAGGACCCAAGATCATGTTGTACTGCCAGTACATCGGTATCACAACGGGATTTCTGTTCCTGGTCGTGGTGCTGTTTGTATGCGGAGGGATGGTCAATACATCAACTATCATCAGCTCGACTGCTGGCCCTCTGCTAGAGATTTTCTATCTCGCAACGAAAAGCAAGGTTGGCGCTGTGTGCCTACTGATGTTCCCTCTACTCTGCCTTGTCTTTGCAGCCATTGCGGTCATGACAACCTCTTCTCGCATGGTGTTTGCTTTCGCTAGAGACGGTGGTCTTCCGGCTTCGCGTATCTGGTGGAAGGTTCACCCAAAACTGGGAGTGCCGCTCAATGCCCTTTACCTGAATGTCGCAATCACTCTCGTTTTTGGCTGCATCTATCTTGGATCAACCGTCGCTTTCAATGCGATCATCGCCTCCTCGGTCGTCGCACTGGGCATCAGCTACGGACTGCCAGTTGGTCTTCTTGTTCTACAAGGACGATCGAAGTTGCCCGAGCGGGCGTTTACTCTACCAAACTGGCTTGGGTGGACGGCCAATATTATCGGTCTCGTTTACACTATCGTCACCAGTGTTCTCTTCCTCTTCCCGCCCGCGCTGCCTGTAGATGGAACCACCATGAATTATTGCGTGGTGGCTTTCGCTGTTATCATTGTTATCTCTCTTGTACAGTGGATTGTTGACGGAAGGAAGAATTATGAGGGACCACGCATTACGATAGGAGAGGGTGAGGTAGACGAGTAAATAGCTGTTAGTAAGGAGGCTCATCTTCATGGATGACACCCGCTGGATCGTGAATCTAATCACTAAATTGAGGCATTCCTTGAATCCCAAATGGCACGCTCCTCTGGCTCTGTTAACCCATCAAGGGCCGAGCTGTAAATATAATAAAGAACACACTATCACATTTTCAGCGTCCCAAATCGCACAAGCTATTCTCGTGAATGCCCGTGTGCCTGTCATCCTAGTCTCTCTTTCAGTAACTCCTCGAATGCTCTACCCAGAACTGTGACTACTCAGGGCTGACTCTTCGCTGCCTCCCCGTTTCACATGGGTTATAGCGAGATAGTTAATGTCTATTCTCCTACACTTTTCTTAGTTCATGCTAATCATGGCAATCTCTCCTAAGTAATATCCCGGGATCTAAAGGGAATGAGGCGTTCTTGGCAAGGCGTCCACCAAGCCCACATCCAGCTGACAACCGACAACGTGCAGGCTAAGATCTTGGTAACGCCTCAGCTGAACGCCAACAAACGCCTCGTCCTTTGACGGTATGCTATCGCGCTGCTCACCGTCATCACATCGATAGGATACAACTTTGGCGTCTCGGAGGTACCCATCTCGACCATCATAACCCTTGCGCCCGAAGACATCGTTCTGCGTCTCCCTCCCGTCGACGGGTTCCAGAACGGCACCCTCAGCCCCTAGTTCAGCCGGTGGCGAGGACAATCAGGCCTTTCACCACATGATCCTCGGCAACCAGACCGCGATCCCCATGGGAATTTTCATGGTCAGCTGGCCTAACTATGGCGACATATTCGGCACTGGCGACAATGGGGAGCTTGTTACCAAGGAGATCATCATGACTGGGACGTGGCGGCTGAACGAGCCCGAGGACCGATTCTACATGTCGACGGCCGAGAATAAGAACTGGATGCGGATCAAGGCGACGAACAAAGAGTGGCTTCCCTCGACCACCAACGGCAGTGCGCAGGCCACCATCGAGTATCGTCTCTTGCGGAACGGGTTGATGGAGATACAATGGACAGATCTCGGAACCTCCGAGGCGAGATCAGAAGGGGAGGTGCTCGTGGAACAGCAAAGCACATGAGAACTGAACTACCTTGTCGTTGAGGTGCAGAGGCGCGTGTCAAGCAGGGGCTGCGGATTCTTGAATGACACAGGGTCAGGCGGCGTCAGCGCCTTTGTGAAGGGCGCCATAGCGGCATAGGCATCTCAGGCTGGTGATGCGGATCTGCTCGCCCATCTGAAGCGGTCAGCGCGGCCGTTCGGGCAGGAGGAGAGGATCGGTACCGTTCGTATCGACGAGCTCAGCCGTAAGCATTTGGAGTATCCTTTCTTCGTCGGTTCTCGCCAGGGCACGGGCTTGTACAAGGTTACCTCCATTGTCTTCCTCGACATCGGTGTCGCAGCCGTCGTCACCTGTGGTGTCAGGATCTGGGGCGGCCCTCCTAAAGTAATGTCCTAGATGGGACAACATTTCTATCTCTCACAAGCCGGAATAATCCAGGTTAGCCAAGAGATCGAGAAGTTGGCCACGGGATACGAGGTGGCACCGGACAACGTGGGCGCCATGCACGTGGATGGTAGCCAGCAGCCCGTATTAAGCACAGTTGAGTTACGTCCAGAGAAGTAGTAATATATAAGACTTTTATCGCACAAAAGTGTCTAGCTCGGAAAAGCTCCCTATCAAGTTGCTGAAATGGGCTCCCTACCGTAATAGCACAGCTGTTTGTATGGTAGATGACATGTGAAAAATTCACTTGTCTTCGAGTTTAGATGCGATGTGAAAATGTGATAAGCCGCATAGCGCAAGGCCAAACGTGGTGCGCATGCCTCCAGCTGTCGACCGCCCAGTACGCCTCTCTGAAGCGTATGCGGCGAATCCGATAACGTTACATGTAATTCGGCTATCTATTGGAGCCTTTTTGAGCTCGGCCGGAGCTATTGAGTTTATTGCAGCTATTGACGACAGTAGATCGTAACCCCAGTCGCCAGCCGCACCGAAACGGGCTTCTAGCATCAGCCATTTTTCCTTTCCCCTCTTTCATGCAGTGATGCAAGCAGATACTTCTCCGAAAGAAGCATGGACTTGGCCTTATCGAAGCCTGTTCCAGGCTAGCAGGCCACGCGCCGTGCCGTGCCGCACGGTCGACACGAACGCTTCCACCCGTTTCGTCAACCGTGAGCCAGCCCCAGTCCCAGGCGTTGCCAAAGACGGATAGATATTGACTTTGCTTTTGTTGCTAGTGGAAGCTATTGGACTACCTGATTACTTAGTTTATTTTGACTTATCACAGTGAATGTCCTGCCGTGCTTCATCGCCGTCCATCACGTAAAGCACCCAGATATACGGCATTATGGACACCTTTGTGCATCAAGTCCAAGGTCTGCCAGTTGACATTCGGACGATAGAAACAGATTAGCAATAGAATCTCAATACAGCTAAATTCAACTAGACTACCTAGGTAGGGACCGGAGTTATGTTGAAGAGCACACCCAAGATTCTCTCGTTACTAAAGAAGGAATACGCAAGAAAGCGAGTTTCTTGAAACAATGCAGGCACTAGGCCCAAAGAAGGGAAAGTCCAGAGGAGCAAGTGACAGAAGGAAACCTAGAGGTGATCAAGACGGGCGGCTGAGGCCTCCCGTCTTTCCATCAGTAGCATCATAGATGAGCTCGTAGTTGGAATAGGCGGGAGGAAGAACACGCGAATTGGGCTCGTCGATTGTTGCCTGGGACAGGTTGGCCACGGGGTTGACTGGCAGGGCGTTCAGAGAAGCAACCGGCATGCTGGCGATGGAAACTAGCTCAGCTTCCAGCTTCTGCTCGGGCTCGGTGTATTGGGGAACTCCTTGGCCCTTCATTACAGAGATTTCGGTCTTCGGGAACTTCTCCGGTTTGAGCTTGCGGCCTACGTGCTGGACGTAGGTCCAGCCCAGATGGAGTTTGAGATACTCTTCAACCTCCTTGTCGGTGAGATTCTCGATGGGATGGTCCTTGGCCTTGTCGAAGATGTGGCTCAGCAGCGGGATAGTGATGGGCACCTGGTCAAAGCAAAGGACCCCTTACTCGGCCTGACGCTTGCAGTTCTCGCAGCCTCCCGTATTCGAGAAGCTTCCTGTGAAAGTTAAGACTTGGCCGATGTAGTTTTCTTCCACCTCGTTCGTTTGGGGTTCGTTACTAGGGCCGCCAAGCCAGAACTTGATCGAGTACGAAGTCTCTCCCAATGCGAAGCGGTCATAGACAACGTTGATGACGTAGTCAGGGAAAGGTGCGCCCTTCCTATCTGAAAGGCCGTCGGGGGTCTCGATACCTGGTCCTCTAATCTTGCTTATGGCCAGTGCAGGTCCAGGATAAGTGCTGTTGATATATGCCTTAAGGTCTATCTTGTAGTGCTCCTCGTCAAGATAACCGTCTTCCTTGACTGCATCAGGCTGGGGAACAAGGTCATCGTACCGGTACCCAAGCTTGGTTCAGTCTCGGCAGTCGTTCGAGTTCCAGTACTGAGGCTTTCCGTCATACCTGTGGAAAGGCTTGAGATCCTCCTCTGGCCTGATGTCAGGCCCGGGGTCGGCCGGTTCGTCGGGAATTGTCGGGTCGACGGGATGCTGGTCAGCGCTCTCATCCCACCAGCGTTTCCAGTTCAATGACTGCCACAGGGACATCTGACATGTGTCCCACGCCCGTCTCGAATTCAGTTCCGTCAGTAACTCCCTGTCATGTCTGTTCAATATTTGCCTTACTCGAGAAGGCCAAGTCACTCACGTGAACAGTATCGTGGATTGCTTCGATGGATGAGAATAGGTTCGAGCGTTTGCGATGTTCCTTTGTCCACTTTTTCGATGCAAATAGACCCCATGTGTAATTTGGGTCTGGCTCGGTTTCCGTCAAGCGCCGGGATGTCAATATGCGATTGAGTTTGTCGGACAGGTTCCCAGGGTTCTGAATCACCCATCTGGGCGCTACTCTCCCGATGACACTTGCTCCAAAGAATCGGTTGGCGGTCATGAAGTTGTTGACACCGTCGAGGCCAGTGTACATCTTTCCAGGCTTGATCTGGATACCCCAGCGTCCGGTGCTGTTGGTGAGGGACCACTAAAAGAAATGAGAAGCTGTTGGTGCAGGGATGTGGAGTCACTTACGGGGAGAACTTCCTTAGAGGCGGGTTTGGTGGCAACAGGCTCACCATCGTGTTTTTGACGGTCGCTGATGTTGTACTTCTCCTTGCCCTTTGGCATCTTTCCAAAAGGCAGGGGATCCCCAGTCTGTTCATCATTCTCTGGGTTGTCAAACCCATAGAATGGATTGGGGTATACCTTCCTTTCCTCGTACAGGTCTGCCTTGCTCTCGGGGGGAGATATCTTGACGGTTGCCATGGTCAGCACTTCTGGGAGCGCAAAGGTTTCAGCATAGACCTGGTGACGAGCCCAATCCCAGTAAGGCAGACGCCACGTATCAGCTGCCTCCCTCCATATCGAATCCTCATCTTACTCAAGCTTCCACTCTTCGATGATAGCCTTCATGTGCTTCCAGACGAGTTGCTAAAAGAACGTTAGCATGCAGCCCAAATTGTTTCCATTTCAGGGGAGCGAATCACCTCAAAGAGAAGCATGTAAATCCTGTGCCAGGTGGAGAAGGTCAACTCGCCATGGGTGCAGTAGAACCTGCTCTTCTTCGAAGGTTCACCGTCATCCCAGGTCAGCTGGGGATAGGCGTGAATCCCGGCGACCTGGAAGTAGGATAGCTTGTCATCCACTGGAAGATTCTTGAACCTTTCGAGTGCCAGGACATAGAGAGTCCATTGCCTCTGGTCTTCCGGCTTCTTCGCCTTGGCTAGCGCGCTGATTTCCCGACGAAGGGGCATTCCGGGTGCATAGGGAATGTCTTTGGTTCGGTGCTCGACATTCTCAGCAGGGATGCCAGTAATGCCAAAAGAGACACCAGGCTTGGGGGGATCGGCCATGGTGGAAAGGAAGGAGGATGTTCAAGAATAGTAGATGGATTGCTTGAGATATGATGAATGGATAGGTTTATGGGAATGGGACAGCGGAACCTGACTATTTATCTGTGCTGCGTGCCTCTCTTGAGCGCGCACCCTTCTACACCACGATGACTATTTGCGCCCATCCTCTTTAGATTTCACACAGCATAAAAATCTGTAGCGGAACGGACTATCACGCATGGATGGATGGCGACAAGTGACTTGTCATGTTCAGCTTGCTACGCAGCCGCATACTCCAACCCGATGTCGGCTGTGCACAAGTGTGGTCGGATGTTGTATCTAGTTGCGATGTTAACTTTGAATGGTGATTCCCAACGATCAGTCTCCACTAAACCACATGAAGAACTGGAACGTGAAATTGAGGTGAGCTGAGGTGAATCAGTATGTGACCACGCGGCGCTTAATTCAACCCGCAGGCTGGCTGGATAAGGAATATTACGCAATATATTGAGTGGCTTGAACGTTTTCCCTGTCCAAGGCTGGCTGATGAGTATGAGTGTGCCTGCTTTTGGCGTTGCGTTGCATGGAGGAATGGAGTCGAAGATGCCAAGAGGGTCTGGGCCCTTCTCGTGTTTCCGAGACATGGCACGAATCCCTGCAAGTGTTGAAGACTATTGCATGCACGTTCAGCTAGCTAACACCTTGACGCATGTGATGAAAAGGGGGGAAGGTTTGTCACATCTTACTACCTATGTAGTCGTTCGAGGTGTGTAGGTAAAGAGGGTGCCCTGCGCGGTAAATAAGATTTTTAGCTATTGTGGCAAGAAGAAACGGGCAAGAACAAGCGATCAGGTCAAAGACGTCTTCTGACGTCAACTTCAGCACGCCCAGCTTCTCAACCACACAGGTAGAGCAGGTGCAGGTGTTTTACAGCGTTTGGTTCTGATGCTGTCATGCGTTTATTAATAATGTGTTGTTTGATCTTGTGTCCGGCCAAGACGTCATTGCAAAAGAAGAGTAGAGCAGGTGCAATTGTGACTGTGTCAATAATAACAGAACTCGAATTCTTCTATCCAGTGTGCAACTGATATCCTGCCTTCCCCCAAATCAGGTCAAGGAGGGGATTGAAACAAGACAAGAGCCTCTAACCGACTGATCTAGACCCCATGTCATCCTGTGTAACCACCAGAAATAGCAATCATGACGAGCCACTGTTGTCCCCACAGGAGAAGGCCGAGGCGATCTCGCCATTGGCATACGCATCAATAACCTGCTGGATCACTCCGTATGTGCCTCCGACTGTCATGAAAGCCGCGATGCCAATCAGGACCCAGTGGAGGTAGTACACAATCATCTTCCACGCCGAAGCCGTGCGGTAGTGCTGATGGTCGAAGATCCATAGATATCCTGGTAGGCCGAGGGCCAGAGGAGCAAACGTCAAGCTTCCTGCCAACGCAAGCAGGTAGTTGAAGATGGGAATACCCGAGGCGAGCAGAAAAGACACGATGCTCATGCTGAGTGTGCAAGCGAACCAGACGGACCAGTGCACAACGGAATTCTTCTGCAGATGAGGCGAGTTTCGGAGAAGGCGAACAAACATGTACTTGGCGGCGACGTGGATGTAGAGACAGGCGCTCACGAGCAGTCCGATAAGACCAATTCCGTAAGAGACCTTCTTGATGGTGCCTCCAGCACTGCCCAGCGATGGCGAGGCAACCCATTTACCACACCAGCGGTAAACGACCAGACTGAAGGAGAGATACGAGGCGCTGACGATACCCATGCAGAGGTAGACGGCCTTGTTGTAGTCTCGCGGCTTCTTCATCTCCGAGATGACAGGGAGGAAAGCCGAAGTTCCGGCTCCTGAGCAGAAGATGGTAGCGGCAGAAGTAATACCAGCGACAAAGGTTGGGTTGCCAATCACGTGGTATCCAAACTCGTAGTCACCCGTCTGGGGGGCAGCAGCCGGTCGGTCGAGGGTTGTGACTCCGACACTGTAAAGACCAAGTCAGTATGAGGTTTGATAATAGGGGTTGTGGATAGGGAGTCAACTTACACGACGATAAAAACGGCAATAAAGACAGACAAGAAGCCAATCCATGTCAGCCAGGCAATCTTCTCAAACTTGCGGACGCTGGCAAGAATGAAGACAGCGATTGTAGCCACCAGCATAAAGTAGTTTGTGCAGATGGCATGGTTCGAGAGCGCGTTCAGTGCAACCGAGGAACCAAAAATTCCGGACGCGCCGACGATGGCAAACGTAACAAGGAAAACAATGCCAACAACTTCTCGCAGCCAGACACCTCCAACCTTCTCAGCCATATCGGCAATCGAGTGGCAGCCAGCGTGCGAGTTGCGAAAATTTCCCTGCACAATTGCGCAGTACGTATTCAGGGCTTGCCAGCCGATGACGTTGATAGCACCAGGGAGAGCACCGAGAACAAACATGGCCGAAGGTATAGTAAGAACTCCAGTCGCGAAAATAACTATAATTGAAGCATTGGTCAGCCATGTCTCCGAAAATCGGACAAAAGACGGTAACCTACTCTTGAGAAAGATGACCGAGGCGTGAATCCAGCCCACGGTCCGGAACTCAACGTTTCCATCGCCGCTCTTGAAGACCTCAAAGTTGTCATCGGAGTTCTCCAACTTTCCGGGCTCGATGCTGCCAATGCTGTTGTTGTCGGCAGGGGCGATGACATCGCCAGACTTCTTTGACGAAGCCATTGTAGTTTGTCAGATTGTTGCTCAAGATACTTCTGAAGAAACCAAGAAGTGACTGTGATGAGGTTCTATTCCGGGTTCTCGACGATCCATATATATCGTAGGTGACAGGCTCACGGTCTGCTGATATGGGGGCTGGTCCGGTTGGTGAAAAGCTCCAATCCTACCCCCGCAATCCCAAGACTCGAGATAAGCCATCTGGGGTAAGGATGCCCGTTCAGTAGCCCCATGGGGCATAGATAATGTTTCATGGCATATGTGGATCGTGGATGATGTTGATAGCATGAATCGTGTAGTTGGGGTCGCTTTGTGAGTTGGAGGTGTTTTGGGTGGGGCTAGATTGCGTTGGGGTAGCAAGATGCCTTACCATACGTCGATGTTGGTTCCAGAAATCCTCCCGTTGATAGTGATATTATCCTCGGATGATAGCGATATGACCCTTGACGGAGAATGGAGCGTTGAGCTGAGCTCCTGGAGTGGTAGCACGGGGTTGTAGCTGGTTCGACATGGCAATGGAGATACGGATATCCGGATCAAAGGGCTTAGATGGAAATTTAGGAAGCACTATCAAGAGCGAATCAGAACAGAAGGAAACTTTCAATTGTTTCAGCTACTTTGATTGGTTCATTATGTCAGTACCTGGCTTCTGTCTCAGTAATTCAATCCAATACGAAACATATCATTCGCTACAGTAATAGCCAACCCGTCAGTTGTTACAATGCAGGTGGAAAAGGCCGTTGAAATCATTTTAGACTTCATAAAAATGAGTTTAACAGATATTTTAATGACATTGAACTATTGAATATCTAATTCTTCAAAATAGATCCAGCGGCAGCTGGCATGATGGCCCCTGGTGCAGGTTTGTTCTTCGCTTTGAAGTCATCCGCAATCTCTGCCATGGTAACAAACTCCACACCCTCATGCTTCATAAAGTGCTCGATCAACCTACAAGCCATTCAATTAGTCATAATCTCAGATATTAGGTTCAGTCGACTTACCTTTCATGCATCAGCAACACATGTGGTCGCCCTGACACATCCGGGTGGATCGTCATGGGAAAGATGAACTCGTCATACTCCCGATAAAAATAGTCGAAATGATCTCGCCAAATATCCTCAACATCCCGAGCGTTCACAAAACCGTGGCTATTGGGCGCTGATTTGATAAACATCATAGGTGGCAGGTCGTCAAGATACCAGTTGGATGGTATCTCTACCAGGCCAGTGTCGATGCCCTTCTTGAGCGGATGCATCCAGTCAGCCGCTTTCTTCTTGTAGTCGATCTTGGTCCAGGATTCTCCTGTGGGCAGATAGTACGCCTGACAGTCGTGATGCGACATGCTGTGGTCGTACTCGATGCCATAGTCGAGGAGTAGCTGCGCCCCTTCCATGCTAGTCTCCCACCAAGGTGCGACGCTGCCACGTGGAGGCTTGCCGCAGAAGTCAGTCAGCATCTTGTATGTCTTATCCAAAACATCTCGCTGCTGCTCCAAGCTCATGTCTGTTGGGTTCTCATGCGAGTACCCGTGAAGGCCAATCTCATGGCCTGCGTCACGAACAAGGGCCATCTCCTCGGGAAAGGTCTCTAAACTGTGACCCGGGATGAACCAGGTTGATTTGATGTTGTATTTCTCAAAGAACTTGAGTACTCGTCGTACACCAACAGTGCCGGCGAAGAGGCCTGTGCCAAGAGAGTCAATGTTGCGTCCCACAGCCGGCCGGAAGAGGATAACTTACCCCTGCTTATGTCGTTGCTCGAGTCCTCGCCGCCATACGAGCCCAGCCATCCGGCAACAGCATCAACGTCAACGCCATAGCTGATGAGAACGCGCTTCTTGCCCATATTGAAAGATTTGATGAAGTGAAAGGTCCAAGTTAATTCTCACAGGCGAATAAGCGTTCGTGACAAGTGAAACATTAATGAAGATAATTCCGGGGAAGAGGGGGCCTTAGTGCAGGGTAATTATCTGCACAAACCTGGTCTATGGATCCATCACGATAAGATAAGCGTTGGAGACATCGAGATAAGGCTCGCCTGATCGTTGGTGTTGGGGTCTTTTGCGAATGGAGTCGGATGGGGTAAATTATGGGGTCGACGGCTTCAGGGATCAGCGTAACTGTCTAAGCGAAGAGATTCCTATCACCGACGTCGGGGTTAATTGAAATACAGGGTAGGGTGACATCTCAGCCGCAGTTATAGGCGAACGACAATCAACTCTTCATTCTTTGCATCTGAGAGCTTCAAACCACTGTCTGATACCAAGATGTCTTTCAATGATTTACCTTCGCAGATGAAAGCGGCCCAGCTCCACAGCGTTAGTCCAGCCTCAGCTTGCCTATCACAAGTGGTTGTTTCACTGACCAGGTATTGGCAATTTAGTACAATGAGCCATACGCATTAGTTACCATGAACACACCCCGGATCAAGGACGATGAGCTCCTCGTCGAGGTCCATGCGGCAGGCTTCTGTCACTCCGACCTCCAAGTTTATCACGGCCAATTCAAGTCCAAGCTTCCCATAATTCCGTCTCATGAGCCTGCTGGAATCATCGTGCAAGTGGGCCATAGGTGCGGCGGCTCTTGGAAGGTAGGCGACCGTGTGGGTGTGCTCAACTTCAAGAAGGCGTGCACTCAATGCACGGGCTGTCTACTATCCAAGAAACGCTATGATAGATTTGACCCCCGATACTGTGAGAAGCGTGAGATGGCGGGTTTCAAGGATGATGGCTGTCTGGCTGAATTCATGGTGGCTGACCCGGCCACAACCATATTGCTGCCAGATGAAGTTTCATTTGATCAGGCAGCCCCATTGATGTGTGCAGGTGTACGTCTTCATCTTCTGTACTTCCTGGGTCAATAAGCTGATGATATCTCAGGCAACGGTCTGGGGTGCTCTCGAGAAGGCGACGAAAGACCTAGAACCCAACGCTACCGTCGCCATCATTGGAATCGGCGGCCTTGGCTACTTGGGACTCCAGTTCGCCAAGTCGATGGGTTTCTACACCATTGCTATCGATAATCATGAAGCAGGCCGCACTCTTGCAACCGACGTGCCCAAGTCAGACTTATTACCAGATCTCGTTATTGACTCAAGTCAACCTAACGCCGCTGGAGAGATCTTTGAGTTTACAGAGAAGGAAGGTGTTGCAGCTGCAGTTGTGTGCACAGACTCAATCAAGGTCACAGCTTGGACACTCTCACTACTTCGGATCGGCGGCACCGTGGTGGTTCTGGGCCTTCCTCCAGACAGTTGGCAATTCGATTCCAGCATCCTTGTATTTCGAGAATTGACGATCAAAGGGAGCTATGTTGCAAGCGCTGAGAGCACAGCTAGAATGATGGAGGCAGTGGGGAGGAGTGGAATCAGGTCTCAAATCACACGGGTCGCGTTTGAAGATACCCCCAAGATAGTTGAGAGATATGAGAAAAGGGATTTTAAGGGGAGAATGGTAGTTGAGTTTGCATGATAGGACTAATAGTAGATCAAACAAACAAATTGGAAAAAAGAAAGCCTCGATTAACTCGTACAAGGGACAGTCTCCCATTGGCCAGTTCTTACCTTATCTGTCCAATGCATCAAGACAGCCCCCAGACCAAGTTTTTAGACGAACCTACCCTAGACCATACCGATGATAAAACTGTTATGGTGCACCTGCCTCCCTTGACATCCTGAGACAATGTTGTGAAAACGCGACGCGTAGTTTCAACCTCGGCTCAACCGGCGCGTCCTGGGATCTTGGCGGTCCTGTATCCACCCGAGAGTGCCTTCGTGATGCCGATCTTTCCGTATTGAGAGGATAGGAATTTGGGGTAAAACCATCCAATCAGGCGGATGATGACTGATCCCCCAAGCCCCATCTTAACAACGACCCCAACCTCCAGGCCTTCGGGGTCGTTTCGGAACAACAACCTAGGCAGTTGATAACGACTTGTAGTTTCTCTCATCCTTGAAAAGCCGAGAGCGAAAGAACGTTTTAGTTCTGTTGGTATACAAGATAACTGAATCTCAAAGTGACGCCACTCGTCCGACGGTATCTTGGCTCCCGAGATAGAGAACGGTGTGATTCATCATGTCTGTCTTCTTCAAGGATATTTCGTCGTATGATCCCTTTCCCAATCTTATCTCTGGCCATTCACAACTAACAGACAAATTATAGGGATAATCCGGTCAAGAAGGGTGATGCCGAAAAGATTCTTCAGAAGCGGCTTGGTGTGGGCATCGACGCCAAAGAGTCAGGCGACTTCGACCTGCTCCTTGCCGCAGTTCATGACTGTGCTGAGCATATCTCTGCTCTTCCAGACTATCAGCCTGTTCCAGACGAGAAAGTATATCCTCGTCTAAACCTGCACCGAGCAACTGCTGAGGAGCAGGAGTTTGGTAACGAATGGGCGCACAAGTTTCTCATCCAAGGCAAATCTGAAGGCGCCGGCAACCTCAAAGGCAAGACGGTCTGCCTAAAAGATTGCATTGCTGTGGCGGGTGTACCGCAATTCTTTGGAAGCGACGCTTTCCCTGCGTGGACACCCAAAACAGATGCCACCGTTGTCACAAGGGTGTTGGATCAGGGAGCGGATATTGTCGGTACCAGCGTATGCGAGAATTTCTGCAACTCGACATCCTCTTTTACAAGTGCTCAAGGTATCGTCGAAAACCCTCATAGTCGAGGTTACTCGGCCGGTGGAAGCACATCAGGAGGTGCAGCGCTGGTGTCATCAGGTCGCGTTGACTGCGCGATTGGATCTGACCAGGGTGGAAGCATTCGAGTTCCCTCAGCTCTTTGTGGATGTAAGTCGAACTTCTTTCAATCTGCGAGTGAAGAGATCTCATCTTGACTGACTTCTTTATAGGCGTCGGACTAAAGCCCACACATGGCCTTGTTCCGTGGACGGGAATTACGAGTGGAGACGCGATTGATGACCACGCAGGACCCTTGACACGGTCTGTTCTTGATGCTGCCATGTTCCTTGACGCCATGGCAGGTTATGATGGAATCGACGATCGAGCCCTAGGCGCTGGCGCACATGGGTCCCATGGTTTTGCTGACTCCTTGAGTTCAGAACCCAGTCTCGCTGGTGTCAAGATTGGAATCCTTCGAGAGGGCTTCGACCAGCCCATCGTACAGTCAAGTGTACGAGATGTCGTCATTTCGGCTGTGGAAAAGTTCGAAAAGCTTGGTGCTACTGTCCAAGAAGTGTCGGTCCCCTCACATCTCGAAGGCCCTTCGATATGGACCATCCAACAACGCATCGCCGGCGCCATGAACATTATAGGCCAAGCACACGGACGAAGGGGACTTTACCTCACTGACTTTGAACATGCTCGTCTTCCTTGGACCTCCGAGAACTTTGCCAAGCTATTTCCTTCGACGAAAAATACCGTCATCAATGGTCTTTACCTTGCGGAGAAATTTCCAGGCCTGTATGGCAAGACTATGAACTTGAGTCGCAAGATAAGCGACGACTACGAGAAACTCTTTCAGGACTTTGACGTGGTAGTCATGCCTACCACACCATATGTGGCTCCCAAGCACGGGGATCCAAAGGGAACACCCCGAGAGTGCTTTGAGCCTAGTATAGGACTTACATCCAATACGGCTGTTTTCAATGTCACAGGCCATCCGGCCATGTCGATTCCTGTTGGATTCGCGCCGGCTACTGAAGACCCCACAGTGCAGCTTCCTGTTGGAATGCAGATCGTTGGCGGCCTGTGGCAAGAGAAGAAAATTCTCCAGGTGGGAAATGCTTGGGAGAGAGCATACAACTGGAGGGTACCAAGCTCAGTAGCTGAAAAGGTGAACGGAGGTGAGACCTTGAAGATGGACGCTTGGGTCAAAGTAAATGGAACGAGTGTGGCAAGTAAGAATGCTCTTGCTGTCGAATCATGAGCCAAGCTAGGGAAACATATGGATAGACTGTTAAAAGAATAGATACTGACTGATGTTAACGAACTAAACATGACCGACTACTCTTTGTTGTTGATCTTACTGGCATCACTGCCCACGACTACTCTCCATATCTCTGTGCACAAGCTACTTGTAATTAAATCATAACTTGTCGATCACCTAAGAAGCACCACAGCCAAACCGGTGTCATAAGGACTTGGTGTACAATTTTTATCCTGATACCTAGTTTATGGTGTATCCCCCATCAACGACCAAGGCATGTCCTTGTATGAAGGACGCCTGACTGGAACACAAAAACATGACAGCATTTGCAACTTCATCTGGCCGTCCCATTCTTCGCATCGGCGCAATTTCTATTGCCGGGCGTAGCCTCTCTGCTACTTCGTTTGTGCCTGTAGTCATGGGCGATTCGATAACTCCAGGACACACGCAGTTGATGCGAATATTGTCCTTGGAGTAGTCAATGGCATCCGAGCGGGTCATGTGTATGATGGCCGCCTTGGAAGCGCAATATGCAGCTAAATCAATAAGCAATAGGTCTCAGAGGCGAATTTGAAGGAACTTACCGGCTTCAGGACGTGCCACAATGCCGAGCTGGCTAGCAATGCTGACAACTGCTCCCCTCTGTTCAGGATGCTCTTGTAATGGTTTCTGCTGCAACATGACTCTTAAGGCTGCTCTAGAAGACAACCAAGTTCCCCTATAATTCACGTTTGTAATCTTGTCGAAGTCTGCTGTGTCCATGTCTGTCGACCGCACCGCCGAACCGAGAATGCCGGCACAGTTGACGGCATAGTCTAGTCGCTCAAAACTTTTGACAGTCTGAGTGATGAACGACTCGACGTGTGACTTGTCCGAGATATCTCCGGGTTCAGCGAGAACTTGTGCATCTGGGTTTATGCTGAGAATGCGATCTCGAGTCTGGGCAAGAGTGTCTTTGTTGAGGTCTGTTATTGCAAAGCGCGTGCATCCTGACCGAGCAAAAGCTCTTGCTACGGCAGCTCCAATTCCTACATAAAACACCCACGATAAGCGGCTCTTTCAATGGACTTGAAATTGAGGAACCTACCAGTCCCGCCGGCGCCCGTAATGAACGCCACACCTGGCAACCTGAGAATTGTTGAAGACATTGTGAGATTTGACTGATAGAGACAATTTGGCGACGATCGGATCAGTCCCCTCACCTCTCAAGTAATCTGTGTGACTTGTATACTACCAATCCAATCCATCTCATGACTCGTTATCTTTGGAGCAGTTAGTAATGGCCCCAAATCGCCCAACATGGCCCCAATGTTTCGCCCCCCTTGTCGATAAGGCCTAGCGTACCCACTAACAAACCAACATTGACAAAGCCTCCAACTACTGCTCTCCAACTCTTGCCTCTTTTTCCACCAAACGCCTCCAACATCTCCATCATGACGACCCACGGGGGCGACGCCATTCGACCTCGTCGTCGACGTCGGGGTGATCCTCACATCTGCCCCCATTGCACCAGGGTCTTCAAACGCTCTGAGCACTTGGGTCGTCACGTCCGAACTCGTCAGTCTCTATCCACCTCACACGTCATCGTTGTCTGACGCAAAGACTGTAGATACCAAAGAGAAGCCATTCGTATGCACTTGCGGGGCCGCGTTTGCTCGTCGAGACCTGCTCACGAGACATCAACGCATTTCGCTGCATACCGGTGAAGCCGAGAACCCTCTACCAAGTCCGACGCCGGATGTGGTAACGACAACCACTGACTCGTTGCTTGAATTGGATAATGCTTCGTCATGGGTAGAGCAACAGCAGCTCCCGGCTGATCCACAAGCCTACCTGGACCCTGATGCCCAGCAGGACCTGACGGTTACGCAGGAGACTTTTGATCAATGTAGGTCACTGAACTCACAGACGCATTGGAACAGTCTGATTGACTGCGGACAGGTCAGACTCTGGATTACAACTTCGATCAGTTCTGGGAATTCGCTGGGTTTCTTGATGGCATAGGTTTGCCAGCGGAATGGAGTCCTTACTTCCATGGCCCTGATGGACATGAAACGACGTCTGGTGAGGCGTCCAAAGGCAACCCACCCGCTCGTGGAGCTCGTCTTGGTACCCCCTTCAACTCTTGGTTACCTTCAGTGCCTGCAGGTGACAGAGCCCCGGAGACACATTTCGATCAAGGTAAGTTCTAGCCTCAAGCCTCGTTAGGCATTAGAGCGGATGCTAACTTGCGATTTGCCGGTGATAGATTCCCGAGCTCATGAAGCGGCCCCTTCCGTGCTCAGGGTCACAGATGAACAACGAGCTCGCTTGAGCCACTCATTAGACAACTTCCGCGATGTCTTGGATCCCGACTTCCGACTGCCTTCACGTCACGCTTTAGCTCGATATATCACCAGCTACATTGATGGCTTCCATTCTCATATGGTCTTTATGCATGTGCAGACCTGGTCCGTCCTAGACAGTCCGCTTGAACTTGTCTTGTCCATTGCGACAATTGGGGCGCAGTATTGTTTTGAGCATCGGATCGCAGAACGCCTATTCCATGCAGCCAAAGCCATAACCTTTGAGCGACTTCTGCAGGAAGCTCACCAGTTCGGCCCCAAGACAGCCAGTCTCTTGTGCATGCAAGGACGGATCCCGAGAAAGCGGCCAGATGGTAATTCGGAACACGAACGGTTTATATGTGGCACATGGGAGCCCATCGATACCGTCCGCGCCCTAATTAACATTATGGGATATGCGACCTGGGAAATGAAGCAAGCCCTCATTCAAGAGGCATTCTCCCTCCAAGGTTTACTGATTCAGGTTCTTCGGGATCTCGGGTTAGAAGAGGAGGAGGAGAAGCAACATGTGAACAACGATTCAGATCATGTTTCTCTACAAGCAAGATGGCTGGCATGGGTACATCAGGAATCTGTCCGAAGATCAAAGTATATTGCTTTCACCTTCACTCATACTCACAGCATTGCATACAACGTATATCCACCTCTTCGGACCAACGAGATACACTTGCGGCTACCGTGTCACACCAAAGAATGGTTGGCTCCCACGGCGACGGCTTGGCAGGCAGCTCACAGCGAGGTCAAGAAGCAGCAGCTTTCATTCCAGGAAACACTCTCGCTTCTACTTCGTAATAGCGAATGCGAACTTAATCCCACCCCTACGCCGATCGGAAACTACATATTACTCCACGGATTGTTACAGAGGATATACGTTGTCCGTGACTTATCATTGCCAATCATGGATCAGTCTGCGTCTCTTCCGCCTGACGAAGTGGACAAGCTAGAGTAGGTTTCCGTACTCCGACCGGAAATTCCCTAGATTTTACTTCATACCCCTTATCTAAGAGAATCTCACATGCGCCAGTTAGCCAGTCACTAACACATGCCGCATCGTTAGTCGTGCCCTTCGCTCCTGGACCACTAGCTGGCAGCAAGCCCCCGAATCCAGCCTTGACCCAAACAACGAAAACGGACCTATCCCATTCACTTCTAGCTCCCTGTTAGGTCTTGCTTATGTCCGCATCTATCTTAACATAGGTCCTCATCGTCTACTTGAAACCCGAGATCCCGAGCAAATCGCCCAGGCTCTGATGAAGTGCCCCAACGTGGAGAGGAGCGATGGTGTCATATCGGCTCTGTTGTATGCCGCACATGCGCTGAGCATCCCCGTGAGACTCGGAGTTGATCGTGTAGCTCGGAGCCAAGCCTTTTTCTGGAGCGTTCGTCATTCTCTGTCAGCTCTAGAGTGCGCTGTTCTACTGAGCAAGTGGTTGGCATCTTTGCAGCGTTCGGTGAATACTGTCTCCCTAAATGGTATGTGTTACTAGATGTGGTGTGACTCTATGAGGGAATAGCTAACATATATCTCCAGCAAGCGAAGATCGGATGCTTCACTGGGTGCGATGCATCGTCGAAGAGGCCTTTTCAGTTGTGGACTTTGAAGAGGAGGAGGTTGATGTACAGTTGGATCCACGGGGCTTGAGCCTGGCTGTACTCAATATTTGGGCGCACTTCTTCAAAAGTAACACCCAATGGCGGTTTATAAATGTTATGGGGGCAAGCCTTCAGAGGTACCGAGAACTGTTACTTATGGAGTATGGGCGAGAACCTGGATGAGAAACAGAAGCTGCCCAGACCTTAGATCAGCACCTTCACCGTGGGTACTGTAATCAGAGTCGCGATCAAGGAATAGTCATCACCCATCGGGGAGCATTCATGATTATGATGATTGAGCTGAGATATATGCGCTTTGTAGCTGCTCGTAGCTCACTGGCTAGCCCTCTTCATGTCCTCTTCCCACTCCCTTCTCACCTCTTCGGCAAACGCGTCCTCATCAAGTACACGCCATCCCACAATAGCCATACCTTGCCCCCATTCCACAGCTCTAGTAAAAGACTTTTCCAGTGCTGCCGCGTCCGCGAAACCGCTCGTATGGTTTCCTTGACCATGGGCTGTGTCAATGCCAAAGGCGACGTGGATACCTGGGCAGACGTAGGTGACATTACCCATGTCGGTGGAACCACCAATAAAGTCTGACGGTTCAAAGAGAGAAATGGTTTCATCTTGTTTATCGCCAGAATCGAGCCAGGGTGTATTGCCAGCGGCTGCTGTATCCACGGTCTCAATGAAGGCTTTGCACAGTGGAATCGAAGATCGAAGGTCGGCGTACGTGTTGATGGGCTCGTATGAAACGCTGCAGCCTGTTGCCAACGCAGCACCATCAAAGCAGGCTTTCACGCGTGCCCAAAGCCGCTCTGTCGCAGCGAGGGTATCACTGCGGACTGCCAAGAGTCAGCAATATCTCAATCGGGGCTCCGAGAGGACCTATGTACCGTAGTATGAAACGCTTGTGGTGCCGGGGATGACACTTGGCCGATCTCCTGCCTCGTTAAAGACTCCATGAATTCTCTCGTATGGCCGGATCTGTTGGCGAAGCATAGAAACGGCATTATAGGAGAGGCACACGGCGTCGAGAGCATTGACGCCATTCCACGGCTCCATTGATGCATGTGCTGTCTTTCCATGAAAGCTCACTCGCCACTTCACATTCGCCAGCATCTTTGCTGCAGCGACTCCTGTTACGTTCCCACTAAGAAGGTACTGGGGCCCAGGGTGCGTCATCAGGCATGCGGCCGCATCATTGTATGCTCCAGCCTCGATGAGCGGGATCTTTCCGCCGCCTCCTTCTTCTGCAGGGGTTCCCAGAAGACGCACCCTTCCTGGCTTTCCGGAGGCTTTGAGGGCATGGACAGTACCAATTAAAGCAGTAAGAGCCGAGGAGGCGATGAGGTTATGCCCACAAGCATGGCCTATTCCAGGGAGGGCATCATACTCGGCGTTGAATACAACGAGGCGGCCACCGGAGCCAAAGTCGGCAGAGAAGGAGGTTTCTACACCGTACGCATGAGGGGTAACAGTAATTCCCAAGTCAGCAAACGGGGGAGAGGTGAGGAGCGAGGTGAAGGTTGAGTGAGCTCGATGCTCGTGATAGGCGAGCTCCGGGTTGGAGTGGATCTGTCCGTGTGAGCTCATGGTCGGTCAAGGGTATCGAAGGGGCGTTAACCTCGTAGTTGAGAGTCTTGATGGACTCGTAGTGCGAATGAATAGATGAAGATATCAAGGACAGGATGTCCTCGGCGGATTGAGACGCCATGGTTCAGCTGATGCGATGTACGGTGTGAAAGCAAGAGGAGTTGCGGTCTTGTGCACCTTGACGTGACATGACGTCGAACTGGGTTAATTGCATATCCAATGACAGCACTGACGCTCAACTGGGGCTAAACTAAATTCTCCGAGCCGACCACTTCCCTCGTTTGTTAACCGATCATGATATGACAATGGGCACGATGGGGCTGGCCCAATACTATTTACGGCCCAGGCCCAGAACGTCAAGGGGACCCCCGGGTTGCAAAAAACACAGGAATCGCTCCCAGCCAAAACTACACCAAATTGGTGGGATTAATTCCCGTGTTTTTCACGACCCTAGGGGGACTCTTCCATAAGTCGTCAATACCCACATTGTATTCACACCGATTCTTATGCTAAGTTGTCGCACAATCACCAAGGTTTTATAGATGCCGTGGTAAAAAAAAAAAAGAGTTATCTTGAAGAAATCGCTGCCATTGTCCTGCTATGATGCAATATTGAGTACCGCCGATGAAAGTAATCGCTGCTCTCTGTTCTGGAATGTGTGTTGTGTTTGAAGTCGGCCTGGTCACTCAACCATTATTGTAATCCATATCGTCAAAGAATTCCGTCCGACTGTGTATATTACCATCTTCGTCCGATAGCAAGAATCCGGCGACCCTGCCGACAATAGTCTGTCCGTGTATAACTCGACATGTCGGCATTGAATCCGCCCACAAGTGTCGTATCCTCATACGCTCGGTTGGTGGTTCTGAAGAGGGAGGAACTGTGTGCTGGCCGTCGTCGTCAAGCTGGACCTTGTGCTCTATCTCGATCACACGTCTGACCAACCCTGTCATCAGGTTCAAGTTCCATAGACTCTCGCGTGCACGGGCGAGGGTCGGCATGAGCCGCCAGAATCGCAGCCGGGTCTTGAGATCTCGACACTTGAGGGTGCAGAAACTCATGACGGGCATGAATCCCATGTCGAACGTGAACTTTACAGAGCGGGCATCTCCACCTTTGGCTAGTAACGGTACACTCGAGGCTAGACTCTCGAGGCGCTCAGCGAGGCTCTTGAATCTCTCTAAATGACGGTCGTAGGGTCCCTCCTCCCTTTCCACAGCCATATCAGCCATGATTCGGCACACGTCGAACCGAATGAGCAAGGACTGTTGCGCTATTACACTCGGTCGCTCAGCGATTGCAGTGTTACACGGTGAATCAGTCGATAGAAGCGTGGTAAAAAGAGTGTCCCAAGTATCTAGAAGGGAGTTCACGGCCATCCCTTCGTCATACAAGCTATCGGGGAATGGCTGATGTCTTAATTGTCCGACTCGGTAGTCGTCGCCTAGGCGCATAATACGAACCGACCGAGTAAAGAGTTCGTCCATCATAGATTGCGCGTCAGTAAATGACTGAAAGGTTTCCGGCACGGAACCAGATAGGGCACGGAGACTCGGGTAATGAGAGTGCTCCCTGCCAAAGAAGAAAGGGAACAGACTCAGTCGTCGAAAAATGGGTTCGAGGAATTGTCGTGTCCACTCGTATCCAGCGCCACACTGCGCGAGCATGGTGATGCCATGCTTGCAGTGTTTGAGGGCCGCTTCGTCATTAGATTGCAAGAATTCGATGCAGATAAAGAGGATGCAGACAAGGAGAACCAATGGTTGCTTCTCTGGGGCAGTCATCGTCTTCAGCTCTCGGATGGCGGCGTTGTAGTGGGTGAGTATTAACCGCTGATCCTGGGCCCCGGTACCTTGAGGCAAGCCAGACGGGAGGTTCTCGTAAAGGGAGCTAATGGCGACAATCGAGTGGCGTACTGCAGGTTCAAAGTTGGCGAACTGCATGACTAGATGCGTCCAAAAGTATCGGTCCGCGGGTCCCGATAAGAACGGCCCAGCAACGTCGCAGAAGTATTGCAACGCTCTACCTTCGTTTCGGGTCTCAATTCCAGGGAATGTGCGAGTAGGGTTTGCCAAGAGCTGTTGGTTCTTCGGCCATAGCCGCTGCTTGTCTTGTTTCTGTGGTAGATAGCCATCACACTTGCGGCCCGTTGACACACATCGATTGCATTCGGGCTTGGCCTCATCGCACTTGACTTTGCGGGCTCTATTTATCATTTGTCAGATTCGGGGATGTCTGTCACACATTCTCCCTCATAGGCGCACACCAAACTCACTTGCAGGTAATGCATCCCGTTCTGACTTTAGGACTACCCTTTCTGGCCATGACGGTGCGAGACGTCGCAAATCTAACAGAGGATCCAAGGCCCGGTCACGAAGTGCGTATGTCAGCTTCCATAAACAAACTCTCTACGCGAGACAGATAAGGCTGTAGGGCTGTAGGGCTGGTAAGGCTGGATACAATAAGCATCGGTCTCAGCGAAGATGGAAGTCACGATGCGATGACCAAACGTACTTATGACAATTCAATACCAAGGAGAGTTTGAAGACAAACGCCGAAAGTGGGACAGGCAGGGATTAGTCCGAGCAGACCAATCATGGTCCCTCGGGGCCATGTCTGAGTCCGAACTAATGGGGGCCATTGGGGGCCAAGGAATGGGGCTTGAAAGGGACTTTGATGATGATTTGCTGCTAATTTCGGCTGTTCGCCTTGACTTGGTTCAGGGTAACGGTGCAGACGTCAAAACAAGCAGTCCAAAGGACCTTTTCTGCCTGTTCATAAGCGCTTTGTAACCGGTTTTGAGTTACTTTCTTGCAGATTCCAGGGTAGGATTCATGTTGATGTGGCTCGCTTACTATTCCTAATTCATTGTAGGAATAATCTTGGCCCCCAAATAAAGAAAGGTGAGAATTTAGCCTTACGTTTCCAAGGTGTTGTCACGCTTCATGACCCAAAATGAGCCGACAAGAATGTCACCTGTCATTCTAGAAGATGGCTTGGTAGATTTAAGGTTTAGAAAAAGGCTAAAAAAACCCACAATCGACTGAACCCCTTTTCTTGCCAACAGGCAAGAAAAGTGAAAAGCAGCTAACAAAGGGGATCTATTTACATTGAACAGTACAAGACAGACTTTCGGCATGTCAGGAACCCGCCTCCCTTCAATCTCGAATAGTCTTTGTGAGGGGCTAGCTTTAGCTGAAGATGTGTGTTCCAGAAGCCTCTTTGTCTCCCCAAAAGGCCCAGCAATCCTCAACCAGGCCCCGAGGGTTGATGAAAGCAGGGAAGTGCCCACCAAGAATGTCCGAGGTCTTCTTACGGAAGAAAGTAATGTTTCCTTGGCGCTGAGCCCACTCTAGAGGCTGGGTGGAGATTCATGTTAGCCAGTTAAATTTCAAAGACGGCTGAAGGGTCGAGCCACGCACCACATCGTATCCTGCGTCACCATAATACTTGACGACGCCAACAGGCTGCTTAACGTAGGGGAATACGCCATCCAATATCCCTTCCTATTGCATGGAATATGATTAGCAATTAAGGCAGGATGACACACGGGTTGGGGTCCATACGCGGTCAGCTTCCTTGTAAAGCCTGAATCCACCATATGGTCCTTGGATATAGTTCAACATAGACCATGTAATCAGCTCCTCTGTTTCCCACTCATAGCCTGGAGTCATCATGCGCATGCCCATGTACTGCCAAGCAAGCCAAGCCACAGGGCTGTCAGTAAGGCTGATGGCGACCTGGAGTGGGACAGATTTCTCAATATCCCAGTATGCTGCAGTCCAAGAAAAGCCTGGGTCTGTCAACATGCTGATAAGGGCCGTCTCTTCTGGGGTAGTCTGGTTATTGGCGAAACGTGCTAGATCTGTAGAGTTTGGCGACACGTTGAAAAGGTTGGAGAGGATCGAGACCAATGACTCGGGAAAGTCGGGCGACATAGTCCTCAGGATGTGACTTCCAAAGTCTCCTCCCTGGCCGACATACTTGGTGTATCCAAGCTGAGCCATCAAGTCGTTGAATGCCTGGCCCATTTCCCGGGAACCCAGTCCCGGGTGACTGGGCGCAGGTGAAAAGCCGAACCCTGGCAAGTCTGGCGCCACCACATGAAATGCCGGAACGGTGTCGTTTGGGGGATTGGTGAGCAAATCGATAATGCTAGCCACTTCATGAAAGGTACCTGGCCAGCCGTGGAGAAAAAGGAGGGGAATCGCATCAGCCCGGCCAGACTTGTGATGGACGAAATGAAGTGGGATGGGGTGCGTGTAGTTCTCCCCAGCTTTGACCGTCGTGGTGAAATGCTGGAAATTCTCGTTGAGAGACCTTTCCACCTTTCTCCAATCGTATTCTTTTGCCCAGTATCGAGACCAGTTGCCCACGACATGTGAAGGGACTCCGTCGATGTAGTCGGCTTGGTCCATATCGACTACTAGGCGCGTCTTCCCTGCCTTCGCCTTCGTTTCGTCGATGAATGTTTGGTCAACATGGATGGTGAATGGCTGAGGCTTGTTGCCGAATTTGGCGTCAAAGTTCAAGCCATGCGTGGAGGGGGCGTGGTTTGCAGTGACAACAAGGGCTGCGACCTGGCTAGCAAGAAGTGCCTGGAGTCCGAGTGCAATCATCTTGTTGATCCAATTGCTCTTGTCTAGAAATGGTTTGCATTCTAGTTCTCCAAAACGGCTACAATACCATCTTATTTATACCGGCATGACCTGCTAAGAATGTATTCGACTTTGTCATGTCGTCGACCGGATTCCGATCGGACGAAACTCATCCGTTGATACTACATTTCGGGCGAGATACACGCAAAACCTTCAATGTCGAGAAGAATTAGCCCGGAGATTTGGTCCGTACGTGTGGACCAACGACGTGCAAGGATGAAGATCCTAGACTTACCCACCGCTGTTCCATTACTTAGTCCAAAGTCCGCGGACTCCGATGAACTCCGTCAGCAACGAAACTACCTGCCGCTTATTAAAGAAGACATGAATCCCAATGCCTACTCCGCAGGCTTTGGCCAATTCCTACGGACAACTCTTTCATTAATCAGCACCCTCAACAAAGCGCTCACATTCTTCCTAAGCGAAACGCCAGGATCCACGCTGCTGTCATGGAGAACACCAGACAACGGAGGGGCCTTGGGCGCAGAAAGGTGAACTTCCCCACCAACCACGGCTGATGGCTTCATTGTGCTAACGGAAACGTCAGGCCTGCGACTTTTGTTGCCGTAGAAAGATGCGATGTGATGCAAAGAAACCCAAGTGCTCTGGGTGCTCTATGCACAATGTTGCCTGTGTATGGACACCAGGTCTGCCTACAGGGAAGACCCAGCCCAAATCTAGCAGGCAGGATAGGTAAGATCCCGATTTGTCATAGCTCTCCAATGGTAGAATCGACATGGCTGATATTGATACCCCGGTAGTGGTACGAATGATGACCGCTTCGTGAACATCGAAGACCGTCTACGAGCGATCGAAGCCCATCTATGGCGGACTGCTTCAGCCCCAGAGTCAGGTACCGGTGGACAACATGGGGCAGATTCATTTAATGAATACTCTCCTTCGCCGTCAGTCATCGCCGCAGTCAGTCCCAGCCATGGCAATGATTTACAAGGCTTTTACCAGCATGAGGCTGAAGATTTCCCTCTTCCTCCTCGGCATGAGATCGAGCCACTCATCTCGGACTACTTCAAAGGTTTCAACCAGGCATTACCCTTGTTTAGCCAAGAAGGCTTCATGGGAATGCTCCAAGAATGGTATCAGCGCCCAACTCAACGAGACCAAGCATCTTGGTCTGCAATAAATGTGGTCATCGCTTTGTCTCTGCGATATGCCGCATCTGAAGATACCATCTCCAGAGGCAATAGGGATACTATGGCTTCCACCTGCCTCAGTAACGCCCAGTCCACCATCGAAAGTCTCGTGTATCGTGATCAAGATCTGAAAGGATTGCAGGTTCTCTTGGGTTTGGTCTTCCTCTTCCAGGGCACTGCTCATCCTCACCCTACCTGCGTTTTGACTGCTACCGCTGTCAAGCTAGTCCATCGACTCAGGCTTCATCGAAAGAGCGACATGAATTATCGAGATTCTGTTGAGCGGGATCGCCTATTCTGGATCGCCTACATAATCGATCGAGATATCTCGGCCCATACTACTGAGCCATATCTGTTGCAGGATAATGACATTGATGTTGATGTCGACGGATGTACAGATTCCAGCGACACGGCCGGATATCTATTCGCAGGCAGCGAGGGACTTCGCATCAACTTTCTCCAGCTTCGCATTCAATTGGCTCACACGCAAGGCAAGGTATACGAACTCGTTCACTCTGTTCAAGCCTCGAGATTCTTCGCAGGTCGAAGACGGGGGGCCACTGACCGTCTACATCGAATGCTGGAAGAGTGGTACAGCAAGATCCCTGAACACTTCACAGTTGGAAAAGCTGCTCTGCTGGAACATGTCCCACGAAGGCATTGCATCTCACTTCACATTGCCTACTATCAGTGTCTTTTCTCAGCTCACCGGGTTCATGCCCCCAACATGACTTGGGTGCAGCGCTTGATAGACTTTAGTGATGGTCTTGAACGAGATGACATAGATGACTCGGAGGCAGGCCCTTCGTTACTACCACCATATTGGCCAACCCTGGTGGAAGCCGCAAGGTCATTTCTGGCACTGTTGGATCTCATCGAGGTTCATGATTCTGCGTTAAGATGGTAAGTCCGGTATTTCAAATGCTACAGTCCATTGCCACGGACTAATGTGAGAAAGGAGCGCAATTTGCACTTGCCAAGCCGCAATCATCATCCTAGCAGCAAACAATCTGGCCATCTCCAAGCATGACCTCCATGACCAGATCGAGGCCGATGCTGAGAAGACAGAGAACATCCTCAAAACGGTAGAGCAGCGGCTCGGCGAGTTTGGTGATGAATCGGTCAGAATGATGTTTGCAGTATGCTCTGATCTAAGCAGCAGAGCGGCATTGGCGGTCAACAGGTTTCGTGAAACTTCAGCGTCTAGATCAGTCTGGGAGGAGGAGGAAGTGGACTTATGATTTGTGGTACTTGCTAAGCCCGGCGTGTGTCTATGGTTTCTCGTTAATGGCCGCCTATCGCATATACGTTGATGAACGAGCTCGTACGTGACACAATTACCGATTATGTCTTGCCCACGCTACATGATGGACATCATCTCGATTAGGCTTTCACATCTTATTTCCTTGTCATACCCGTGGCTTCTGTCCGACGTTCTCTGTGTTCTTTTACAGATTACAATAGGTTCTCAAGACTTGCATGTGTGAAAAATCCTGGATATCTTGTAGAAGTTCTACGTGGAATTACTGTAATGACGAAGAAAAGAAAACTACCTCAGCAAAGGGCATTGAGTGTCATTGAGAGAGAATATGATAAAAGCCCACAATAAAAGACAATATTAGTGCCTTGATAAGAAACAAAACAGATATACTGGTACCTTGCACGTAACTCTGGGGGCCATTCCAGTATACGGCTCTTCGTCCTCGTCCCTCATCAATCCAAACTTCCTTGTTGTTTACAAAAGTCAATGATCTCAGTGATGCTTCTTTCCGGACTGATCCAATCCCGCCCCGCCCATTTCTGAAGCAGCCCAAGCGCAATATCTTGTTCAATCTTATAGGTCAAAGTCGGGTTACCGGGAACAAAGTCATCCGGGAACTCGACAGTAGGATATGCAGTGCGCAAGATGGCCAAACAATCATTCCAGTTCAAGGATCCAGCCAGGACCTGAATGCGTGAACCTTTGACATCTGGGTCGATGGCTGCCGCGACGTAAATGGTAGCCACGTCAAAGACGTGTGCGTAGTATACTGTAGATGCTGTCGTGATCAGCTTAGTAACCCCAACAGCGAGGCGTCGGACCGACTTACCAGCTGCAGTGTCTAGCATTGCATCTGTTTTCCCAAGATACAACTGCTGTAGGAGCTGCATTGGCAAAGGCAAAAGATGCCTTTCATGCAACGGATCACCCATGATCCAGCAAGGACTGACTGAGTTGACTACCCACGGCAGCTCATTCTCTTCCACATACTTCCACACTGCCTTCTCAGCTTCAACCTTGGAAGCTAAAAATACAGGAAGCATACGACTCCACTCATACGGGGGTGGCGCCCTCGCTGCCTCTACCATACCTTCATTCCACGTCTCCAAGTTGGTGATTGTCGACGAATCGCCAGGCACCGGCATGACCGCTGCCCAAAATGTCGATGAGAAGACGAACCGCTTGACAGAAGGGGCCTTGGCGGCAGCACGGCATACCGTCAAGGCAGCCTCGACCGTTGCAGGAATGGCCGTATCGGGATCTGGCGAAATATCACTGACGATTGCAAGATGGATCACGGCCGCAACGCCCTTCACGGCTTCGTCGAAATCGTCGGGCTTTGATGTGTCGGCAAGAACCAGCTCTACCCGCCCTTGATCAACGAACGGCTTTACAGAGGGATGGTCGAGGAGCCATTGGCTATATTCAAGATTCCGAACTGTACCGCGCACGTTGAAGCCTTGTTTGAGGAGCTCCATAACCACATGGCTACCGGAGTAGCCATTGGCCCCAGTAACAAGGACCCATGAACCTTGTGGAATGGCAGTTGGTGATTCGCTCATATTGAATGGCTGCGGGCGTGAGGATGAGGAGGAAATAATAGGTATTAAGATGACGAGAGGAGACAGAAGAGCTGATGAGCACGGCGCGGGTAATCCTCCCATTGGATCCAATGTCATTGGCGGGGTAGGTTCCACTATAGGGGCTTTAGTCGGTGATAATTGGTTCTTATAACCGCCCCTTTTTGTGGCTTTCCTGTCGCAAAGGGCGGCCTCTCGAATATTGCTTACGGCCTGCCTGTCAGACGAGAAGTGCTCAAGTTGGTTTAGCTTGAAGGCGAGCTCTATGAAAGACTGCGGGGTGAGCACGCCGGTCGCCTCGCCTTTGACGTACGCACTACGCACGCAAAGGGAATGTCGATTAGGCGTTGCCGGGATGGTAGGCTCTAGGGGTCGCATTGCACTGTAGGCTTTCAACAAATTCAACAATGTGTATCACTCATACTCATATCTCCTTACCTATAACTTCACATGTGACTCTCGTTGGAACCCAGTCCACGAGGTGGGGACTCAGCAGCAATTGTCAGCAAGACAAGGACAGACGAGACAAGCATTACTTAGAATGCTTGGTTTTTCCGTCAGGGTCCTTCCCCAGTGCATTCATTATCCCGCCCAGCACCTCGTCCTTGCTGTTAAAGTTCTTTTCGTCAAGGGCAGTCCGGATCTTCTTCAAAACATGCGAGCCTGTTGGGTCCTTCATGAGACTCTTCTCTTGTTCCTCTGTGAGCTTGTCGAGGAATTCCTGTAGCATCCCAGCCACAGGATCCATGTTGGTAGGCTGTGTCACAAGCTGGGAGCCATCGCCCACCACTTTGGACCCCTTTTTAGCCTTGTCTCCGAGAAGCGCAACCCAAAATGTATGAAGCAGCTTCCACGTTCGCACTGCGACTATCGTCGAGAGTAACGAGACGCCAGTCGAGATCAACTGGATGTGCCCGAGTGTCTGTGACTCGCTGAGGCCGAGGAGTTCGAGATACTGCTCCTCAATCTTGACAAGCGTGCCGTATGTTTGAGGATGCAAATCGGCCATGCTGCCGTACAACCTCTTGGCCTGTCGAAAGAATTGTAGAGCCTCGGAATACGGCTCCTGAGAGGTCCAGAAAGACAAGTTGCCGGTGACGGATCGCATCTGCTCGAATCGGCTGGGAAACACGCCAGGGAGGACCGGATCTCGCAAGGGTAGCTCAAACAAGCGAACCGCAACAGGATCATGGTTCGGCATAATCTCCACCTTTTTTGTCTTTGCCTCGGACTTGTCTGCCAGCTCCGCTTGTGGTGGTAACTCTGTAGTAAAATGAAGCAATGCCGGGCCAGTGATCCGCCACGCACTGCAAAGAAAGTTCCTGGGGCATGTAATATAGTGGAAGTTGGCTCGTCCGTAAAACTCATACTTGTCTCGATACTGAAGAAGCTGGTTGAATGCATTGTCCCACTCGTCGATATCTCCCTCCATAGGCTTGGATTGGGCTGATGCATAGATCCAGTGGTGCCAGGTTGGTGTGAATGAATGACGACGTCGTCTGCGGTAAAGATCACTAAGGCTGGCCAGTTGTTCCAACCGATTAGTGTCCCAATTGGTAGGCCTCTTGAGCCCTAATTTCTCAACCCAGTCGGTTGGGTTCCGTAGTTGCTGTATGTAATACGGTCGAATAATGGCATCGAGAAAACTAGTACGGCCAGGAACTGAAAGCCAACTGTACGCTTTGGCTGATACGGTATCTTGTACGAGAAACTTGGCTGTGTCACGAGAGTTCTGTAGGAACCACTGACCAAGGAAGACACCTTCGACAAGTCCAAGAATGATGGTACAAGCCGAGCATATGAGGACAAGGAGCATGCATAGCATGACCTTTCTCTTGAGCCATCGCCAAGAGTAGCGGATGTAGCCAAACATAGATGGTAGAATGTTGCTAACAGTAACGAGGGGATGAAAGGTGATGTGAAGAGGAGGAGGCAATGCAGAGGTGAGACATTGCCTATTTATGAGCTGTATTAATTGTGCTGCAGAGTCTTGGCTCTCCTCTAAGCGAAGGACCAATTTAAAATTACAAGATTATTGCCCTGCTTCGCGAGCTCTGGCTGGTCAGAGAACGAGCATCTGCTGCCTAGAACAAGGATTAAGCGAGTGACACGCTAAGTACCCACTTCCAGGTTGCCTACAGGGTTGGTAGCCTGTCTGCTGTGACGACAACACTCCGCAGCAACTTGATGAAATCTGCTCTAGAGTGACTTTTGAATCAATGATTTGGCCCTGTCGAGAGCCTCTTGTCAGCAGGGGAGTTATAAAGAGCCTCCTAAGGTAGGGGTGGCTCAATGCACTTCTTCTTAGATCCCAAATTGCTAGACCTGATAGTCCTAGCAAAGTTGGTTAATTTCTTACCTACTGAGCAAAATATTTGTTTGCTCGCGCCATTGTGTTTTTGCAAACAGTTAAAGCCCGATCCTTGATGGGATAACTGAACTAGACGACCGTATACACTCGCCTGTTCCTGGAGGAAAGAGACCGAATTCCAGTTGTGCCGCTTTGAGTGGTAAGTTGAAAGAGAACACTATCAACTGACAAGCTGGGGATGATCAACCAGCCGGGCACAGCTAGGAATGGATGGCTTTTGGTACTGGTCCTGCACGTTATTGGGGCACTCAGCTTGGCAAGGGGGGCACAAGATGCGGATACCTACTCTGCTGGCCTCATAAGGGCTTTAGACAGGCAGGTTTCCCAGGTTCAAAATCAAAGGGACAGTGTAGGCACATATAAATGAATTCCTAGGGCTATTTATTAATACAAGTTAAGTCTTCTATATTATAAAGCGAAAGTTTAAAAATAATTTTTTTCATGAGACACACAACTTTAGTGATATAGATATACTAACCCAAGCCTGAATTGCACTATTAATAGGATCCCCGAGACGTATCTTTCTTACATATTCTCCTTGCCTCCATATTCTTCCTAAACCAAACCGCATCCTGAATCATAAAATCGAAATCCGTGACCCATCCGTCCTTCATTCCTCTCCCTGCTTCAGCTAGCGGCTCGTCCCCTGAGCAAGCTCTGCTGTTTTGTCGGCCCACGCCTGTATCTCCTTATTGACGGCCTTGTTTGAGCAAATCCACGAAATCACGGCCCGCCCATCGCGTTTCGAAAATACGAGGATGTAGTCGGTTTTACTGCGTGGATTGAGCGCAACGGCCTGATGGAACGTAAGATGTTGTGCCCACGGCACCACCGTCTGGGGAAACTTACAAGTACGTTCAGCGGCTTCTCGGCTTCTAGAAATTGCTGGAGCTGTGGGTAATAGTTCTTCAGATCACACCTGTACCTCAGCTTCCTGCTGGAACCGTACGAGATGAGGTAACTGGTCCCATACCCTAGTGCGACGGCCTGGATGCCACAGTTGGCCTTCTTCTTGGACTTCTTGACCACCTCCTTGAGCACGGTGACGGTCGTGTCGTACGCATAGCAGCTCCAAGAACCGTCTGTCCACCGGGCATAATATTGCTCATCGGCACCGAGGGCACAAACTGTGAGGTGTTGGTCCCCGTTGCCCCTGAACTTGCCGTCCAAGTGAGGATAGCACCGCTCAAAAAACTTGCTTCGTCCTGCCATGCTAGTTCAGCTCAGTTACTATAGATTGCTTGTTTCGAGCTTACCCCAGGACTCGTCTGAGTAGCGCGCAACCCAGGATATTTTGTCGTCTAATCGTTCCCCGACTATCGTGGCGCTTGCCTTCGTTCCTGGAGGCGCGCGTCGATCAGGATCGGGAACATTGCTAGCCCAGACCTGTCAGTACTTGCTTGGCTCTGTCACCAATATGACTTACCTGTTGGAACTTCCGCCGCTTGCCAAGCTAAACCCGTTTCCAAACCACGAGACTGAAAACGGTGGGAACGCTTTCAGTTCCTTGGCTTTTCCATGCACGGCTCGGCCACCAGCTGCTCTCTTGGGAAGATTGCCGTGGGCAGCATGTTTCTCCTGCTGCTCCCGCAGCGCCTTTTCCATGCGGGCGACCCTCTCGTCACGCCGGGCAATGAGGCTCTCCATAGTTACACGGAGGGCGGCCGTCTTGTTCTCCGCCTGCTCGATCATGCGCGTGTACCTGTCGCGCTCCTCACGCATGATCTTCTCCACCTCCTTGTCGTTTTTCTCCATGGCCGCTTCCATATCTGCCTGCACTAGCCGGAGCTGCTCGGCCCATCGCTCCCTTTCCTTCAGCAGCTCGCTCTGCAGCTCCTTGCCGGCCGATGTCTGATCTAGCGTGCGGCCTTCGTCGACGAGCTGTCTCTGCAGATCTGTGACGAACTTCTTGTCGTGATTGGCCAGCTGGTCGATGATCTTCTTTGCCGAATCTTGCGTATTGTAATGCCGGTGAACCTTGCTTCCTTTCTCAACCATCCAGCCCCAGAACTCCTGCGTGTCCATCAACTCGGCTTCTCTTCGGTAGCCTCTCTTCTCCGAGACCTTGTCCCACATGGTTGTGGCAAGGATCACCTTCTGGAGGGCATCTTCTCCGCACAGCTCTCTGAACAGGACTAGATTCCTCTTGGCCGAACCCTGCATCCGGACATCGGTAATGCGATGTAGGTATATGATGCCATGAAGCAAAATTTTATTTTGGTATGAGTCTGCAAGCCACGCAGCTATTTCTCTGAGGACCTCATTATCACTCTTATCCGTGTCGTCAAACCCGGGAGTATCGATGAGATAGACGGTGCGGTCTTCAAAGAGGTTGCATGGATAGACATCAACGGTTGTTGTGCCTGGTTATTGTCAGATCCTCGCCTGCTGCTTCTCTACCCCTAGTTCATGGCTTCCAGTGACTTACACGCTTCGAGGCGATGGCCAATCTTGACGCGTTTCCCAGAGCACATCGAGATGAAGGAGCTCTTGCCCGACCCTGTGACGCCCATTACGGCGATGAAGACATCGCTCGGTCTGTCTCCAAAGTTAACAAGACCTTCGGTACAGAGGAATTCAGTGTCGCTGACTCACTTGGGAGTCCGGCCATTGCGGAAGCCTTTTGACTTTGATAGCGGTGAACTTGAAGGTTCCTCCGAGTCGGAATCCGAAAAACTGGCATCAGATTCAGATTCTCCTGAATCGTCATCCGACTCTTCCATTTCGACCCTTGGGGTCTCGTAGGTAGTAGCTGTGGCAGATATCCGTAGAGGGCCGGCAGACTCGGGAGCTGGCAATCTTTTGTATTCCAGTGCGTTGAAGGTAGAATAGCTAACACCTGGTCATGGTTCAGAGAGAGTCTCCTAGTATTAGAACGATGTAGCTCACTCGGTATCATCTTGGTGCTGGCCAGGACTGGACTTGATTGAGCAGCTACTGAGATAATTCGTCGATCTGATATTTCCTTGATTATGAACTAAAGGCTCGGCTCCGGAACTGGCGTTGAATTTGACTGATTTGAAAGTGCAATTCCCACTCGACACGTCACAAGGTCAGCCGCAGGCCGCGAGGCATAATGAGTCGACATATGCTATCATACCACGCATCCGAGCATCTGCAGCCAAACGGTGCTCGATTGGATCAAATTTCTGCAAGTTGGTTAGTCAACCCGGGCAGGGAGACAAGGATGCAGCGAACTGTTATCAAGGGTATTTATACATTAAAAGGCCATCAATAATGTCGACTAGGCCATTGCATTTGAGGGAGATTTGAGCAATAACTACACTCCTTGCAAGAAGGTACCAACATCTCTTGCTAAGATCTCTTAGATGCAACAGTTTCTCGTTGGGCTTCAAGCACTGAAGGCCTTCATGGTCGGGCATCTACTGTACTACCTGCAGGTGCATCCATCTGACCACCCTCCAGTTGATATCTACCCAATGAACTGGAAGATACCACAAACTTCTCCACAGAATTCCCTGCTCCTGGGCTTGAAAAACCCCGCGCTGTTCGCCTGAATGAACGCCTTGAAGGCTGTGCTTATGGCCAGGCGGATTGATGGCGAACAGCCCCTCATTAGGAAGAAAAGAACTCCTTGGAACAGTTCTTTGCCTTCTTTTCAGTATTACAAGTTTCGTCATCTTCAAAACTTGCACGTTCGTTCTCATGTAGTTTCTCGCGTAGTGCTGTTTTTCCAATTGAACCCGCCTTTCCCGTTTCTTTCATCCATTCATTACGTCGCATCACAAACAAACCCTTGCCCTCACAGAAACCATCGCTACGTATAGAGACGCCACGGGGGTCCGGTCTCATTTTTCATCGACATTCGCCTTCGCCGTGTGCGAGCTTCTAGTCAGCTATGGAGGATACAGAAGTAGATGCAGGAACATTGGCCGACGAATTCCAACGTTTCTCGGCTTTCCTAGGTCTCACAAAACCTGACCCGAGGGATGTCTTCATACTTGTTCTGGGGAGGACAGGCTCCGGCAAAAGCACCTTCATCTCTCGGTGCACAGGCAAAGCTGCCACTGTCGGCCACGGATTAAACTCATGCAAGATTATCCTGGGAATTGATAGCGACTGAAGTTTCCTAACAGTTGTCTAGGTACTAGCTCCATAGATGTCTTTCAATTCACGCAGAATGAACGACGGGTCTACCTGGTCGATACACCCGGTTTCAATGACACCAATCGCCCCGATATCGACACCCTTCGTATCTTGGCCACTTACCTCAGTGCCTCGTATGTAAATGGTGTCCGCATACATGGCATCGTTTTTTTACATCCTATTTCAGATAATCGAATGACAGGGTCAGCGTTGCGAAACATTAGGATGATCAAGGCCGTGTGTGGATTTTCATCTTACGAGAACCTCGCCATTGCGACCACCATGTGGCCCGAGGAGACTTCATATGTGGAAGCGAAGAGTCTTGAGGATCGGGAAAATGACATGATGACCAACGATAGGTACTTTGGTGACTTGGTCGCCGAGGGCGCAACTGTGTTTCGCCATGGTCAAACAGATTGCAGGAACCCGTCTAAGAGGCTAGCCTCTGCCCAGGACGTCACCAACCATCTTGTGGCCCGGCTGGAGAGACGCGCGCCTGAGGTTCTCCGGCTGCAAGGGGAAATGGTCGACGAGAAGAAATCGTTGGGCGAGACAGCCGCGGGCAACGCGGTCGCCGAGGATCTCGAAAAGGTATGGATAGCGTGCAAAAAAGAACTGATAGAACTCGAGGCGAGCATCAAGAGCCGACTAGCTGGGGTCAACGCGGCATATGCTTCCCAGCTACAGGAGCAGAGATCGGACATTGAAAAGAGATTCAAGGTGGTGGACCACAGCAGGCGAGCGCTCAAGAAGTCGATGCGAGACTTGCACAAGCAGGAGGAGAAGGCTGTGAGACAGCGGGTTGAAAATGCGGATAGGAGTCTCCGCGCCCAGATTACTGAGAAGGAGAAGAAGATAAAGAACATAGAGAAGTCTCTACTCGAGCAGAGAGAGGAGACGTGTAAGGACGGCGCTCAAGGGCCCCAAGAGACCAGCCGAAGACGGGAAAAGCAGAAGCAACCAGAGCGGCAACACCAATATCAAACAGGGGCACGAGTTCAACAACTATCCAACTCACACCGGTCGGTACGAAGCAAGACTGGAGAAGGGGAAGACAGGGATAGACTGATCAGCGACATGAAGGAGATCGAAGAATTGAAAAGGGGGCTTCTGAAGAGCCAGGACGCGTACGAGAGGTTCCACGGCCAGACAGGCAATCTCTGGAACGGGACAATGAATGGAGTTGCCGCGGGGGTAGCGTCAGGTGTTATCGGTATCGGTAAGAGCTCCAACCTGTGCTTCCAGAACCCCAAAGGTATGCATGCTAATGTGGGTAGCAGTATCAGCAGCTACTTGTACTGTGATGTAGGAGAGGTACCCAATAGCTCGATACCCGCGATAAGGGATATAGACCACCATCTAGAAATATACTATTCAAGGAGCATATAGCATAGGCACTTCTACTGTAGGCAGTAGGAAGCCTAAAAAGGGCCATTATGTTAGCATCGGGATATAATACTATGATATATTAACAACGTGTTCCTTGTTCCAATTAAAGCCTAACCCGTAATGGGTTAACTGAGCCAGAAGATCGGGCCAGAAGATCAAATATCCCATGACGTACCTGAGAGCTATGTTATGATTACATCCCACTTTTCTGGTCAGCGGTATAGAATTAAAGGCCTCAACGGCTCTCTCACGGATTTCTTAGCCTACAGGGGGTTCCGCCATAGTTTCCAACCATTCCGGATATCTCGAAACGATTTTTTCTTCAGCCGAGAATTCCAGTCTCCTCGAGACAGATGGGATATAGTCTTTAGAGGTAGCACAGCCATTGGCCGTGGGCCCGCAGTCGGGGCTCGAGACGAGTAGCCCTCACTTCAGTTGACCCTTTCTCCCCCATAGCTCTGATTAGCGCTTCCGAGGCCTTGGCCTTCTCTTTACGGAGGGCAGCGGCCATAGTGGCTCCATGACTGGGCTTCTTGAGGTTATCATCGAGCTGACCTCTGGCCCCGGTTCTTGGCTCTATTCCTCCTTGGCTCTCTTGCTAATAACTGATACGTGAAAGGGTTCGCGTGGCCCATACCCATCTTTGTGAGCCTCGCAAGTGCAGCGCAGCTAGCGAGCATCATCATCATCACGATACATCACTTTTGCTCTCTGATCTTCCTTTCTGCCTCACTAATTCAAAGTTAGCGTCGTGCTTCGCCAATTTTTAAATGGAGCCTCTTTTACATACTGCCTCTGAATATGGCGATCTAATAGGTCCTTTCGATAGAACGCTTTATCGCAATCGGGAAAGTCACAAGGGAAACCTGGCTCGATGTGACTCAGCTCGTGTCGCCTGCATTGCCGTTAACTAGTGTTTGACGCTATCTTGTAACGACAGTGACCAACCTTAGATGATCTGCCCGAGAAAAGGTCTAAATACGTCAGTAATGTTAGATCTAGCATAGAAATTGAATTGACATCGTACCTTGTCACAGTTGCCACAGGTATAACCTTTAGAAGAGCTGGCTTTTGGCATCCCTAGTAGATGAGCGTATGGTCACAACGTGAGCATCGAACACTTACCATGATCTATATCTCTGTAATGCGTAATGATCTCTCGCTCGATCTTTGGTCCTCGAATAATCTGGGGCGATGGTGGCGGAGCAGCACCGTTTTCCGTAGTTGGCGTGGCCATTCCCTCTTCGAATCTTGACGAGATTTCTCCGGAGGGTATCTCAGGATTATCATCTTGGGCCTTCCATTCCCCTGACAAGAAACGCTCGCCGCGTGCCTCACGGGTCAATTTCGTGTGCTTCCACATCTGGTCTTGTTCCCACTCAGGCACCCAACGCTTGATCAACACATACTCAGGATCTGGATCGAGGTCAAAGTCAACGCTGAACGTCCGCAATGTCTCAATAGACAGATGCTTGCGAGACATGCGTGTGAAGACCGGTTGAGCGCCCTGCACAACTGGTTCTGGTGCGTCGTGCGGGTCGATGGAATTGATGGGGCCCTGCTGCCCGGTCATAATTCTCTCCATGGGGGCCCTGGAGCCTTCCCCAGGCTCGCCCATGCTAACCTTCTCGAGCCGTGGTGACGGAGACGGGTTTCCAGAAATGGCCTCGGAGTTCGACCGTCTGAAAACTGGGCGAGCTGGCTGTTCAGCCCCTGACGCTGCCTTAGATTCAACACTTGCGTTCTGTTTAGGAAGCATTTCTTCTATTTTAGCGATACGGGTCATGTACCTCTGCCGCTACAACGGATGTATCAGTACTGATGGGACATTTCAGGAGAATGACTTACAATTGACTGAATTGTGCCCTTGTTTTCGCTACTCCATGTCATCTGTAAGGCCTGATCTAGGAGGTCGCAGGCTTTCAAGTAATCTTCCTTGGCATATTGGAAGCTCTGGAGCTCATCGAGCTGGGTCGCAATAGTGCCAAATCCCAAAGCGCTTGAGAGAAGACGGTTTTGTGGCGTAGGACTAGCTCCCGTGTTGGGCCCGCGTGCTTCCTTTGACGACTCGTCCGTTCCTAAAATGAATTTCTGCTCCTTTATGACTTCGTTTGTTACATTTCTGGTGTCTTGCTGCAACGTCTGGGGTCCTTCTAGTGGTTGATCTGGACTGTCATCTCTCTCTGTTGATGGGTCGTTTGCCTCTCGGTGTGGCGGGTCATGCTCATGCTCGCTTCTCTCACCCACACCACGTTCGCTGTTGTCCTCTGCAGCTCGGATACTGTATTTAGACTCCTCCCGCTCCCTAGACTGAACTTCTTGTTCCACCTGATCACCCGCCCCGTTGAGTTGCTCATCAGACTGATGCGAAGAAAACCCGGAAATGCCAGAGCCCACCGATCCGACATGAATGTCGGATCCTACATCATTCTGTTCGTCACTTTCAGCGCCATCCTCTGGCACCTCGTCCCTCATATCTGGAAGAGCGAACAAAGCAAGCTGTTCCATATGTCGGCCGACGTGCTTGATATAAGAATTCGAGCTAGAAACGATGTGCCCACAAAGCGGACATTCCTTAGCAAAATCGTATGGCACAGGCACTTCACCACGAGCTACCACGGCTTTGAGATGCTCGTTGTTTGCGTCTGGTAGGTGCTGATGGCGAATGTGATCCTCGAGTTCCATTGAAGAGGGGAACATGCCCCTGCACTTGAAGGGACAAGACCATGCCCGCCAGTGATACTGGGTGACATGGAGCTGCCATCGGTGACGTCGATCAAAGTCGGTGTTTGATTCGGCACACCGCGAGAAGAGACAAGTGTACGGCCGCAAATCCCCAAAAACGTGGCGCCTAGAAGAATCATCAGGCATTGTCAGATTTATGGCTAAATGAACTCACTTCCATGTTCTTCGGGTACGAGCAGATACCATTCTGTAACAGAATGGACACTCAAAAGCACCCTTCTCCGCCTCGGGCGGCGGGGGAGGAACCTTGAGTGGGGGAGCTGGCTTCATCCGTCCGTCCTCTTGCATCAGAAAGCCGGCCGAGGTAGCATACGACGTCTCCGAGATGGCCGTATCGGATCGGTTGTCCTCATCAATCACTGTGGTTCCCTTGAAGTGCTCCGCAAGCGAAGATGCCACGGTTTTCGGGATAATCTCTGTCCGGCTCGTGTCCTTCTGGGCCTCCTGGTCCAGGCCTGCCGCCAACTTGGCATGGTGTGCCTCGCGATATTTGAAGAACTGGCGTCGGCGGGTGATGAACTTCCCCAGAACATCAGATAAGCCTTTGTTGGCTTTAGGGAACTTGTCTCTGACGTAGCGAATATCGTGTGCCTCGTAGAAGGATACGTCCTCAGATAGGCCAGCGCCGAGCTTTCGGAACCTCTCATGTGGTGCTGGATTGGCGATGGCGACAGAGAGTCGTAGCAGACAATCAATGGCCTCGCAAATATCCGTAAGAAGTGACGATAATCTTGTTTCTGGCGAGACATCCTCATCGTCTTCGAGATCCGAGTCAGTGAAATCGTCTTGGTTGCCTTGACTGAGGCTTTCTTGCGGAAATGCTGGCTCATCCTGCTTATTCTCGATATTTATAGGAGATTTACGATGCGTAATGAGGACCATAGTATCTCCCAGAGACTCGGATATGTCAAGGAGAAGGTAGACAACCTGTTCCTGTACATGAGGCGCCTCTCTCAGCCGGTGATCGAGTGAAGCTTGGCCGCTCTGGTGAGCGGCTAGGTTGCCAGCCCACATCTTGAAGCGGGTGATCTCATTCTCGAAAGTTGGAAGTAGTTTGCACAAGCTGTAAGACTCGCACTGGTCATCGAAGGACTTGGTGTCCTGCTTCAATGATGTGGCAACGTTCCGAAATAACTTGAGGACGTTTTGGACATTATGCGCAATCACCCCTCGCTCCTGGCTGCGATCCATGGCGAAGGATGAGCACAACGGGGGCCAGATGGCCGAAAGGGGGTTCTCGGGATAGCGAATTTGTGATTTCCCTCTGAAATATGCGCGTGTAGCTCTTCAAAAACGCTCAGCGAGGTTAGAAAGAACGAGTTCAGACCTCATCAGGCTCCCATTCTTTGCCGCTTTCAGTCGCGTGCGGGGTAAGTTGAAAACAGGCTTGTCATTGGGCTGGGCATATGCAGGTCGAAATGTGATCTTTCAGCCTCAATGGCAATCGCTCACACAAACTCGGCTCACTCAATCGACGACCCTCAAGATCTGACTGAACGGTACATGATTCCCTTCGCCGACAATGTCTGGCTTCGAAGTCGCAGGCATTGTCCTAGGGACACTTCCTCTTGTGGTTACAGCCTTGGAGGCTTACAGCAACTTCCTGCGAGACTGGGGCAAGGCTCCAGCCGAGCTGAGGAGTCTCAACCGGCAGTTGTCCACTGAGCAGACGAGACTACGCAACGTCTGTGAACAGCTTGTTAGCGATGTAGTGCCGCACCGAGATGTTGAGCCGATGCTGCAAAATGCATTTGGGCCTCTGTGGCAGGAGAAGGAGACCAACGACAAGATTCGGCGGAGGCTGTGGGATTCGTACGGCCCGTTCGAGGATACTATCAAGGAAGTCGAAGAAGCTCTAGACAGTGTGATCAAGCGACTGAGAATTGATGTATCGCAGGATGGAAAAGTCAGTATATGTGTTCCTTCCAACCAGCTACTAACTGACATGATCCAGGTTCAATGGATTGAAAGAAAGATGGTCACCCGCGACTTCAAGAAGCTGCTCTACCGTCTCAATCGAAAGGACTACCAAGAAGCTCTCGAGGCCATCTCCAAGGGTGTCACAAGCCTTGAGGGCCTGGCACAACAGAGCATCAAACTTGAGCCCAGACGCCGAAAGCAGTCGCGATGCAAGGTTCTCAACGTCTTGAGAGATCTATCCACAAGCATCTACCGGGCCCTCTGCTCCAGTATTCTTTGTACTGACTCGCATGACGTCAGCCTTGAGTTGGCGACAAGATTCATCGAGGTTGGCCATGAGTGCGATGATGAGAAGATCGTTCAAGATGCTCAGTTCAAGGTGGCCATCTCCTTTGAAGTGACCAAAGGCCCAATAAGGAAGAGGTTCTGGGATGAAGTCAACATCAAAACTGCGACAATCTCAATGGCCGGGCCATCTGGGCCACGCGTTGTTGTCACGAAGACGAAGAACTCGAAGCGTGTCTCATTCGGCATTGATCGAGCACTTTCCCGTTTACGTCTGACGGAGCCTGCCACAGATGTGACGCCTAACCTGAAGACGGCTATGGCTTTGTTCAATCGACCTGTTACCGACATTGCATTCATCAAAACCCCCGAGGAGAGCAATGATACGCCAACAATAACCCCTCTCAATCTATGTCTCGCTCTCCAAAACGCTCACAAAGAGAGACCCCAATGCTATGGTCACCTGATCGATCAACAATGTAGCCACCGCCACTTCCAAGTGTGTCCGCTGGGGACCGCAATCGACAGCGATGGCTGGTCGATAGTGACTCTTGACGAAGTTCTTGAGGGCAAAAAAGGACTCACGCCATTAATATCGTTGGCGGAAAAGGTCAGGCTCGCACTTGCCATAGCCTCTAGTGTACTCCAGCTGAGCAAGACTCCTTGGCTTCCCGAGGCACTAACTCGGAAGAATGTGCATTTCTTCAGACGCGGCGATTCGCTCTCATACGAACATCCGTTCCTACAGAGGAGACTCCCCGAACATTCAGCCAAATACCCCAGAAATGGCAGTGAGAGCGAGAGCTGCTCACTTTCAAACAACCCTACGCTCTTTGCACTCGGCATACTGCTGCTGGAGATTATCCTAGGTTCTTCACTCGACCAGCTATGGAAGGCAGACGACAAAGGCCCAGATGACGAAAACCCGAGTCTCATTCGCGACTTGATTATTGCGAATCGGATGCTGGAGCAGAGAGTTGCCTTGATTAACCCAGCGTACAAAGCAGTGGTAGAAAGGTGTATAGGATGTACTGAATCTAAGGGGCTGGACGAAGAGGAATTCCGACAGACTGTTTACAATGGCGTTGTCATGGAACTAGAAGCAATATCTGAGTTTACAAAGCTGGGGATATAAGGGACTGCTCTTTAATAATGATAGGGTAGCTATGATTAATTCATCAACAACAAGTAAAGCCAGAAACTAGTTAATAGCTTTCCTGGCTCTCTGATAAGGAGAACCTCGACGCTTACCAGCCCCACTACTTTAAAGCGTGTCTCCGGGGCGGCGCCACTAGTTCTGAATTGCTTGCCTGATAACGTTAGTGGACATGGTCCTTCGCGCTGCAGTGATCGTTCACTTGACGCAGAGGCTAGAGCAGTTAAATTGCCCCATGAGAGGCTTAGCCTTTCATGACGATGCGACTAGGTGTGACTCGTCTGTCGCAGCAGAAAGTTCAAAAAAGGCCACTGTGTTAACATCAGGATATAATACTATGATGTATTGATAACGTATAATGGCTTCATTCGCATGGATTAATCAGATCTGCTATGCTTCTGTCGCAATGGATACGACGATTTTCGGGTATTTTACGCTAAATATAAAGATAACTCCCTTGGGCTCTAAGAGCGAAATGTCCAACATCATCCTTGCTGCCTTTCTTAAGATGTTCTTAGGTTTTACCGACCTCTCACAATAAGCCAATGTCTGCTGCACCCCGTCGTATCTCGGCCCGAGATACTAAAGAGCGGGTCGCTCCGATCGGTGCGGTGGTGCCTCTAGGCACGGAATCTCTATCCGTTCACACCCAAGTTGATCCTAAGTATCCCGCCCCAGTATCACGTCCTCGGCCCGTCGTGACATTTCATGATTCGCCCATATGCCATCCTTAGCCTCATTTCTCGGCTCGGAATCCTTAGCCATCAGGATTGTTTCTTCCCATCCACTGATTAGCTTATCTCACTCCGTGTGGAACCGTCATGATGTGCGGGGTGCGGATCGTGATTCCGAGTAGGATCTGTTACCGATCGCGGGGTATATGAAGACGAGGATTTCGCCATACGCTTTCATCCATTTGAAACATCCATGCTACATTCTTACATCACCACAAACATGGTCGAAGTCAGGCAATATCACCTAATCCCAACGCACCTTATTCCAAACTCGCCCCGTCCCCTCCTCCACTATAAGAATGTCCTATTAAAGCGGCCTGGTACTGCCCATTGCGACCCAACAGAGGTCTGGGATATGTTTACCAATAATGAATGGAACGTGGCGTGGATATTTCGCTATGGGTCAACTCAACTATCACACTTCCACTCTAAGGCTCATGAATGTATGGCCGTCCTTTCTGGTACCGCGACAATTCGATTTGGCGTTGCCGACACCTCAGAAGATCTAGAGGAAAATACATATGGGTCTGCCTGGGAGGAAGGCGGAGTTGAACTACAGGCAGAAGCTGGCGATGTATTTATTATCCCTGCTGGCGTGGCACATAAGACGTATGACGTTAAGCCCGATGAAGGATTTAAACTATTGACGCCCGGAGGAGGACATGGCATTGAAGCCGATGATCCGAGGAAGGTCTTGTCAGAGATTCAATTATCAGGTTATACTATGATGGGAGCGTATAACGGCGGCGATTGGGACTTTGTCCAGAGTGGAGGAGACTTTGAAAAGTCTTGGGCTATTCCGAAGCCAAAGAATGACCCTGTCTTAGGTCAATCATCCCAGGGGCTATGCAAGACATGGAGGGGCAATGACAGGGCTCCGGAGGGCCGCAAAATCGCTTATAAGGACGGCGCTGCTATCCAGAGTCCACTTGCGAAGTTGTAACTTGTTCAGCAATAGTCCGTAATTCCATCGATTGATCTGCCATGAAGCGTGTTGGATATTGATGGAGACACGTGAAGTATTACTCTCGGTAAAATGCCAATACTGACCTTCTCCATAAGCGCAAATTTCTATAAGCAACATAACAGAAGAGCACTACCCTGTGGCCCAAAGACTGCGTGAGAAACACAAGTCGTTACATTCTCAATGCCCTCTAGCCAATACAAAACACGTAAGCATTCTTTCCTTATGTGATCAAAATAAAATAACGTGTAGGTAACTAGAATGCTTTCAGATAATACTATGTCTGGCTTGATCTCTAGGGCATGTATTCTTCCATGCTTCAGTTCATCCTTGTTTTATCTGGCCAGTCACCGCCAGTAAGTCGCAGAGGTGGCCTTGGTGATGTTTATCCACGCCTCATCCAAAGTCTGAACCACTTCCTCTGGCAGTGGCCCCTTGTAGATATTGTCCAAGTTATCCTTGAGCTGTTGTAGGCTGCTTACTCCGACCAAAATACCATCGTTGCTGCCCTCGCCAACGCCGTTAAACTTGAGCAGGCCGTGGTGAATCACCCATCGGAATGCGACCTCCACCAAAGTAAGGTTATGTTTCTGCACCACAGGTTCGATATATCGCAAAGCCTCGAAGGTCGAGTCCTTGAAGAAGCGGTCGCGGTACAACTGGCCCTGCCTGTCGTTGATACTGGAGAATCGCCCTTCGCTGGGAATGTCGGTTGACTTGTATTTCCCCGAAAGGACGCCACCGGCCAGCTAGAGGTGTGTTAATGGTCACTGAACGCCTCAACCTGGGCAATAAATACTCACTGGATTGTAGGCAATGATGGTGATGCCGTATTTGCGGCAGCAGGGAACCAGCTCAGTGTCAATATCTCTCGTGATGGCATTGTACATGGCCTGGTAAACAGTAGGTTTCACGTATCCCCTCTCGTTGGCAATGTTCCATAGCTCCGAGACTTCCCACGCCGCATAGTTGGACAGACCGAGCTGGCGGAACTTGCCCTCGTTGTACAGGTCGTTGACGGCCTCCAGGGTTTCAGCAAAGGGCACGGAGCGGTCAGGCGCATGCAAATAAAAGATGTCGATGGAATCGGCGCCTAATTCCTTTAGCGACGTCTCGAATATGCTTCTGAGCTTGGCAGCGGTATGGAAACCTGGCTCGCGAGGGTAGACCTTAGTGGCTACCTTCAGGCCGCGCTGCTGCCACTCGGCCTCACGCGTGAAGGCCTCTTGCTTGCCATCGACGTAGATGCGGGCGGTGTCGATCTCGGCGTAGCCCTCGCCCTGGAAGTAATCGAGGCATGCCTTGAAGTCGCTGAGAGAGGTGATGCGAGCACCATTAGGTTCGGACCCGGGTGGCCCAAAGGTCATCAGACCCAGAATAACGCGGGGCTTGTTGGTTGAGTTTGCCATGGTGAATTTGGTCGAGATTTGTCTTGTGAGAGCTGACAGTCGTCTTGCTGCAGAGGCGGTGGAAGTGTGAAGCCAGGCTACCATGGATTGAAAACCAGATGAGGAGGAGGCCTTGGAGAGACCGTGCCTGACTGATCAATCACGTTATCTGTCGTTCTTATCAACTGAGCATTTTGAGGCCGATCTTGCGTTCAAAGGACCGAGATCGGCGATGACGTGACCATTAGGTCCTTCGTCTGCTCGACTCGCAAGGATCTTGCTTCCCCGCGTTTCTTCCACGCGCCCGAGACGGCGTCCTCATCCGTTCCAGGTCGGGGCTCACGCCGACTCGCCTGTCTCAAGATGATACCGCCCGGGCTCACGATTGCGGGCAGGATTGATGGTGGTGTTGGTTCTGCTCCAACTCCCGAGTGCTTACAACACAAGATAACACTTCGATATTTGCGGGTCCATCTTGTTGAAACGGATCGAGAAGCACATTATCGCTGACCAGCTTTTGGAAAAAGAGCTATAATACTATCTCCTAAGTGGGTGAAGCCCTGAGCTAAGTAGCTATCCCCTGTGTTATACCGTTAACTGCTAGTACACTCTCTAGGTGGCCTCAGGGAGCATGGCTTTTACAGCTTTGGCTGATTCACGAACTGTGTCGATGTGTGGAAAGATGACTCTCTGCGCGCTGTCGTCTAGGACTCTCTGTATGAAGCTCCTACGACAATGGCTTGGAATACGGATGAAGGGGGATAGGCTGCAAGTCAGAGCTTGGACATAGAGCTTGTTTGCCGCCTCCAGGATCAAAGCAGAGTGCTCCAGGTCAACAAAAATGCCATCAAAGCCAGTGTTGACAAATAAATGTGTGAGCTCGATTGCCGTCACAACTTTGACCTCGAAGACCTGAAAATAAGAGAAAGGATCAGTCTTTCACTCAACGCATGCGTGTTCTGTGCACTGGATGATGAAGTCTTAGGGCATATTCAATATTCACGTTGCAAACCTTGCCCTGAGAGATGAACTTGTTGAGTCTGTTTGGGTAACTTTCCGTGGTTGAAATTTGCTTTGTAGAAGGGTTGAATCTCGTGGAGCTAGCAGGACCTGGCTTGATTGGGACTTGTCTTTGGTATTTGTCTGGTATAGCATAGGGCGAGTTCCTCAGTCGAGGTCAGAACAGAGCAGCGAGACAAGAACGAGGCGATAAGAGTTTAAACCATTGATTGGTCCGGCCTCGTTGTCCGGGGCCAATCAGCCATAGTCTCCCAGCGGTATGAAGACGCATAAGGAACGCGGGCTCATTTGCTGACATTTATTTCTCTCAAGGTATCTCCGAGAGCTCCAGCGTACAGCAGCGCACCAGGAAGCAGATGAGGCATCAGAGGCTGCCGACACAATCCCAGTGGCAATAAAGGACCAGGAATCTCAACTCTACCAGAGGTATGTATGTACTTTAACTCTCCGTACATCCACTTTACGAATCCTCCCACGAGTGAACCCGAGAGCAACTTGACAAATCCACTGGCATCTGCAACTTCAACTTATTTGACATGTAATGACGGCCGTCAACGTGAGTAAGCCAAGGATATCCTCAAAGAAGGGAGTGGGCTAACTTAGGAAGGATCTCTGGGAGAATCATCAACATGGTCGTTCACCCAGAGAACGTTGATCTTCATACGAGGTCATCTGAATCACCCCGAGTCTCCTGAGATCTCCATCAACGAAGAGAGTATCGCATATGCACTAACATGGGGCTCCCAAGGGTTTGACGAGCCCTCTAACTTCAGTGACCTGCCATCCATCGACCATGCTCTCTACCTGGCAAATGCCGCCAAGTTCCACGTCGGCCAACTATTCCACCTGCTGGGCGACCAAGAGTTCATGCGCCATTTACACGAGTTCTACGAGAACCCAGAAAAGAAGGCGAAGAGCTCGAGGATCTGGTTTGTGCAGTTTCTCGCGGTTACAAGCTTGGGCAAGTCATGTGGCACGTCGAGTCGGCCTGGCGCACGATCTCCTCCGGGGTCCGACTTGTTCATCCGAGCCATGTCTCTTTTACCAGATCCATCATATCTATTCAATGACCCTTTGACTGCGATAGAGATACTCTGCACCATTTCGCTATATCTGCAATCAGTTGACATGCGAAATTCGGCATTCATATATGTGAGTAGTTGATTAACATCTAGAGACCTGAACCTGAAAGGTTAACGTTGCGGATTCGGGACAGCTGACATCTGTTAGATCGGCCAAGCACTTCGAATGTCTCTCCTTTTCGGCATCCACTTGGAGAGACCATCCAAAGACTGGGATCCTCGCGTGGTAGAACGGTGTCAAAAGGTCTGGTGGACGGTGTACATCCTGGACCGCGCCTTTACATCGTCTCAGGGCGTCCCTCTGTCTTCGATACAAGACCATGAGATCACCACGCCACTGCCAAAGACCCAAGTATCTCGCGAAGGTACAGCTATTCACGTCCACGTGAAGCTGGCGAGAGTCACCACTGAAGCTGTGAACAGTAGGATCTCTCGAACGATTCATCTTGGACCCGCGCTGATAGGGATGCAGGGGTGTACGGCGCGAACAATCGACTGGGCGCGAATTTTCTGTCCGGCATTCAACTTGTGCTCCGAGATATTGCCTCTATTGCCGGCGACCTGAATAGGTTATTCCCTCTGTCCTTTGATGGTTCGGTAGGGGCATTTCGCGAGTGGCTGCACATCTACATCTTTACTACCATCAGGTATGCAGAGCATTCTTGAAGCGTCCCAAGTGTAGCGCTAAAGAATTAGGCAATTCTGCTTGCATTATACCCTTTGATCTATTGTCTATTTGAAAAGAAGATCAAGGAGCCTGCGGACAGTAACAGGGAACCGCGGAATCTCTTTGTGACATCCAAGGCACTTGTCAAAACGTGCACAGACTCTTGCCATAAGATGCTACAGATCGTGGGAGTATTACATGAACAAAGCCTTTCAGGTAGATACGATCTAACCATCAACTGAATCGAGTTGACTGGGAGTAACAGAGAGCTGGCTACCCTTCGACCTAGAACGCACCTTTTTGGCATCCTTTGTTCTGGTAATGATATCTGTCATCATCCCGTCTTCGCCGGTGGATAGCAACCAACGCAACAAGTCTCACGTCTTCTTGGAGGAGATGGTTAGGCGAGGATCCATTCCAGCTGAGTTTCGCAAGTCTGAACTCGAGCTGCTTGAGTTGGCGGGGCTGTGGAATTCCCAGCTATCAAGCACCCTCGCCCAGGAATCAACCTCGGCTCAAGATACTCAGCCTCAGCGACCCGCTGCTCAAAGCATTGAACTTCCACCTGAAGTCAGCCTGCCTCTCAACGACATATCCATAGCCAATCTTCTGTCGCCTGGTCAGTTGCTGGATGTTGTGAAAATGGTGGATGCCAATCACGTCAATATAGTGCAAAGCAATGAATGGTTAAACTCGTGGATTTGGGAGGGTATGCCGATGTTGTCGGATGATCGGGATTGCCAGGGCAGGCAAGGGGACTCTGGGAGTCCCAACACACTGTAATGCCTCAGAGTGTATCGACCAGCAGAACCCAAAATATTAGTTACATAGTGTGTATATTGACCAGCCAGAGATATATTTGATCCTGTAGATTAGAGACACGCCCTGAGCCCGTAAACAGTCCAATCTACATCGCCGAGGGTAGTCGAGCCCAGAACGCCATCTTATGCGGCAGATAGTTTAATAAATATAGATAGTAAGCCTAAAAGTATTTTCTTTACTACTTTATTTAACACTGCCAGTGTCGTAAGAAAAGCTGCCTTAGCTTATAAAAAAAAATACACCATGCCTACAAGGTATCGGCACCTCCCTATATAGCTCCGGTGACCTTGCTAGTTACTACTAGAACTAGGTCCCGTATATTCTGGCCTCGGGTGTGTGCCGTCTCCCAGTCTTCTATATACTTATCTTCTAAGTGATGGCTAGGGTAGATCCGACGACCATACCCGAACGCGTGATTCGCTAGGTCAGGTTCGTTACGAGGCTCTAAAATCTCTCAGGGTCAAGTGAGGATGAGTATGAGAATACGACATAGAATCAAGACTTGTCATTTAGATGTGTTGCTAAGTATTTGCCCCTAGACACAGCGAGCACCATCAACAAGAATCTCGACTCCACTAATAATTGAGCTGGCAGGCTCAGCCAAGAAAAGGGCAACGTTGGCCACATCAGAAGGCTCAACGAGACGGCCGATAGGTATAGCCTCGCACTTGGCCTTGATGATCTCAGCGGGGACGGGGCCGTCGGCGATGCCAGCAAACTTGTTTAGTAGCGGCGTGTTACCCGAGGTAGGGCAAATGGTGTTGAACCGGAGCTGGTCTCTAGCAAACTCGAGTGCCATGGACTTAGTGGCTGAAGAGACACCAGCCTTGGTGGCGTTGTACCATGTCTGGGTGGCGCCGGGTCGGATAGCGTTCTCGCTGGAGATAACGATGGTTGAGCCAGGTCCGTTCTTCTTCATCTCGGGAATAAGGATTTTAGAAGCTAGGTAGACGCTCTTGACGTTGACGTCGAAGAGGCGGTTGAACTCTTCGATCGTGACCTCGATGCCGGATTTGTTGGGGTATGACCACCCGGCGTTGTGGACGACGATAGAAGGACCCTTTCCGAAGCGCGCGATCGATGTCTCGAGCTGGAAAGCGATATCAGTTAGAATAACGAAGTGTTGGGGTCTTTCAGAAGTCGTTTCACTTACAGCCTTCTTCCAGCTAGCCTCCTCAGCCACATTGGCCTGGATCTGGTAGGCTTGCTTCTCAGTATAGCCATCGACAGGGCCATCCTTGGATTGGAGGTCCATTCCGAGAACAACGGCACCTTCTCGAATGAAAGTCTCGAGGATGCCCCGCCCAAAGCCCTGGGTAGTACCCGAGACGAGGGCAACCTTTCCTTCAAGACGACCAGGCATGTTGATGGTATGTTCGAGGAGAATGGGTACTTGACGTGATTCGGAAGTAAGGTGATGGACGATGTCCTGTCTTCTCCCTGAGACTCACGAGGGTTCTTTATGCATTCTAAGGAGGGGAGAGACTTGTTCGCGAGGCGCTTTCTCTCTTCTCGGCCCGAGCGAGAGAGATTGTGGGACGGATTGTCCAGCCGGCAAAACAAAAACGGGCCCTGCTTCCCCCGCTTCTCCCGAATTTGCGTTCCGCTCGAACCGAGATACATCAGTCACGTCCGTGATTGCATCCTTTGCGTCGACCCGTCGCTCAAACTCCCAGCCCCCATGGCCCCGTCAACCGCTACCCCATCCAATTTGCATCGCGCGCCCTTGTGAGTTGTACCCTAGCATGGTTGTGGTTGAGGTTGTGTGCTTGGTATGGCGTGCTAACTCGCGGCTGCAGGGCCTGTCTCAAGTGCCGGACAGCAAAGGTCCGGTGTCTGGTCTCGCAAAGCTCCGACCGATGCGATCGGTGTACCACCAATGATACAGACTGTGTCTTTACTCAACCGAAGCGGGCCAAAGCGAGGGTCCATCCATATTCTCGGCGTCCGAGACGTACGCCTACGCAACAGGAACAGGCTATGGAGCATGTCCCTGCCTTGTCGACATCACCATTAACAGCCCAAGAAACCACCTCGGTGCCTCAACATCCGACTCCTGTCAGTCATGAACTTCTTCGTGTTGGCCATAGTCAGCAGACACTCATCACTCCCGAGATTCGAGCGAGGATTGTTGCCACGTTAGCAACTCTCAAGGGACAGAGAGGCGCACCATTCAGCTTCATCACCTCTGGAGACAGCCCTTCTGTTGGTGAGGGATCTAGAACAGAGGAATCAATCCACGTCGCAAGTCAGCAGCCACTGTCTTTTGAGCAATCGCAATCGCAATCGTCAGCGCCCTCGTTGAAGCTGTCATGGCTTCTTCGCCCCCTCAGAGCCAGCGATCGAAGTCATGCCGGAGAAGATATCCGCCAGTCCACTCCCTGGGTCAAGATGCCCAGCTATCTTGCCTCCCTGACACTTGGACAGATCATCACAGACCCGATCGAAGGAGGCATTCTCACTCGGCCGGCGTCTGTAGCGCTGTTTCAGCACTTCATGCTCGAGATGAATGCGAAATGGGAGTACATACTCGATCCTTATCTCGATACCCATGATGATATCAGGCGTAGGAGCCGACTGCTTTTTGTCACTGTTCTATTTTGCTCATCTAAATTCGCCAACTACATCAATGGGAACCTCATCTCGACGCCAGACCCCTTTCTTCAGAGTCGACTATGTAGCGTTGCACGAAACTTGGCAATTAGGGTATTCGCCGAAGGGGATAGATCTATCGAAACTATGCAGGCCTTTTATCTATTAGTCTGTTGGAAGGATGCAGATGACGATGTCTCGTACTGCCATAGTGGCTACGCCTTCCGAATTCTTCATGACTTAGACTTGGACCAAAGCGATGGCGATGGCGATAGGCGGCAGGTGGCGCGAAGTAGGCGGACATGGCTGGCTTTATTCCGACAAGATAAACAGCAGAGTCTGTTCTTTATGAGGCGAGCTACTCTAAGTCTTGATGGTGAGGATCCCCCTTTTGTCGGCTACCTCAATACCTGGCTGAAGATGCCATATGCGTTGCCGCAAGACTTTATCGCTTGCTGTAGCGCTGATCTGCGTCACATTCAGTCCAAGCTACGTACCATGGTTCGAAAAGCTCCATCGATTATGCTGCCATGTCTCTTGGAGCTTATGGACTCGGAGCTGAATAGATGGAAGTCGACGTGGGAGAACCACATCGAGGGGGGGGCAAGACTACATCCGGATGACTTATCCCTTGATCGTCGGCTGCTGCACCCTGGGAAAGGCCATATTAAAACACTTATGGGGCTCTGGGAGAACAGTGTCCAACTCAATGTCGCCTCTGCGATCCTTCGACAAGCACTGGTTGCCTCGGTGACGTCGCCTCTCCATGCCAATGGCCAGTCGCCACCGTCGACTTTCAGAGTCGATCTGCCCGGCATCCCGGCTATAGAAGAAGTGCTGTCTCCGGACATTCCCGGACTTATTAGCAGCGTTGAAGGCGGGTTTGGAACACTGCGTCACTTGCTTGCATTCCCGATCGAGGATCTAAGACGAGCTCCTGATTCTACCCTCCTCCTTGGTCCGAATACCGCACTCTTCCTCTGTCTACTGCTCTGCCTTCCTTGCAACGGCGTTCTTGGCCCGGCTTTCCAGAAGACAGCAATAGGCCTCATCCAAGATATTGCTCGGCATGTAGGTCAAGCGGTACAGTCACCCCAGGACACTCTGAGCCTGCACTCCGCGTATCTCGACTCACTCGTGAATCTTCTGGGGCCGGCAACACCGCAATGGCCGCCAAATTCGCACGAGCGAATGAGACACTTATCAACTCTCGATCTATCACAGTCACATATGGACGCAAATGACTTGCGATTCGACGAGACAGCGCTGGAAGCAGCTCAGGTTTTGGCGGGCGGAATGGGTGGGCTGAACTGCAACGTAGACGACAACAATGCCATGTTTAGTCTCACAAGCGAGCCTGAGCAGATGCTGTATATGCAGAGTTTGGCCAACTTGCTAGATACGAGCTTCTTTTCGGCGACAGAACCCACGTCTGTGGATGTGAATGGCAACACTAAGCCGTAGTTAACATGGATTCAATCTACAGCTATTGCACAACCTAGCGGTATATCTATATGGTGTTAACGTCTAAATTGAGTTATCACCGCATGAAAAGGCACACCTTATTATAGTCGCAGCCCGGCCCTTGATGTGTTAACTGAGCCAGAAGATCGAAAAGTGTTCGGGAGACTCAGAGCTTCAAGGCCGATCTGGAGCTTGGCGATGAGGACGGCTGCCAGTTGCCATAACAATCCACGAAAGTTGACGCGTCGCCCTGTCTGCTGCTGGGTAAATCTTGGACCAGGTGAAGCTTGCAAGGCCGGATCTGAGCCGCATTCAGGTCATGGCGACCTTGGGTAGTGGTGTCTGAAGTCTCATTCATGATATCTTACTCCGACTTTTCCACGTTGAAGGGATAGTGGCCTGGATTCTGGTAGAGTAAGTGGGCGATTGTGCAGCGGAGAAATGCAGGTTAGTGCGGAGGACATGTGGAGGAGATGTATCGTCTATATTATACTCCGCGAGAAAGGCCTGTCAAGAATGAGGGGAAGGAGTGAGTCGACTGAGTCGAGACTATCTCCTCGGCCCGGTGTAGATGAGAACTGGGCTTGAATAACATGATCAATACCACAAAACCATCTGCTTTCTCGATTTCGGACTCCATGGAGAGCGGATGATTCATATCAGAGAGTCAAGAATGTCCTAGATATTCAAGTTGTCCAGCTGATTCGGAGATATATTCAGCTCGCAAGTTCTCAAGCTATGAGACCTAGGTCACCATAATGACTTGGAGTGTGTGTCGCATCTCTACCGGCGGCACAATGTCCGCTTGGGATGTTTTGAACAAGGCACCCATGGCCAGAATTTGCACAGATAACAGCTTGAGTGGAAGTTGAGTCTGACATGAAGAGCAAGCCTCCGGACTGCTGTGTTATTTGAAAGTTGCTTACTGAATGTACCGAGAGCCTGGCCTATCAGCATCCGTACTCTTCGAGTGACAAAGACCCTGATATCGGGGCGATGCCGACGCTGCAGGATAGAGGGTCATCAGCTGGGCGCCGATTTCGTAGGAGTCTCCATCTGCCATGGCTCCCTGTACTGTCTCCGCGCTTAGTCTATCTGAGGAGCGATCATTACGAACGGATAACTAAGATAACTATCAAATAGGAGTGCCCGCATTTTATACGGGGCGAAGAGGGCGTGGAATGAAGAACTGTTCCAACTGTGTTCTTTGTAACTGTGGCCGGGCTCCCTTCCCCTAAGAGTAGAAGTCAGCAGATTAGCAAGAACTGCTCTGTGACTCTCGGTGGGTGAGAGTCGGTGGGAAAGTGAACCTCAGATATTTTTGGAGAGCCCACACCACCCATGGTCTTTTGCGGTATGCAAGAGTAATACTATGGGGGCATTCTCAGACAAAGCTTGGAGCGGAAGCATGACATATTTCTTGCTTAACACGATAAATAATTCCCCGCAAGTTCTCCTCCGAGAATTAACGTCCCGGCAACTCCAAGCTTCATACGGCCCGAGAGAGTCCCCGTCCAGAGGCTTCGTTTCGGTCCGAGTTTTTCCCCACATCAACCCCGTGATACGTTATCGAGGGCTTCCAAGTGGCAAGGTTGAAGAGGACGACCTCTTGATCAATGATCCCGAAGCGGCGAGAGGTTTTCAGTAGAGGTGTAGAGAATAGCTTTGGAGTTTTGAAGACTCGGGAAATATGCCCAATGCCAAAAATGTTGAAGAGTGCTACTACTATTGGGCCAAGAGATGTGGAAACTAACGCCTTAGAAAGGTATAGCGACGAAGAACAAAGTTAGGACGTATCTGTAGTCATAGTCCCTGTTCAAGCCGTTACCTCGGCGCCCCTGTGAATTCCTTGGAATTGAGTAGCTTGCCGGGCCGAGATAAAAAAGAAGTTAAGATCGCCATTCTTATTATCAGGCATGGCCGTCCGAAAACGTCGACCTTCACCTACTCGTTTTTAGTCCTCATTTCACATTGTCAACATGTTGTTCACAGCTAGACAACGGGTTTGCCTGACGGCGAGACGCTTCCCGACAGCAACCCTCCAGCGCGCAGTTCGATCAACGTCAACGTCGGCAGGAACTACGGCCATCTGGAAGAATGCCGCTTTCAAAGACAAAAGAAGCATTGCCTATGCTGCAGGGGGCACCTCCATAGCGATTCTTGGATTGCTGTGGGTGAGGCGAGATGGAAGCAAATACCCTGACGATCCGCGAGATATGAAGGCCCTTTCAACGGTCCCTTTTGGCAAATTATTCTCCGGCTGGATGTAAGTTTGATATCTCGCTATAGTTCTATAAGATAAGTTGACCAATGGGGAAATTACAGCGCCTTTGCATTCTGCTCCTCGCCAACATGGGTCGATATGAGCGAAGCACTCTACAATATTACGTCAAAGATTCCTCTTGTCTCTTCAATCACGCACGCATTTGTCATGAGAACATTCTTTAACCAGTTCCTCGGCGGAGAGACAACTGAAGACTGTATCCCTAAGATCGAAGCTCTTCGCAAGGAGCAAATCGGCACGCTTCTCGGCTATAATATCGAGGCAGAGTTGGACGGCTCGAGCAAGGACCCCCAATTGATTCTTAAGCAGACACAGCATGTTTTATCGTCCATCGAAGCCCAAGGAAAGCTAGCTAAGAAGTATTGCCCTGACACTAGTGCTACTGGTGGTGATAACCGTTCTTGGGTCAGAATAAAGGTGACTGGCTTGCTGCCTCATCCTGTTGCCCTATACAACGGTTCCAATGCTATTCTAAGGGCAAGGGAAGACAAGGGACTTAACAAGGATGTGCCATACCCAGGACTGCCCTCTGATGGCGACTGGGAGGCCGCGCTGAGTGGAAAAGGCGTTACTGACTCGGACCGCAAACAATTGCTGAGCCTGCGAGCTACGCTTGAGGCCATTGCTAGCAAGGCACGGGATAATAATGTGCGAATTATCATCGATGCTGAGCAGTCATGGTACCAGCCAGTAATTGATAGCCTGACTGACGAGCTTATGCAAAAGTATAACACCTTGGACGGTCCTGCCACCTGCATTGCCTCATTCCAAGCCTACCTCCGTCGGTACCCGCAGCTTCTCGACCAGCAGATCCGTCGTGCTGAGGAAAAGGGCTACAAGTTGCTCTTCAAGCAGGTCCGGGGGGCTTACATGGTGACGGAGGCTGAGAGATGGGAAAAGGAGGGCAGGCAGGGACCTGGCCCAGTATGGCCGACCAAGGCAGAGACTGATGCAAGCTTCAACCATGGCATCGAAAAGACTCTCTCTACTGTCGCTAGCCAGGTGCGAGAGACGGGTCATTCGAAGCTCGGCGCAGTGTTTGCTACTCACAATTCTATCAGCATTGATCTCGGAATTCAGCTGCTAGAAAAGCATCGGTTGGCTAAGCGCAAGACTGTTGACGGCAAGCTTCTCGTGCCCAACGAGGTAGCTGGTAGCATTGCCTTTGCGCAGTTGTATGGTAAGCAGCCTCCTTTGAAACCCAATTTCGCACGACTCTAACTCTTTGAATAGGGATGAAGGATGACCTTACCAACAGGATTACTGGGTCTGTCATGGCTGAGGGCGGCTTTCCTCTTGTCATTAAGGTGAGTTACGTATTGCTCCTCCCTCATCCTGTTTATACTAATGGGGCTGCTATTACAGTCAATGAGCTACGGTGACTTGAAGGAGTGTCTGCCCTTCTTGGCTAGACGAGCCACGGAGAACAAGGCTGTCCTCGAGGGAAGAGGTGGAGCTGTTGCCGAGAGGGTTCGACTTGGTCGTGAGATTCGAAGACGCCTCTTGCCCTTCACCTTATAGGTGACATGTATCATCCTTCGAGAATCCCAATGTTGTTCGGCAGCTATCTTGAAATGTGCACACAAGACAAGTGACATGGTCATTAAGCGTCATTGAATAGAATCTGGCCCCGAAACCTAGTCTCTTTGACGAATTGCACTGCAGGAATGTCCTTTCAATGATAGTCGGAACCCAAGGCACCTGCATGAATGTCTTCATAGCGTTCGGAAGTTACATCACATTTGGCCAGAACTGCCTGCTGATTCACTTGAACGTTGGCCGTGTGGCAGTCAAATGTTACGGAGGGACAAACGACGGCTCGATAGCGCACCTCGTTATCTTGAACCTTGTGATCATAGTGGGCCTTCGGCAGCGGTAACCGGAGAAGCTCAACCCAGGCGGAGTCGAGATCCGACAACGTTGCTCTCTCGGTCCGGCCGCGTTCGCCCATGACGGAGTCTCAATTTTGTCATCAAGCCGGCCGACCGGCCCGAGCCCAAGAAAATGGGCGGGAGTGCCATTCCTGGTATTTATGCGACGTTGTTGACATTTTTCAATAGCAAGTCTAGTCCTTGTTTCAGTTTTGCCTTGTTATCATAGCAAAACCAAGCCAACACGAACAATGGCCACTTTTCGCTATCCAGAGCCAGCCAATGCTGGAGGGGTGAGTTTCTCCATATCTCTTTGTCGTATCTCGGTTCGCACTTCTGACGAGCTTATACCTTAGCTTTCGTACGCCCCTGGCTCCGAGGAACGGAAGATATTGACGGCTGCTTTGGCCGAGATGGAAAGGTCGACCACCCAAGTTCCTAGTATCATCAACGGTGAACGAATCTATACCGGCCGCAAGAGCTCACAAGTCAACCCTTGGAACCGAAACGGGCCTTCATTGGCAGAATACCACGAAGTCGACCGAGACACTGTCGAGAAGAAAGCCATCCCTGGTGCTCTCGCAGCGAGGAAGGAATGGGCCAACATGCCCTTCAACCAGCGCGCAGCCATTTACAAGCGCGCAGCTAAGCTTGTGGAGACCAAGTACAGATGGAAGCTCATGGCGGCCACCATGATCGGACAAGGCAAGACGTGCGGGCAAGCTGAAGGCGACTGTATCTCTGAGGTTATTGACACGCTCAACTTCCATGTCTACTTCTGCCATCAGCTTTACCAGCAGCAGCCGCAGAAGCAAACCGACTCAGCATACAGCAGCCTCGACTACCGACCGTTGGAGGGCTTCCTGCTTGCGATCTCGCCCTTCAACTTTACTGCTCTGGGCGCACACATTGCTTTTACGCCAGCCATTCTGGGAAATGTGGTGCTTTGGAAGCCATCCCCCATGGCTGTCTTGTCCAACTACCTTCTCTATCAAGTCATGGAGGAGGCTGGAATGCCAAACGGTGTCATTCAGTTTTTGCCTATGGAAGACCCCAGGATCGTCGTTGAGCCCGCGTTTGCTAGCCGTGACTTCTCTGGCCTTCACTACACCGGCTCCTCAGCAGTCTTGAGGAGTTTGGCCTCCGAGATTGGCGTGAACACAACCATTTACAGGACGTTTCCCCGCATCGTGGGAGAGAGCGGTGGCAAGAATTTCCACCTCGTCCACAACTCTTGCAAGGACGATGTTGATTGGCTCGCATCGGCCGCGGTGCGCTCGGCTTACGAGTACCAGGGACAAAAGTGCAGTGCCTTGTCACGCTTTTTTATTCCCAAGTCGATGTGGGAGCAGGGCGACTTGAAGAAGGCGTTGCTGAGAGAAGCAGCCAAGATGACTCACGGAGATGATGTCAAGCAACTCCACCATCCACTAGGACCTATCATCTCTAAATCCGCCTTTGAACGTTTTGGCGAGTTCTTGGAGCGTGCCCAGAGGGATGGTCATCAGCTGATCTTCGGCGGCAAGCAAGATAGCACCAAGGGATTCTTCCTTCAGCCTGCCATTTTGGAGGTCAACCAAGCTGACAAGAGTGCCGAGAGTGACCTCATGACCAGGGAGCTTTTTGGGCCGTTGTTTGCAGTTCAAACTTACGATGATGCTTCACCGGCAGGCTTCGAAGATGTGTGCGATCTCATTGATAGGACCACCGAATACGGCTTGGCAGGCTCCGTCTTTGCTCGCGATAGGGATGCTGTCCAGGTTGCCAACGAGAGACTAAGAGACTCAGTTGGTATGTTTTGCATCAATGACAAATGTACAGGAGCGGTCATCGGTGCGAATCCGTTTGGAGGAGCTAGGTCTTCTGGTACAAACGAGTGAGTGATTGCCTACGGATCCCCTTTGTCATCTGTCTGATTTTCTATTAACACCTATTCTAGCAAAGCAAACTCGGTCAATGTGCTCCTCAGGTTTTCGAGCATCCGGTGTGTCAAGGATTCTTTTGAGAGCGGGAGCAGTACATTGAGTGCTTGCCATATTCCTGAGTAATGGAATATGCAAGGTGCTAGGTAATATAGCATGGGCGGAAGTCGGTGAACCGAGAGCCATAAGTTGCCCGTCTAGCATATATCGTCTTCAATGTCTCGACATTGACCCAACGCTGAATCAAAACAAGTATCACCATTGATGAGTTGTTACATCTAAACACGCAGTCCCACCTTGTCTACCCGGATAAAATCAGTTCTGTGACCTCAGCCTTTGAGTAGATACATTTTCTTAACACCACAATTCATTTCCAAGACACCGTGCCTCGTCAAATTTCGAAGCAACTCATAGTCGGGGGACCTCGCAAAGGACGAGGAGCTCACAGATCCGATAGGTGAAGGCAAGACTACAATATCGAGTCCGATTAACTTCAGTTCCTGGGCAACCACGGCCGTAGGAACCATAAGCATGATGATCGAAGTGCCAGCACTACAGTGTCTTAATTTTGTGTCGGGGAACCACAGGACCGAACAGTTGTCAACAAGACACGGCATTTTCGATAGCCCCAAGTAACGCGAGGACCGGCGATGTCGGAAGTATCACGACGGAAAATGACGCCGATCGGACTGCAGATGCGGATCCATCCGTTGCTTTCGGAGTGTGGTTCCGCTTACTTCTGGCTAGTTCTAAACTAGTCTACTGATTGTTCACAATTTGAGTACCGGGCCGAGAGTGCACGGGCCGGCATGGAGCCATACAGTATCATGGGAGGAGCAAGACGTGGAACCGGCGACGGGAAGCGTCGATCCTTTGGTATAATAAACCATCTTAGACATTGATTGATCCTGCTCACTTGGTCTAAGTCCATCCTACTGCTGAAGTCGTATTCTCCATCTACTGAAGAGCAAACACCATCAATAGCTTAGTATCATCACCATGTCGAACACGACTACATTGACAGTGGCCCTCCTCGGTTGTGGTAAGACTCGTCCTCACTGTCAGTTCAAGAAGCTGCTGACGTATTGCGAAAGGCAACCTCGGAACTGCACTTGCCGCGGGAATCCTCAACCCGATCGACAGGGGCGGCGTCAACGTCAAGCGCCTGATAGTCACTGTTGGTACCGAGGCTTCTAAGCGCCGCGCGCAAGATGCGCTATCTGAGCACTCGTCGCGACTCACGGTATTGCTTGCCCAAGACAATGTCAGCGCTATCCAAGAAGCAGACATGGTCTTGCTAGCCTTCAAGCCTGTCAAGAGAGAAGAAGTCTTTGGAGCTCCTGGGTTCAAGGAAGCTCTGCGGGGCAAGCTGGTCATTAGTATTATGGCTGGCATCTCCATCAAGGAGCTAAACCGGCTGGCTCTTGAGGGTCAAGATGCCCTGAAGGATCCAAGCCCTCTACAAGCTGTACGAGCGATGCCCAACATGGCCGCCAAGATCCGCGAGGCTGTGACTCTATACACAGCCGACTTGGAGACACTGTCTAAGAGAAACGAGGAAATTGCATCTTGGATTTTTAAACAGGTTGGCGAGGCACAGCTTATATCTGAGAGCACTTTTGATATCTCTGCTGTACTGGTCGGCTGTGCAGGTTCACTCCTATTGCTGGCTGTCGATGGCCTTTTGGATGCTGCTGTTGCCGAAGGGGTTAAGCGGCCAGAAGCCACGAAGATGGTCGTCAACAGCGCGATTGGAATGATGAAGTTGGTCCCGGCTGGGGATCACCCCAGCGTGCTGCGGGAGAAGATTGCCTCTCCCGGAGGGTGTTCGATTAGGGCGCTACTGGAGCTGGAAAAATTGGGGGTAAGGTCGGCGTTCACAAGTGCAATTTTGGCTGCAGCTGAGCGATCCAAGGGGATGTCTAAGAAGTAGTGTGGTTGGGTAGTCAAGACAAAAGCTCTACCTGGTTCTTGGTGAAATATAAGCCTACACAGCCTTCTTGGGGTAACTCATTTTTGTTTTCAATAGTGCCTCGATCTCTTACCGTCAATTTCAACTCTTTTATTATCTTGCTAATCACAATGGCCTGGAACACTTCTTAATCGTACATTTCCCATCTACCAACACCATCAACATGCAGTACGAGATAGCATTCATCAGCATCGACGACGCTCGTAGAGACAGCCTACGAGGCCACCTTCTAAAGCACGAGATCAACTTTGCCGACTCCCTTAACGATATTGCCAGATGTAACGAGAAGCTGGGTACCCTCGTTATCCTTCACTGCCTCATTCCAAAAGGGACAAGGCTCGTGGTGAAACAAGCATCAAATAAATGTAGTTAATGATATGAATTACAAAGTATTCTTCTTGCTCATGTTGTACAAGTTTCAGATAATCACAGACAACAAATCTTAGATATGGACGGGCTGACTTTTTGCGAATTGCTACCTTGTCTATTCTACTACCCCCTATAGCAACATTCAGCAGCAACTAGACTTCTAGACCTCGTTGGAAGGATACTGGAGCTCCTCGGTGGAGCCAAACTCTTCCTTGATGGTACGTATGCTGCAGTACCGCGAAATCAAGCCAATGGTACCCGTCTTGTCATTAGACCCTGAATCTCTGCTGCCACCAAAGGGCTGCTGGCCGACAATGGAGCCGGTAGACTTTGTGTTGATGTAAAAGTTGCCCGCAGTATGCTTGAGAACGTTCTGCGCCTCCCGTGCGGCCTTGATGTCCTTGGCAAAGACGGAGCCGGTCAGGGCATACTTGGACTTATCGATGGTCTTGAGGATGGACGAGTACTCAGAGTCGGGGTAGACGTGGACCGCAAAGAGAGGGCCGAATAGCTCGCGCTTCATGATGTCGTGGTTGGGGTTGGTCGTCCTGAAGATGGTTGGGTGGATGAAATATCCCTTTGACTTGGACGTCTCGCCGCCAGCGATAAGCTCCAACTCGGGATCGTTCTTGGCCTTTTGAATGACATCGTCTAGACGGTCAAAGGCGCGCTCATGAATAACGGCATTGACAAAGCTGGCGTAGTCGTCTGGAGGTCCGACTTTGATGTTCTTGGTTTCTTCTTGGATCACCTTCTTGAACTCGGGCCACACCGACTCGGCGACGTAGACTCGCGAGACGGCAGAGCACTTTTGGCCTTGGTATTCAAAGGCACTGCGCAGGGTGTCCAGGGCGGCACTTTTGACATTTGCAGAGCCGTGAATAAGGTGAAAGTTCTTGCCGCCGCTCTCGCCGATGATGCGAGGGTACGAGTTGAAGCGGCCCTCAGCTGTACCTTGGCCAATCTTGCCAATTAGGTTCTTGAAGACGGCAGTAGATCCGATGAATGTGAGAGCGCCAAACTCTGGGCGTGACATTACCGCATCGGTAACGGTCTCGGCATCGCCGGGGACGAATTGAACAACGTTGGGTGGGAGGCCTGCCTCGAGGAGGATCTTGTAAAAGAGGTGGTTCGCGTGAAGCGCCGAGTCAGACGGCTTCCAGACCACGACGTTACCGAGGAGAGCAGCGGGCCCGACGAGGGTAGCACCGAGGGCAGTGAAGTTGAAGGGAGACACGGCATAGACGAAGCCCTCCAGAGGTCGGTATTCCATGCGGTTCCATGAGCTCTTTTCGTGTAGCTTGGGCTGCTGGGCAAACATTTCGGTGCACTCTTTGATATACTGCCTAAAGAAGTCGACAGACTCGACAGCCGCATCGATCTCGGCTTCTCGAATATTCTTGCCTTGGCCTAGCATAGTGGCCGCGACAATTTCGGCCCGGTATTTGCCAGTGATCAAGTCGCAGGCTCGAAGAAATATGGCAGCGCGGTCTTCGAAGGGTGTAGCCTCCCAGTCGGCCTTGGCCTTTAGGGCGGCGTCGATGCTGGCTTGGACGTTTTCCGGGGTGGCCGATGCATACTCGGCGACAATCTCGGAGTGTTGCGACGGGTTGGGCTGCTTGGAGGTGGTGTTGTTGTTGGCCTAGAGTGTGTGTTAGCAGTCATCCAGCTGGTGCGCGGCTGGACTTGCGGCTTACGACTTGACCTCCGATCTTGAAGGGAATCTTGACTGGGGAAGACTGGTGGAGCTTCTTGAGAGCTTTGGTGAGCTCAGCTCGCTCGGGGGAGCCTTTGTCGTAGATTTTCTAGAAGCAGCAGTTAGAGGCAGGATCTCGGAGCGTGAGAGCTTGAGGCTCATAACGTACTGCGTCTTCGTTCTGGAATGGGGGTGCAGACAGGACAGAGTTGCGGGCAACTTGGACCTGGGGAGGCGTCGCGCAATGGCCTGACGGCCGTGACGAAGAACAGCTCGAGCCTGCATTTTGGCTTGGTGGGAGAAAGGATTTCTCTTAGACTTGTGAAGCTGGTTTTTGTTGCTTGCTGTGGCTGTCAAAGTGACTGTTTCAACTTGGTTGAGGGAGATTGTTGAACGAATAGATATATCGACGACAATCCCTGGGCTATCGTGGAACCCTGGAGAGCTTGTCTGGATGTTGCGGCCATGTTTGCGAGACGGTTCTCGCGCCCGATGGTGTCACCAGCCACTGACGCCCGCGAGATAGTACACGGAATCCAACACCGATGACACTCTTTGCCTCTGTTCAAGCTGAGGTCTTCACAACCACATGCCAGCATCACAAAGCCTAGAGCCCCCCACTAAAGCACCCCCTGCTTCTTCTTGGAGAGCACGGGCTCCGTCCCCGCAAACCCCAGGTTCCCTACCATAGCGTTATCGCAGATCCCCAGGTCTCGACGGTGATGGAAACCGATGCTGGGTACTTGAGCCAAATGGCGTTAGACCACCCATGATAGAGCACGCGCAGGGCTTCTTTGATGCGGCAATCATGTTAACCCAGTAAAAACCCTCACGGTTAGGTATACTTTCTACATCCCGTTCATAGGGAGGTGACGGTGTCTCCCTTTTTGTGTGGTGATTCTAATTGCAAGCATGCCGGCCACGGCCCGATCAAAACTCGTCACATAGGTCATCACTCTGGCAATACTGGAGTCTGGATGAGATCATAGCTGTTTCTTGGTCTAGATGTAGACATATATAGACATTTTCTATCTGCAATTGCATTCATCTTCTCAGTATTCTGCACTTGAGCTCGTAAATCGAAACCTCCAACCCGTGTTTCAACCGCATAGCAGCTCCCGCATTTTCCACAGCTCTCCGGCCAAGGAACCCCATGCACTCCTTGACACTACCCCAGTTGGTACACTTGAACACGCGAGGAGCCAGCTGCTCTTGCAATCTAACCTGCTCGGGCGCCAGGCCCTTTGTGTTGCGCGTAGCAGCCTCGCCCTGGAGGACGAGCTCCATCGTAACCTCGTCGGCCATGCCCTGTAGCTGGCCAAACTCGAGTCTGCCGGGGTTGCGTCCCTCGAGCACGAGACGGCGATGGAAAGCGGCGACTTTGCGGATGGTATCAATGTTGTGGCCGGCGACGAATAGCTGTAGGTCTGGGAAGTCTTTGCTCTCGATTCCATCGAATGATCTCTGGAGAAGATCGCGGACGATGCCATTGTAAGAAGCGTCGGTGTTGGCCTTTGTATCATGGATTTTGGACCGATCGTCAGTCTCGATGTAGGCACCTCGGACAAGCTTGATGCCGAGTTTCCAGTCCTGCTTCTGAGCAGTCTTAAGGTGGTAAAGGATGTTGGGGCGCGAGTTCTTGAGGTAGGCCTGAACCGTGTTGAGGATGACGACCTGCCCATCTCGATTGTGCCGCCTCATCAGATCAATGGACCAAGCGTCGATGGCATCCTGGAAGATCTGCTGTTCGGCATCGACCAGGATACGGGCTCCTTTAGCCTTGGCGGCGTAGCACATGGCGTCGGCAGCATCTTGGATCGACTGTGGAGGGGGTCGGTTCGCCATCAATGCGCGTGCTGCAATCATGCCTGCACCGGTGAATCTATTAGAAGAGGAGTCGGTTGGCATCTAGCTTTGCTGCGTAAATCAACGGTCAACTTACTTGAGGCCGACAAAGTCGTCTTTGCCAATCATCTCGATGGTTTTCAGGTTGCGGTCCAGCCAATCTGCAACATTGTCCTCGTCCTCCTTAGAGGCGACAGCAGCGTCAACCTCACCCTTTCCCCTCGTCGGGTCTTTGTCAACTGTGACCTCCTTTGCATGGTTCAAGATGACGCCCGTCAGGCCCATGGTCTTGATCTTGGCAATGCCGCCAATCGTCTCCTGCTGGGTAATGCCTGAGCAGAAGTGGTCGTAGATGGCGAAGCGCATGATTCTGCGCAGGATGGGGTTCCTGTCAGGGTCGAAGATTGGGTTCTTCGTTTCAGCCATGAAGTTGATGGCGGCGACACCCGTGTTCATGAGAAGGGGGACTGTGAAAAGCTTTCCCAGGATAATGTTTCGCAGCAGTGTCCCGGTCGGTAGACGCTTCAAGGGTCTGTTCTGGAGCCAGGCGGGCTGGGTTTCAGGTGAAGCATCTGCCGCCGTTCCAATTTTGGAGGAGTATTCTCGCGTCGTAGAGGCAGACTTGGAAGAATAATTCCTGGTGAATTGGATCGTAAATAGCTTGGGGAGGTTTGCACGCAGAATGCAGGAGCCATGCCGGAGAACCAACAACGACATGGTCGCTAAGGAGGGCTCAGTAATGTTGCTTTGTATCGGAACACGCCGTATTGTCCAGCATGTTCACACGCAGGCAGTCATGGCGGTTCCTATCTAATATCCGCCTTGCCTTTGCCGCCACACATAGCAAGGCTGCAGCTCGATCCTGTGACCGGCAATCCCAGTCACTAACTTCGGCCTTGACGCCGACTTGATGATTGTTTACGGCCCTTGGAACCGACTCGTGGTGATCGGTCAGGGAAGCCGAGGAGATAAGGATGTGGGTGACGAATTGAGTCTAGTTACCTCGACGCTCCACAGCTCCAAAAGGTCGGGGAGTAGAAGTTTTATTCTACTCTGATGTGAATGCAGGTGGCGGGGATACTCAATCTATCGTTTAGAATTCGTATCGATAATTTATCCTCGAATGCTGGTTACAACCGTCGGTTGGGTCTGGGTGGTTCCAGCTCCGAATTTACTGCCTTTCAATCACGAAGGTATGGAGATTAAAATACTCTTCATTGAACATGTCTATTCTCTGGCATAATTTCTATTATTCACTTACTTCTCCGCCTCGCAGCTCGTTCGGTCTACCCTGTACCCGCTTTGACTCTATCCCAGAGCCTGGTCTCTTATCTCAAGAGCTAGTGCGGCGAGCTCAAGCCAATAGAAATCCAACGATAATGAGTTATCTGATAAGAGACTTGTGCCATAACAAATGTACTTTACGGTCTGATAAAAACCGCATTGTTTTAGGTACTCTAGTGATAAACAATGTATTTGACGGTTTTTGGGGAAACCTGCTGCCCACAAGCTCCCTCGCACCGTGCCTCATAGGGGCAACTTGCTGTGGCATCGGATCAACGATCCGATCTTGGAGCAAGGTGTGCAGCACAACCAATAATCGGGCGACCATGTTTGGATTTGATACCCCTCATTTCGACCTTGACTCCTAGGAATAGCCTTCTCGTCCAGATTCTACAAGAAACATTCATATTTACGAATGAAGACCCAAATGGTCCCTGGGCAGTCCTCGAATGGAAGACGCGTTAGGGTCCCGAGGCGAGGACCTAAAGCGTACGCGTCTGGTCCTTGGCCTACCGGTTAACCCCAGTTTATCACTGACTCCTGGGCATCTAGGTGCCAGCAATGTAGAACAGCCAAAGTGCGATGCTCTGGTGTTTACCCTTGTGTTAGATGCGCCCGCCGGCATGACGAGTGCCATTTTCCAGAGGACGACCCCAAGGTTTACATTTCCGAGAGGTACCACCCCCATGCCTGCGGCGAAACGTGCTGCTAAACGTGATGACGCAGGTATTTGATAGAGATTGAGCGACGGGCCGCCCAAGCGTTAGAATTTCCCCCACCTACTTCAGATGCCCAACCCATGCAGATCTCTTCACCTAGTTCTGACCATGGAGAGGGACAGAACCAAGACAGCTCGGAATCTGCAATCAGATGGGACAACTCTCCGACCATGACAGGGGCGGAGACGAGCGAGTCACAGAACGAGAAAGAAGGTATCTCGTCACCTGCGAGATGTGTGACCATCCACTGACAGGTATAATTCCCAGATGCCAGGGCTGCAGAGCAACCTGTAGTCCTAAGCGGAGCAGACGTAGCTCAAGTCGAGGCAGACAATGGCGAACCCGGTGTCATCTTCTCAAGCAACCCCCTGGTAAAAGATATATCGCACTTGAAGGACCCAGCAGGACGCTATCGTTGGTGAAATCCCAGCCAAGTGCAAGATACCAAAGCTGACAGTCTAGGCTTCCTGGGACCGACTTCGATGTGGTCCTTCTTCCGACGCGCTGTTGCGCTAGCGGAGAAACGCCAGCCACTGTCTCAGCTAACTTCACCTGACATATTTGGCGTTGACGGGGACGCATTTCGACTACGCTGGGTGCCACAGCCTCCGGAAGCAGTTCCGGATCTAGAAAACTTGCCGCCCGTTGACTACGCCCTTTGTTTATTCCATACGGTCAAGTTCCATCTTGGGCAGTTTGCACAGATCATCGATGAACCGACCTTTCTGGCTCGTCTCGAGGCATTCGATGGCAAGGCTCTTGAAGTAGCGCAGACACAGCGTCTCTGGCTTACAGAGTACCTGCTCATCCTCGCGTTTGGAGAGGCGTTTACGGCACAGGCAGGCCCGGCGTTGGTACCGCCTGGCAGCAACTTTGCTGAGCGTGCACTGGCCGTCTTGCCGGACTTTGCGCAGCTGCATGAAGAAGGCCTCGAGTCGATCGAGGTCTTGGCCCTGGTGGCCTTGTACTTTCACTCGATCGACATGAGATCGAGTGCGTACCAATACGTGAGTTTCACATAGGCGCGCCATGGAGTCATTAGTCTCTGCTAACTTCCAATAGATCGGGCACGCTCTCCGGCTGTGCTACATTGAAGGAATCCACAGAGAAATGTCGGAGCAAGTGTTTGGTCCTCACCTCGTACAGAGATGTAGGACCCTGTGGTGGAACGTCTATATCCTTGATAGACGATTATCTGCTCAGCTTGGGGCGCCAAGCTCGATCCGTGACGAGGAAATCACCATGGGGTTACCGCTTACTGAGTCTGGAGGCAGCTCTACGGCGGTGACACTGAGCCTGTCCGTCAAACTTTCTCGGCTGTTGGCTACTATAATGACCGGTAAGTTGGCAGATGTTATTCAGCGTTGGTTCTTAAGCAGTTTGGAAACTCCATTGCGTGCTTTGTTATTAACCATCTTGAAGATGTATTCAGCATCGATGACAGACTTGGAAGCGCTTTCGTTAAAACCACCAACACAGTTCTCAAAAGCCTTGCAGAGGTCGCCCAAGAGCACGACGAGATCATGCTCACAAGAAAGCAGAGCACAACCCCTTCACGGATGATGAGCTCCATCACGCTCATGTACCACCACTGCATTCTCCACGCGACGCGACCTCTCGTCATGTGTCTCTTCAAGGCCTTTGTTGAGCCTGGCAAACCTGACCACGGTAGAGACTTGTCAATATCGCCGCCCATTGCCTCCCTCCTCAAGTCAGCAGTCTCCTCGGCTCTCGCAACATTGAAGCTTTTGACTTCACTAGAGAAGCAGCGAGTACTCGGTGGGCCTGTCCCTTAACAAACTGTCAGTGCCGATGGCTAATAGCCTATAGAATCATTCTTGCCATTTGATCTTGAATACGCCTTCGCTTCGGCATTATCTCTGTGCATCATCCGGACTGTCCTGCCGCACTTTGTCCCGGACCAAAGTTGGTTCCAAAAGGCCGTGTCTCTTCTCGACAAGATGATAAGTCAAGGCGGTATCGTGGCCAGACTGCGAAAGAATGAGCTGCAGCGTCTTGAGCAACTCTTGATACCCCTACGCTCAAGCGGTGAACCAGGAAACATGGATAGCACACTGCTAACTATAGTGCCGGTGCCATTGCCTAGCGACCTAGTGCAGGAAGATCAGGGCTTTTGGGACCCTGCGTTTGATATGGAGGGTATAAACCCAGATCCTGTGCATCTGTTTGACCTTGCGCTTCAGCTTGGTCTTGATCCGGGTGGAGATGTAATAGGAAGTCTGTAGCATGAGAAGTGTGTATGGGCCAATGAGCTCTCATTCAAGGGCAAGCATCTGTTCTATTGCCTGTCTCCAACATGGTGCGGCGTGAACTTGGTCTATTAAGTAATCATCCCTGTGTTCGCACAACGCTATCAAAAGCCTCGGCCACTCTGTCTACGTTTCCGTCATTTAGCCCAGAGACGTTGATCCTTCCATTCTCCGGGAGATAGATCTGCCAATTCCGCACCAATGTCTTTGTCATCTCCGCCGAGAGTCCTGTATACGAGAACAACCCCTTCTCCTCTAGCAGATGCATCCAGGGTCTTACAACCTTGTTACCGCTGGTCACCTTGCGCAGATTTGGTGTCTTGTACTTTTGCGTCAGACAATCATACAGACTTTGGCGCACGTGCTTGATTCTTTCCCTCGCAGCTTTAACCTCCCCAGTCCATTGGTTGCAAAGGACTGGGTCGTTGAGGATGATGTCGGCCAGTCTGCTTCCGTAGGCGGGTGCTGAGGAGAACTCCCATCGGACAAGACTGCGGATCTGATCAAAGACGTTTTCTGCAATCTGCGCAGTCTTGCAGAGAACGTGCAGTACGCCCACCCGTTCCGAGTAAAGGCCCATATTCTTGGAGAAGGACTGGCATACGAGCATATCAATGCCTCTCTCGGCAAAGCAGCGGACAGCCCATGCATCTGCATCAAGAGATTCTCCCAAGCCCTGATAAGCTGCGTCAAAAAAGGCAAAGTGTCTCCCCGTAGACATTAGATCTGCAATTTGTGTCCATTGGTTCCGAGTAAAATCTCGGCCGGTGGGATTGTGGCAGCATGCTTGAAAGACAAAGATGCTTCGCTCCGTTGCAGTCTTCAGAGCTGCGACGACGAAGTCAAAGTCGAGTTCGCCGCTGTCTTGATCAAGATGCCGATACGTCTCGATGTTGGCGAAGTCAGCGTGTCGGAAGAGAGGCTCATAGTTACCCCAGGTTGGGACGCCGATGAAGACCTTGGTGGCATTGGGTTGAGGGGCCTTCAAGGCGGCGGCGTTTGTTGTCGGCCAGTGCTTGTTGAGGAAGACAGCACCAATGCGGTTTGCGCCTGTTCCAGCGACAGTCTGAACAGATACGAGCTTCACCAGAGTTAGAATCAGTGATTTGGAGCTACACTGCCTTGCTGACCTTGCCAGATACGGTGCTAGTCAAACCTCCAAACATGACACTGGCGGCGGCTTTTGTAAAGGATGCAATGCCTGTCGTAGGATTGTACTGTGGATATTCCTTCAGTTGCGACGATAGAATACTTGGCCATAAGAACACTCACGTCATGACCGAGATCCAGCTCATCAAGTCTCCTTTTCGCCTAGCAGATGTCAGTTCAAGATTTGTTGGGTAGTCCAGTTCTCAACGCTTCCATCTCGTACCTCCTTAACAGCCGGAAACTCATGGTAAGCACCGGCTTCGTTACGGTAGACACCAGCTCCCAGGTCAACTTTGAACGGTGATGTGTTTCCGTCAGCGGCTTTTTTCAAGTCGAACATGGGATCATGAGGACCCTTAGCGACACTCTGGAAGGTGAGTGCCCGGAAGGCATCAGGAGCCTGAGGCCGTGGTGACGTGACACAGACTGAGGACATCATGGCGAGGGCTCGGCGAGTCATGAAGGTGACAATGACGGGTTGCGTCGCTGGAGATTTTGCGGGTTAGATCTGAATTAGGGATGAGAGCGTGCTTCTTAACAGAGCAGTTGAAATACATGGGCTGTGACAGGACGGTTCCTTTCATTTAGAAGTTGACGTCTGTTGAGCGACCAGGGAGCTGGAGCTGGATTCCGAGCACGGAAACGGATGCCGCGTTGAGGCCCCACGGCGGGATATGCAGGTATTTACGGCCCTGGCGTGCGCGTTTGATGGCGCTTAGCACCCCAAATTACGCTGCTTGATTGTCTCTGAGGGAAATGAGTCGGCAGTACCCTTTGAAAGCAACCAGCGACTACCTCTTCTATGGGGCTCTTTAGCAGGATTGGACATTGAGTATGGCAATGAGCAAGGTATCAACAACACCATATCAAGCTCTTAGCACTCGTTCAGTTCTCGTTTATCGTAGCAATATGGGACTGTCTATTTTGCATGCGCAGACACCAACTCCAAAGCATCCTTCGAAGCTCTGGCGCCCTTCGCAATCCAGACCGAGTCCTGGTTGACGAGGTTGTAGCGGGCTCCCAGTTCATTGATTGCCCATGCCTGGATCTCTGCATTCTCATACACACCGGCAAACCCAAAAATCTTGCCGTGCTTCTTGCAAGCCTTACTGACGGCTTCAACAGCAGAACGGTACTTGTCGCTCTTGAACTGGCCAGGGACCCCAAGTTCAATGGAAAGGTCGTTTGACCCGATGAGAAGAACATCGACGCCTTCCACTGCGGCAATGTCATCGATGTTTTCTACCGCTTCCGCGGTCTCAACCATGAGGAGAACGGCAGAGCCATGCTTGTTTGTCTGTTCTACAACTGACGGCACAGGGACAGGGTCAGTTGAGAAAACTGGCAGTTGGCCCATCATGGAGCGTGATCCGACTGGAGGATACTTGGCAATCCTGACAGCCGCTTCCGCATCATCTGATGAAGTTGATCAGTCATTCATTCAGATACTGCAAGGAACTTTGGTTTGTACTCTTGTTGCGAATGTGTGGGAAGATGACGCCCATGGCTCCGCCGTCCATGACTCGTTGAACGAAGCCATCACCACATTGATACGGGACCCGCACGATGGGGGTGACGCCGAGGGGGAGAGCACTGGTACACAGGAGACTGGCGTCTGACAGAGACAGTGAAGAGTGCTCCAGGTCAATGAAGAGAGAATCGTAGCCTGCCTGGCGAGCAAAGAGGGGGATCAACGGAGAAGCAACCAGCTTCACGCCAAAGGCCTCGCACCACTGTTAGGGCTGGCTCAAGTGGATTGGAGGATGTGCTCACTGTGCAAACTTTGCCTTGGCTGGTTCTGGAGTATAGCTTGTTCTCATAGAGAGATGTCATGGCGACCAAGGTGCGGGATGAGGCGATATGAAAAACTTGAATAAGGTGTGTAGATGCGCGTGGGTTGCAATATCTTGGACTCGTTTGCGTCTTGGTTATTGTCTAGCTAACTAATTCCTGGCTACCTGCTGTCCGGGTTCCATTGTTGATGTAGCTGGCCGATTCTCCACAGGGTATCCCCTCATCCCCGGCTTCCATCCCCTCATCCTCGGCTTCCACCCCCGGCTCCCGGAGGTAATAAGCACTTGGGTGTGTTTGTAGCAGGGTCGGGTGGCATGCCAAAGAGCAGCTAATTGTGGCACTTCGTGCCTTAACTGTGCCACACGGCGAAGTGGCTTGATACCCTGACCTGGGACATCTGAGGCACCGATATGGGATAATTAAATGTTGAGGGTGTAAACCCGGGAGCCAGGTGAGTATGCTTCTCGCCGCTGGTATAGAGAGAGAGAGAATGCGATATCCGATGGCTGCTTGGCGGATAGTTGGTAGCCCTTTTGACTGTTTGGATGGCGTGTTATCTGCGTATCGAGTCAAAGAGGACATGTCACGAGGAGGTGGAAGAGCCGGCATGGATAAACGCCCTCACGTGGATTATGAAGAGGATGTTGGCAAAGGTTGCAGTGAGACGTTTCAGGTGAAGCAGCAGATGACAACAGCCGTTCTAGCGATCTCGGCGAAAGTTCCACCTCTACGATCACGAGGGCTTGGACTGCTCCTACCATACCGCAGGGCCATCACCTCCTAACCGCGGCCGGGCTACCCGCCGCAAGCACCGAAGAACCTCCCGCCGCGTTACGGGACGGTGGACCCACACAACCCCGGACGCGTTCCCGGTTGCATACAATCTCTTCAAGTCCTAGAGAAAGTAAAAATGGATTCAATACGGGACTTTAGTAGTGGAAGGTGACTTACAAACACAAGACTGACTCTTATCCGCAGTTCAAAATTGTCAGCAAAAACAGAACACTCCTATCCAAGGTGGGATATAGAAGGCGTATCAACACTCAAACTTCAACGCAGGCCCTTCACAGCGAGCAGATCTGAGGGACCTAGATTTGTGCCACCAATAGATTGTGGAGAGGATGCATCACCTTTGTTTGTCCTGTCTTATTATGCCCACAAGTCATCAAGTTCGTTCATCGTGAGCGAATCCGCCAAGTCTCCAATTCGAGAGTCTGGACCCAGATTTCCAGGGCTCCATCCCTCAAAGAATGTCCCACCCGGACTGGGCAGGCCAAACTGGCCAACAAACGTGGCATCAGACGTCTGGTTCGGAACCGTTGGCTCTGTAACGTCGTTTTCGCTGCCATCCTTGTGGAGCTGCCTTTGTAGTGAAAAAGCCAGCTCTTCTACCTCGGCCTTCCGTGAACTTGCTGCAAGGCTTCCTGCCAAGATCATTGCGTCGAAAATCTCGAGCAAAGCGGCAAGAGATACCTCGTGCAAGGGATGTTTGGCGTCAACTGCGCAGGCAGTTATCAGGACGAAAGCAGCCGAGTAGGCACTTTCGAGGTCAAAAGGCAAGAGGATATCTGGAAGTAATTAGAGTTAGCCTAAATTAGCAGTATGGTTGGTCAATCTCTGACCTAGAAGACTGTGCTTCTTTAGCTGGGATAGGATATTCGCCACATGTACGGCGGAATTAGTTAGGACCTGGATGAGCTCCCTGATCGAAGGCAAAAGGGTGAATTCTCCGGGCGCATGTAGGGTTTCGACCTTATGTTTGTATAGATGAAACAATATTGGTCTCGTAGTGAGAACGATACACTGGAACACGTAAGTTGCTGTTTTGAGAGAGTCTGGTGTAACTAACTTGACTATATCCCAAGTTGAGATGGGCTGCAACTCGAGAGACATCGCCAAAACACTGAGACGAGAAGGAGGCTAGTTCATCACTCAACCCGGCGATGCCTTTGAGGACCTTGCGTATCGTCGATAAATAAGTCTTGTTGAGCCGTTCTTTTGGCCCATACACGGCTAGTCAAGTTAGTTTTATCCTTGTAGAATCTGTGTTGGGTGCAATTACTGGTAGCAATAGAGCCCAGAAGCTGTGAAGTCTTGACATGGATCGATAGAGCAGTCATAGACGAGTCATTTCCGGTGACTTGAGGTATGGGGGCGGTGATGTCCTCGTCAAGTATAGCATTTGGTACGCCCATCAAGGACGAGAGTTTCCGGTCAAGAGTGTATAAGGTCCACCAAAGACGGCATCCATGATAGGCGAGTCGGTCTCCGACAAAGACGGGCTGCATGTCAGTGTGAAGTCCATGCGACTGCGCCATTCTGACAGCCTGGCCAATCTGCCGGATATTAGTATCCGTGTGAGTCAATGCAGAATGCTGACTTACATATGAATGAGCAGCAACCCGATGATCTACGCAGTGAAGATAGAGCGCAATAGAACAGAAGATTTCGGTCGCTTTCACAGGATCACGAGAGAGGTACGTAACGTCTGGCAGTAGACTCAAGGCGCGGGAGAAGAGGTTTGAGCCTGCGGGTCCGATAGTTGCTTGTTGCCCGACGAATGATTTGCCAAAAGCCATGATGACGAGGAAGTGCACATACCAGAGGCTATTCATTCTGGCAAACTCGGAAGGATTCTGGTAGAAGCTTTGGATGTTTTGCATAAACTCTGTCTCTTCAAAAAGATAGAAGAGAGGGTAAGTCCTGAATTTGGTGCTTTGGAGATAATACATGGCGAGCTCCAACGAAGGAAGATGGGCTATGTCGGCAGGGCTGAGTTCTATCTGGCGCTCCGGGATGACGTCGTAGATTTGGCCATCCACGTGCATTTGCATTGAGGCCGAGGGAGAACTCAACAGCCCAGCGCTTTGGGAAGCCATCTGAAGGACTTGGTAACTAAAGGACCACGTCGACGAGTGTCCCAAGTACCTCAGTCTCCCTGAATAGTCCGACATGTAGCTCGGCTGGTCAGGCACAAGGGGGTTGGACACGTCAGCGTCCTCGGGGCTGGCGTCGTCGGGAGACGACACAGTCTGGTCGGTGGCGCCGACATCCTGAGTAGTTTCCGTCAAAGGTTGCGACAACGCCTCATCTGAGTGATGGGCCCGTACGCACTCCTGTAAACGACTGGCTTGGGGAAGGCACAGCGGACTGGATTGGTCCAAGGTAGGGGGGCTTGGGTCAGAGTCTTGGGGAGAAGCAGGAGCCTGACGATTTCTCTCGATGTTGTCAAGCCTCTTGCGAAGGTTGACGAGAGATCTAGAGTCTTGTAAGCAAAGAAAGCTATCATGAGGAGAGGGTTGCGACCTTTCAGAGACAAGAATGTTTCGGTCGTCAGACACAAAATCGCATCTGCAGCCCTTGTGGGTGCAGGCTCTGCAGGGTTGGGTTCCCGAGCACTTGACCTTGAGCTGGCGGCATCGTTGGCAGGCGTTTGACACCCTCTTACGACGGCCAGCATTGCTGCGTTCTTGCTGCATCTGGATAGTCGGCGTTGACCCGTGCAATAGCAAGACTCGACAAAAGAGTTAGGGAGAGAGGAATGGACGAGATGCCGTGTCCACTTCAACCAGGATTCGGATATGTTGCCCCCCGGGAATGGACTGCTAAACTGCTGATTAGGGACCCCTCTCCTGCGGAGTGGCCGGGAACGCCGATCCAATCGGAAGCGGCACATTTCCGAATCCTTGTGGTTACCCATGGAGGGTGAAAGATAACAGCCACTATCTCTCCACCAAAATTGTATGGGTGGACAAGTCATGTTTTTCCTTCACCCACAAGTTACCCCAGACTTCTGATAAGCTCGCGTTGGAGTGAAGACGCTAACAAGGATCGTGACACCTCCTGTGATTCCCCTGGAGGGCTTGACTGGCTCTTGGAACAAGTCGAGAGGGGAACCCCGCGCGGGGTTTCGAGTCTCGCTCTTGTCATTGCTCCTTGGGTGATTCCAGACCTAACACTCCCCCGCCTCACATCCCAACGAGGCATAGCCACCGGGTTTATGAACCGAGTTCAGGGCCATCTCGTGATCAAGACAATGGGCTCAACAACAACAGAGGAAGTCATCAAGTCGGATGGATTTTCCGTCTAGAATAACCGGAGTGGTCAAGTAAAGGGCGTCTTATCTTGTATAAATAATGGAAGCGCTGCTGTCTGATCCAACTGAGCTCTCAACGAACCGAAAACGCTAGTATCGGGCAAACATGACTCTATCCAACCAACCAGCGCCAAAGCTCGTCTCAGAGCGCCCGATTGACGCTTCTAGACCGTTAAAGGTCATTTACATCGGCGCAGGGGTATCAGGCATCTTGGCCTCGATCTTCTTCCACAAAGCCGTTCCTTCACTGGACCTCGTCATCTACGATAAAAACCCCGAGGTCGGAGGCACTTGGTTCGAAAACAGGTATTTTCGCCCGCAAAATAATAAGACTAGAAGAGATCTAAGAATATCCCGCTGACTTGGCTCCAGGTATCCCGGCTGTGCTTGTGATATCCCGTCTCATGCTTACCAACTGAGCTTCGAGTCCTGGATGGATTGGAGCCATTTCTACTCAGGCGCCCCGGAGATCCTCGAGTACTGGAAGAGGGTGGCAGATAAGTACGGTGTCAGAGAGCATACCCGGTTGAGCCATAAGTGTATCCAGGCTACCTGGAATGAGTCGCGAGCCAAGTGGACTGTCCGGCTTCAGAGACTCGATGTTGACCCGCCTGTCATCATTGAGGATGAATCGGATGTGCTGATCACGGGCACGGGGTTGTTGAACGAGTGGAAGTGGCCTTCCATTCCAGGCCTGCACAACTTTACTGGCGAGATTCTCCATACCGCCAACTGGCAGGACGACTTTAGCGCGAATGTAAGTGACCGAGAGATCAGCCATGATGGAATGCTAACAATGTGCAAAGGACAAGAGAGTTGCCGTCATCGGTGCGGGGAGCAGTGGCATCCAGGTTGTCCCAGCCCTTGTGAACAAGGTCAAGGCCATGGACCACTACGTGCGCGGCAAGACTTGGATCGCCACCCAAGGTTCTGAAGACATGCTAAAGGCGAGGACGTCGATGCAGGCCGCAACCGAGGGAGCCACCAATTTCGTTTACGACCAGAAGGAGAAAGATGGCTGGAAGAAAAGCCCTCTCGCATACATGGCGTACCGAAAGCAAATCGAGTTTCGCCTGCAGGGTAGCCACGAGATCTCGCACAGAGGCAGCCCTCGCCACACCCAAGCGCGGGCGAGCTATGAGAAGAACATGCGAGACAAGCTCAAGTCGAAGCCTGAGCTTCTCGACCAGCTACTCCCAGACTTTCCTCCTCTTTGCAAGAGGCTGACACCCGGACCGGGGTATCTGGAAGCCCTCACAGCCCCTCATGTCTCCACTATCTCGTCGCCGATTGCCTTCATCGACTCGACCGGCATCGTTACCAAGGACGGAGTTAGGCGGCCCGTTGATGCAATCATCTGCGCCACTGGGTTCGAGACGGCTCCAGGATCTGGATTTCCCATCTATGGCAGAGACGGAATCAACTTGCGAGAGAAGCATAGGATCCGTCCAAAGTCGTACCTGGGCCTCTGCACAGACAACTTTCCCAACTTTTTCCAATCCCTGGGCCCCAACACGTTTCCCGGCACGGGGAATCTATTGATCATCATGGAGCATGCCCATCAGTACATGGCCAAGATCCTTCACCGGCTCGCCTACGGCAATGTTAGGACGATAGAGCCCAAGCGTAGGCAAGTCGACAACTTTACTAACTACTGCGACGAGTACTTTGAGAGGACCGTCTACACGACCGACTGCATAAGCTGGTACAAGACTCCCGGAAAGAGCTCTGGCGAACGCCCGCGGGTCACTGCGCTGTGGCCGGGAAGCAGCCTCCATGCCATCCGCGCCCTAGAGTCGGTTCGATGGGATGACTATGAGATGGAATCTTGTGACGGAAATGATTTTGGATGGTTTGGTGATGGCTCGACGAGCGGTGAGCACAACGTTGGCGACAACATTGAGGATCTCACGTGGTATCTCAACCAGAGCGAGTTTCTTCACAATTCCCTTTCCCCTGCAGCGGCCAATTAGCGGTAAAAGTTGCAATTGCATATGAACCACCTAGGTTGCCAATACAGCATGTTTCTTCAAGGGTCATGACCAACTGGGTCTATCGTGGAGAACTGTCGACGAATGACTTGTCAGTGTAAGGAGTCTCTGAAAGTACAACAGCTTCGCGTGACCAAGAATCAGCCCCAATAAGCCGGGGAGGCCCCCATGTGTTCTAGCCGTATTCTCTTGCGAACTTGGCCGCGATTCTTAGCATAAATCCTCTGGGTCTGGAAGCTGTACCCAAGGGTCCTGCCTGTCACCAATCACCTTGACTCTGATTACAATCTGCTATGGTAGATATTCTCATAACGTAAAAAGCCATCACTGTGGGCTCTGCGTATCGTATCAGCCTATCGACCTGTCGCCAATCCGAAATATCGACTGGCGTGACTGATGCCGACCTAAGCTGATGACGAAACGGCGGTTCTTGCGATGACGTCGCGTCACGATAGGCATTGGCTCGGGCTGATTCCGCGAATACGCCCCCTGTGCCCCATCGACTTGGACGGAGCCTCTCGAGATCCTCAGGATCACGGGCTGGGACCATGCTTCCTTGATAAAGCTCAAGTCAGGGCGTTATCAAATCTGCTCCAAATAATAACATCATTAAATCATGTTGGATATCAGATCACCCAATCGTACCTTAGATGCTACGAAACCTTATCATGAACTTGATATCCTCGTCAGGCTTCCGGAAATCCCACCGAGCTTTCCAGTGTCCCGGCTGAGTTGTTAACTGGGCCAATCAGACAGGGGTGTTTTCCGTTCCCCTCCTCAGCCAATCAGGCTGGCCACTCTTCCGGCTTGGCTTATCTATTTGCCCCAACTCGCATCACTTCCGGCCCCCTGCTAGCTCGTGGTATTTATTACTTAAATAAGTAATTACAAAGAGGTGCGTTTTAAGCTGAGAATGTCCATAGACATCAGTGCAACTAGAAAACAACTTTCATATTATTTTGTAATTATCTTAGATATACGGCACTTGTGTAACTATCACACCGACGAACAACGTCATACAGTAAATGAAAACAACCAGACTCGTCACTCGGTGTTCTTATCTAACCCCCAATTAGACTAGACAATGGATACCGTAGTCGCACTTAGGCGGTCGTAACCAACTTGGGAAGCCTCTTCAGACCAACCATTGAGAGGATCTCAGTCCAGAACCCGACTGGGATTTCTTCACTGGTAGCTTCATAGGCGTCAATCGCTGGCTTCTCCCACACCAGATCCATCTCCGCCATAGGGACGACCTTGCTCTTGTGGATAATCTTCCAGGAGGAATACGTGACAACAGCAACAATAACCATGCCGTAGTGCGTAAAGAAGTTGGTGACATCCCACGGAGTGAAGGACGAGTAGCCGTAGCCGAAGAGCACGAAAATGACAAAGCCCAGACCCAGGTATGCGCTGTAGGGCTGGAACCATCCGCGGTAGGGAAATGTGCTTCTATCAACACCTTGAAGCTGGCAAGCCTTGTAGAACCGGATGTAGGTGATACACATGACGATGAAGTTGATGACGGAGCCGGCAGTGACCAAGTTGATGAACCACTGCAGGACGACGGTGGTGCCTGACGAGAGCTGGAGAAAAGAGAGGCACGAGAAGGCGGCCGATACAATGACGCAGTAGATTGGGACACCGTTCTTGGTCAGCTTAGACAGGAACTTGGGTGCGCGACCCTCGAGGGATAAACCATAGAGGCTACGGACGCCACAGTAAAGGTAAGTGTTGCCGGCCGAGAAGATGCTCGTAAAGATGAGCGCGTTGGTGATATGCGGCAGGACGCCGATCTCGAGATTCTTCATGGCAATAACGTAGGGTGAGGCTGTCGCTGTTCCTGCACCAGATTCGGTACCGGCGAGGATACCGCGGAGGGTAGGATCGTCGTACGGAACCACAATGCCAGCACAGAGCGCGCCACCGATAAAGAAAAGACCGAATCGCCAGTAGACCGTCTTGTATGCGTTCTTGATGTATGTTCGGGGTAGTTTGGCCTCGGCGGCGGCCATCGAGATATACTCTGGGCCTACGACGATGAAAGACGCTACCCAAAGAGCAGCCAAGAACCCTTCAAAGCGTCCAAGGTCACCGGTTGTGTGCCACTCGGCGAAGGGGCCAGGATCTTTCCAGTAGCTAAACCCATAGGCATGACCCTGGGGATTCACACCGACCATTGTGAAGAATGTGAAGCCAAACAGGATAAAGACCAGCAGGACTTTGCCACTCGACAGCCAAAATTCTGCTTCTCCGTATACGTGAACGGCCAGGACGTTGAGGATACTATCCCTTGTGAGTTAACTTGTGGAGATGGACGACTGCGACTTACTGACACATATGATGCAATTACAGCCGAAATGATGGACGCCGGAGGGATGTCATCTCTCCAGAAAGTAAGAACAATACTTAACGCGGTGATCTCAAAGGGCACAACCAAGACCTCGTAAAGGAAAAAGTTCCAACCGGCCATAAAGCCAAACGCGTCGTCAACCCACTTGCCCGCCATGCGGATAAAGCCACCGCTGACTGGGTAAAGGGTTGCCATCTCGGCCATGGTGTTGTTGATGTGGCCAAGAAAAAAGCAGTAGACGGTCATTGCAAGAAGAAGGGATACCGGGCCGGCCTTTGCTAGACCGGAGCCGATGTTGATGAAAAGGCCTGTTCCGATGGATCCTCCGATAGCAATTAGTTGGATCTGACGGTTGCCGAGACGGCGGTGGAGGGCGTCGACATTGCCGGCTTCCACCACCTCTCCAGCTGCGTCTGAGTAGGTTTGCTTGAGTGGCACACCGTTCTGTGAGGACGGCTTGTTATCCATATTGATGAACAGGACACGTAGAGAGGAACAAAGAAGAGCAGAGCAGAGAAGTAAAATGGGTAGATTATCGAGTCTGTGTTACACAATAGAGATCCGTGGGGATTTTCCCAGGTTTTATAAGGGAAAGGAGAAGCCCGATGATGTACCCCAGACTGCGAAACCTATCGGCTCACACGCTACCCCGTACCCCAGACGGCACTAAAGGGGCGGATTTAACCCTATCACGGTCTAGGCTTGTAACGCTGGATTGATATCGCAGGCATCGGGCCCCGACTCCGTTATCTTGAATCAATCTTACGCACACACCTTTATGCTCTCAAGTCAACTTCCAAGTTGGATAAGCGAGTCTTCAAGGCGGGGTGTCTCATACGAGTCATTTTCGGTGCCAAGGATGAGTACGGAGATTAGGAGTGACCTATCTTATGATGATGGGATGTTCGGCACTGAGAAAGGCATCGATATTTGACCTGAGTTACATCAAGTCACTTCTCAAACTCAAAAGAGTAAGAATTTTAAGGCACTGGTGATGTGACCTATGGTGCCTACAAGGTGAAGAGGATGTCTTGACAGAGTCAGATTCCGGGCAGTGATGGTGTGTATGTGTCCATTCCTGGTTCATGGTCAGTTCGGTGGAAAGTTGGCCTGCTGCACCAGTCACCGCGCAATCCCAACAACGGACACCTTGGGGACACCAGGGAGGACTACTGTTGGTGCAGGGGGCGTTCAGCGCCAGTCTTTAACTAATTAAGAAGGAACCGCGTTCATGGGTGAAGGGAATGACAAATCGCAAGCAGGATTCCGACCGGCATACGCGGACCAGCCATTACGCGGTGCACCATGACCCCTAGCACGATCACAGACAAAATTGGAGACTTGTTTTGGCCCAACTACCTCGGCGAACGAGCCAACAGGACAAACACGGGCCTCCCAGTATCTACTACCTGGTATCTACACTATCTTGGCAACCTGGGTGTCTGTTTCTTAGGTGTATCACCGAATCTCGGCTATTTCTTCCGCGACAGCGTCTTACGATTCGCCCAGATATGCGCTGCCACACCAATCCCGGAAACAGATCCGATGACTGGCGCTTGGAGATGGGTGGTATTGGGTGGCAACAGTATACTTACGAAGATGGTGAAAAGTCATTGAGCGCGCTCTTCTGGCCCCCTGGTTCATGAGCTTTGGTCTGGAACGATCGCCATCAACTAATGGCGACGCGGTCAGAGGCCGGCTGCGCACAGAGGTTCCGGACAAGTAAGCTGAAATGGAGATGCTCGGCCCGGGACCCTTCGAGTCGCTGCGGACCTTGTTCATAGGTGAACCTTATCAGGTGTTATCGCTTGCGGCTCTGTGGGATGACCCCTCCCACTAACCTCTCGGGCCGGACTTTGAGTGAGCTGTGCTGGGCGGCCCGAGATGATCGTCGAACACCGATCAGATACCGTTTGTGTTCATCCAACCGAAAGTAAAGGTGCCCAACTGGGTCCTGGTCGATTAAACGAGGGAAATGGGCACTGCGGAAATGACATGGCGAGAGTTGAACGTCTAATTGATAGTGTCAATGCCTCGTGAATAGCGCAGTCTATTGTTGCTACCAGCTATTCCAAGTAGTTTTCTCTAGTTCCCCTGTGCCTCAAGCTCCTTGGCCCGATTTGTAGCTCTCACGATGGCCTCAGCGTAAGCCGACCGAACATTTCCACGTTCTAGAGTAGCGATGCCCCGATAGCTTGCTCCTTCGGGTGCTGACAAAAACTCTCGAATGTCCTCGGGCTTCTTGCCCTGCTCCATGAGCTTGGTGAGACCCTTCAGACATTGAATCGCCACGGTGTTGACGTCAGATAGCGCCATTCCTTCAGACATGGAGCCGTCCATCAGACCATCCAGAGCCACGGTGATGAGCGCGTAGTAGGCGCCCGTTAGCATTCCAGCAGCGTGGTATGTCTTTTCTGGGACTTTTAAGACCTTGCCAAACTGCTCGAGTAGCTTGGTTGCTTTCTGTAAACTCTCAGGCGAGGCATCAGGTCCGGGATCCTTGACCAAGGTCATCGACTCCTTGATCTGGGCCGCGAGGTTTGGCATGGCTCTGACAAGCTCGTACTCTCGTTGAGGGGGAGCGCCGTCAGGTCCCTCGGGAATTCCAAGGGCATCTTGTATCCGTCGGGCATTGATGCCAGCCAGAATGCTGATGACAAGTTTCCCTTTGAAGGCCTCGCGCATGCCCGTCTCGGACAAGATGTCCTTCAGCATGTACGGCATGTGGGCCAGAATGATCGTGTCGGCATCTTTGGCTGCTTGTACATTCTGGAGATTCAGCACCTGAACGCGGTCTCGGTACTCGTTGAACTGCTTCTCGAGATGGGACTTGGAGTTTTGGCCATTGACGCTCAGTATCAGGCTTCGGAAGGTATCGGTCTTGCGGCTTTGGAGGAGGGCGGACGCGATGGCGGAGCCCATCTGGCCTGTATTCGCAGTACGAGTCAGCTATTCATCATCGTTGGTTCACGGCCGTGCACAAACCGCATCCCAATAAGGCCACACGCATCTTGAACAGGTGTACTTAGCTGTAGAAGTCGTAGGGCAAGCAAGGTCCCCAGGGTCTAAGACTTTCTTCCCCAGGATGCTCCAAAATAGATAAGGATTTAATACCAAAGAGTTAAGGATTCCGTCTCCGGGCCGGAAACAGTTCAGCTAGTCACCCCCAGCATCTCGGTATCCGGTACCGACTCCAGTTTAAGCTCCCCCAGCTTTGAGTGGAGAGTGGGATCAGAGGGATTCTCCACAATTCGGCCAGGAACTACATCCGGCTCCTCCGCCTATCACTATTATTCAGCTCAGAGGGCATTTTACTCAGTCAGAAAGAATTGAGCATAAAACCTCCTCTGATTAGATCACCACAAAGACTAGCGAGGCAGACTTTGAGGGCCGCTCGTCGTGGGGTAAAGAAGCCACCCTACGCCATTTCGTGACAGCTTCACCGAGTTTGTGCAGCCCGTGCAGCAGCTGTTCGACCGCGTGAGATCTCGCCACTGCGCCGAGCTGTATACCGTTCTAGATGGCTTCGCCCTCTCAGAGCGCGAACTTGGCGACATCAAGGCCAAGCTAGAGCCAGACGCCGAGATTGAGTCCCGCATCAGCAGCCTATGGGCCCCCAAGCATAACTGGATGTACTATCACGAGGTAAGAGCTTCTATGGAGATTTACTATGTTGATGAGCCGGAGTTAATGAGATGGCAGGCCAACGAGGCTCTACAAGCAGCCATTCAGGCGGTCGACCGGTCCTCGGGCACGATAACAGCTCGCCTATAACATAGTGCTCCTGAAACACGCGGTTTGAAGTGGGGAGGAATGGTGTCATGTTTGAGAAATCAAGCTTTATGTCGGAGGAAAGAGCGACAGACGGTTGCTACATCGCTAGTCCATCGATTAGGTAGAGCTAGATATATCTAGTTGAATGCAATTGGGTTCTTGGAAGATATCATATCTGTTCTACTGCATCGGTGGCAGTCCATACTCAATTCTTGCCCACTTTTGCCATTTCTAGAGCATGTGCAATTACGAAACTCCGGTCCTTATTTCCAGCTGCCTAGCAAATTTCTTAATATGGCTCAGATTTAGCATAGCCCATGTCCTGCGCCCGCCCATCATCTCCATCATTGCCCCTCCTCCGCTTAATGCTTGTTCTCAAGATTCTAGAATCGTCTCGCCATCTTATTAACCTAGATCATCATCCCCAGTAGTCTTGAGACACTGCTCGCTTCTCAATTTAAGTTTCCCAAGGCTCCTCCACATCTTCAGGTCAAAACATGCCTCAGCAACCTACGCTGTGTGCAGTCCTTAGACAGGAAAGATCGGGACGCACCCAAACGTATATGCTGAAACTGGCTCTGGGTCTTGAAGGCGCCTCTGATTTATTAAGAGATCGTATCTTTATTTTACCTTGTCTCTCCAGCGTTGCTATAGCGAGTATGATCTTTGAGTCGACGTTTTTAAAAGCCACCCACCAAGCCTTTCTCCTACGGTAGACCGAGCTTCCCCTTCCTTGAAAGAATCATCGTCATCCTCCAGGTTATCAATCCACTCATGCTCACGGATGGCGCGCTCTGCGATAGGGAATCCATCCTGTTCACGCAGCCAGGTGAAGATATTTCGAGTCACCATTTCCGAATTCTCGTCTTCCGAGTCGAAATCATCATGGTCAACATCGCCACAATCTACCACTTCACCACACTTTGGGCGCAACGTCGTCAACGGCATATCCCGCTTGCCTTGCTCTAGCATCTCGCCGTCCTGGCAGAGCCACGTAAACCCAGTATATCCAAGGGAATGGCTTCTCCCACATAGTGCGTGCTCTCGAACGTCCAGATTCGTATCTACCAGTGCAGTAGAGCCAAACGGGGCAAATGGGAAGAGAGGTGGTATCGAGTAGTGATCTAAACCGCGACAGAGATACAATAGTCGGCATTCGTCAGCACGTGAGATTCGGCGTGCCCCGGGTGCAGCAGGAACTGGCGTTTGGATAAAAGACATGTACGTCTCAGTCCAAGCCGCTGCATTAAGATCAATCTTCCACCAAGCTGCTCGGCCATCTTGCAGGCACTGTCTGTAGGCTCCAGTGATAAACGCGCCAACCCATAACCCCCCTAAGCCTGGATCGCGCTCCATCAGAGTCTTCAGAAGAATATGCGGATCCTGAACTGAGTTCAGAAGTGCGAATGAGCCTCGTAGCCACATGCCGCAGATATTACTCGTCACGTCAGGCTCGAAGAAGATGCTAGTGAGGAGCGCCTTAGAACCCCTTGGGTTACAACTCAGCGCTAATAGCCTATCAAGCTGGGGATTTTCCATCATGACTAAGGCGTCTTGGCTGTCTCTTTGGTCCGCACACTGGGGGAAATTCGGCATGGCCAGTTCAATTGGTCGATAGTCGAACTTGGCGACTGGAATCAGCAGGGCGGCAGCGAGGGCTGCCTGCTTCTGGTCATTAATGCTGTGAAAGCGGCAGTATTCTGATAGATACCGGTGTGCAGTGTTTGAGGTAGCCAGAGAAGAATGACTTGAAGCCGAACCTATCGCTTTGATCTTTGCCGGGATAAGGAAGGGCTGCTCTGAGACAAGTCTGGTGGACCACGGCGAATAAAGAATATCTCCCCTGGAATTGCGCATGGTGGCTTTCCAACAACCCTCGCCCGACAGAAGTGTATTCCACCAGCGAGCCGCATCCTCGTCAACCTCGCCAACATGAACTGTGATGGGGTCTCTGTTCCTTGGTGATGGCATTGGCCCGTTTTCGTTGGGCTGGTGGGTTGGTTGACTTGGATGCTGGGAGAGATGCGATGACGGGATGAGCTCCGCCCACCGTGCAGCGAGAATATATGCCCAGGCCAGCAGAAGTACCGGAATGTGACTGCTTTCCGTGCCAAAGATATCCGGGAGGGTTGTTGTCGTGCGTCGTGAATCCGAAGTCAAGATAGTCGGTGTGGGCTTATCCCAAGCGACCCGAAAGATAGCCTCATGTTCGAAAGGCGGCAAATGATCCAAGTCATTCGCGGCAGCCCATGACGACTTCCCCTTAGCGGAGGCAGCATTTCTTGAGGAATTGCCAATCTCAAGATTTCCCGGGAAGTGCGGATGGTGGTTGGAAAACCTGGCTTCAAGATGAGACAAGCAGTCCTCGAGGAGCCGATTGTCGCCAGACACCGCGCGCTTCAAAAGACTAGACCACGTTCGGTATCCTCGCTCATACATGGCCCGTGCAGCCTGCGCATCTGGGCGAATCGCATCTTTCATCTTTAAGGCACTGTTGTAAGGAAGAAAACGCTTATAGACCTCGGAACGGTGGGTCACCAAGCCTTACCCTTCATTGCCTTGTGGAAAGATTAGCTAAGCCGCGCCTACCAGTGGAGTAGCGTGTGATCATTACAATAGTGTGCATATCAGGAGAACATGTATTGCTAGAGGATGCACCGAGAAGATCAAAGTCTGTGGTGCCTCTTATCACCAGCTTTATCTTTCTGACGGGACTACATGTGACCGTGATGGAGATGTAGTCTGCCGGCAATGCCCTTATCATGGTCGGGAGAGCAGGGAACGAGATTTCACACAAAGCCCTGTCGTCGCTAAGGGGGAGGACGGAAATGTTTATCTAGTCGAGGAGGGAGTAATTCGAGGGTATTAGATTAGAAACTCTAGACCACCCAGACATACCTTACCAAAGCTGGCATGGTTATGCCATTTTTGGCATCAAGTTTTGAAGCTTCAATATATTGATAGCTGTGTATTGTTCAGCATAATTGACCCAAGGGGTACGGAAACCCCGGCCATCTTGCGTCCGTTACTAACGTAGGGAATACATGGCTGGAAGCATGGTTTATGATAACGCGGCGTCTGTCAAAGCTCCTGTGCTAGCATCTTCTTTTCTCCAAGGAACGTTTCCGCCTCAAACATTTTACAACAAGTCCATGTCTGGCAACCAACGAGGCTACAGAAGAGAAGAGGAGCTTGGCCCCCCCCTCCCTCTTTAAACGTTACTACGACATTCATCGACGCTGGATCGGAACTACCCGGAGCCGCCCGGAATTGCTTTCCTGGATCAGTGGTCCTAAGAGAGCTATAGTCTCAAGGGGGAAATCGTGACTAGAGCATCTGGGTTGGCGATTACGATTTTAATGCCGGGTTTGGTCCTAGCTGAGGTCGAGGCGGTAGAATGTTATCTATCTGTTGGAACTGAGTGTGGGCGAGCCTGCACTGAAGGGAATAGTTAACAAGTCCAAGGATGTAAGAAGCCGCGGCGGTGTTTCTTCCTCAGTGGTTCTGGTGGTTTGTTGGAGAAACAGAACACACCAAGCCACACAGCCGAAAGGGAGAAATTACCACATAGTTTCTTCTAGGTCTTTTTAAAAGAGAGATCTCACGCACTCTCTCGTAAGGCAAATACAATATTAAATAACAAGAGCAATTAATTAATTAATAGCAATGAAGATATAACCTTCAAAGGAGCCCGAAAGTCCTCTCATTGAGGCCCGTGAAAAGTAATAATAAAGGTGAGGTCCCGTGGCCTCTGCCCTCTTTTCTATATACAAGAAATTGCTCAGTAGCCCAAAATGACCTAGCACGTCTTTCCCCCAACTCAGTGGAAAGAGGATACAAAGGTCTGAGTAGATGCCGGGGCCTTGGATATCCTCTTCCTTCATTAGATGAGCGCGGCTGAATTTTTGAGAGTTATGATAGTGGCCGCCTTAGAGGTTGAAAGTGGTAGTGACAAGATGCGTTGTCGCTACCCTTCTAGCCCTTTGGGCAGCAACCCGATCCGTAACCTTGTTTGTGAGAGGGAGATCAGAAAATAGTTAGATTCTTTGCTGAGATGGAGTGTCAAGGTAGCGGTGCTCTTAATAGCAACTTGCATCATAAGAATTAAACAAGCACAAAATCCTCTTCTTTACAGTTAAGGAGCAACGCCTCCCCATCCATAATGCCTTTCACCAAACATGGCCCAACAACCTTCCATTCGTTACCAGTCACGGGCCGCAGCAGCAGTGGAATGGCCATGCCTGGCAATACAACCAGCACATCCCCAGCAAGCGCATCAAAGTCTCCAAACCCAAGGTATCCCTTCTCCGTCCAGAAGATAGTCTGGCCGCCCACCCGCAGCAGTAAATCCTGAAAGGCCAGCCCTTTTGCCTGAATGTCCGGCCCAGATGGAGAAGCAGCAAGCTCGCAGAGCGGCCAGTGAGTCACGTCTCCACGGTTGGGCGATCCAAAGCCGGGAGAGACGCCCGCCGCAAGGACCCAGTCCACTGCCTCACAAACCGTCCCCCCAGAAATATACCCCCCATCACATGTACTGGGAAACAGAAACGTGGCGAGAGAGCGCGTCCACGAAGAGAAAATGGGCTGCCAGAATTCGGATCCGTTAGTGTAGTCGCCCCACTGCGCCGGATCTTTGATCGCTTTGTGAACAGCCTTGGCAACACCAACCCTTATCCCAACAACAGAGAGTTTCATGCCATCTGAACAAACAGAGAATCGGGGCGTAGCTCATCCTCCAGCGCTGAAGAATTCTCGATAAGTGAATCCCAGAATAGAATACGTGAACCGAGAAAAGTTTGGCACCCAACTCCTCAACTTCTTGTATCGCTCGATAGAACAGAATAACAGCAAATCTAGCTCTCAGTGCCTAAACTAGAAAACGGATTCTATATAAGAAAACCATCGATGAGATGAAGATTTAAATTTTGCCTGTTTGTTTACTTTGTCAAGGTCAATGTTTCACTTCTTATATTATCCGATTTTAGGGTAGCGAGTGCCTTGAGAAGATCAGGTGATCTCCCCCGGAGCGAAGGATCAAAGCTAATCTCAAGTTCTCAACCCAATCTCGACCTTGCACTCGTCTGAGTTGATCTTCGGATACGTACTAACCAAAAAAAAAACGGGCACCCTAGCGCCATGGCTCGAGCATTCCCTCGCCTCTCAGCCAGCCTCAGACTGCCGTTGGCCAACCTCTTCCGCCCGAGACTGCTTGTCAGATGCGATGCCATCACACCGTCCAGGGATCACACTCAAGATGCCAGCGCCGCCAAGAAAGAGTACCCCGGCCTTGGCCTCGACATCCGCCACGACGACTCAATCGACCGCGACGTGATTTATCCGGTTGGAATCCACTTCAATTGTTACGGCAGCGAGTCGGAGATGCTACTCGTCCGTGAGGTCGCCATGATGATGATCATGGAGAGCATCACGGACAAGCCGGATTGGCACATCAAGGTCTTTGATGCAGAGATTGCGAACAGGTGGAAGGCTGAGGCGTTGGCACTGCCGGTTGACGCCATGTATAAGGAGATTGCTGAGGACCGGATTGCCTGGCCTGATGGAGCATTTGCTGGGCAGGCACCAAAACCAAAGACTATCTTGGACGAAGCATGCGTCGATTATGTGAGGCTTCTAGCCTTTCTCACTATTCACGTGATGGTCTTTCCGGCTGACTTTACCATAGTGTATCAAGGAGCTGCGTGCCAAGGCGGAGTATTTCAAGAAATCGGGTCTCGTACCCACGCTTGATGCCTCAGCCACGGTCGTCAAGTCTGATATTTTGATCGATGAAGAGCTAAAGCGGGAACTCCGTGTTGCATTCGAAAAGCTCAAGGAAGAGCAAATGGCTAATCCTGACTGGCATCCAGGGACTGAGAGCCGGGTCCAAGACCTTGTTCACCCTTCCTTGTACCCACTGGTCTATGGCCGCACTCCCGTCATGCAAAATGAGGTGGTGGGTGTCGAGGACGCCATCTCCTGGACTGGTAAGGGAGATGTGATCTTGCAGACTACAGAAACCCCTAGTACTGTAGATATACGCAGAAGCATCGACTATTCGGTAGGCGGTTCCAAGGTCGAGCCTACCTTCTGGTCTCTGGACTACCAGTGGTTGCCCTCGAATGTAGCATTTCAGTCTGATGGGAGTGTCAAGTTCACCAGCTACATCAACAATCTGCATCCCTTGAAGCACCGGGGCATCTACAAGACAATCGAAAAACTGGTCGGAAGAGCCCTTTGCGCTTGGGACTTTTGTCTAGCACAGCACAGTTCTGGTATGTCGAGTGGGCTCGGACGGACAAAACCCCGATTTCCCAGGCCAGCGAACCCATGGTGAGGAACTGCCCCAGGATACCCAAAGCTTAATCTTTATTTATCGGTTCTGACTTCATTCTCAGTGACAGCAACCTCCGCAACTGGAACCCTTCCATGCCCGACGGCATGGTGAATGTGATCTCAAAGGAAACACTCAGCCACGACAACTACTTCGACTACATCGATTATTCCGATCCCCGTATTATTAAATGGGCCGAAACACGCGAAGCCGTTCAACCTAGCCCTCCGGACTTTTCAGCTTGGCCATATGGAGCGGCCAGAATTCCCCCACTCCGCGAGCGCTTCCAAGACTCGGGTCTCCAGATCATCGTTAAGATGGCCTCCATCGAGCTCACCCCCGACAAGAACCCCTCTTTCCCACTCGGCGGCTGGCATGTAGAGGGCCAAATGAACGAGCACATCATCGGCACAGCACTGTACTATCTTGACTCGGAAAACATCACGCCCAGCAGCCTGCAGTTCCGGATGCAAACGAGTCCGTACCAGGATGAGTACCAGACTGCAGTGGATCAGAACTCTTTCAGCTGGATGGAGCAAGTATTTGGGGTGTTTCTGGGGCCCATGTCTGGAGGCGCGTGCCTGCAGAACTATGGCCGAGTCGAGACTCGCGAGGGGAGGCTACTGGCGTTCCCCAACGTGTTTCACCATCGCGTTACGCCCTTTGAGTTGGCTGATAAAACGAAGCCGGGGCACAGGCGGTTTATCGCGTTATGGCTCGTGGATCCCTTTACGCGTGTTATCAACACCGCGAATGTCCCGCCCCAACAAGAGGAATGGGTTGAGAATAAGGGGATTGACGGCATCATGAGTGTAGATGAGGCAAAGGGGCACCGGGAAAAGTTGATGAAGGAGAGGGCTGCGTTTCGAAACGGGGCGGAGGGATCATGGGAGGGGGTGGATTATGGCTTTTGTGAACATTAGGAGTTAACACTGTGAGATTTGGATACGACCTAGAATTTAGAAAAGGCGGGGATAAGTCATCGGTTCGGAGTTGATTAGGCGCAATTGACGCCCGACCGTACAGAGCGTCTCGCGGCACGGACATGTTTAACAATCGCCCCGAAGCTGGAGCTCTGGCGGAGCCGCTTTCTCGAACAACCGCGTTTTGATTTCTCATCATTATCCATCGAAACAAGGAACCGGCTTGATCGATGCTTCCAAGGCTATTTTCTCATTACGGTTAATCTTTCGGGCCTCTGAATAAGTCTCTTGGCCAGATCTACTTCTACTAGACTCTCAATATACAAAGTATTATTTACTGCCCCCTGAAATATACTACTAATTTTATGCGCTGCTAATACTGTATTATAGTCTTAGGGGCTCCTCGTTTCTTGCTATACGCCATCGATTGCTTGCTTGTATTAGATCATCGCAACCTTCCAAGGCCCATCCCCAATTCTCCAAAAATCCGGGTGTGGCTTCCCAGCTTTCGACTTTCCACGGCTCACCCCAATTGATCAGACATCGGCGTCCCGCAGTGTAATCGTCGGGCTGTTCAAATTCCGGGCCATGGGCACCTCTAGTGGCAGCAGCTGACGGCACCGTTGAGTTTGCTGGGCTGGGTGAGATAAAGTCCGGAAATATATCACCACAGAGGTCTTGACGCATCTTCTCAAGAACAAAGCCCGACCCTTTCTTGATGAGATTATCCCGAAACCTCGGGAATGGAAACATATCAATCCAGCTCGTATGAACGCAGTTCATCTGTAATATTGTTGGGTATAGTGTATCGGGTATATTTTGGTTAGGAAGAGGGCGGACAACTGTCAGGCCACCACAAAGTTGAGTGGTAGACTCGTTGCCATAGGCGACAGAGTTCGCTCCTTTCAAGAAAGAGGCTGCGGAACGAAGAAGAGACTTATTGGAGAGTAACGCCCGAAGAACGTTATGTTGAATGAGGTGAATGAGATGATCGGAGGAGAGTGGGAGGGTAGTGGATGTGTTGAGTTGAGAATGAGAGCTGGTGCCATTGGCCGAAACATGCCTTGTCGCCGCCTTGGATTGGGGGGATAAAACGATAACAGTGCCCGGAGGTGCGTGCATAGGCTCTCTTTGTGATTTTGATGAATCTTGTTTGCTTATGAAATGGTCTGGCTCCTCCAATAAAACAGAGTGTTGATTTTGGCGAGATCGGTGTCGAATCTCATGTCTCTTCCTGAACTTGGCAACCCAGCCGGTAGAAAACTTTGGCATCGCTAGACCCTGAGATTTGTCCGAATCTTTCCAAATCTGCCTTGCTTTGCGTTTGATGACATCGTTGGATACTTTGCCTGACTGACGCTCGACTGCATCCAGCCAGTCGGAGAGCAACAAGTCTAGCCAAGGCCATTGGCAGGTTCGCACACGGAATTCGGACACCACCTGACTGGTTGGAGCAAAGATGTCAAGATGAGCGAAGCTGTCGCTTAGACTTCGGCTGACCATGGACTGACTGATTTCGTGACCGAAGTGGGATTTGAACCACATCTGAAGAGCAGACTGGGTTGGCTTTGGATTGGCCGTTTGGTAGTAGTGGCGCAGCGCGATGCGCTGTGAGTGTGAAACCGCAGTTCTGGAGGGCCCCATCTTGTGCCTCGTCGGGCGGCCTTGAAGAAGTGTGAGGAAACAAAGGTACCTGGTGATATCGGCTCGATGCTGTTCACCGACAATCAGAGGCGGGAAGATGCGCAAGCCGATATCCTTATACCGTGCGACCCGAGTCATGGGAAGGGCGCTAGCAAGGGGTTCCAAGACCTAGCGAAAATGCCCTTCCAATTCCAACCCCATGTTTACAAATCAACATTCCACTCCGCGTCGGTGCACGCGCGAGCATTACCACCCGGCAATGCGGATTGTGTTCTCTATTAGGATATTACACCGCGTCACTAATCCATCCTAGTTCTAACATGCAACGATAGAAGGATATGTGAAACGAAAAAATCCGAGTGACAGATGCAGAGTCCTCGAGAGTTTCGTCCAGGGCCGAGGATGACGAGAGAGGTGAGAGATGTGAAGAATCAAAGAAAAAGATAAATAGTCTATGTAGCCACGCTCCTCAAAGCTGGAATCAATCATTATCAAATTCTTTTCTTCACAAACCAACACTCAAATCAAGACATCACCATCTCTTTCAAGTAACAATGTCCCGATACGCAGATGCACACATGAATCCTGCCGGCCCCGGGGACGCTCGCCCGACAGCGATTCAGATCGTCAAGGATGAACGAGCAGAGGGCACTCTGGCTGGGAAAGTTGTTGTCATTACTGGGACTTCATCTGGCCTAGGCATCGAAACAGCCCGTGCTCTAGCCTTGACCGGAGCAAAGATGTTTTTGACGGCCCGAAACCTCGACAAAGCCAAAACCGCCCTCGAGGGCATCCTCAAACCGGGACATATTGAGCTCGTTGAGATGGACAATACTTCTCTTGGCAGCGTCCGCGCCGCTGCGAAAATCATCATTCAGAAGTCTAACAACCAGGTCAACATCCTGATCAACAACGCCGGTATCATGGCTCTGCCCAACTTGGAATATACCAAGGATGGGTTCGAGATGCAGCTTGGGGTTAACCACCTTTCCCATTTCCTACTGTTCGAGCTTTTGAAGCCAGCTCTTCTTGCCAGCGCGACCCCTGAGTTGTCATCTCGAGTTGTTAACCTCTCTTCTTCTGCCCACCATGTCTCCTCGATCAACGAATCCGGCAACTACAATTTCGAGAAGACTGAGTACAACCCGTGGGTTTCATATGGGCAATCAAAGACGGCCAATATCTACATGACGAATGAAATCGAGCGGCGCTATGGGCCGAGAGGATTGCACGCCAACAGTGTTCATCCTGGAATGATTTCGACTCCGCTCATGGTTCACGTGGACCCTGCCGCCTTGGAAGGAATGCAGAAGGATCCCAACATCCCAAAATTGATGAAGTCGCCAGAGCAGGGCGCTGCAACAACCGTTTGGGCTGCAATTGGGAAGGAATGGGAAACTAAGGGTGGGGAATACCTTGCTGAGTGCTGGAAGACTACTCGAGGAAATGACAAGCATGAGATCGCTGGTGAAGGATTTGCAGGCCATGCTTATCACCCTGAGAATGAGGCTCGTCTGTGGAAGGACTCGCTCAAGATGGTCAGTTTACTAGACGATCAGTAGAGCTGTGGAATTCGATCTTCGGGCTCAGTGAACCCATCGAGGGCCGGGCTGCAACTAGAATAAAGAACAGATCTTCAACATATCATAACATCATGACCCGGTGTTAACACAGTGACTTAGATATGAGCTTAGTTGTTATTATAGGTAAGTAACCATAACCGTGAGAACTTAACTGTGCGCCGCCTTTAATAGCAATTAAATAGGCTGCTACCATAGTAGAGGCCATGCGGAAGATAGGCTACGGGACTGAGACAGAACAGTACTGCGCACAGGCAGCAAGGCTGACTGGGATGCCGTGATAACAACCTGGTTCGAGTGTTGAAAAGCTGCAGCACAGCCACCGCCACCATCACCAAATGGAAAAACCCGCAGACAAAAAAAACTACAACTGAAGCCCCAGCTTGGAGGGACTGACTTAACTCCGTATTGTTTGCCAACTTCAATGCTAAACAAAGGACCAACGAAATGCCGCACCAGACTACAAGCAAAGATGATATCCGCAAACACTTGTACCAACCTATCGGAGCTTCCGAATATCGCATCATACATCTTCTTCCTGGTACCTTTTCTGATGAGATTCAGTGCATCTTGGAAACTCGGTCTCCTTCTATTATGACTAGCTACGAGGCAGTCTCTTACCAATGGGGCGACGAGTCAAACACCAAGCCGATTTCTGTGGCAGCTGTGGAATCCCGATCTCCAACCACATGGCCGTGGCTTCAAAGGACGACTGAAGTCTCGAAAACGTTACTCGGGGCCTTCATGTCAACAGTTAAGCCGTATCTTGTCCCTCTGTGGATCCTCGCCTGGGTTGTGGCAACCGGACTTTTCTGGCACCTCTCCTCGCTCCATATATTCGAACCGCCATCTTGGGTCCCATCGTTCATCCCCCGAGATGTTTACATGGCCATCATAAGTGCAGTGTATGGTGCAGCATTTCCGGAGCTTCTCAGGGCCTCTTTTACACTTTCCGCTGAGATGAGCGAAACAAAACCCTTGCTTTTTGTACTTGATTTGATACGTGGTCCCCGTTCCCTCGCACAGCCGTTGGAGTTCGCCAGCTTCCAAGTGACCACCAACTTGGCCCTGGCACTGCGTCATTTTCGGAAGGAAAACCGTTCCCGGGCACTGTGGATAGATGCCTTGTGTATCGATCAGAAGAATGAGGAGGAAAAGACAGTGCAGATCCAGCGAATGGACTGGATATATGCCAACGCATCTTCCACCGTGATTTGGCTGGGCGGATACCACGGGCTAGCAGAGCAAGACACATGCGAAGGGGGATCATCACGTTATTGTGAGCATCGGCGCCAGATCGAGTCGGCTTTCGATCATATCTGGGCTCTGAGTGGGTGGCGAAATATCTTCGGTTGGTACTTTGGCCGATATGAACAGCGACGTTTCCGAGCCTCACAACGAGGTCTGGTTGAGCTGGCAAGGAGAACGTTGGTGGGAGAGACTGTGGGTCATCCAGGAAGTCGCTCTTTCTACAGGCCGAGTACGAATTCAGTGTGGACACGACACATGTGGCCTGGACGACCTTGCATCAGCTTGGCACTCGATACCTTTTGAGCATCCCGAGCTTAGTAAGGATTTCCGGCCTGGCAACCATATTCTATCGACCATCAGAGACTTTCGCTATTCATTCTTCCACGTTCGAGGAGGGTATCTCGCCCATGGAATCTACAAGGCCCTGGGCGCTATCCACCCTAGTCTATCCGGTGGACCTCGATTCCATGAGCTGCCATTTCCCAAAAGGCTTCAGAGCATCTTGCTCGGAACTGCGGGGCAGTTCAAGTGCCGCGATGACCGAGATAGGCTGTATGCCGTGCTGGGCATCGCGGGAGGTGTCACAGTCGGACCAAGGACCAAGATGGCCACCTTGATGGACAAGCTCGGCAGTCACTCAACGCATGTAATACTGTGTCAGCATCTGGACGAGCTCGTGAAGGGATCAAGTCAGATAGTCACCGTAGCTGGCATCATATTTTCACTCGCCTTATCGACATGGGGAGCATATTACGATTCGAGGGCAAGGTACTGGACAATCAGCCGGCCTGACTATATCATCTCGGGGTACAAGAGGGTGATTGATGCTGTGACGGGTAGACGACCTAGTAGGGTCGAATTCTTCACTGCTTTGGCAGGGTATCTCGCCAAGGAAACAGGCAGTCTGTCCTTCCTTGACGCAGCAGCCTGTGGGGAGGATCCAGACGAGGACATGCCGTCGTGGGTACCGAATTGGTCGAGAGAAGTCAGCAAACAGGCTTACAACTTGGCTATCCGCATCAACAAGGATCAAGCTCCAGATTCTTTCAAGATTGCCAACGGCGGCAAGACCCTTCAGGTTATCGGACAGTGCAGCACAATCGTGAATGTTGTACATCCGGTTGACTTGCAAATACTCCGGGCATCGCCATGGCAGGGCGCTTTCCAAAAGATCATAGCTCTCCCAAAAGAAGCCAGGGGTGCGATGCTCTCGTTGTCAGAATTCATTTTCACGGCCACATCCCCCTACTCCCCATACAAGCGTGGAAAAGCCGACAAATGGCTGATTCTGCTGATGTTTGGCTTGTTCAACAAATGTCTGGATGTTGGATTTGAGCAAATGAGATCACAGGATACAATGATGGTGTACACGAATGATGCGATGGCGGAAGGGATGGGATATCTGAAACATGGTGTTGCTGATAAGGGGGATCGCCTGTTGTTTGTGCCTGGCTGCTTTCATCGCCTGGTGTTGAGGCGAGCGCAAATGACGGAGTCGGACCGGTGGAGGATCGTTGGGCAGGTGGCCATGGAGCGGGAGGAAGGCTATACTCGAGATGAGTGGGCGCAATTACTTGAAGATGGTAAGTTGCAGGAAGTTAATATTGAGTAGAGTCTTCCCTTTTAGAACTTGACACCATGCCCAGCAAGTCTAGCAAAACTCAACAGACAAGGCTTAACTAATGACGCATAAACTTCTACTACAGTACCAACTCCGAGGCTCTTCCTACCGCGAGTCGACCTCCTCCGCCTTGTTGCCGGGTGCATGCCTGTTCCCAATCTTTATTTACACCAGCAGTCTAGCTCAAGTCAGAACCGTTGGCTGGGAGACCGTCCCACGACACGTCGGTCTTGGCCTGGCCCTCGCCAACGTGCTTGGCACAGAGTCTACCAAAAGTGTGCTTGTTATTTGGCCAGCTGCCGCTCGTTTCATCTCAGGGGGTGCTCAAGACACGTATCTTGAGATCTGTCAGGTCCCCATTTCAGCAAGCTTGTCGCAACCCCTCCCCTCCTTGAACCCTCTTCCCGCAGATGATCAGTGTGCGATGTCTTCCCAGCCCTGCCATCCACGACCCTTGACCTGCTTCAGCTCCTCTTCATCGTACTTCTTCCCTGCTGTAAAATAGCCAGCGTTGATCTTAGCATCAATCTCTACGCGGGAATCGGCTGGAATCAAGCCTGCCTTCATGTTAGCCATGGGATCTGAAGCGCAATATAGTGCGTAAATGGGACGAGATGGGTTGGAGCAGCTAGGGATCAACGCACTGTCTGGGATGGGGATTCTTTCGAGGATGGGAATCCCCTGCTCTACGATCGCGTCATGCTTCATGTTGGACATGGAGAGCATGCGGTCGATCTTCTTCACACCAAGCCAGTGCAAGATGTCGGGCATCAGGGCTTGGAATCTCATCTATAGCGTCCATCATGTCAGCTCAACAGTAACATCAACCCAATAGTTTAGCTGCTCTTACATCGCGAACACCAGCAATGTTCTCGGTACGGGCAAAATACTTGTCGGCCGTATCTCCGCCTCGCTTCCGGGCGTTGTAAACAAGGTACTTGACGACCTCACCCAGGGCGCGACCTTCTTTACGGAAGTAAATGACAATACCGGAGCCGCCATTCTGGGCCTCCTTAATGGCCTCCTCAATGCCAAAGGTCAGATATGGTCGACAGGTGCAGATATCTGATTGGAAAACGTCGGAGCCGTTGCATTCGTCATGGATGCGAAGAGCCAGTCTGCAGCTGGCATCTGACACCTTTTCTGGCGCGCCGAAGATGTATACCGTGAGCCCCCCAATAGGTGGGAGGAATACCTTCATGTCTGGCCTCGTCACCAACTCGGGATAACTGCCACCGGTGTGCTCGAACAAGGCCCGGCGCAGTGTTCCCTCGTCGATACCGAACCGAGATGCGACGCCTGGAAGATACCAAACAGGCTCCACGGCGCACTTAGTGACGCGCACGTCGCCATTCTCGCTGACGACAATGTTGCCGTCCACGGGAAGACGTCCCTCCTTGATAGCATCTGTGATCTCTCCGACTCGCATGTGAGCGCGGGTTATGGCAATCGTTGGTCGTACGTCCAGTCCATTGGCCAGATGGTCCTGGAAGTTCTTGACGATATCATGACCGAAAGGATCCATGGAGACGATCTTGGTCGGGTCGGACCACGCGGGTTGTTGCGGGAAATCAAAGGTAGGCTGCGTGTTCTCGAAGCTCGGACGGAAGTCGCGGGGAAGATCCCCTGCGGCAATGGCGAGCGCATTGTAGATGCTGTAGCTACCACCGTGAGCTCCGATGGCGTTGCGTCTTGTCAGAGTCTTGCCGCTCCGGGAGACGAGCACCGGCCCTCGCTTCTTGGGGTCAGCATCGCCCCAGTTGAGGTCAACCGGATCGACAACGCTTTGGCCGGGATAAGTGGTCAACTTTGAGGGGTTGTTAGTCACGTTATCCTGAAACGATGCTTTCTCAAGGGGAGTTGCGAGCAACGGAACTAATGAGGCCACATACGATGATACGTTGTGAGTAGCCGTCTTTCGTAGCAGTGACATTGGTTGATGCGCCGTTCATGGCTGTGCCGTTTTTCATCTCGCTGTTGATTGTCATATTGAGGGTCTGCAAACGTTTAGCTGGCCGAGGATTAACAAAGTCGTCAAGACACGTCGTATTCAGGCTTCCCATCTTGCCAGCGTTTTAAGCAAGTCGCCCAGTGGATTTCTGTTTATAGCAATTCGCAGTTTGGCATCTGCAGAGATTTACTTGCTTGATTCCCCGAAATCATGCCTCCTGTGTCTGAGACTTCGTCAATGTCGCTATCGTGTGCTGCTTCTGTAATCTTCACGTGGATAATCAAGCAATGAGTTCAGATAGTCGTCAATCGACCTATCGTTGGACCCTCGGAGCCAAGATAGGATTTCCCAAAACGCGACGATAAGAGCCTTATGGGGCAACTAATCGCCTTAAGGTAGCGAAAGCATCACGTGGGCATGAGGGGATCGCTGTGATTGCTTTGCTCTGGTCGATAGGCACTACAGTATAACCTGTGCTACCCTACGGTAGATATCCATCTGTGGGGAGATAATGGGACGAGATAAGGCCCTGCTAGTCCTACGATACTTATCTGATATGACATGACATTTTGAGATAAGAATGCAAAGAAAGATAACGGCAACATCAAGCGCTAGGCAACTCTCAGCAAGTGGTAGATCTCAACGTACCTAGTGGGGCTTGTTGTGCTCACAGAGTAATAGCACCCAAGTGACTTCGAATGCTTCTCTGTACGATCTAGACCCTATGTCTTGCAGCTGGATACATGAACTTTGCACGGATGTCTAGCCATTATGCCTATACCTTAAAAAGGAAATTGTTGGACAGGAAAGCTGCGTGTCAAGGTGAATTTCGGATTGAACACAGAGTTTGACTTCTGCTACCTGACTTCCCATCAAGCGTACATCCAGGCAGACACGTGCATGATTGATGAATGCCGTAACCAAGAAATCGTAGATGGTGAGCGTTGTTTAAAGATATTTACAAACATGAATGAACCATTACTAGTCGAAACAAACTCCCTTTTTAGTTCGCTTAGAACAGGGTCCCATCGCCATCTATGAGAATTGGGCTAGACTTCGTCGCAGGACGGAGTTTTGAAGCCATCTCCCGGCCACCTTTCCACGTCCCTGCCTCCAACATCTGTGCCATGTTCAGAGTATAACCGCTCTTCTCAAACTCGAGCGCCACCAACTTGTGAAGTTCGTCGAGGAGGGCCACGGTCATGGCTCGCCATTCGACAATGGTGTCGCTAGTGGCGTTAAACATGGGCAGTTCCTGGCCAGATAATTTTCTCCCTTCTCTAAGGGTCTCTGGTTTCAGCTTCAGGGCACCCAAGTCGACAAATAGACCTCCGTTTCGGTATTCAGGAAGTCCGGTGCCGAGATCGAGGTTGGAGATCTTGAAGCCCAAGACACGAGTGAAGGGGACCGTGAGGGAATATCCAAGCCATTGTGTGAGTTTATGGAATGGCTGTACCGCGGCTATCTCTGCGCCAAGTCCTGTCTCTTTGGACCCGTCAGACAGGACCCGAAGTGGCCATGCATCACCCAGGGATGTCCCGGCGACAGTGGTGCGATCCTTTGGCCACGCGGGTAGGAGAATGCGCTGGAGAGTAGACCAAAGGAGCTCATAGTCGAGAGTGTCGGACGCCTTTGAAGCTTTTATCAAGTAGTCTGGCACCCACAATTAGCCCCGTGATAGATCCTGCCAACTTTGCTCCCCGGCAATGAGTTCAGTGCTCACCAACAATGTTACCAGGTCTGCCAGTCGAGCCAGCCAGGTCGGGCTGTTCAAGCAGTGATCGGCCGACAGTGCGCATGAGCTCTACACGTGATGAGACACCAATAAGAGGATTATCGACAGAGATCTGGAAATGTTCTTCGAACGCCTTCTCCGACAGATTGACTAGTCCTTTGCCTAAACGACACCAAATATTTCATGTTAGGAGACTGCACGGGACCCAGCAAAAAAGGAGGAGAAGATGTGTGCTTACCATCAACTACACAATCTGTACTGTCGCTGCTAAACACTCCAGACTTGAACATGTACAGGGACGCGACGCCAATGCCTTCGCTTCTGTTGTACATCTGGTTGGTACCTGGTTCCTTGAACTTCCATACATCTCCCGCGCCGGCGTCTAGCAAAACAGACACGAAGAAGAGATCTACCAAGCGCCGGATCAGCTCCAACTTGTCGCAACCTTGAGAAGTCCAGGTATCAAGGCATTGAGCCAATCGTGGAACACCGCCAACCTCTAAATGCTGCCATCTGCCATGAGGAGGAATTTCGGCAAATCGATCGGGTCCGAAATCGCGCTGTCATAGGGTCAGCAACGAAAGCAGCGCTTGCGGGAGGCAATGCTTGGTTTGGTTCTCGCGTTGTGCGGTCTAAGTAAATCGGCTATGAGGAGCGAGGGCTCACCTTGATGACTCCAATCACGAAATCGGCGACGTGCGGCATGCGTTGAGCTTCATACTCGAAGCTCCGCAGCGACCCCTCCTGGGCCGCACGAAGCACGAGCTGCGATCGCTCCCGCACCGCTTGAAGGCTAAGCAGATACTGAATGTTGGGGTCTACAGTTGCAGACGTCATGATGGGCCAAGTTGTCGACGTCTTGGCTTGGTTCTACCGAGCACTACACAACCTTGGGTAGGTAGATAGGTAGTTAGAGAGTTTGTACAAAAGGAGCAGGGCGGGATTGATCTTGATGTTGGAAATCATGATGAATTTCATTTTCATTATACAAACGGGCCGTGGGGCAGCATGTAGCTCGCGATTGAGTCGGCAACGCTGCAAGCCCTCAGACAAGGCTACTCTAGTGAAGGATGCTTTCCCCTCAGGAGCCGTGGATAAGGCTCTTGGCCTGTTATGGTCAGGTACCTACCTACCCTAGGTAGGACATCAATGTGGAGACGATAGCGATCTGTGGAGTTTTTTTCTCTGGTGCCAAGCTACCAGGTCTTATCCTTATCCTTATCCACTCTCCCTCTTCTCAGTGATAAGAGCTCCTGTGCTTATCAAGACTCTAAGATTCCATATCTCAGTCGCCTGAGACAACTTCAATGACTGCGACCAGAGCCGATTAGACAAACTTTGCTGGCAGATACTCAACATTGGCAGCGATGATTGCAGCCATGCTTCGTGCCGTAAATGATCGCTCACAGAGCGAAAACGGAGGCATCCTTCTAGGCTCTGGGACTCCCGCCATATGACCATTCAACCCTCCTCGCATCGTCAGGTCACTAAACCAACCATATATCTTCTTTTTTATCCCCCATTAACAACATTTGTTCTCTCATTATTCGACCTACAGCCGATCGTCTTTACACACACTCATCATGGCACCGAATTCCTTCCTCGTCTCGGACCCTGCCTACGGCCCGGTCTTGAGCAAGCTTCGGCAAGGCGTTGAGCGGCCGGCGACAGTTCGAGCTCTAGTGGGCGAGCTCACCAAGATACTGACCAAGAATGCGGTCAAAGAGGCGGCGTCTCCAGATGAGAAAATCGCCGTCATTGTCATTTTGCGATCCGGCCTTGCCATGATGGAGCCATTTGTCGACTGTCTCCCCGAGGACACCGACATGGTGATCCATCATATCGGCTTGTTCCGAGAGCGCCAAACCCTACAGCCCGTTGAGTACTACAACAAGCTACCGCTCAAGGCTCCCAACATCAAGCGTGCATATGTCCTGGATCCTTTGGTGGCTACCGGTGGCACAGCTGGGGCTGCCATCTCAATTCTCAGGTCAGTTTGCCTTGCGTGTTCTCCTGAATACACAAGTGATCCCACGTTAATGAAGAGGGAGAAACCCAAACTTCTCGGGACCCTGGAGCGGACAAATGATGGACAAGAAACATGATCTAACTGTAGACGTAGGGAATGGGGTGTTGAAAGCATTTCCTGCCTGTGCCTTCTGGCTAGTAGGCCGGGTCTCGAGAAGGCCGCTAATGTCTGGCCCGAGAACACTCGCTTCTTCGTGGGCGCGGTTGACGAGGAATTGGACAGTAAGGGCTACGTCAAGCCAGGACTCGGAGATATTGGAGACAGCCTATTTGGAACTGGGAACAGTTCATCTCAATAAATCACGCGTGTTTATATGTGATGAGTAAAGGCATTTCCAAAAAAAAGTCGGGTCGATACTTTTAATGTTGTTACATTTGTTAACTCCTTTACCTAAAGTCCATGCTTAATGCCATAAAGACGTGATTGTTTTTGTGGTAGTATAAAACTGCCACGGAGTCCGCCCATGTGAATTTTGATCTGGCACGAGACAACGGTTAGTCTTGAATAAAAATCGACCATGTCGGGAAATGTTGGAGATCTATCTGTACCTCCTAAAAAAGAATCTTTATTTCCCGTCCGCAGTATAGGACCGGACGGAGCTGAATGGCAGATATTGTGAGTATTTATTTTCTTGAGGGTCAGAGAAGAGAACCTTACCTAATATTGGCACATTAATGCCGACTTGACCAACATTTACGGACCGCTGGAAGACTTGGGCGTTGGCCGGGCTGTTTGTAAAGATGGTGCAACCATTGCCGTCTGCATCCGGCACCTCAGTCAGCTTTGATTTGAAGTTGTCCATGCCAAGCACTGAAGTAACCTACACCTGTTTGCGTTTATGAGCTCAATAGCTTCTTCTAGCGTGTCAAGCTCGATGCAGCACAACACTGGCCCAAAGATCTCCTCTTGGTAGCAAGACATGTACGGTTTGACGTTGGTCAAGATTGTCGGGCCCAAAAAGTTCCCGTCGGGGTAATCGTCAACCACTCGCTTTCTACCGTCAAGGGCAATCTTGGCCCCTTCTTTCTCGGCGTTGGCAATTATTTTCTTCACCCTGTTCTTCGATGCTGATGAGATCAGCGGGCCCATATCAGTGGTCTATATAGGGTCAGGGTTAGCCTAGGTCTAAAGGTCTTAGAGAAAATTTTTCTTACTTTAGAAAAATACCTTAAAATAATTCTAGAAAAATCAGCTTTGCGATATATAAGATATAGCCTATACTATTAAATAGCACTTTTTCTTAGGTTTATAAAAATATATAATTTTATTATTTTATAATTAAGGCTGACTTATAATAAGCTCTAAAAGGTTATTTAATAATATAACAAGAGGATATTTCCTAAGGGATAAACTAATTATATTAATTTATATTAGCAGAGGAGAATATTATATAACCTTAAAGGGTAATATAATATTATATCTAGTAATATACTTAAGGTATTAAGTATAACTAAGTTATATTAATAATTAGGGTAACTTCTATATAGGAAAATATAATATATATATTTTATATACTTATAGTTAATCTTTAGATTAATATCCTCTAGGTTTAATTTAGGGTAAAGACTAATATTTTTAATATTTAATCCCTAGATTAATATAGGTAATATTTAGTCCCTTTAATCCCTTACTTAGTTAAAGTATTTCTATTATATTTCCCTACCTAGCCTATATTATAGTTATAATATAAGGTCTCCTCTCTATTAATCTTATCCCTAAGACTAATTTTAGTAACTAAGTATTATTAATAAATAACTCTAACTTATAAAAATTTCTTTTTATTAATATAATATTAGGCTAAGTTCTTAAGTATATTTCTTTATAAAAACTTTCTAAAATATAAGGTCTTTTTATTTATATTAAGGCTTTTAATTTTAAAATTATACCTTATATTTATTATTTCTATTAAGGTTTATCTTATAAGGTAATTACTAATTATTTTAATTATTATTTTAATTATATTAATATAAAGGTTATATATAATAAGGCTAATATAGCTTCTTTCTATAAGTATATATTAATATTCCTTTATAGCTATTAGCTAATCTTTTATAATTATAAAAAATATTTAAGAATATAAGTACCTAGAAGATAAAGAGGCTAAAATAAAGGCTACCTTAGAGGAGGTAATAGCTAAGTTTACTTATATCTAGAAATAAAAGAGGTTACTTAAAGCGTATAGTAATAAGGCCTTTAAGCATAGCCTATATACCTTAGAGGAGTTAAGCGAGCTCCGCGAGGAGTTATTTATTATTATAGAGGTATATTCTTTTAGGGCTATTAATTTAATTAATTAGAATATTATTAGTCTTAATAAGCTTATACTTAGTATTATTAATAGAAGTTCTTTAGAAGGTATTATATATTAGTAAGATATTCTAGGTGTTATGGCTTGGTCCCCCGTAGCAGCGATTGAAGCCCTATAGGCAGTTGAAGCACCTTCTGTAATTGCTACAATAGCGATTATGGCCCAATCTTTTGCCCCGTGGCGCAGTGGCTAAGGTGCCCACAGCTGTGACTGCCGTTATACTAGGGGTTTTTATATACTTTTTAAGTTAAGGTAGTCTTTTTATTTAATAACATATATTATCTTATTATTAATTTTATTTATATCGAGAATAGCTTCTATAATATATTCTTTTAATTTATTAATTTTTATATTAGGCTTATTATTTATTTTTACTTAGATAATATCTTATATTAATTTAAGTAATAAGATATAAAAGATTAAATAAAACTTAACCTTAGGTAATAAATTTAATTTATAGTTATATTTTAAGATTTTTTATTTAATTTTATAAGGTCTAATATACTTATAATTAAATTTTTTATTTTATTATTTTATTTTAATATTTTTTATTATAAGATAGATTATATCTCCCTTTAAGAGAATTAATCTCTTAATTCTTTTTTTATTAATATAATTTATTATTTTATTTCTAATAAATTTAAGTTTTATTTATATTTCTTTATATAAATTATATAGTTAATTATTAATAAAGATTATTTTAAGGTTAATAATAATATCTTATAATTATTAGTAAATATCTAGGGTAAATCTAAAATTAATATAAGCTAATATAATCTTTATACTTTTATTTATAGCTATATTATAGGCTAGCTAAGTAGCTAATAGCTTCTTAACTTAATTAGTTTATTTATAATTAATATAATATTAAAGGTATTATTTTAGTATTTAGTTTATATATTCTATTTATCTATTTATCTCCTTATAGTATATAATAGAGAGCTTATAGTTAATTCCTAAGTATCTTATAAGGCTTTATTAAAATTTAAATATAAATAATAGTCCTCGATTAATAATAATCTTAAGTAATATACTATATATCTTAGTAATATAGAAATAGAAGAGATAAGTAAATTCTTTAGTTATTATTAATTCTCTATATAATATAAAATAAAAAAACTTTATAAGTCTATCTATAATAATAAGAATATTATTATAGAAGTTTCTAATAGCTAATTCTTCTAATAAAGGTAATTTAATAATAAAATCTATTATAATAGCTTCCCATAGTAGCTAAGGTATTAATAGGGGTTATAATTTACTATAGGGTTTATAATATTATACCTTAGTTTTTGCGTAAAAGTTATATTAATTAATAATTATTATAATAATTTTCTTTATACTAAGAAAAATATATATTATCTTAACTTATTTTAGTATTTTATTAATTCCTTAGTATTTATATAATTAGTAATTATATATTTTATATATAAAGTTATATTATAATTCCTTTAATATTTATTACTTATTTATTTTTTTATTATTAGAAAGTTATATATTATATTCTAGGATTCTTATAAGGAGTAGATTACCTTATTCTATTATATAGGTTATTCTAATAATTTAATAAGGTATTCTAATAGCTCTATCCTATTTATAAATAATAGGTCCTAGTTTTAATAAGTATTTTATATATTATCTTATTTATTATTATAGGTATCCTTCGGGGGTAAAATATAATAATTATCCTTTAGTTTAGATTTTTCTAGTATTAAGGTTAGGCTTTTAGCTAATAATATCTACTTAGCTATTTTTTAATCCCTTAATATAAATAATAATATAATTAAATTCTAAGAAATATTTAATATATTATAATTATTATCCGCTAAGTTCTTAGGTTATCGCAAAATAAAAAATATTTTTATAATCTATATAGACCTTAATTTAATATTAGCTTCCTAAGAGGTAATATCTAAATTCCTTAAAGGTATTAATAATTATAAGGAATTCTTTATTATAAATAAGGTAATTAAATTCTATTTTATATAGCTTATAAGAATAGAATATAATTAAATATAATTATCTTTTATTATCTTATTATTTAATCTAAGTGCCTAAGGTAAAATCTAAGGTATTTATTTTAAGTTTAATTTATTAAGATAAATTAAATATCTTAAGTATTAGCT